CTTCGCGATTTTGCAGCACCATGAAAACCTAAGGCACCCAGGAACGCCGAGTCAGAGGGTCGCTGATTCGCCGGGGGAAGCCGCACCTTCCCGTGGCTTCAGCACGGTCGCTATGCCTCTCAATGCCTGATCAACACCGTTTTCATGACCCTACCGCCCGCGGATGCGCGCCATACCCCGTTTATCCACAGGTGTCAACGTCGCAATTCCGTTGGCATGGACCGCCATTCATCTGAATCAAGTAAAGGGCTGTTCGGTGGCAGACCGAAAATACGCCATGAGGCGAGACAACGGTCGAGACTATTTGTTTTTAGTTGACAGTTTAATATCATGATATGCTGTTGGTGTGGAGTCCACAATGGACCTGTCACCGAGCGGCCAGGCTCGACTTTGATGTTCTAAATGATATGAGAACGGCGTTGAAGAAACACGATCGTCAACGGCGAGGGTGCTCTACGTGGGGATACAACTTCTATACCTGTCAGAAAGATCAGAGCCGTTGTTCTTGATCAAATTTTACAGGTTGCGTTCTTTCTTTGTGCCCAGCCAACACATCACAAAAGTAATTTCTTGGACTGTTGTCTGTGCTACAACGGTTTCCACGGTGGCGTCTCTCTTTTGTGGCAATGACAGGGATTCACTGCAACCGAGGACGACCACTTTTTTTTTTTTTTTTTTTTCTGCTGCAGTCTTGCTTACGTCGCCAACTCCGGCGCATGGAGTATTGCAACATCGAGATTTACATTGTTTATTTGCCTTTCGTCCTTCCTCGGCCTCTGCTATGGAGCTACGTGGAGTGTGTAGTGGCAAGAACTAAGCAGTAGTGGTGGTTTAACGCTCCTTGGTTGCCTTCTCGAAGGCCATCAATTACCTTCCATGCATATATTAAAATTGCATCGCCGGAGACTCTAACCAGAGTCGGTAAATCGAGAGCTCGTCTAGACGGGCCCTCAGAGATTAATGAATATCCCAATGTTCTTCGGGTGCACTAGACGACCTGCTACTGTGTGGACGTTAGTAGTATACTACGCTACATACTAAGCGTGCGGATGTATAGTTTTATCGCTCAAGTAAGTTCCCTGCGGCAGTTCCCTAATCAGGGGACTCTCCTTTATCCAATCACCCTGAAAGTGGCCCTGGGGGTAGAAGCGGAGCCAATCAGCGAAAGGATACTATCTTTAGCTGGAACCAATAGTGTGCCGGGAAAGCCCTCCTCCCCCCGAGGAAGTTTATCAAAATAAATATGAATGCGAAATGAAACACAATTTGTAAATTGAAGTTAAGGTCATCAAGAAGTTTCGGGAAAAAAGTCCCGAATCAAAAGCTTTGGGTGTTACCCTACCGTAGTAGTTTGTGTTACACAGCGGTCTGGCTCTTCTCTTGCTAGGGGGGGGGGGTTGGGTTGGGTTGCGCGGCGTGGGATTTTACGAATAATATTACCCTAGCATTAAGAAAGCTTTGATCTAATTCGGGGTCTTGGCTTGCATTTGACAGCTCTGACTTGTCCCTTGCTTGTGGCGCGGCCTGTCAGTGGTTTAATGGTTCATGGCGATTGTTTCGGATTCTTGATTTTCGTGTTCAGTGTTTGGTACTTTACACAGAGAAGAAAGAAGTAAGGATCGCGGTCATATGTGGGTGAATACGCAATATCTGTATGCAAGTGGTATGCCAGATGTGACTCGGGCAAACATAGTATTACTAACTAACAGAATCTACAAATCATAACCGCCTCGAAGGGACAGATAAGCCATAACTATCGCGATAGGATCCGATCTTGACAGCTTGATTGTGTAACATGGTTGGCAGCATCCAAGCGTTACTTTCATCCCGATCAAAGCAAGGGTTAGAGTCTTTTAGTAGATTCTGAGTCACGCCAGGGCTGCAGGCTGCATCCTCCGCACTGGTTCCTGCAGTAGGCTCTAGGTAAAGCTGATCGATCATGTATCCAGTGGCCGTTAAACAGGTCAATTCTCAAATGTGAGCAGCTCTTTGTTGCTGAACCTTTAAAGTTATAGTGCTTGTGCTATGGGTTGGTGGCTCAACTCTCAGTTTAAGGCGAGGCGAGGTTCAATGGTACCGGGAGAACCCAGTACCTTGGTTGAAATTCCCTACTCTCCCGCACATGACATGTAAGATGAAGTTCAATATGACTACGTGCCTTATGCAGGTAAGTATCTCATGATAAGTTGCCTAACTGGTAGGAAAAGCGTTTCATAGGCGACTGTACTCTGTTAGGATATCGGTCGAGGCTAGAAGGTCAGATGAATGTTTTAGAGACCTTCTAGGACATGACTACGACCTGACTAACTTCATCTTGTGTATCCAGACGCTCTAAGGTAAAGGTACAAATTGTAGCGCACCATGCCACTATTAGATACCGAGTGGGGCCCAGTCGAGACCGTTTCACCATCCGTTTGGAGAAGGTAGTTGTTCTCGAAGTTTGCTAGTTAACTATGCAAAATGGTTTCTAGGATCGGTGACGTGATCAGAAGCGACCGATATTCGGATTGGCAACACCATGGGAGACCATCATTTGACTATCATCTTGATACAACATTTTCAGTTTTCCGCTCGCAGATCTTAACTGGAAGGATGTAATAGACGGTAAGAAAACAATTTTCATTCTTCGTTTCGTCTTTGGGGTCAGTCCCCAAATGGCGGACGGGACGATGCTCAGCGGGGCCGGCTAGCTTAGCCGGAGAGCCAATCCTCCCAATTCACGCGCAGATTTCATTGGTCTTCAATGCAGCTCCGGTGTACCCAGTTTTGCACCCAACTTTCCAGTGGGAGAAATGTCACCATTGTCTGGCCTATCAGCCCATGGGATAGCGAGGTCGGATGTTCGACTTTCCCAAATTTTCCCCCTCTTGTGAGGTCCCACCCAACTCTCGACGAAGCGGCCACCCACCCCAATTTACTTTTTGGTAATGGCGACTGGCTCGATTTTGGACTCACGCTCCCATGCCTGTGGGACAGACAAGCCGCTGATAAGCCAGATAGGCAAGACCTGGGATGCAGCTTGATTTCCCATTGGTAACAAGACTACCGATATGTATGGCACATCACCGTATCACTGTACATAATCACGACGGTACCCGCCCCAGACTCAAGATTATCATTGATCGATGGGAGGGATACGTTGGAATGTCTTAGATGCGCGCGCGAACTTGTCTTGAATGTCTGCAATTTGACTGGCTTAATACCATCATATAGGTGTGTGAGATGTCTTGTTCACTTTGAGCAATCAAATGTTTCGACTACTATTTCTGGAAGCGGAAAAAAAAAAAAAAAAAGAAAAGTCATACATACTTTTCCTTCAGCTCAGGTCTCGGATAGCAGTGGCGATTCCACACAATCAAATCATTGTTGGTAGTAGGATAGTAGGACTGTACAGTAGTATTAGGGCACTCCGAGAATTAATACCGATGATACCTAAATAATCTAAAACCACATAGATTATTGTTATTTCTTATAGGACGGAGGAACAACCTTTTATTATATTATTACATGAGACATCATACACGCCCGTCAAATCATAGTGATATTTCCTCAAACTCATCATACGTCAAATTGTCATTGCGGTATTTGACCACGAGTGAGGTTTGTTTCTCGTCCTACACCCATCTCTCATCTTCCCTTTTTGATTGGCACAGAACAATCTCCGCATTTTTCTCAGACTAGAATTGGAACTATGGAAAGTCTGGTAGATACTAACTTTGTTGGAACCAGGCATCCCATATCAAGTTGTATGTAATGAAATGGTTTAATTTTGTGTGTTTATTTTTTTTGACTCCTGGGTTTTCGAAAAGATGGAGCCTTTTTGAGGACCGCCAAGGTGGTCCACTCGTGCTCATGCGTCCCACATGCTTACGCCTTTTTTGGGTTCCCCGGCCGAGGTAGTGGTCCCATTCCCTGCTAGTTGCGCATTGGATTCGTCGGCTGTGTTGCTCAGATGGATCCTTCTCTACCCTTCCCCAATGGAGCAATGGCACAACATTTTAGGGTAGACTTAGTTGTGTAGATGGATGTTGGCGATGCTGCCACTGTGATGATGAAGAGAGTCCCACCTCCCGTCCGGTGGAGGAACTCAGATGTGCACCAGCGTTAAATCTGTTCTGCCGTCTTGCTGTACAGGGTTTACGTCGGATAAGAATCGAAAGAAGAGAATAGAGAATAAAATTCTGTGCAGAAGAAATAGAAAGAAAAAAAAAAAGAAGAGACAAAATAATGGGAATAGAAAGAGTAGATAGAAACTGTGCGTGGAATGGTCAAGAAACAATTTGGGAATCATAAACAGAGTTATTCCCAGTGATCATTCGGACTGTTCAGGTAAAGATTAACTGATAATCATAGGAAAATCTGGCACCACCGTGGAGAGTATCCTTGGATTTCATGGGCGGATGCATTAGTGAGTTACTCCATTATTTTCCCTCTTCGAATTTATTATTTATTGTTCTTTTATTTTTTTTTGAATTTTATTTTATGGGGGGGGAGCATTTTTATTTATTTTATTTATTCTAATAAAATTATAATTTTAATTATAATCCATTGATATTATTAGGTATAATTACTAGTATTATACTACCTTCCCCCCCAAATAGACAAGACGGACTAAAACTAAAACGTACGGCTCCAGTCCTACTACTAACTCTCACTACGCACGGCGCTACTAAGTCGTAGCACAAGCAGATCAGTCTCTCTTTTATCCACTGTCCATCCTTCTGGCCGTCTTTCCCTCTTCCCTTCCCATATCGGCCCTGTCTCTCGTTTCCCCGCGACTGTCCTTGCCCTTCAAATTAATCCTCTTTATTTCTTAGTCTTTTCCTTTTTTCCCTTTTTAGACTTGTCTCGATTCTCTTCCCTTCCCTTCGTTATTTCTTATTTTTTGGCTTTAATCCCCTTCAACTCTCTCTTTCCCCCTCTCTCTTTTACTCCATCATCTGTCTCCCGGTACCTTTGATCGATACAGGTTTGGCTCGTATCGACCAGAGGTTCCTGTCCTTCCTTCAATCAGATTCAGATATAACTATACCGTACGATCATCACAGGATCACAAGACGTTACATTCAGTCTTATCTATAAACCCTAATCCAGACTGCACTCTTCTGTCTTTCACTCATTCATTCATCCAGAGCAAGAGACATCTACATTCATTCACCAAGCTGTGTCGTTGCCAATCTGAGACCTGCCTTAGACTACTATACATAATAATACCCAAGAGGTAAAGCATTGCTTCATCCTCACATACATCATTGGTTCGTCAAAGGCACTACCATATGAAGAAAGTACCCGACTGACCGCATGTTACTCTAGTTCACAATGGACGCTACTTACACAATGGCACCTACGGTGCAAGGACAACCATCATTTGCATACTACCCCACTGCTGATTCACAAAGACAACAATTCACAAGCCACCCGTCTGAAGCCCAATACTATGGACAGATTCAGGCCTATCCTCAGCAACACTGTGTACCAGAGCAACCGGTCTACGCTCAACCTATGATGAACATGCATCAGATGGCTACCACCAATGCCTTCCGAGGAGCAATGAACATGACTCCCATCGCATCTCCCCAACCATCTCACCTGAAGCCCACAATTGTCGTCCAGCAGGGTTCCCCGGCCCTCATGCCTTTGGACACAAGGTTCGTCAGCAGCGATTACTATAGCTTTCCTTCAACCCCTCCACTGTCTACTGCCGGAAGCTCGATTAGCAGCCCACCATCTAGCAGTGGTACACTGCACACTCCGATCAACGAATGCTTCTTCTCATTTGAAAAGGTGGAGGGGGTGAAGGAAGGCTGTGAAGGTGACGTTCATGCCGAGCTTTTGGCCAATGCCGACTGGACTCGGGCTGCTTCTCCTCCCATGACTCCTGGTATGTTTTCAATTGTGCTACCTCATCCTAAGTAAGGATGTCTTGGCATGAATCGGCGAGCTAACTCCTTTCAGTGTTCATCCAGCCCCATTCCCTCACCGCTAGTCAGAGCTCAGACTTCCTGTCTGCGAACAGCTCTTGCCCCTCCCTTTCCCCCTCCCCCTCCCCCGTTTCTTCCCTGTTTGCGCACTCTCAGTCGGCTTTCCCTGTTGAGCAGGCCAGCTCCGACTTCTGTGACCCTCGGCAGTTGACTGTTGAGTCTTCTATTAACACATCGGCTCCCGCTGAGCTGCCACCTTTGCCTACCCTCTCCTGCGAGGAAGAGGAGCCCAAGGTGGTCCTCGGAAGTGAGGCTGTGACTCTACCGGTGCATGAGAACCCATCGCCTACTTACACCAGCTCCACCGAGGACCCTCTCGGCTCATTGCCCACATTTGACAGCTTTTCGGACCTGGATTCGGAAGACGAGTTTGTCAACCACCTCGTGGACTTCCACCCCAGTGGTAACACCTACTATCTGGGTGAAAAGAGACAGCGCGTCAGCACATACTCTCTTGAGGACGATGAGTTCCTGAGCGAACATAGCTTGGAAGATTCCGAAGATCTGGATCTTGCTCAGTCTGGTCTTCCTTTTCTGTCATGCACCGAATTTGCCCCCGTCCAGAGTGATGCTGGTGAGACCTCGGACGAGATGAAGACCAAGAAGCGGAGCAACCCTCGCAAGTCGCTCAAGAGATCCAACTCTGAGACCGACCAGGATACTCTCAAGAAGGCACAGGTGCCGGTCAACAGCCGGACCAACTCCACAGACGCCAACTCGGCAGCTCAGCCAGCCGCTGCTCAGTCCCGTAGCGTCTCGGAAGCCAATGCGTCTAGCTCCTCCGAGGGCCCACATGTTCCTGTGTCAGTGAACCGTCGGGGTCGCAAGCAATCTCTGACGGAAGATCCTTCCAAGACCTTCGTCTGCTCTCTCTGTTCTCGTCGCTTCCGTCGTCAGGAGCACCTCAAGCGCCACTACCGGTCTCTCCACACTCAAGACAAGCCATTCGAGTGCAATGAGTGTGGTAAGAAGTTCTCTCGCAGTGACAACCTTGCTCAACACGCCAGGACCCATGCGGGTGGCTCCATTGTTATGGGAGTCTTGGATACGTCCCAACATGCCGCGTACGAGGATCGTGATGTGAGTACCATGGGCGCTGTCCTCTATGAAGCTGCCAACGCTGCGGCGACCAAGTCGACGACCAGTGAATCGGAGGACAGTATTTCTGACATGCCGTCTGTCGACCGTCGATCTGCCAAGAAGCGCAAGCGTGAGGAACATGCTTAATCGTCTCCATTGCCGTTTGCAACTTCACGACGCGATGTGACCAGGAGCTCCCCTCTTTACAACATAATACACTATCATAATTACCTCCACCATTGCACTGGTTGGTCTGAATTTTTGCGGTTTTGGCGTCTGGGCATTTACATTGGCGGTGTCAGGTGGGAGGCAACGGTGCCTGGCAAAAGAAATTCTTTTCGTTTCTCATACAGAGGAAAAGAGAAACATAATACAGGAAACGGTCTTCAAAAGGAAGACTTACCGGGGGTATTAGACCGGTTGCATGGGCTGCAACGGAATTCGGCGCACTGGGAGTCCACGGTTTGGACTTTAGAGCGCTTCTTATCTTGAGGCACGGGTGGTGATTTGGGATTCTTTCTTTTTTTCAACCTCATTTCCTGGCAAATATCCAAAGATCGACCATTGTCATTCTTCAACCTTGTACCCATTTCCCTTTTTCTTTCTTTCTTCTATATACTTCTCGTTCATCTTGCATTCTGTGTTCCTATTTGATGTAATATTTGACTTTCCCGGGTTGCACCCTCACACCGCATCATTCCTGTGCTGGCCACATGTATAATTCAACTTGTCCCCAATCATTGCCTTCATACCCCTATGCTCTTTTCTCTTTGTCGCATAATATTCCCCCATTGTTATTAATCTGATAGCTCACTGTGGTATAGCTAGTGATAATCAAACATTCATCAAAAAATCTTTGTGGTAAACATGTAGTATGTATGCTCGTGACTTGGGGTTTGGTTTCCGTCTCGGAACCAAATCTTTTACCGCAGTGAAAATTAAGTTAACCGTATCAATTTTTGAATCCATGATTAACAACAAAGACTAAAACCTGATCTACATTAAAGCGAACTACTGCACCCTTATGTACCACGATCAATTAGTAGTTTAAGCGGGGTCAAAAAGAAGAGGGAAAAAAAACAGATATTAAATACCCCTCATCCAAAAACAAAAAAAGACATCCCACCAGCCACCCCACCATGTTATCACCAGCAAACACAAACACAGGCCTAAACGTGATCGCCCTAATATCCGGAGGAAAAGACTCCCTCTACTCCCTCCTCCACTGCCTCTGCAACGGCCACAAAGTAATCGCCCTAGCAAACCTCCACCCCGCCCCCGATGCCCAAACAGAAGACCTCGACAGCTTCATGTACCAAACCATCGGCCACAATGTAATCCCGCTGTACGAATCCGCCCTGGGTATCCCGCTTTACCGCGCCCCTATCTCAGGCGGCGCAGTCGACACAGCTCGCATCTACCGCTCCGATGCAGAGGACCAGATGGCCGAGTCCGTCGCTGAAGATGAAACGGAGTCGTTGGTTCCGCTTCTCAGGCGCGTGATGCGCGCCCATCCTGAGGCGAATGCGCTCTCTGCTGGGGCCATCTTGTCGACGTATCAGCGGACGAGGATTGAAAATGTTGCGGCGCGGTTGGGGCTCTCCCCGCTGGCGTGGTTGTGGATGTATCCTGAGCTTCCGGCACCCGGGGAGAGGAGGGGGTTGGCTACGCAGGCTGGGCTGTTGGAGGATATGGCTGCTGTTGGGTGTGAGGCGAGGATTATTAAGGTTGCTTCTGGGGGGTTGGATGAGGGGGCACTTTGGGGGGATGTTTCGAGTAAGGATGGTGTTGTGAGAAAGAGGGTGGAGAGGGGGATGAGGAGGTTTGTTACTGGGGGGGATATTAGTGGGGCAGTTTTGGGGGAGGGGGGTGAGTATGAGAGCCTTGCGATTGATGGGCCTGGATTTCTTTGGAAGGCAAGGATTGAGATTGAGGAGAGGGAGGTGTGTACCGGTGAGGGAGGCGTTGGGTTTGTGAGGTTGAGGGGGGCGAAGTGTGTAGCTAAAGAGGATGGGTTGGATATGCGGCCGGAGGATGTGAGACGGCCGGCGTTGCTGGATGAGACGTTTGCTCGGGTTTATGATGGGTTGTTGCCATTGAGGGTTCTGGAGGCCCCCTCTGTGAAACCGAGGGATTCGGCTGCGTGGCGCCTGCCAGAGGTCTCTCAGTCGAGGAATGGTGGGACTTGGGCTGTTTCCAATATCACTGCGCCTGAGGCGGGCCCTGGCGCGGGCGAGCAGATGGAGGTCATTGCAGAGAAGATACGGGGGATTCTAGATGCTACTGGTACGCGGATGGCGGCGGATATTGTCTTTGCTACTGTTTTGATTCGCTCTATGGTGGATTTTCCGTTGATGAACAATATCTATGTTTCGCTTTTCAAGAAGCCAAACCCTCCCGCGAGAGCTACTGTGGCCTGCGGGGACAGTCTCCCCGAAGGGGTCAAGATCATGGTCTCGCTGGTCGTCGATTTAGGTTCTAGGGATCTACGGCAAGGCCTCCATGTTCAGTCCCGGTCATACTGGGCTCCGGCCAATATTGGGCCGTATTCACAGGCCATGTCCATCCCAACAAACACATCAGAGCGGCTGGTGTACATCGCTGGTCAGATACCTCTGGAGCCAGCGTCGATGAATATAGTCGCTGGGCCTCAGCCATGGCTTGAAAGCTACTCCTTGCGAGCTGTGTTGGCTTTGCAGCACATGTGGAGGATCGGGGCCGCCATGCAGGTTGACTGGTGGCTGGGATCAGTTGCGTACCTGACAGGGGACCACATCGGCGCTAAAGCTCAAGTAGCATGGCATCTGTGGGAGACGATGCATGCCCAGCACACGGATTCAGACGGGGAAGACGAAGAGCCAACTTTGGATGCTTGGGATATAAAGTATGGGGGACGAGCTCACGAACAACCGATCAAGCCTGAAGCGGCTGCTTTGCCTAATATGTCCATTGTGCAGTCGGACGTATTGGTTCCTCCATTCTTTGCCGTTCAGGTGGCTGAACTACCCCGAGGTAGCGATGTCGAATGGCAGGGCCTGGGTTACCGATGTGGTGGCCTGAAGATGGTTGCAGAAGATTTGGACGTTGGTCGCAAGATCGACACTATCACCGAGAATCTGCGCTACACAGGAATCGAAATTGACGAATTTGACTCTGACTTGGACTCATGTTTGCAGCATATCCTCGACAGATACTCCGCGCGATCTGTTTCGCATGCAATCCTCTACACGGCACAGCCGCTGTTCGGGAACTTTTGGCCGGGCCAGGTTGTGCCTTGCATGTCAGTATGGGGCCAGAAAGGGCGGCAATTAGCGGCTGGGATCATCCTCCAGACGCATAACCCCACGGACGCGCGGACCTCCACCGAGTAGACAGAATTACTACTGCTGCATATTGCGTGACATCAGAAGGCTGATGGCACGTTCAAAAGGCCTGTGTGATTTAGCATCAACCCTAAATGATTGGCCCAAACGCTAGATAAGTGGTGCTTACATCAGGAGATAAGTGTCTGGCGATTGATGGTACGCTCAGGCTATGGACAAGAACGACTTCATTGAACCCATACTAGGAATTAAACATTCAATTTGTAGTGGAATGTTAGTAATGTAGTTCTGTCATGCATGTTTGGGCTGACTTGCATTATCCCGTGAGTCTAAAAGCATGTGATACGCAAAAAAAACCGCCTCCGTCTTTGTTGCCGTTAACAACAGATCCTTCACACGCCTCTTCCTGCAATAATCATCTATACCCACTTGTATGCTCCTAATTTCCTTGCCTGATTCTGTTTATTCGAAATCAACTAACGTGGTATTCTCAGTTTAGTGTCTTGTAACTCTTGTTCTCCCACTGCCGTCCTCCGATATGACGTACTCATTTTAGACCTCTCCGACCAACAAGAATCCATGGGGTCATGGCCTCTTCGCAGAACAAGAAGGAGGAGGGATTATCTCTCCTCAAGAATATAAATGAATCCGAGTTAAATATCCCTGAGAGTCTCCGACAACTTACCCGGTCGCCACACCCGTATCATCGCAAAGGCTCCAAGCGCTCCGAACCGCATTTGCTGCCTACAGAATGCGGCGACCGACCAACCCCCACTTACTGGCCGAAAACGTCAAGTGATAGCGGTACCGAGGCAGATGATGAGAGTACGGGATTTTTAAAAGGACTTCCGGCGCCCCCGCTTCGACATCGGAAAGGATTGCGTTCGAATTTGAACGGTGCCGCGGATCAGCATGACTTGTGGTTACCGCTGTTGCAACCGTGGCCCTCGTTAACACGGTCAACGTCCCGGAGCTCACGACGGAGCTCCAGTGAGGATACAGGAGCTAGGAGGGTAGATTTGCGAGGGAAGGCCGGGAAAAAGCGTGTTGAGATTTTGCAGAGGCTGTTGGAGACTGGTCTGCTATTATCCGTGGGCGCGGTTGTGCTGTTGCAGGAGAGCGCGAGGTCACTTGCCTGGGCTTGGAGGAAAGGTATGCATGCTTGTTTGGAACGAATGTGACTATGGCTTACTGATTTATCGCTTGATAGAACTGCTTGCCCATGCTCTTCTTGTCACCGGACTGTACGCAGCTTACCCACTAAGGAGAAATGGACGCTTACGACTTTCGGGACTATACTCCTTCACCATCCCAACCAGATTCGATCCCGCACCGCTCCTTTATCCGATTCTGATACCCATATACACATCGTTATCCTTGTCCCGTAGTAGCCCTGCGTTAATACTACTAAACGTCCTCCTTAGCCTTTCGTGTCTGCCGGCCCCGGTCATTCCACTACGTGAGTGGATGCACGGCCACAGTGTCATCCATTGGTTGGTGACGTTGATACCCATTATTGTCTCGGAGCATGTTTCTGACGATCATGCAATACCCAAGCCTCTCACGCTTCGCGGCCTCAATTCTGAAGTTTTGACTCTTGTTTTTCCGTTGCATCAAGCATTGATACCCACTCTAGATTTCTTATTAACTACCAGTGTTCTTCCAGCAGAATTGCAGCTTTTGACGAGCGCTCTTGTGAATCTATTTTTGTTTGCAAGCTCCCCACAGGCAGAAATCCTTAAGGCGCTGTTGTGGCTAGGCGGCTTGTGCATTTTTATCTCCTGTCGGCATGTCCTCCGCTGGGAGGTCGCTCTAGCTAGGATCCCCAGCTGGAAATTCAGACGGTCGCCCAGTGGTTCGCAATCACGGAAGAATCTTCTGTACGTTATCGACCATAAACTTTGCCAGAGACTGAGCCGGACTGGCTCTTCCGAGGATGCCATGTCAGACAGCGAATCCGAGGCTCACATAGCACCAAATTCGCGCCGAACAACGCAAGAGTTCCGAGAGAAAGCTCTATCTGGCGAAGGGGCTGAGAAGGTTCTCCAAAATGGTCGACAGCACGCGGCGCATAGAAGACGACATACTATCTCCAGCGTGGAGGAGGTTGCGCATCCGGAGCGCATCAGAACAACCCCCAGTGGCCGACGGAAACGATCGATGGCTCCTGGTCTGGCATCCTTCCTGTCGCTGACCGTACCACAAGCACAGGTGCGGAAATGGTTATATGCCCTCTACGTGTACATGGCCGTGGCGATCGTCATCATAGGCCCAGTGCGAAAATACGTGGGCGACCGCGCATTGCATGGGGAGGATCCCTTTGGGTGGGCTTTGAGTTACCTACTGGGAAACATCTCCTGGTTCAGATTCTGGGTGTTCATGTGGAACCTGGAGTACTGGATTCCTCTTCCTACTCGCTCGGACGAGATGGAGTGTTCGCTCGGATGGATGGAGTGTCTCCGGAAAAACTCCTTTGGGGAAGCCAACACACGTCTTTTGATTGCTGCTCACTGCATCGTAGTGCTTGTGACCGGCTTGGGGGTTGTCTTCCAGCTGAGCTCCATCGTGGAAGTGGATACAAGGCGCAAGGTCTTCCACGGGATGATGGTGTTGATGTTTCTTCCGAGCATATATGTTGACCCTGCGTTTTGCGCTCTCGCGCTGGCTTTGGTCCTGTCCATTTTCCTCCTCTTAGATCTTTTCCGAGCCTCTCAAATGCCGCCGATTTCTCGACCATTGACTTATTTCCTTGCGCCCTATGTCGACGGCCGTGACCATCGGGGACCTGTCATCATCTCCCACATCTTCCTTCTCATCGGATGTTCTATCCCACTGTGGCTTTCTTTGGCGGATATTGCCCGATTGGAAGACCAACCGTGGGGCGCGTGGAACGTCCAATCCCGGGAGGTCAGTATGGTCAGCGGAGTGGTCTGTGTCGGTCTAGGCGATGCAGCTGCCTCCCTGGTGGGTCGTCGTTTTGGTCGGCGTAAATGGTTTTGGGGTGGAGGAAAGTCCCTTGAGGGTAGTGTGGCTTTTGCGGGCGCCGTGACCGGGGGGCTAATGTTTGCCCAGTGGTGGCTTGCCGCGGGCCAGTGGGCTGTGCCTGGGGAGGATCAACCATCCTGGTTTTGGACGGGTTGCAAAGCGGTCATAGCAGCTGCAGGCACTAGTGCGACCGAAGCAATCCTGACGGGGTGTAATGATAATGTCGTCGTACCGATCGTGTTGTGGCTCCTCGTCCGAGGACTTGGTCTGTGACATGCTTTACGGATGAAACAGTTCCTGAAGCTTATGTGACATGGTTCGATTTTCTAGATCTGGAAAGGATCTGTATTGTATTTCTCATTCTTGTCCATTTTATTTTACTTCCCCTTTTTCTTTTGTTTCTTTTTTTGTCCTGGGGAAGGATATAGATGGATAATGTGGTGATGTGTTGGGGATTCACATGACATGTTCCTTTGTCTGTGACATAGGGAAAGAACGGGACTAGTCCAGAAGGATACCCAAAAATCGAAGATAATAATAGATGACTGGCTGAACTCCCCTTAGGCAACATTCACCATTCGTCGATCGCCCTGTTAGTGGACGCCAACATATCTCGCTGCGTATCCACTTGGGGCTTATCGGTGATTCGGCAGAACCCAATCTTCAGTCATTCGGTGGCGAAATGGGCGCCTGTGGACAGGACGGCTATCATCAGATGAGTCATTCACCACGGTGTTGGAAGGAAGGGAGAGTGCAGGTGTCATATCATGATTTTCTTCCGATGAGATGACACGGGGAGGTGTAGATGTCATAGAGCAAGTCATTTTGAAGCCTATCGTGGTTGGCACTGTTTAGTAGTTAGTACATAGTGACGCCTATCTAATCGATAATCGATAACGTGATAACGCGATGGTCCGCCGTAATGTAAGGAGCGATCCTACAATCTCCCGGCCTGAGGCCATGGCCTAGTGATTGCCCTCGTTTCTTCTTACCATCGCCATTCATGATGGACCTTTCACCATTCCTCTCATCAATCGACCTCTCCCTAACCAACCATTCCAGTTGCTAACCTGTTCCTGTTTGGGGATCCAACCGATCATCTCCAATTCCATCGCCGCCCTTCTGACCGCCTTTGATCGATACAGGTGACTGTGACTATTCCCCAAAGACGAGATCGTCAAGGTTCCCTGGGTTGACTCCGGCCCTGGCTCCATCACATCATCTTCCGTTCCCCGATACTTTCTCTCTTTTTACCTATCGGGTTGCCTCTTATTGAAACGGTTCTCCTTTTTCTCTAATCTTCTCCTATTTGCTTTTTCGTATCGACGTCTGTACCACCTTCTATAAGTGAGTTATCGGGGATAATCCTGGCCACTATCTATCTTGATCAACATCCTTGGCTACTTCCTGCAGCTATCGCCTTCCTATCAGCGTAGAGCACCCGTTTCCGCCTCACCGCTCTCGCACGCCTGTATACCGAACCCATCCTTGTCGCTGCTGCTCACCTCGACTCTTTATCTTCTTAGAGATCTTGTCCGTTTTCCTTCGCTTCGATCTTTGACGTCTGATAGCCCGTCCATCATCTCCTCTCTCGTTCCACCCTTCCCACCGTCCACTTTCCTTTACTTCTCATTTCCGCCCTCCCCCAGCTTTATCATCTATAGCCCCATATCGACCGGCACTCTCGACATCATCACTTCCTTCCCCTGATGGGCCACTTCCATCACCAATCGTTGTCCCTGCCGTTGCTGAGGTAGTCGTGTGGTGTTGGGGCGAGGTTGATTATCAATAGACACTCCACCTTGGGCGCTGTCTTCCGCCCTACTGCAGTCATGGCATCTTCACATACCAGGAGGTCCAGGGAGACCTCACATGCCGAGATGCCCATTGGTCGCTATACTAGATTGGATGAGATTGGCCGGGGAAGCTTTGCCACGGTCTATCAGGGCGTCCATACGGTATGTTTAGCTAAGTGTATAGTAGGTAAAGCGGTGCGAGTGCTTGATGCTAACCTGCTTGGCTTCTTAGAAATCACGCACTTACGTCGCCATCAAGTCCGTCAATCTCTCCAAATTGAACAAGAAGCTAAAGGAGAACCTCTCCTCGGAGATTCATATCCTTAAAGGGCTATACCACCCACACATCGTTGCCCTCATTGACTGTCATGAGACGACTTCACACATCCACCTGGTGATGGAGTACTGTGCTTTGGGAGACTTATCTCTATTTATCAAGCGCCGAGATACACTAGGGGATCATCGGTATACAAAAGACATGATTGCGAAGTACCCGAATCCCCGTGGCGGTGCACTGAACGAAGTCGTCGTTCGCCATTTCCTCAAGCAACTGGCCAGCGCCCTCAAGTTTCTCCGTGATCGAAACTTGATCCACCGTGACATCAAACCTCAGAATCTTCTGCTGTGCCCGTCTCCGTCATCATACCGGAGTGGCAATACTCAGGTAGTTCCGTTCAAAGGTTGCGAGGACTCCTTCAGCCCTGCGACGGGACTGGAATCTCTACCGATGCTCAAGATTGCAGACTTCGGGTTTGCTCGGTCTCTTCCATCGACATCGCTTGCGGAAACATTATGTGGCTCCCCTCTGTATATGGCTCCAGAAATTCTGCGGTATGAGAAGTATGATGCTAAGGCGGATCTTTGGTCCGTGGGCACGGTGCTTTACGAGATGGTGGTGGGCAAACCTCCCTTTCGGGCGACAAATCACGTTGAGTTGCTCCGAAAAATTGAAAAAGGAGAGGATAGGATCAAGTTTCCAGAGGAGAATCCTGCCTCTGATGAAATCAAATCACTGATCCGGATGCTATTGAAGAGGAATCCTGTGGAGCGGATGAATTTCTCTGATTTTTTCGAGTGCGATACCATCACAGGGCCTATCTCCGGGTTAATAGCTGATGATGTGCCGCCAACATCCCGCCGTTCCTCTATAGCTGTTGATACCACAGGACCCGCATCTCGCCCCCAGTCTCGAACTGGCTCAAGAACTCCCACCGGGGTGAAACGCGAGAAAGATGCATCTTATCCCGGAAGGAGAGATGACCCAACCTCATACCCAGTTGCTCAACAGCCTACCGCTCAGAAGTCAGAAACTCCACCAGCTCCCTCATCTCCCATGCGTAGGGGGGGAAGTATGGACAGGCCGGCTACATCTAAAGAATCTGCGAGCACTGCCCCTCAAAGACCAAGTGCAGTGTCTCTCGCCACAGCCCCTGGCCGTCAGGAACTCGTGGATCGAAATGCTACTGCTGCTGTCATGGAGCGACAGAGGAGCCGGAATACGTATGCGGGGATTCCACAAGCAGAGAAGCAAGCAGAGAGAACGAAAGAGGAAAGAGAGCGCGCTGCACAAGAGGTTGCGTTTGAGAGAGACTATGTGGTTGTGGAGAAACGCGCCGTGGAGGTGAATGCCTTTGCAGATGAGTTGGCACACAGTCCTCGGATCCAGGGAGGCTTCCCCAGGAACGCTCACGCTATATCTCGTCGGCCAGGTACTCAGGGCGCGTCCGGCCCTACAGCTACGTCGCCCTTGGCCACTACAGGGAAAGCAATGCAGGTTGCTTCAGGGCGAGCTCGGGCCGATTCGACACATGCGCGTCAGAACTCCTACGAGCGCCGATACGGCCAGAGTCCTACGTCTGCGATCTCAAAAGCACTTCACATGGCCAGTGGACGACTATTTGGAATGGGCTTCTCCCCCCCTATGACTATCACAAAAGGAGGGCGCTCTCCCCCTCTTGGGTACAACCCTTTCCCGGCGTACCCTACCGCCCAGGGTAGCTTGATGGTCGTTGGGGATGGAGCTAGGACTAATGTGACCCTGGATGAAGATGCGAAGACCGTTCAAGTGATTGAGGAATGTGCCACCCGGAGTGACGTAGTATATGGGTTTGCCGAAGTGAAGTACAAGCAACTCATTCCGCTGGCACCATCAGTTCAGACGGACCCGTCTGGAAGAGTCAATGGGCCTGGCGGCGAGCGGGATCCTACCGACCTGATGGATGGTGGGCTTACGGTTGATGCTGTGGTAACCCTATCGGAGGAAGCTCTAGTTCTTTACGTCAAAGCACTATCTTTACTGGCAAAATCTATGGATATTGCCGGCGCCTGGTGGACTCGGAAGAACCGTGGAGAAGCGTTTGGCGAGTCGGCCATGGGTAGGACGGATGCCACAAGCACGCTTGTCAGCAATCGGATCAACAACGTCGTACAATGGGTGCGGAACCGGTTTAACGAGGTGCTAGAGAAAGCAGAGTTTGTCCGTCTCAAGTTAGTCGAGGGACAAAAGCGCTTGCCACCAGATCACCCCAGTCACCCCAGTAATCACTCCATCGGTTCCTCCGTCGGCTCCGGCGCATCCACAGACGTTGTTGTGAGTTCGGGCGTAACGGCGGAGAAGCTAATGTATGATCGGGCACTAGAGATGAGTCGGGCAGCGGCTATTAATGAACTCACGGGCGAAGACCTATCGGGGTGTGAAATAGCGTATGTCACGGCCATTCGGATGTTGGAAGCTGTATTGGAGGAAGAGGAGGTATCTCGGTCTGGACCAGACAAAGCCGATGCCCAGAGAAATGGCGACAAAGCGGTACTGGATGGTGTACGGATTGAGGACCGCCAAGTGGTGATGAAATGTAAGTTATTCTGCATACACTGCGGTGAAAAAACTCGATTCTAATGGGTCGTCTAGTGGTGTCCAGCATCAGGGGTCGCTTGGCATCCCTGCGCAAGAAACTCACCCTGTTGGCAAAACGACAGAGCCCACCTTCGAGTGTTCCTGGCAAAGTGGCCCCATCCAACTTGGTGGCTGTTTCTCCAGCCGTTGGGACAACCCCCAGATAGAACGTGAAACGTTTTTCATCTCATGCATGCAGGTACATGCTACGTCAGATATAGTCCCCTTCTCTTTTCTATTTTCAACTCCCTCCTGCATTTTACTTTGCTTCTATAACTAATGAACAATACGTGGGAGTTCATATATGGCGCTTTCTGTTGAAGATCTGTTAGCGCAGCATTCCCCCCCCGCCGGTTTTCGTTTCATTTTGCTCATTCTTCTTTTTCTTACGTGTCTTGTACTTGGCAATTTCCATTGTCATGAGAAAGCTAGCTATTTGCACTTCCTTACTTTTGGCGTTTGAGCTGGGAGAAGTACACAAATTGCCACAACCTTGGATATGAATGATGAAGCTATGGGTTGGGAGTCTGGGTGGGCGCAGGACGATGGAATTTTGCTTGATTTGAACAGAGATTACCAGCCAGACGACTTTGTACTGTACATAAATAATCGGATGAAAAATTCTTTTGGAAGCAATTTCCCGGAGCCTTGGAGGTGTTTCGACTAATTCTAAGCTGACCTGACTCACTAGGCAGAGCGATATAAAATGGAAATCAAGCTATTCGATCTAGGCCGAATTGCATCAAGCTGGGCGGATCTTCCGCAAGCAGAAAAACCTCTCAAGCGGCAGGTCAAGCACGCCATCGATTTTCGTTTGTCACGGAAAATCTTCTCAGCGATTTAGAGGAGCGGAAGGTTTGGATCTGGTGGAGCTCGACTCACTTTGGTTCCGCTGCAAAACCAAACTTTTTTTTTTATTACTCTTTTTGCCTTCCAGAATTGAATGGCGTTATCGCCGCTCAACCATATGGCTCATCTCTAGATTTTTTTCCCTTGAATTTTCTTTTTTTTTTTTTTTTTTTTTTTCTCCTTTTTTTTTTTTTTTTTTTTTTTTTTTTTTTTTTTTTTTTTTTTTTTTTTTTTTTTTTTCTCGCCTTTTTATTCTTTGCCATTCTGTCAATATCATCTTTTCTTTAGCTCCATTTCTTTCTTTTAATCTCTCATTTATGCATAATTGATCGAGCGAGTTAAATCTCCTGGTCAGGAGATACTTTCACCAGCTTCCTGTCGGCATTGCATCTTTTTCGCTCTCTCTTACGAGGTTGCATGGCCTTTGTATAATATAAGACTTCTTTCCTTTTTAGGCGGCTGCTCACGCCAGCCTCGACGCCCCGGCCTGATTGCGACAGATTTAGGCCCAGCACATCATCACACCTCGTGGTCTTCCTCCGTTGTTAGCCGTGGAATCTGCTCGATATAATCCTTTCGTTGACCTGCTCCTCCGTAGCTTCTAGAGCTTTGGTGGAGAACATATATGAGCTTTACGGCTAAAATTTCCGCGTTACCATGAGCGATTCAGCTTCGAAATCTAAAGGAGTCATGCCGGACACCAAGGCCTTGGAAGAAGGCCCCCGGCGGGCGGATGGTGTCTCTCAGCTATGTATGCACTATGTACTAACCGGAACCTGGGACGACGTGATCTAACTATTATCTGTAGATGAGGGTAATGTCTTCGATGCAACACCAGAAGACCGCCGTCAGATTGGCGTGGTCAGCGCCTCGTTCCTGATCTTCAACAGAGTCATTGGAACTGGTATCTTCGCCACGCCGAGTACCATCTTATCATTGTCCGGTAGCGTTGGACTTTCCCTATTCATGTGGGTGATTGGTACCATCATTGCCATGGCTGGTACTGCCGTATATTTGGAATGGGGTACTGCTATCCCTAAGTACGTCAGCCGCTCCCTTATCTGCCAATTGCTGTAAAAAAAGCGGGACTAACAGTTCTCAGGAACGGTGGCGAAAAGAACTATCTTGAATATGTCTTCAAGAAGCCCAAATTCCTCATAACATGCATGTATGCTGCCTACGTCATTCTTCTTGGCTGGGCCGCTAGCAACAGTGTGGTGTTCGGCGAGTACATTCTCAATGCAGCAGACATTGAGGTTGATCGCTGGAACCAGCGTGGTATTGGGTTGGCATGTATCTCTGCAGCTTTCCTCATCCACGCCTTTGCGTTGAAGTGGGGCCTTCGACTTCAAAACCTCCTTGGTGTGATAAAGCTTGTCGTGATTGTGTTCGTCGTTGTCTGCGGTTGGGTGGCTCTCGGTGGCCATATGAAGATCGACCCTCCTCACAACTTCCGAAACGCCTTCGAAGGCACCAGTGACAGCGGTTATGGCATTGTCATGTCGCTGTACAACGTCATCTGGTCGTTCATCGGCTACTCAAATGCTAACTATGTGAGTACCGCCGAGATAATATCTTCTGATGTCGTTCTCTGACTCGTGACAGGCTTTGAGTGAGACCAAGAACCCCACCCGTACGTTGAAGATCGCCGCGCCAATCGCGATTGGGTCCGTTGGAGTTCTTTACATGCTCTGCAACGTCGCCTACTTTGCTGCTGTACCTAGAGAGCAATTTCTTAGCTCTGGCCAGACCGTTGCCGCCGTCTTTTTCGGCAACATGTTTGGTCCAAAGGCAGAGAAAGTCATGTCGGTCTTCATCGCCCTGTCGGCCTTCGGCAACGTCTTGTCTGTGATCTTTTCTCAAGGTCGAATCGTTCAAGAGTTGGGACGTGAGGGTATGCTACCCTTCTCAAAGTTTTTCGCCAGCAACAAGCCATTGAGTGCGCCGGCCGCGGGTCTTTTCGAGCACTATATCGTGTCGATCATCATCATGTTGGCTCCTCCTCCCGGAGACGCTTATAACTTCCTGGTCAAGTAAGTCATTTGCATTCACCTGTATCCCCCTGGGCATAGCTGACTGGCGTGGTTAGCCTTATCTCGTATCCGCTCGCCATCATCAACGTTTTTGTGTCTGTTGGCCTCATCTACATTTACTTTACCCATAAGACTAAGTTCCCCGACTGGAACCCCGGTATCCGCGCGACACTCCCCGTGACCATCTTCTTCTGCCTGTCCAACGTCTACCTGGTGGTGGCACCATACATCGCCCCAAGTGAAGGACAGAGCGTCTACAAGGAGCTGCCGTATTATCTGCATTGTGTGGTGGCCCTGGGTATCTTCGCAGCCGGTGGAATTTACTACCTCGTGTGGGCGGTCTTACTCCCACGTCTTGGCAACTATGTGATGGTTAAGGAAACGGTGGTGGATGCCGATGGCTGGTCTCGAAGTGTTATCTCGCGCCTGCCGTTAGCGGAAGCGGAACAACGACAGCAGGAGCAGTTGCAGCAGCAACAACAGCACGCTTGAAGTGCTATGATTTCAAGATTCAACATCATTACTTTACGAGCGTAATCATAATGTTTACAGCGACGCATTTGCATGGAGTTGGGGATTCTGGGGATATTTTCGTTTGCACATTTTGGGTCAACAAAGTTATACCCCGGTTCAACATGTTACGGATACCTCTTCTATCTTAATTTATATATATGGTCGGTATAGAGTATAGACATAGAAATTTACATACACTATTCGAAGAAACTCAAAAGCCTTGTGTCCCAGACATCTATGGAAGCCCATGCACCAAAGTTGCCAACGAAGTAGCAGTCATGGACCCCTCAAACTTGCTGGAGTACGGTCTTGCAAATAGTACCCCCGAGAAGGGGATAACTCGACAGTCATCTACCGTAGAGAAACATGGCATGCGCTGTTTTCGAGTAATTACTTGCTGAAAGAATGTTATGTATGTATGAACAAGAGAAGAAGTTTCGGGGAAGGTTAAAAAATATAGGCAGGAAAGTGCGCGGATCAACCGTATTTCCGGCCCATCCATTTCGGGTAAGAAGCTTTTTCTAGGTCCCGACCCGAGGGGATTCACCGCTTGCCCAAAGGGGATCCGCCGCCGTGAATATCCTGGAGGATCTCCGAACCATCTTCCTGTCTATTGTCCCTGTTGTGAGGTGGTACGTATTGTGCTTGCCTATTGTCACCGTCTGATTAGTCCATTGGCCCCTTCCTACCCCTCTTCTCAATTCTCTCCCTTCTCTTATCATTCCATTTTAGCGGGGCTCATGCGTCGTTTCTCCTCCACGCGGTTACCGCCGCTGGTACTAAACTCAGCAAAGAAGCCACCGCTTTCCTTCCCTTCCAGAAGGCCCCTCCTCTTCTCTCGCCCTCTATCTGTCTCCTCAACTTCTGCTTCATCCACCTCATCCCCGTCCGCCAACCGATTATCCCGCCGTTCCCCCCTCTCCCAAATCTCCAAGCGTTACTGCTCCTATCGCAGGATGTGTCGTCGCGCTGATGTGCCTTCGGGCTCGACAAACATCGCCCACGGTCGTGAGGTTCTGCCTACCAATGTCAAACCAGTTCATTATGACCTGACTTTGGAGCCGAACTTCGAATCTTTCACCTATGAGGGTACCGTCGTCGTTGAGTATGTGTCCACCCAACCTGTATATCTCGGTGATCAAAGCTCATGAACGTAGTCTCCAAGTCACCGAAGACACCACCTCGATTTCCCTCAACTCTAACGAGATCGACATCCATACTGCCACTGTCTCCGCTGGGGGCTCTGTTGTGACCTCCAGCCCTGAGATCTCTGTCAACAAGGATACCCAGGTAGCTACGGTCAAGTTTGCCGAGACGATCCCCACCGGATCTTCCGCCCAACTGAAGCTTACCTTCACCGGTATCCTCAATGACAACATGGCCGGCTTCTACCGGTCGTCCTACAAGCTGCCAAATGGCGAGACCAAGTACATTGCTTCGACCCAGATGGAGCCCACAGATGCCCGCAGAGCGTTCCCCTGCTTCGACGAGCCTGCTCTTAAGGCCAAGTTCACAGTGACTTTGATCGCTGACAAGAGCATGACCTGTCTAAGCAACATGGACGTTGCATCGGAGACTGATGTCCAGGGCGGCAAGAAGGCTGTCAAGTTCAACACTTCCCCGCTCATGTCCACATACCTAGTGGCTTTCATTGTTGGCCAGCTGAACTACATCGAGACGAAGAACTTTCGCGTTCCTATCCGTGTCTATGCTACTCCGGATCAGGATATTGAGCATGGTCGCTTCTCGTTGGATCTGGCTGCTAGGACTCTGGCCTTTTATGAAAAGGCCTTTGATAGCACTTTCCCACTTCCGAAGATGGACATGGTTGCCGTGCCGGATTTCAGTGCAGGCGCCATGGAGAACTGGGGTCTGATCACTTATCGTATCGTCGATGTGCTCTTGGATGAGAAGAACAGTGGTGCTTCACGTAAGGAGCGTATTGCTGAGGTTGTCCAGCACGAACTGGCTCACCAGTGGTTCGGAAACCTTGTCACCATGGATTTCTGGGACGGTCTTTGGCTCAACGAAGGCTTTGCAACCTGGATGTCGTGGTACTCTTGCAACAGCTTCTTCCCCGAGTGGAAGGTCTGGCAAACTTACGTCATTGATAGCTTGCAGGGCGCGCTTTCCCTCGACTCGCTCCGTAGTAGTCATCCTATTGAGGTGCCTGTCAAGCGTGCTGATGAGATCAACCAGATCTTCGATGCCATCTCCTACATGAAGGGATCTTCCGTCCTGCGCATGATCTCGAAGTATTTGGGCGAGGATGTTTTCCTCCAGGGTGTCCGTAACTACATCAAGAAGCACGCTTATGGAAACACCCAAACGGGCGATCTGTGGGCTGCTCTCGCCGACGCGAGTGGAAAGCCTGTCGAGCAGGTCATGGATATCTGGACCAAGAATGTTGGATTCCCCGTGGTCACTGTGTCTGAGGACTCTGGCAGCTCGTCCATCAAGTTGACACAGAACCGCTTCTTGCGTACTGGTGATGTCCGTCCCGAGGAGGACACTACTCTTTATCCCGTCATGCTGGGCTTGCGGACCAAGCAGGGCATTGACGAAGACACTATGCTGAACGAGCGTGAGGGCCAGTTCAAGGTGCCCGACCTTGATTTCTTCAAACTGAACGCTGACCACTCTGCCATCTACCGTACCTCCTACACTCCTGAACGGCTCACTAAGCTCGGCGAGGCGGCCAAACAGGGCCTGCTAACAGTTGAAGACCGTGCCGGTATGATTGCAGACGCCGGTGCCCTCGCTTCGTCTGGCTACCAGAACACCTCTGGTCTGCTCTCGCTTCTCAAGGGCTTTGACAGCGAATCCGAGTTTATTGTGTGGAATGAGATCGTGGCTCGCATTGGTACTCTTCGCGCTGCATGGCTCTTCGAGGATAGCCAAGCCAAGGATGCATTGAAGGCATTCCAGCGCTCTTTGGTCGGTTCCAAGGTTCACGAGCTTGGCTGGGAATTCTCGGAAAATGATGGCCACATCCTGCAGCAGTTCAAGGCCCTGTTGTTCAGCAGTGCCGGCTCGGCTGAGGACCCAGCCGTCGTCAAGGCTGCTCAGGAGATGTTCGAACGCTTTGCTGCGGGCGACACCAGCGCCATCCATCCGAACATCCGCGGTAGCGTCTTCAACATCGTTCTGAAGAACGGTGGCGAGAAGGAATACAATGTTGTCTTGGACCGATCCCGCAATGCCCCTACTTCTGATGAGAAGACCACCGCTCTGCGCTGCCTCGGCTCTGCGGAAGATCCGGCTCTCATCCAGCGCACCTTAGGGCTGGCCCTCAGCGATGAAGTGAAGAATCAGGATATCTATATGCCTCTGGGTGGTCTGCGCAACCACACCGCAGGTATTGAGGCTCGCTGGGCTTGGATGAAGAGCAACTGGGACGCTCTGTACAAGCGCCTGCCACCTGGACTTGGTATGCTAGGCACTGTTGTTCAGCTCACCACTTCCAGCTTCTGCACTGAAGCGCAGTTGAAGGATGTGGAGAGTTTCTTCAAGGAGAAGGATACCAAGGTGAGTCTGGCCCCCATGCAGCCTATATTCAGTAACTAACTCTTTCAGGGCTACGACCGTGCTGTTGAGCAGAGTCTTGATGCCATCCGGGCCAAGATCAACTGGATCAAGCGTGATCGCGCTGACGTTGTATCCTGGCTCAAGTCGAATGGTTATCTTCGCGATGGCAAGCTGTGAGGCATATGGCACCAGCAAAATAAGATCATGAGTTTAGCATGACATAATGACCGTGGTGCAAGTATCTTCTTGCCTCGGGCCTAGTCGAGCAATTTTTTCGAACGACGCGGATTAGGTTCCAGTGTAAACTAGAAAATATGATATCTCTACGTCACGTATATAGTACTTGAATAGGGGAATATAATTTGAGATGTGAGCCCTGCTTGATCTCCATACAGTGACTATAATGTCCTTTTATTTCAATCCACATCGGTTATCACCATCCACCTTTCGAGCCAAACGTAGAATTGTCATCATTCTTCTTAGCAAACCCGCGAGTGGGCTTCGATTGTGCGGCTTCGTGCTTACGCAGTTCCTCCGGAACGCGAGAGATGGACGATTTCATGATCATTTGCTTGAGGTCGTACCTGTCAACCTATTAGTATAACCGGTTTATCAAGGAAGAGAATGGGGGTAAAAGAAAGGGTAAACATACAAAACATCCGTATCCTCGTTACCCAAGAAAGTGATAGCCACACCACTCTTACCAGCACGACCGGTACGACCGATACGATGAGTGTAACTTTCAATAGTAGTCGCCATGTTAAAGTTGATAACCAAACTGACATCCGGAACATCGATACCTCTGCCTGCCAGATCGGTAGCCACCAGGACATCCGTTTGACCGTTCCGCACCGACGCCAGGGCAGCCTCACGCTGTTCCTGGGTCTTACTTCCGTGTAACGTAACAGAGGAGAAGCCCCATTGTTTGATTTCGCGGGCAATAGCATCACAGTTCCGCTTGATGTTGACGAAAACGATGATCGGGGGCCGGAATTCGTGAGACGAGAGGATATCGCCGAGACGCTTCTTGCGCTTGTCTTCGCCCGCGATGAACTCTACGCGCTGCTCGATGGTGTCGACGGCTTCGCCGGCGCTACCGATTGTGACGATGGCGGGGCGGCGGAGGTATTTGCGGGCGATGCGCTCGACGGCTGTTGGCATGGTGGCTGTGTACATCATTGTCTGGCGGTAGCGGTCTTTTTCGCTGATGTGCTGGCTCATGGCAGTGACGTTCTCGGCTTCTTCGGTGTCGGGCTTTTCATTGGAGACGGGGAGGGCGTCGAGGATCTTGTTGACGGGTTCTTCGAAGCCCAGGTCGATCATGCGGTCTGCTTCGTCCATGATTACGTAGCAGCATTGGCTGAGGACTAGCATGCGGCGCTCGATGCAGTCGACTAGACGACCTGGGGTGGCAATGATGATTTCCGCGCCGTTGCGGAGGCTGTAGGCTTGTTCTTCGAGAGAGTGGCCTCCGACTATACTGACGACGTTAAAGCCGAGAGGGCCTGTGAACTTCTTCGCTTCGATCTCGATTTGCTGGGCCAGTTCACGCGTGGGGGCGAGAACGATGGCGTACGGACCGTCGTTCTTCCTCCATTCGAACTCGTCGATGCGAGGCAGTTCGGCGATGTATACTAGCAAGGGGAGAAGGAAGGCTGCCGTCTTACCGGAACCGGTGACGGCGACACCGATGAGATCGCGAGACTGCATGGCGATAGGGATAGCGGCGCGCTGAATCGGCGTAGGCTCCTTGTAGCCAACCTTGTTGACAAGCTCCATGAGACGTTTGGGGAGATTAGACTCCTCCCACGACCGCATGGGGTTCGGTACACTTCCACCCTTGGTAGCGATGTTGAAATCTTCCTTGAAGATACGCCAGTCGCGCTCGCGCATGTGCTCCAGCTTCTTCTCGCTCCAATGCTTGTCGAGCTGGTTGCGGGTGCTCTCTTCTCTCCGTCGGCGCTCCATTTCCAGAATCTCTCGCGCCCGAATACTCCCCGCTTCACGATCACGGTCCTCCAGAGCTCTTGCGTACTTCTTGGCCACGTCATCGGCGACATCGTCGCCGAAACCTGCGAGACGACCGCGTCCGTAGAAGTTCGCCTCATGTCGACTTTGATACAGGGGGTTGTAATCGCCGCTTGTGTCTTCTTCTGCATTCCATTCGAAGTTGAATTTCCGGTCTGTCGTCCTCTTCCGCTTCTTCTTCGCTGAGAAATTCGATGTCTGCTCTGCTCCCATGTATCTTTGTTTGATTAATGCTGCCTGAGCGACAGCTTCCTCATCGTCCACTGGCCGCTTGTCCCCTTTCGAAACTGTCAGACCGAAAGACATTGACTTTGGCGGAGATGGCGGCGATAGGTCGTGACGCTTATTATGGGATTGAGGGTTCCGCATGGCGGCGGGTGCGGTAGGAACGTCTGACTTTCTCATAGCCCGAGGGCCGGTGGGTATAAATCTTCCATCACCATTGCTCATATCAGAGCCCATAGAAGGCGGCTGAGTTGCGCTCCTGTCAACACCGTTGGAAGCCTTTAGCCTTCGGTCCGCCTCGACTTCTTTAGCTCGCTTCTCGAGGGCTAGTCGTTCTCTCTCTGCTTTCGACAGAAACTTTGGCTATAGACACAGTTCATATTAGTGATGCATATCTATGCCAGACTTCCATGACCAACCAGTATAAGAATTGAAATCATACGCCAATCTATCAGAAACAAAACAAAGAAGAAAGACATACCCTAGCAGCAGCCGCATCAGCTTCCCTTTTTTTGCGAACCAGCTCATCTACACTCAGCGGTGTAGCCACTGGCTTCTTCGCGCCCCATCCAAGTTTCTTCTTCTTTGGCTCTGGCGGCGGAGGCGCAGGAGGCAGGTCTTCGGGCGGTGGTGGAGGCGCGGCCGCATCTGGCGGCGGAGGAGGGGCGACGGAGTCTTCTGGAGGAGGCGGAGGGGGTGTAGGAGGTCGCTCGATGGGCTCTGGCGGTGGGTGGGGGGGGCGCACCTCCGACGAACCGTTCATCACGATATCGTCCATGATGGCGAATGCAAGTAGCGACTGAAAGATGTCGTTGGGGAAGCAAGCACCAACTAACCATGCACAGAATGGCCGCGGCTTCTAGAATTTCTACGGCTGGCCGGTGGAGCTTGTCACGCAGTCACGTGGGTAATTAGCCCCAAGATATGGGCTTATTTGGATTTTAATGTAAACAGCTTGAGAACCTAGCTAATCTTTGAATGCTACCGGCTATGTTTATTGGACAGGTACTGGTTATGTTCATTACTTGGATTTCAGGTTTCGACAGTAGATCATGAGGTACTGCCACGATGATAAGGCGGTGCTAAATATTGGCCAATTAGAGCGGCGAGGGAGTATTGATATTCATTCAGTCTAAGACGACGACATGCCATTATCCATAGGAGCAGGCTACCCTTATCCATGATTATATTACTTTCAAACACATGGTTCTGGATTTATTGAAGTAGGTAACTAGGATAAGATGAGCCAAGAGCAAGAAATACCGGGGAACTTCGAATCTACAAACGATCACGATGCCACGTTAGCGCCAGGGGAGAATAACTCTCTCCAGATAATCAACAACAATAGAAAAGCATCAGACATCAAGTGGAAGCCTTCTTCCACTACGATAGATGAGCCTCTCGCTTCTAACCTAACCAATGAAGATCTCTGGATGCTCATCCGACGGTTCAACAAGGTATGTCGAGATGATTGCACCGGAACAGACTATACATTGTATTAACGCAATAGCTCTTGCAATAGCAAGTACACCATGTCAAAGCCGTGCAAGGCCATCCCCCAGATGAGCTGGATCTTAACCGGGCAGAAGAGGAGCAATTCCCCCCAGAAAGGTTGCGGGCAACGACTGAGCGGTTCTATACTTCTGTGATTGTAGGATTGGTTAATTTCTTCGGTCACGTCACTAGACTGCGCTCGTGGAAAGAGCCCCGACGTACCTCTGCGTTTTGTATAGTATGTACCGAGGCCTTGTGTCCCAGATGTGATTGGTGGAGGACTAACTTGTTCCAAGGCTTACTTCATTGCATGGTTTTGGGATCTTCTTGTTCCTGTGACTACCGGCGTTCTGGTTGCTTTAATCCTGGTCCCATCAACACGATCATGTCTTTTCCCTCCTTCTAACACTGATAAGTGTGGCTCTTACGATGGCGTCGAGAATCCTACGAGTGATAACGTTACCCATGCTCCAGAAACATACAAGGGCGAGGCAGCTGAGCAGGAGGCCGCGAATCTCGTTAACAATATCGCCAATGTCGCCATGGAAAGTGCCCGTGGCAAATACGGCCAATCGGTGGTAGATGGCGATGCCGAGGGATCTTCAGAGCCTGAACCAGTTGATATTGCGACGATCACAGACGTGCAGAGAGAGACTACATCCGAAGACAAAACGAAAAAGCCTATGAAGAAGAAAATATCCAAGGCTACCAACCAAACTATGCGTATTTTAGGGGATATTACCGATATCTATGAGCAGTTTTCCAAGTTAGCCCCTCCCCTAACTAGCACCTCAAGAAGTATCATTGACTAGAGTCACAACAGTCTACTTTCCCCCACACCACCATTCCATGCCATAGCGCCCCGTCTGCAGCTGGTAGGGATACTAACATCCGTTGGCCTGACATCTCTCATCTCATCAAGCCATTTGATCGTCAAGACCGGTAGCTTCATCATTGGCCTAGTCATCTTCGGCGACTCTCTCTTCCAACGCACGATAGCATTCTTAAACGACAAGATCAAAGACTGGAAGAAATACCTAGACCTCCAAAAGTAAGAAGCCCATCAATCTCAAAGGATCATACCTGCTAACCACCCCCAGCACCCTACTAAAAGGCGTCCCCACAAACGCCCAACTAACCCTAGCTCTCTTACGCCTAAGCGAAATAAACTCCTCCCCGTTACCTCCGCCCCCAACCTCTCACAACAACGAGCCCCTATGGCCCATCCGCCGCAAGCCCTCCAATATTACCCCCAGCACAGTCATCACTCAACCCTCTACATCCCTCACAACCCAAACCCCTAAACCCGACCTCCCAAAAGCAGAGGGCCGCAAGAAAAAATGGACCAAGTTCCTCAAATTCATAGGCCGAACCATCGCAACCGCAATGAAAGGTCACATAGCATTCGACCGCGCAATACGCCTCACCGAATCCACCAGCGCAAAGAACCTAATCGGCCTGTTACACCGACGAGGCTGGATCACGGGCCCGCCTGTAGGCCCGCTCAAATTCGAAGCGAAATTCGAGCGTAAACGCGGCACGGTGGTGATCGATTCGTCGCAGGAGCAGCCCGTGCTGTATTTTACGACGTGTCAGGCTGCGAAGCTGGAAGATTTGCGGTTGGAAAGTCAGAAGAAGGGGGCGGTGTTGTTTCAGATTCCGGTTACGGAGATTAAGGAATTGAAAAAGACAGAAGGGTTGGGGTGGAAGGGGAAGTTGATTGTGGAGCTGACAGCGGGGAGTAAGGAGTCGATTGATGGGTTGGTGATTTCCACGTTGGAGCCGGAGTATCAGTCTTATCATCTTACGGGGATGAGGGGGAGGAATCAGTTGTTTAATCGGTTGATTGCTATGGATGCGCAGTTCTGGGAGAGTCATTGAAGTGGTGCTTTTGGATATTTTGGGTTATTGAGATGCGATTAAGTTGGTCTTTTTGAGGGCTTGAGGTCTACATGTGTTGTTTCATGTATTTGTTTACCCTGTCGAGCTGAGGAGTTGGTATAACTAGAATGTCATGCTTGCACTTCATCCTCGAAAGGAGAATGCCACTGAGAATATTGGGCTTTATCTTGAAAGGCTACAAAAGCACATAACTTGGACCTGAATCATATCTACTTCCTAGATTTAAGCATTATCGTTGATATTCTGGGATGACTACATCAAGATGTCTTTCTAAAAGGCCTTCAAGTAGAGGCCGAGTTAAAAGCTGAATACATTGCAGAAAACCGTTTCCCTTTCCAGTGGCTTGATTGTTATGCACACATGCTCAGGCTCTCGAAAATAACTAAAACTCGTAATGACATACATTCATAATGGACCCCGTCGGAGAGAAGAGCAAAGCAACAAGGGCTGGCAGCACCGAGTTGTGATAGTACAAAACAGGAGCGAAGATTATTTTGAAAACATCAACCGTGGGTTCTGCCAGAGGCACATAACGCCAAACTGCATGCTGAGGCTAACGGCAAAAAGATGTAAGATGAGAAACATTGTTTGCATGCCGATGCTTTGAGTCCGTAGGTTCAACGCTGCTAGCAATAGTAAAGGATAGAACATCCAGGGGTTCACCGCAAGAGGACTACAGGGCTGGAACGCTGAAACAACCTTTAGAATAAAGAATCCCAGTTGAACTGTATGTAGCGGAAGCTGCAAGTCAGAAAGTAAGGTTGAAAAGAATGGGAAATACCTCATCAGGATCGCCCCACTTGGGGGTGGAGGAAGTAAATGCTGAACAGTTTCACGAGTTTCATGCACTTCAGCGGCCTCATTTTCAACAGGTGGAAGAGGTGGAGGACCAGAGTACCTCGCTCGAAGAACCACATCTCTTTCAGGGCTTAGAGACATCCTCCTTTCATTGTGAGGACCCATGTCGTCAACAAATGGCACCGGACCGCCTCCATTGGACTCGTATGGAGGGTTACGTCGGAGAGCCACCGGACTCCGTGAAAATGGTTTTCGTGGAGACGTAGGTGGCCTGGAGAAAGAAGTAGATGTTTGATTTTCAATGAATTGCATCCTGGAACTAGGGTGTCCTTCAGAGCCCGAGGAGCCGGTCCTTCGGGAGCGGATGTTTTCATTCACAGTAGCCCCAGCTTGAAGACCGTTCAAAACATCGTCCGCAGATGGCCGCCTATCAGGATTCACAGATAATAGCCGTTCTAGAAAGGTATAGAGTTGTTCAGGCAACTCAGGTCTCATCCTGCGCGCATCATCAAATCCAGTCCACTGGCTGATTTCTTCCCTGAGCCGATCAAGATCTTCCCTCTCTTCATGGATAAGGTCAGCATTGCTGTAGGGAAGCTGTGCAAAACATAGAAAGTAGAGAATCATCCCCAATGAGAAGATGTCCGATTTGAACGTAAAGTTCCCAAATGGCCCTCCAGGATAATCTCGTCGTAACACTTCGGGTGCGCAGTACGACACAGTTCCGGTCGCCCCGGTAGAGAGTCGTTTCGCATCCTGGGCCTGGACCTCGCCAAAGTCACTGACCAATACGCGTATACCATCACTGGTTTTGTGCAATAAGCAATTATTAGGCTTGAGATCACGGTGGATGTAGCCATTCGCATGGAGATATCGAAGCCCGGATGTGATATCTTTGAAGAACGAGTATATCTCCTCAAAGTGGAGTTTGCGAAATTCGGTAGGATCGGTACGAGGATCCGGCTCGCCTCTGGACTTCCTCCTTAGACGCTCTTTCAATTGTTGGGCAGTTGTAGATGTTTGTACCGATCCACAGATGTAGTTGTGCAGGTCACCGGCGTTGCAGTATTGCTGAAGGATGAACGCGCAAGGCACACTTGGCCCAAATGTGGTGATCTTCGCATCTTCAAGCCATACGTGACGGTAAGACACGAGATTTTGATGTGAGAGATGCTGTAACAATTGTACCTCTCCGAGTACCTTCTCAAGCCATTCGTGGTCATCTCCGACAGGTACGCGTTTGCAAGCGTAGTGTCCTAGGGACACACCATCCAACACATGTTTCACGAGCAAGACAACTCCTTTGCCTCCTTTGCCTAGAATTCCTTCCTCGACAAAAAACTTCTTGAAGTAGTTTGGGATGAATGCGGCCGACGATATACCCTGGGAAGCGGACGTACCCCCGCTTGGTTCGCTGGTCGGGCCATCTGGAAGAGCCGGCTGGACGAGGCGTCGGTGGGGGGATGATGAAGTTGACGAGTTTGTAGAGCTAGGAAGACTCCTATGAAGCATGCGAAAATAGTTGGGATTGACAAACTCAGGTTGTCCTCCTGGACTTGTGTGACGGCTTTCTTGTCCTGCGCCGCTATCGTGCAGTGGACGATGGCAATAAGGACAATCGGTCAAGTCAATGTCGGCATTGCTCTTAGTTGTATTCCGAAGTACTAGCTGCTGAGAGTCCCGATCAAAAACCACGACGGAGTCATTATGGCGTCTGCCACACAATGACCGTTAGAATCATGTCTATCAGTTAGGACTAGTCATCTTACAGTACGACATCGGAGTTAGAAGATCCGTATGGTACAATGGACATGCCGTCGTCCGCCATTATCAATGAAAGACACGAACATCTCTTAACTTAGGAGAACAAGGGGTTATCATTCTCAGGGAGAATTTATAAGAGCAAGCAAGAGGGTCTTCCGTTGCTTGTTGAAGAGCTATGATGAAAGCGCGGCTGGGGTGGCCCCACGTGAGCTACGGCGGTGAAGTACTAGCGCATAACGACCATATTTAACCAAGACTTGGGTACTACTACTGCACATCTCGTACCATTTCACAACAGAACTGATTGTTTTGAGAGCTATGTGGGTATCTATAGTGAGGTGTAATGGTTTACATGACCAAAAGATGCAACCAATGCTCTAAATGCACCCATTGGGGGAGAATGTCGCCTAGCTAGTACGCCCAACAAATGCCGTGTACACCACGACTGGGCGGTTTGACACCGACTTTCGGTGTTCTCGACTCTGAAGACCTTGGTCCACGCTTATCGGGCCCAGTTGGTGGGGTCTCACCCTGCCTGTAGAGCGGCGTGGGTTCTGATGGACTCCGACGGGGGCTGCTGATTTCAGCGGCAGCCCATAGCCTCTTGCCTCGGCTGCTTGGTTTCGTAGAATACTATGGGGAAACGACCGCTCAATCATTTTCCTCCCCACTCTCCTCGTCGCTCACCTCAAGGTTTGCGATCGAGTCATTGTCATCATCACTTTCACCGAAGCCCTCAAACTCTTCGCCAGATGCAGAATTAGATTTGGCTTCACTCTTCTGTGCTTCTTCTGGCTCGGAGTCGAGCTTCCGCTTTCGACGCATTTCACCGAGTCGGCCTTCACGACCTTCAATTTTTTCGCCCTCGGCATCGGTGGTGTGGGGTGGTGGAGTGAACCATGGGATCTTGCCCCTGAGGAAGTCATTGATAACCATTTTGGCGACTCCATCAAGGTCAGGCTCTCCTCCACGGAGTAGCCTTCCACCCTTACGCGCAAGAACAGCCAAAAACTCGAGAGGGTCATCTGAGCCCTTCACACCGTAGGTACGTTCCAAATGTTTCGGCTGAACACGCTTGAGAACCGCGGGTATATACTGTTCGGGGTTCTCTACGTTCTCCACGCGGCAAACACCGCGAAGGAGAATATCTTCTGGTGTGTCATGTTGGTTTGGGGGGACCACACCGGGACAGTCAATGAGATATATCCTCTTCATGAGAGTAATATACTGCCAGACCTTAGTCTCACCCGGAATGGGAGCCACGGTACACACTTTCTTTTTGCGTAGTGTGTTGATGATCGAGGATTTACCCGTGTTCGGATAACCAATGAAACCAACTGAGATCTGCTTCCGTTCCGAATGGAGAGCTGAGAACTGTCTCAGGAGTTGGATCAAAGAGCCTTTGCCGAAGGAGTTATTGATCGAGGCATGGAAAGCCAGAGTAGGATGGTCTTTAGACAGATGTCGTACCCAGGCCGCCTGGTTTTTTCATTAGCATTCGAACACCAGTAAACGCAAGAGCTAGAACAAACGAAAACGTGTAACAGTAGAATGTGTGTAACGTTACTAAGAGATCTGCTATGAAGCAGCCAGATGACTGGAGCAGGACTCAACTCAAAAACGGAGCACAGCTCGGCCCTTACAACAGGCTTTCAAAACGAAAACCGTCAGCCTAGCTTCAGAATGAAGGTCGGCGCGGGCCAGCGTCAATCTACCAAAGCTGTAACAGACATACTTCCATTGAGAAGGTAACGACACGTGGTCGCTAGAAGAAGCCTTGACTTAGCAATGGCACAGGCATCAAAGCCTGATGGAGAAGGGTATCCGAGAAGGATAGGGAATGCATAAAAGCAAATATAGTGGAAAATATATGAAGGGGAACAACGTACCGCTACACCTGTGGGGACAAGGTCACACTTGTTGAGCACGAAAATCAAGTGCTTATGAGGAGCCTCTTCCCGGATGTACTTTTCGATACTCCTGCATCGTGTACCTTCGGGGTCACGAGCATCAATCACGTGGATGACAACATCCGAGGAATCGATGACCTTATAAAGCTCGTTCCAGATACGCTTGCTCTGACCTTTAGAAAAGACTGATTCAATCGCTGTAGCCGTCGTGGTATGGGCATCATCTTGCGCGGCTGAAACATCTCCAGAAACAGCTAGCGAGCCATCGGCATGGATCTCATGATCAGTCTTTTCCACATAGGCATCATGCATCTTAGCAGTCTCGCCAGCGAAGTCTTCCAGCGATGAAACGCCCAATTTGACACGTTTCCTCTGAGCCTTGGGCCCGAATGTATCGCCATATGGAGACGTCTCAATAGCCATTTTCGCTTGATGCTGTTTCAGCCCATTCACACCTTGACCGTCTCTGATCAGGCTCATGGGAAGCTTGTTGGTCTTGAGAAGGACTTGATAGGGGTCCGCAGCACGCTCGGCGACCGCCTCACGAAACGAGGAAAGTGCCTCTTGGGAGATCACTCGAGTATTTCCAAACCATTTACGGTTGGGCTCTATCCTAGCGACGGGGGCCTCGCGAGACTGATATGAAGCAGCCACAGTGATGTTACCTTCAGCGTCACGCCGAGGCTTACCATCCTTGTACAAATTCAGCCTCTTCACCTTCTTCGCATCTCTTCACGAAGTCAGCCAGTATATCACCAGATCATAGCGAGATGGCTCACCTGTAGAAATTTTCACCCTTGACCCTGACATTACCCATGCCATCTCCGACCTTCCCCTGCCGCTCTCTACGAGAGGCCTCTTTCTTTCCTGTACCCATAATGAATCCCAATCCCTGATTTCGGATTTATATGAAAATAAATCTCAAGGTAGGATGAGAAAAAAGTAGGTTGGCAGAGCGCAGAAAGAGAAATAAGAAGAGAGAGAAAAGTTGATAGTCTGGTAAAAATTATTTTTTCGGGGCGGGAGTCAGGCTAACAGGCGCACGGGCCAACTGTGAGAAAATCGCTTCGATCTTTTTCCGGCCTTCGCAACAGAACCGTGTCTCCCATCGTCCGGTCCGGCTCCCCGAATTGCGGACGGAGTTGAATAATTTATGCTTAGTCTATATTGATAGTTTCTATTTTGATCGTCTTGGTCACATTCGATTGCTATTAAGACTTTCAGTGGAGTGAACTGGATTGTTTACCATGTCTCTCTTCCGCAGCAGTTGCAGGGCCGCCTCCGTGCAGGTCCGTGGCTTCACCTCGTCGGCCTCTCTTCGAGTCGGTCCAGAGTCACCCAATTTCGTCGATGTCCCTCGTACCATTCAACCAGACCTGCCTTCGAAGCAACATGTAAAGGGTACACTGCCTGTTCCTCGCGAAATCTTCCCCGTTCGCCGAGCCGACAAGCCGTCCGAGGAGTACATTTCTGCCGCAACCCCCCTTCCTTCTAAAGAAAACAAAGTCGATCCGAACGATCCCCATGCCCAATATATCAACTGGAAGCGCCGAATGGCGGATATGAGGAGGCAAAATCTCAGAGAAGGTCTCCTAGAGTTGCACAGCCGAAAGCAGCGGACGGATAAGTCGATGATGCAACGGAGTGCCGACAAGCAGAAACGACGAGAGCGCATTTTCCGTCAGCCAGAGAGAGAAGATGAACGGTTGACTCGCCCTTCAGTCGTTCAGGAGATGCTCCCTAAGCGCACCCCAGTGCTACCAGACCCCAACCGGGAAGAGCGTCTTGCGCTATCCCACGCTCGGTTGGAAGCTATAAACGCCCAGAAGCAAGCGGAGCAGCGGGACTCTCTTCAAACGCTGTACATGAATGCCCGGAATTTCATCACCACCGAAGCTCAGCTTGCAGCTGAAATCGACCGCGTCTTCCCTGAGGGTGAGAACGAGGCTTGGCGCAATGACCACCAGCAGGGTGAGAACATCTGGAACTTGGGTGTACCCCCAACCGTCCAGTCTATCGTCAATGAGTCCAGGAAGAGCGAGGCAGCTCGCTGGGATCTCATCCAGGGCAGAGTCAAGAAGTTGGGCGAGCAGATCACAGGGGGCAAGTTGTGAATATCATGAAGACACTGTATATTACTCTAAATTATTGAGCTGAACCTCTTGTTTCTTTATACACCTAGTCTAGTCGACGTTGGCATCAATCGTTTGCTTTTCCTCTGCAATTACTGAACCTATCCATGACTTGAACACTGATCTGAAATTCCGGTACTATCTATAATATGCCTTTACACAATGAGTATTAGCCATCATGAGCCTGAAATGGATGAAGTCATCTGTGAGTCCGGCAGAAATGATGTATTTGTACAAAGGACACCACGTGCTACAGGGTGGAATGTACGGGGAGTATTGTCGATATGTCATACGTAGCACAACATTTTTATGAATGATGGTAGTCTATATCAGTAAAATCGAGAGAAATGCCGTTTGCCAATAGAACGCCATCGCTATGCACCAGTCCCAATGCGCCAACACCTAAACCAAGAATGAATCTATATAGAAAGCACTGACCCCTCTAATTCCAGGCATTCGGCAAGCTACACACTGCCTGCAGGCCCGCTCGAAGTCGCCGCCATTGCAGCACCTTCTGAGGCAACAGGCTCCGGGGTGTCCAATGTATTTGTCGCGTCCCGTTGTGAAACTTCCTCATCGACGAAGCATCCCAAACCTGCGAATGCCTCGAGCAAGGTGCGTGAATAGTATTCACGAAGGTCATATCCACCAGCCTGCATACGAGTATCTTGTCTAATGGGATCAAGATAGCTGGATGGGTAGAAGTCTTGCAAGGTATAATAGTCCCGTTTGCCCGGAGCCATTCCGCCAAACGGATCGTATGGCTTTTCGGGTTCGGGGGTCTTGATTCTCTTGAGTCCCTTGATAAGACCAGTATCACCGGCGTCACCAGCTTTATCGGTCGGGAGCCTACCTTGTCCAGCCTTTCTAGCATCCGAGCTACGCAGGGCAGCCTGTTTCTGTCTGATACGTTCCTCCTCGCTACGTCGAGCAGACGACTTCTTGAGCAGAACTTTCTGGCCCTCACGTGCAATAGCCGCAGCGTCCGATGGCCGTCCGGCGGCAAGACGAGTGAGAACGTCTTCTCGTCCCGCGAGTATCTCCCGGCGCTCGTTCTCATACTCCTGTCTGATTGCCTGCCGGCGGAGGCGAGCTCTTTCCTGCTCTTGAGTCTGCCGTTCTTGGAAAGACGAAGCTTCCTCAGCTTCCAAGGCTTGGTTGGTGCGGATGGAGCGCATATTCTCTTGTGCGTATTTTTGGAGATCGGATTCGGTTTTCGCTACATCAGTGCCGTGAACAAGATTCGCGATGATCTCCTCGCGTTGTTCAAGAAAATCATCCCAGGCCCGTTTAGAGTCAAACTCTTCTTCGCGGCGATTGAGACTATGACTCGTTAGGTATTACCACCCGTATTCAGTGTCGGATGTGCTTTATCATACATCTGCATAACTCTGCGCCGTATATCAACCTCCCTTTCTACATGAATATCCTCGAACGTCTGTTTCCGAAATTTATTCTTTCGTAAGGTCTTATGGCATCCGGCTACAGGGCAGTTCGCAGGGCCCGAAGAGAAAATACGATCCACGCATGACTCGCACATTTTGTGATAACATTCTGGATTAATGAGGAAGTGCATGTCCGGGTTCAGGTACCGCGAGGATTTGCAGACGGGGCAGACCTCTGGAAAGGTATTAGTCTGGGAGTCTATGAAAAGGTGGAAGTTCTGAGTATACCATCTTCATCTCCACGGTTTTGTATCGACTCGCGAGAAGGCGGCATGGTTCTTGATCGCTGAAAGACAAGAGAGGTGATTATTAGTGATTTGAGGTCTTTGGGTGCTGGTTGTAGGAGTATTAATCCAACAGCTTGCACGGGCCAATCAGAATCTCCGGTGACCGTTCCGCGCGGGCGGAACTTTTCTTTGCCCCCGCGGCGATTCTCATTTCTCTCTCCCACCTTTTCCTTATTTCTATTTTCCCTATGCCTCTAAACTTGCTGTGACCTTCACATGCAGCCCCTACAACCATTCGTATCCTTCATCTGCAACTGAGTACAAACGAAATGGGCGTTCCTGGTGGCAAACTACAGGACCTTGAGCGTCAACGTCTCGAGCTCGAGGACAACATCTTGAAACTCCAGGAATCTCTCTATCTCTGGAGGATATGGGAGGCAGAGTACGATGGCTTCAAGGATGAGGTAAGCGAACTTGGTGTCGACGCTACGACGGATGACTTTCTCCGCGTTGGTCGCGATTTTGGCGGGTCGCTAGTTACGGAAGATGAAGTCGAGGTAATCCTTGGGGTGAAACAAGGCGTGACGCGGACCAAACAACAGGTCATTGACCTCGTATCAAGACGAGTTGACTACGTGAGACAGAATGTCATGACTATGGAAAAGCGGCTACGTTCGATAGAGAACCAGCTGCATGTGTTTGACTCTGCTGAGCAACTACCAGCGGAACCCACCGCGGACTACCCCATGACGGAGATTGTTGAGGAGCTGGATGAGGATGGAAATGTTATCTCGAGCTCAACCGCGACACCCGGAGATCAGGCGCCGGAGCTTTTAGAACTTCTCAAGAAGGCTGGTGTGAAGGATATCCCGGACCATCTGAAGACAGACACGCAGGCTGAATCCAAATCGGAGGGTGAATCTAGCCCAGCAGTCAAACAAGATCAGGAAGAGGCCGCAGGCAAGCCCAACTCTCAGGAGACCAACAGAAGTTCTGTGACTTCTTCCCAGGAGAACTCAACAGAGTCCAAGCTGGTGACTGAAAATCAGGAGATACCTATTACTGAAATTGATGAATCCCCAGAGGATGCCAAACTACGTCGCGAGATGCTACAGTATGGACTTGATGAGGTTGGAGCTGTTGTGGCTGAGCTTGAGCTAGATGAGGATGGAAGTGATATATCTGTAGATGATGATTACAATGCTTCCGCGTATGACGAGGAGGACGAGGAGGAAGATGAATATGGGCGGAGTACTCGATCTGTTTTGAACGAGGATTATCACCGACAGATGCGTGCGCTAGAAGCCAAGTTGAATGCTCGAGGGATGTGGAACATGGGCAAAGACACTGGCTCGCTGCCCGCGGATGTGCAAAAAGAGCTCGAACAGCCCAGTGTGGTCCGAGTTGAGAAGAGCGCCGAGTCTACAGATAAACCAATGCCAGAAAACAAGCCGAAAAAGAAGGTTGCTTTTGCAGAGAGTCTTGATATCGCCCCTGCCCCTAAGACTCCGACTGTGGAGAAGAAGACTGCCCTTCGGCAATCGGAAGTGCCTGTCCTATCAGATGCAGTTGTTGAACGTACAGAGTCAGTTGCCAAGAGCTCAACCACGAATAATGCTCCGAAGAAGACATCTCGCTTCAAGAGTGCCCGAACTACTACCAGTGAGAGTAGTACTCTACCTTTTGAAGCACCCTCTTCTCTCCGCAAGCCCATCACCTCAACGTCTCCTTCATTACCTCTGTTCCCCGCCAGGTCATCTGAACCTAAACCCTTTTCCCAGCCAATTTCGGATATTACCGACGAAGAGTCACCCGCTTCCCAAGGACCCGAGGGGAAGATCTTGGCCGACAAGCTCGTCGAGCATGAGGTATCTCAAGGTGCCGCCATCCCGCCTGAGCTCGATGAGATCGATGAGCAAATCCATAGGAAGGAGATCGCAAGTGAATTCTATCGAATGAGAAACAACAGGATCCAGCAGAACGGTGGTTTCGTACGTGGGGAGCCAGAGATCGTGCCTATCGAAACCGAAGAGGCTCCGAGGCGGGTGAGCAGATTCCGAGCTGCTCGAATGACATAACCATGAAGACAATAGAACAGATACCCAATATATATTCAGCTAAGAGCTAGGCATTTCTTCCGTTTTGGTGACGCGTAGCAACGGAATTCTGCTTTGCTATGGATCCTTCTTGAAGGACACCTGGCAAATGCAATGGGCATACATACTTCCAATGGTATGGCCATCTAACTGAATTCCAATATAGACTGGGGGCTCTCTGACTCCTCTTCTTTCCATGTCATTACTGGAGGTATTGGGCTCAATAGAGTACTTACAAACAGTGATGGTTTGGAAGAAATGAAGTGTGGTTTTCGTTTCACCCTCAACATATCAGTAGTAACCGTCATAATTCACGCAAAATTATATTTGCTAGCAATTGTGTATGAGTTGTTGAAGCGGCAGTGTAAGGCCGAACACCTCCAAATTTTTGAAAGTTTGAACACCACAATATGAAAAATTACTTTTCTTTTGTTTCTTTATTTTTCCTTTTTGCAATGCATTCTGGTTTTCGTTGGGTATATATGTTTTCTATAGCTCTTATATTAAATGAAAGTGTTCCGCATTCTGCATTTCTATAAAGTTTTCGACATATATTTAAGCCACCAACCATAGGCTTTCGGCAGCATAATTTCTCCCTCAGCATATGTTTGATAATGTGGCCCAGAAGCTTCCAGCATACGCATAAACCATAATAAACTTAAAGGGAAAGAGGTTCTACATTCCCGAAGCCATGGATGAGTCTCTTTGGAGGGGTAAAGTGGCGTTTATACCCAAGTCTCCTATATCAAACTGAAGTAGGAGACTAAACACCGAACCATAGAGCGAACATGTTTGTTTTCCTCTTCCTTCCTAAATATCTTTCACCTTTCTGGGACACAGAGTCATGTGCGCTCTGCACTTCTACACGCAGAAAAAAATACCTTATACTAACTATAAATAACCAACGTCTTCACAGTACCGATATGTGAGGTTTACAATACGAACCTGCCAAAACTACTACTAGTTCTTACCCAACAGTAGTCAAACCTGTTCCATATCAACCCCGATTGACTTTTTACCCGATGACCCAAGAACATAATACGAGCCATTATCATGCCAACATCGGACAACTTGTTTTCTCCTAATCCGTCTATAGGCAGCGCTAGGCGTACCACACAAGGCAACAACAAAAAGAAAAACAAAACAAACTTTTGTCTGGAGCAATAGCCCTAAACATCCCCGATTACGCATGCGTATGCAGAAGCCCTGTACCTCGCCCGGTTGGGCTCACACAGCCGCAAAAAAAGAAAAAATGGAAATGCCCGAGAGGTCTTGAAGAATGCCTGGCATTCGCTGCCTTGGATCCAAGGGCCACACACCATTGCTGCGTGTCAATTTCTTGACCGTCTGGACTGACGCAAAGTTTATATTGCTTGAAATGCTTATCTGGACCGAAGGGTAGTCTAATGCACGCCACTGTCGCTGCGGGGGCTGTCTTTTGGGCTAATGACCGGTTTAGTTCATGTTAACGGCGTTGTTCGGTATGGTTGATTCTACTGAGATGAGGTCTCTGTAGCCAATCGTACTGCTTTTCTGATGAAAAGCTTTCAGAGAGGTGTTTCAGATGTTACGTATGGGCATACGATGGGGTTCTGGGTCAGGTAGAAGCTGAGGTGTCTTGTTTGTTTCTAAAGTATTATGGGGAATGTCTGATTAAATGGTTGGATGGGATATAGAGGGCATATACTCTAGTAAAACATTAAAAATAAAAAATAAAAAAAGGAACAGGCATCTAGAGGCGAGAGGTTTGTGTGGAGCAATCCAGCATTCGGCGAAATGCTTGCAGAGTCTTACTTCGGAGGGTGTACGTACGCAAAGACCTATTTGGTAATGTAAGGGACTCACGACTAGTTTAAGCGGGATACTGCCCCCCGTGTTTCTATATATATCGATATACATTACACTAGGACGGGATAATCGACTGAGGCAATAATTGCATAATGCCGAAAATTTCGAAGGTGAGGTTGCCTAGCTAAGATGACCTTTTCAGAAGATCAACAACAAGGAAGGCTTTTGTCCGAAATGACGTGGCGAAACTGATCGACGTTGAGCCTGCCTCATTGAAAGGGGATTTCGATCATATTATGATGATTGTGGTGGTGGAATTCTATGAGAAGAAAGAGGAATGGTCCAAAATAACAAGCATTGCCATTGGCAGCAGGTGACGCCACTCCCCACTTAGATAGACGGGGAAACGGTTTCTCCAGTCCACTTTCAACCCACTCGCTTGATCCAGTTCTACTGTCCTGTATCTACAGATCCCAGAAGGTAGGATCTGGGTCATTTCCGACGGGCCATAGTCTGAGGTTACTCAGCAACAACTGACCTTTGCCCTATGTGGTGTAAGATCTTGTGTTCAACAACACCATCATGATGCAAGACCGCCATAAGGGACATTGGGGTTGAATCCCCACCACCTCTGCTCGGCGGACGTCGTAAGATCCAGTGCATCTTTTGATCGGGATGTTCATTCCGTTGACAATGGCTTAGTAAAATACGGTTGTTATCAATAGAATCAATGTTCCATGGTCCTTCGTTGGCACTCCTGAGAACTCCCTGACTGTGTTTGGCCAGAATGAATCACGTACCATGGAAAGCGAAGAATTGCCACTGTTATTGCTAGGAGTGCCTTTTTCGAGCCATGTTATTGAAGTCATTGACCAGGGGATGGCATCCGATGGGCCCGGGTCCACAGTAGGCTCAATGCCTTGCACTTGGGGCCACTGCTATGGCTTGGATCCCACAGCCAACCCTCAGATTGTTTCCTCTAAGAGACTGTTTCTCCACGGTGCTTTTTTTTCTCGCATGACGTCGTCATCACTGCCTTGCAATTCCGAGCTTCCAGACCTGGCCGGCTTCGCCGGACAGTTGTCAGCTCGTCTACCAAATCAAAAGCACCTCCACACATTTGACCATGGTCCAGTGCATCCCATCATACATTATGACTGGACATATTTGTTTCTATTTTTTCAATCTCCATGTGGAGGTGCGAGATTCGATTCACCTACTTCATCCAGTTTACCGGTTACCTCCATGACGTTTCTTGACGTGCCCACCCTTCTTTATAAATACGGCGCACCCCGCGTGTTGCTTACCCTCATAACTCGATCTCGTCAATATCAATACGGTCTGTACCCAGCCTCGACTGTTTCATTCGCTTCCATTTGGGTCTTCGTACGCTATCTTAGTTATGAAGAACTTCGCTACCGTTGCAGCTTTCGCTGCTGGCGCCAATGCCCTTGTTGGAAGGGGCAACAGCTGCTGTTTCCACCTGACTGCTTCCGGCGGTGCTTCCGGCAATGTCGGTCAGCTTAATGACGGACAGAACCGCGTCCACGGTGGACTATCAGAAGCCGAGTTCTGCATCGACTCCAATGGTGCCATCACTGACGGAAACGGTCGTGGATGTATCATCACTGGTATGGAAGCACCTCACAAGTTCTCGTGAAAGCGCTTAGTAACAAGCTCGGCAGGCCCAACTACTCAGTTTCAATGCGATGAGGGAGCCACGCCTATGACTGGCTGGTCTATCAACTCCCAGGGTCAAGTTTCGTACAAAGGCGATTCGGACTTTGTCGTGTGTGAGACTGGCCAAAATGGCGGATTGAATATCTATACTACAGAGACTTCCGATGTGACTGGGTGCAAGGATGTGAAACTGTCTGCCGACTCTTGCTCTGGCCCCGGTAGCTCTAGCTCGGTGGCAGTCCCTGGCTCTAGCACTGTTCCTGCATCCTCTAGCGCCTCTATTCCCTACATCCCCGGAGCCTCCTCCAGTGCTTCTGTACCTTACGTCCCAGGACAGTCTACTAGCGCCTCTATTCCCTACATCCCCGGAGCCTCCTCAAGTGCTTCTGTACCTTACGTCCCAGGACAGTCTACTAGCGCCTCTGTCCCCTATGTTCCTGGTCCGTCCTCTAGTGCTCCCGTGGCTGGGTCCAGTGGATCTGCTGTCACCGTTCACACGACCTTGACCTCCACCTACTGCCCCGAATCATCAACTGTGCCCGTTGTTCCCGTACCACCCGGATCAAGTGTGCCAGCTGGCACTCCTGGCGTTCCTGGGACCTCTGCTACACCCGGTGTTCCCGGTACTCCCGGTACTTCTGGGACTCCCGGCGTCCCTGGAACTTCGGGTGCCCAGCCATCTCAGACTGCCACTGGTACTCAACCATCTGGTACTTCGACTGCGGGTGGGAGCTGCCCCACAGATCTCTCCGGCAACTATGAATATCCTCACTTGATCATCCCTGTCGACTCTTCTTCTCCTGATGACGCTGCTGGCACTTCTTTTAACGGCACCATCTCGTCTACCATCTCGACCATCTTCAACTTTGATATTCCTTCCTCTGACGCTGGAAAGACGTGCAGCCTTGTCTTCCTCTTCCCTAAGAAGGAGAACCTCGAGACTTCGTCTTACTCTTTCGGGGGTGACGGCCAGGTCGACTTCGTTTCCCTCGAATCTGCTGCCAGCGAGTCTACCACCTATAACAATGCTCCAGGCGTAAAGGAAGACTATGGTGACATCACTATCTCCCCCGGCAACTCCTACCTCATCTCCACTTTCGAGTGCCCGGCTGGCCAAGCCGTCAGCTACGAGATGAAGAACTCCGGCAGCACCGAGCTGAACTTCTTCGAGGATTACAACCCCTCCCCGTAAGTCTACCTGTGTTGCTTCTCAATCGAATTACAACTAACATGTATTCTAGGCTCGGTCTGTACATCACTGTCTGCTAAAGTAGTGGACTCTTTTGAGCAACAGTCTGACATCACGCGAACATGACTTATGGGCCCATTGTTTTAAATTCCAAAGTATTCCTTTGTTGCACGACAAGATGGTTTTCTCCTTTTGGGTGGTCAGGCTGGAAAGATTATCTAATACGATATTCAAATAAACAAAACTCTCTTTAACCTCTAGGGGCCATTGTTTTGAGTGTATATTATAATGCTCACGAAATAATTTTATCCGAATATAATTCGTGTCTTACAATATATATATATTACAGCAAAATAGAAAACGCTAGCCTAGTAGATTAGATCTTCACGAACTGAACATAACAACAAAATCGAAGCAAAAAAGGGGGAAGCAAAAGGACGGAAGGAAGCAAGAAAAAAAAAATTGGAAAGAAAAGAGGAGCGAGAAAAAGGGCAGAAAACGAGTAAACACAAAGAGTATTTGTTTCAGCCTAGATTTTTCGGAAAAATCACCTGCAGATCCATTTGACAACCGGTCAATTGTAGAATTATGATGGGGATCAACGGGAACAAGCCACTATCCCCATACACAAAGTTTAAGCGAACATGTGGCACTACTATTACAAGGCTAGTAGTAGGAGGTTCAATAGGTTGGTGTCTATTCTCCAATACAGGTCCTGAGGAATCTGGCTGCCTATATAGGACATCCACTGCGTTGTTCGAGGAAAAATTAAAATGGTGGCTGTCATGGATAATCCGCCCAGGGTCTCTGGGGGTGGATCTGCAAACGCGCGGTATCCATCTTGGGGTCTGGGCCTTTAATTTGACTCGCGTGTCCATCGCTCGAAAGAAGTCTAAGCCCATCCAAGCCACTTCACTCGCCTGTTGCCTTGGGCGGCACCCAGTTGAGGTAAATTCGTAACCAAACATGTTCCTTTTATCTTCTGCCTGGTTGCCAAAATTTTTCTTTTTCTTTTTCTTGATCTTTTTCGTTTCTCACGATATTTTATTCACCTCATCTGGGAGGTTGCATTCCTTTATTTATTAATTTTCCAGTTGTCACCGCGCAGGTTCACGGTTACCTGGAATCTTGCCTTACGTGCAGCGTCAAAGCGATTTGTTCACCGCAGCGTCTGTGTCCCTTGCTGTACAGATCAGTTGACAGAACACCATCCCGCAGACCGACCCTCTCTACGGAATTTTTATTATTCTTACGTTTGATCTCCGCGAATTCCAACCAAATGGGCCATATTCCCGATAAACTACCGTTCTCGAAGCGGCGGTTAAAGCCGCGCATTGTTATCTCGTGGGTCTCGATCTCTTAGGAAGGCATGCATGTTGCTAACCATTGCTTGACACGCAGATACATAATTGATTATGTAGTCCTCATGTTCGTTTACCCTAGACCGTCTCATACACCGACCCAACCTCTCCTTCCCCTGCAATTATACTAATGAGACAATGCCTTTATTGCAGCGCATGCATCGCCGGCTTCTACATTCTCGATTCTATTGAGCCTTATCACCAGCATTTCTCCTTGAACAATATATCTCTGATGTACCCTTATGCTGTCCATGAGCGTGTACCCATCCCATTAGCCCTCTGTATCTCCGGCGTTGGCCCCTTGGTCATCATCGCGGTCTATACACTCGTGATCGATGGGTTGTTTTCTCACCACAAACCGGTGGACCCAGTCTCTGGAAAAAGGAAACTGACAGGTCCATACCGGTTCAAGGATCGACTATGGGAGTTCAATTGCGGCTTCCTCGGCCTTTTACTCTCGCAAGGGCTTGCCTTTCTTATTACCCAGGTTTTGAAAAATGCTTGCGGCAAACCACGGCCAGACATCATCGATCGATGCAAACCTGCGCCAGGAAGCGAAGACCCGTTTCGCGGCTTGTCGAATTCTACGATCTGCACGGGTGATCCGGCGATTATCAAGGATGGGTTTCGTTCTTGGCCTTCAGGTATGTCCTGATAATTTGGATTGTGGTAGCGTTCTCCAGTTACTAATTACTTTCGCAGGCCACAGTAGCTGTGAGGAACCTTCGTATCTTCGAGTGATATGCTGCTGATACATATTTTTTTTTTATTTTTAGCTTCCTTTGCTGGACTATTCTATCTGACGCTGTGGCTTTGCGGGAAGCTGCATTTCATGGACAACCGTGGAGAGGTGTGGAAGGCGATCATCATTATAATACCCTGCATTGGAGCTACTCTCATCGCAGTAAGTCGAATTATGGACGCGAGGCACCATCCTTTTGATGTAATCACTGGCTCGCTTCTGGGCATCGTCTGCGCCTACATCTCGTACCGCCAGTACTTCCCGTCTATCTCAGAGCCTTGGAAGAAGGGGCGGGCTTATCCGATTCGGTCATGGGGTAGAGATCCGGTCGCCCCAAGTGATACCGCTCCTCTTATGGCTGCTAGCGAGAGCACTGCTGCTCTGCGCAATCCGGAGGAAGAGGGGCTCAATACAACTGGCGCCCCTGATACTAGAGACCCCACTCAATTACGCGCCTCCAGGTATATGCCTCCGGCTAACAATCCATATGCCACACACATGGGCCGTGATGATGACGGTCACTGGTCATCCTCAAGTGAGGATGTCGCAAATGGGTATGAAATGCAACATGGCTACGCTCAGACACAGAACCCGGCATACGGCGGACAGCTTCCTCGATATGAGGTTGACACATCATACCACTCCCGCATGGAACCCACAGTCACAGGGGTCAGTGCTGCTCATGCGCCACCGGTAACGACCGTTCGCTCTGACGGTGAGCGGGAGTTGACGGATGTGCCTCCACGAGCATTCTAAGATGGATCTTCATTCAACATCAGTTTGAGGAATATACTGGATTTTACCCAGTACCACGTATATCACGACTTTCTTATTGGATAGGACAAGTGAAATTTATGAATCTTCATAGCTGCTTGAACTGGGATATATACATGGTTACATACATCTCGGACTTCGGCTAGTAATATATGTCGATATGAACGAGATGCTCCAATTTTCAGGACTTTCACAACTAACTGGTTTGCATTGTTGTCTTACAGGATACAGCATGGATATATATGAATAATGGCGTTTGGAATGAAAATCTCTTTCTTGTTGTGTCGAGAATCTAAGATAGATGGGATAAAAATAGGTGATCGATAAGCTAGGGGTCAACCGTGGCTCTAGAACCTCGTGGCCGCCCCACGTTCTAAACAAACAACGGCGACAGTGAACGGTTCATATAGGTATATAAACTACCAGTATTGATGGGATGGTGTTGTTCTTTTACCATTGATCGGGATTTATCCCATGTCACAACTAATGTTTCATGATCATCCTTTTCCTAGAGGATCCACCGTTTCGATGATTTGTTGGGCGAAAATGATCCCGTTTCCCAGCCACCCCGCAGTCGCATTTTACCAGCCTCCTTTATTTGATGATGACCACAACTTGCATATTTTTCTTCTTATTTTCCCTTCATTACGTCCCTTGACTTTGAACCCTGCATAACTGTCTCTGCAAGATATCTTGTTCTATCCTTCCCCGTGCAGTTGAGTTGGCGAGATAAGACCGTCCACGTAGAGATCATCTCCCGGTCAACGTCAGGCCCTTGTTCCAATCTTGCGACAGAAAGGTTTTTGCGATAACACAAGAGCCTATTCATATATCTGTGATGACGCTATAGTGACTTGGTGACCACCATTCGGGTTTTTTTTTTTATCTTAATATTGGACTTTTCTACTCGCGTTCCTGGACCGTTTTTGACTGGCACCGGCGATCGTCGTGCGGAAGGACTATCAAGATGATCGGCAGCTTTTTCTTTATTTGCAATCGCCTTATAGAGATTGTTTTTCTGATACCGATCATTGGAATGCTGGTAAGGCTGACATCTGACATACCTGACGCACCCCGGGCCGTCTGTTTGCCCTGGCATGGGCCTAGAATCTAACATCAGAACAGGCTTATTTTGTCGACGGGTTTCTCAAGGCCAATATTATCACCCCGACTTACGTTCTCGTCCTTTTTATCGTCAGCACTATCGCGGTCTTCTGGTGTTTTGACACGTTAATCCGTCATGCGACCACCAAGCGCTCTGCTGCCTTCGTCGCCTTCGTCGACCTCCTCTTCTTCGGCGCTTTCATTGCAGGAGTCTACCAACTGCGCTTCATCGCTAATGCCAACTGCTCTCATTGGGATGGGGGCTCTGTATGGGTTTCCCTTGGCCCCTTTGGAGCCTATGGTTACCGTACAGGCAATCCATTGTCCCTACAGGTCAACAAACATTGTGCGATGCTGAAGACATGCTTTGCGCTAGGCATCATGGAGGTTGTGTTTTTCTTCTGGACCGCCTTCTGGGCGCTCTTTCTCCACAGCCGATCCGATGTGGTTGTTAAAGAGACCACCACGATCCGGAGGAGGAGCCACAGCAGTCGGCGTGGACATGGACACCGTCGGAGTTCCAGCCATCGCCGGCCCCAATACGTGGTCTAACCCTATTTCCTCAACTGCTTTAATCTCTTTGCCTTAATGTTCTTGAAATGTTTATGATTTACGGAAATGAATGGGATGATACATAGATAATGGGAAGCAAAAAAGTGCAGAAAGGACAAAAAAGAAAGAAAAAAAAAAGGCGATGCCCCCCACCGACGGTTGCTAATGAGACTACAGGATGCGACATTGATGTGATGATTATGATAGTACTATTGTGAAAAAAGAAAGAAAAGATAAAAAAAAGCCTGCACTTTCTGTTCATTGAAAGTTGGACTCCACAGTTGCATTCGCCTTGTGAATCTGTTGCTTTATTTTGGTCCTGTGATACTGTGGATAGGATGTTTTCGGGCAGGGATTCCCACAGGATGAACCATATCCAACATTCTTTTACGCAGAATCTGCTTTGCTTGTGATATTACGACTCATGTTTTTTTCCTATTCAAATTCTTATAGGAGAATATGAAGGACTGAGCTGGGATCCTGTTTTTCTCCCTGGGCAATTAGCAAATGATACTGCAACGTTCTAGATCCACTGGTCCGATCACACATGTGATGTACTGGGAATAGGCGATTAGTTCATAGACCAGTATATCATAGTTCATACGGTGACGAACTGCTCAGGCAGCCTCTTGCGGCGCGACATTGTGATAGCAAGCCATAGCGTTGGTTAGCGTGGCGGTTAATCATCCAATCTTCTCTTCCGGATTCGGTGGCTTCCGATCGCCCCGCGTCCGATAAGCCCCCATAATCAGTGGGGCAGCTGAATTCCCATCACATCCTCGCTCCTCGATGTGACCGAATATCGATACTCATCCTGCTATGAGTCCAGCGTGATGCGTATTCTAGGGTTACATTGCCCTCCGTACACATCTTCCAGCTCTCAGCCCTTCAGTGCTGTTACGAGAGACCAAGTTTGGGACAGAGGAGCTCCGCCTCGGTGACCTCCGATGGCGACTTTCATGCACGTATCAGCACCTCCACCTCTCGCCAATCCTCTGCTAACTCGCTTTCATCTCACAGATTCTTACCAATATATCCTTCTAAGCCCCGGATCACATTGCATCATCCGCGTTTACGGCTGTCGCGCCTGATGTCGTCCATACAGGTTCGAAAGACGATTGGCCAGGTCCAACATTCTATCCCTCACGAGGTCAACTGTCGCCACTGATCCTTGTTCAACCGGGACATTTTTTTGTCTCTTTTTGTCAACTCGGGGATTTTATAAGGACAGCTGGCTACCCGGGAATGACACTGGCAAATCTCAGGGCCCTTGAATACTATCCTTTGTTCAAACTATGGAAGCCAAAATTAACGGCGAAAGCCGCGCGGAATATTGCACCGGATATTCGGAGGATGTGGACGTCATCCGAGAGCGGGAATATTCTTTTCTCAAAGGTGGGGACTCCTAGAAGCCTACGCTACAAGTGAAGAGGGTGCTAATACTGTATTCACCGGTTGTACAGACACAACCTACCTGGACCATGCCGGGACAACGCTGTATCCCAAATCGTTGATAGACTCGTTCGCTCGAGACCTAACTTCAAATCTCCTCGGCAACCCTCATTCTCGGTCCTCGTCATCCCAGCTGTCAACACAGCGTGTGGATGATATTCGTCTCAAGGCTCTTCGCTTCTTTAACGCGGACCCGGAGGAGTTCGATCTCGTGTTCGTAGCGAATGCTACGGCTGCTATTAAGTTGGTGGCAGACGTATTTCGGGATTCATCACCACAAGGCTTCTGGTATGGTCACTTCATAGACGCACATACGAGTTTGGTAGGAGTGCGGGAACTTGCGCAAATGGGGCACAGGTGCTTTGCGACCAAGGATGAAGTTGAACAGTGGATATCGGAGTTAGCCTCCCATCAAACGAACTTCCCCCGGTTATTTGCATACCCTGCGCAGTCGAATATGAACGGTCGGCGGATGCCTATCCAGTGGTGTTCAAAGATACGGGATACCAGTTCTGAAACAGGAAACGTCTACACCCTCCTTGATGCTGCATCGTTCGTGTCCACTGCGCCTCTCGACTTGAGTGACACATCTACAGCGCCTGATTTTACGGCACTGAGTTTCTACAAGATTTTTGGTTTCCCCGATCTCGGTGCGTTAATCGTTCGCAAATCTGCAGCGGGCATTTTGGAGAAACGCAAGTTCTTCGGCGGTGGAACTGTAGATATGGTTCTGGCGCAAGGAACACCGTGGCATGCAAAGAAGTCCACCATCCATGAGCGGTTGGAGGATGGTACTTTGCCGTTCCATAACATCATTGCACTTGATTCCGCGTTCTCGACGCATGCGCGTCTCTTCGGATCGATGAGTAATGTCTCGTCCCATACCCGCTATCTGGCAAAGAGGCTTCACAGCCGGTTGACCGCAATGACCCATTTCAATGGAGAGAAAGTCTGCCACTTGTACAAGTCCCCAGAGACTGCTTTTGACAATCTTACTCAAGGCCCAATCATCGCGTTCAACATACGAAACAGTTCTGGTGCATGGGTTGGAAAGTCCGAGGTTGAGAGACTTGCGAACGTCAAAAATATACAAATCCGGTCAGGATCACATTGCAATCCAGGAGGAACGGCAGCCAATCTTGGGTGGACTGGACCTGACTTGATACGTAACTACTCCGCGGGACTGCGCTGTGGGGACGATCACGACGTTATGGATGGGAAACCGACTGGCATTTTAAGAGTCAGTCTGGGTGCGATTACCAATATTAGGGATATTGATGCCTTTGCAAGCTTCATTGATGAATTCTACGTCGAAAAGGCACCAAGCATCATTCCACTGGTACCGCCTGTGGAAATTGTTTCGCAACAACCCAGCTTCTATGTTGAAAGCCTCTCCGTATATCCTATCAAGAGTTGCGGGGCATTCAAGGTCCCCGATGGTCAGCGCTGGGAGATTAAAAGAGAAGGCCTTGCTTGGGACAGAGAATGGTGTCTTATACACCAAGGCACAGGCGCCGCTCTCAGCATGAAGAAATATCCTCGTATGGCGCTAATACGCCCGGTCATTGACCTTCACCGTGGGCTCCTACGCATTACCTGCGGATCGGATCCTAAAGAATTGGAGATTTCTCTCCACCGCGAGGTCACAAATCTGGTTACTACCTCGCTGTGTCAGAGCGCGAAATCCAACGTCTGCGGAGATCGAGTGATTGTCCAGGCATATTCCTCACCTACTGTAGCCTCTTTCTTCTCTAACTTCCTTGGTGTACCGTGTACGCTTGCGAGGTTCCCGCCCCAAATCTCGACTAGGGTTTCAAATCCTACTCGTTCCTCGAAAAGGACTCAGAGAGCCCCCATGCCCGGCTCTTTCCCAGAAGACCCGTCACCGATACCTGAACAACCCCCAATCCTTCTATCCAACGAGAGCCCTATCCTGCTCATTTCCCGCTCGTCTGTTAATCGCCTAAACGAACAGATCAAGTACAATCCCAGACCCAATCACAGCACTGCAGCTAGAGCCGTAGAAGCCGATGTCTTCCGCGCCAACATTGTCGTCGCTGAGAATCTTCACCAGCTAGCTAATGCCGAACGTCCATACATTGAAGATATCTGGCAGTCATTCTCTATTGGACCGGAACAGGTGCACTTCGATGTCCTCGGATCATGCCAAAGGTGCCAGATGGTCTGCGTTGACCCATACACTGGCATTCGTCGAGAGGAACCTTTCTCGACTCTTGCAAAGACGAGAAAGATCAACAACAAGATTGTATTCGGGAGACATGCTTCTCTTTCCAAAATGGAGCTTTTGCAGGGTTCCAACGCTCCCAAATCTTGCACTATTATGGTAGGGGACGTTGTGACGCATTCCCAAGTTTCTTGAATTGTTTGCAGCATATGTGGCAGATGATAGAATAGGCGTACCTGATGAATTAATGCATTATCCATAAGGCTTTAGCTCCTCCGCAATATAACCATTAATGCAAACTTAGATGACGAGTCTAATTGAAGGATGTACAGCACAACCGCATCCAATGTGCACATTCAATGAATATCTATTTGTACATACATGAGAACAAAAACTCCCGTTCAAACCCTGACAAATGATCAATGGAGCCAGGCGATCCGAGGACTGGCGAAAGATAGAGCATTACATAAAATTTCACAGTAGTAACAAAGGTATCCACACAAGCATTTACCTCTTGGGCCACTGTTTCCAGCCACGACCGTGACCTCTCTGCGAGCCAGACCGTTAGCGTAACAGAAATCTTTCCGGGTTGATAGTGAAAACTCACCTGCTTCCACAACCGAATCATCTCCGGCATCTCCATCATGGCCTTGCGTCTGTCTTCCAGACGAGACTCCATTGTTCGCTCCCATTTGTGACCTTTGACCTTCTGTCCAATACCGGTACCCTTGATCTGTAATCCGCGCTCCTCCCGTCTTGTCTCCTTGTACTCGGTCGATTTGCGGCCGGGAGGTAGTAGAGCCTCGACTTGATACTTCTTGGCCAGCTTCACCAGATCAGCCTGTGTCCGGAGCCCGACCCGTGCGCCAATCCATTTGCCTGTGCGGAAGTTCTTGCGAGGCAGGAATGGGTTCGGGTGCTCTGGGTCGGAGTAGAGGAGGGCACGGGAGGGCGAATGTTCCGTGGGATCAGGTCGCTTGTGGCCTTTAGCGTCTCTGTTGGGTGTGTACGGTGACGGCAGAGACTCAGCATTGACAGCGTCTGTTGACTCGGACCGTGGCGCCACGGCCGCGGAATAGTATTGCGGAGGATAGCGGGCGAAGAAATTGCGTAGGCGGAGAGGCAGCTTGTTCACCAAGCTGCCAGCTGCTTGGGTGGTCGACATGATGGAAGGTTTGCCGCACCTGTTCTTTGCCGGTGTGAGACAAACGCCTATCCTATCGAGTTCTTGTTGATTACGGGGCAGTTGCTTCCAGATGCTCGAGTTAGAGAAATTGAAATTGGCGCTAACCCGTTTTCGGGTGAGGCTCGGCAGAAGGGAAAAAGGGCGCGGGTGTGGCTGGAGCGTTTCTGTTCTCTTCCCTTGCGGAACACTTAACGTTCATTCTCCTGTCGCTGTCCGCCTTGTTTGTGTTTCCTTCCCCCCACTTTTACTCAGTGTCGCTCCATCTCATCGCTCAGTGTGCTTCTGCTTTTATACATTGCGCATCCCTAAGCGTCGTAATAAGTCCACTGCCGGAACTGCCATCATGGCGGATTACAACTATGGAGGCTCCGAGGAGGAGAATGCGGAGTTGAGGAAGCTTGAGGCCGAGTTGGTATGATACGTCTATTCCGCCTATGCAGTCTATTACTTACAGCTCCGTTTTAATTATAGGTCGATGACCCAGATAACTTCGAAACCTGGGAACGACTGGTTCGGGCTGGTGAGGCGCTTGAAGGAGGAATCAATCGCAACTCCAACCCCCAGGCTATCACCACCGCCCGAAATGTCTACGACCGATTCCTCGCCAAGTTTCCCCTATTATTTGGGTACTGGAAGAAATATGCGGACCTGGAATTCTCTATCACTGGAACTGAAGCAGCAGATATGGTATGGTTCATTTAAGCGCTTTTCGAAGAGCTAAGTGTTCATCGCTAATTTTGTAGGTTTACGAACGAGGTGTCGCCAGCATCTCGCCATCCGTCGACCTGTGGACCAACTACTGCTCCTTCAAGGCAGAGACTTCCCACGATGCCGACGTCATTAGAGAGTAAGTATACTAGAGCTGGTTTCCTTCCTCCCCCTGTAACCGTTACCAAGGCAGCACGGACATTATTGTGGTGTCGAATCCACATAATGTAAAAAGCGTTGACAACAGTTCCCTTCAATGATGGGTGAGATGCTTGCCTGACCCGGATTCAACTGGAGTTACTTCTCACCCATGACATCTTCAGGCTGTTTCCTTGCCCTTGAACCTTGTTGCTTTCAAACCAAGCATCATTCCTTGCACGGATATCAAACCAAGTGACTCTGACCGGTGGATCCTATTCTGCGCTCGATGCGGACAGGGGAAACGTCTTTCACAATTTGCTCACCTTAGTCGTTCAATTGTTTGGGCTCGCACTGAAGATTAAATGCTCATGTTTGCCATCCTTGCCAATTCCCTTTGCCTATCACCCTCCCGCCCCCGTAGCTTTTATTGACGCAGTTGGATTGACTGACGTGTTTCCTCTATAGACTCTTCGAGCGAGGTGCCAGCAGTGTCGGCTTAGATTTCCTAGCTCACCCATTCTGGGATAAGTATATCGAGTATGAGGAGCGAGTGGAGGCTTACGACAAGATCTTCGCCATTCTTGGCCGTGTGATTCACATCCCCATGCATCAATACGCTCGTTACTTCGAGCGCTATAGGCAGCTCGCACAGACTCGTCCGTTGGTAGAGCTTGCTTCCCCCGAGACACTGTCTCAGTTCCGCGCGGAGCTCGATGCGGCTTCCGCACAGGTGGCTCCGGGCGCAAAGGCCGAGGCCGAGATCGAGAGGGACCTCCGACTACGCGTCGATAGTTATCATCTTGAGATCTTCTCCAAGACTCAAACAGAAACCACCAAGCGTTGGACATACGAGTCCGAGATTAAACGCCCATATTTCCATGTGACTGAACTGGATGAGGGTCAGCTGTCGAACTGGAGAAAGTACCTCGACTTTGAGGAGGCTGAAAATTCATACGAACGGACTCAGTTCCTGTATGAACGGTGTCTGGTCACATGTGCCCATTATGATGAGTTCTGGCAACGCTATGCCCGGTGGATGGGCGCACAGCCCGGCAAGGAGGAAGAAGTGCGGAACATCTATCAGCGCGCAAGCTGTCTGTATGTGCCGATCGCCAATCCGGCTACTCGCCTTCAGTATGCCTATTTTGAGGAGATGTCGGGACGGGTGGATGTGGCCAAGGATATCCATGACGCAATCCTGATGTACCTACCTAATCACGTTGAAACAATCGTGTCTCTGGCCAACATGTCGCGCCGTCACGGCGGCCTCGAAGCGGCAATTGAAGTGTATAAGGGTCAACTCGACTCGCCACAATGCGACCTGGCTACAAAGGCAGCTCTTGTTGCGGAATGGGCCCGACTCTTATGGAAGATCAAGGGCTCGGCCGAGGACGCCCGGCAGGTGTATCAGCAAAACCAACAGTTCTACCTGGATAGTCGGCCATTCTGGACAAGTTACATTACGTTCGAGTTGGATCAGCCCACGAGTTCCGCGACTGAGAACGTGCAGTACGAGCGCATTAAGAAGGTTCTTGATGATATCCGGTCGAAGAGTTCCCTTGCTCCTGATGTCGTGAAAGAACTCGTGCAGATCTATATGGTCTACTTGCTTGAGCGAGGGACCAAGGATGCGGCGAAGGAATACATGACTCTGGATCGCGAAGTCCATGGCCCTGCGTCTGTTTCGCACACGAAGACTGGCGCCGTGGCCCAAGCGCCTCCCAGTGCCAGTCAAACTACCCCTGTCCCTGAACCCCCCGCGGTTCCCACACCGCAGCCCAACCCTTACGCTTACTACCAACAGACCCCAGTCAATGGCACTGAAGTTGTCTAGTCGACCTGCGTTTGTATTACCCTCCCTAGCCGTAACACGAGGTGAATGACTCTGTGCAGTACCTCCCGGTGGCTTACCTTGTGTAGAACATTACTTGTCTTCTGATTTGCTTAGCGATTTGGCTTTTCGAGGGGGCGAAAGCTATCTCGTCGGCTGTTTGCCCGTTTTTCTCGATTGCTTGTTTATTGTTTCACTTTCTCAATTTTTTCCCCTTTTTCAATGATATCATGTGACTCGATTGGGTGGAAATTTTACGAGCTTGGACACTTCCCTTGTATTCTAATGCTTAGGTAGTAGTATTATTCTCAATACATTCCCACGGACTTGAAGCAACCATTGTGTTATTCACAAACGTAGTTTATGTGGATCCCGGCCTCTTAGAGAATTAGGCGAAGCCCTGAGATAACCGTAAGAGACAAGGGGATATCGAATACGGATACAGGTAATGAGGCTGCTCGGGAGAATACTCTCGTTGCAGAATACCCGTTTCCAGAACACTGGTACGTTATCCACCTTTGTCACTCCGGGACATCCGAATATACACAAGCGAATTAATGACTTCTCAGATCGGCGGGTTTGGCTCTTCATCCTTTAATTTTGGGATACTGATGGCAATAACCCTATACGCAGGTCCCCGTTGGTTTCAAACTATGAATAGACATGCCTGTCCGGTGTATAGATTGGTAGTTATTGGATATTAGGCTGGTGGATCAGGTTTCATGGAATAGACGGTACAGTATACCTTAAAATAGCGCACAAAAATTAAAAATTTCGATTCATATATATTTGTGAACGTTGTGCCATCTTGATATTACGAAAATTGGGCATTTGCTTTGGCCAACAAAAGATAGAGAACCCACCTTGGGCCAAAAAAACGCACTATATACAACTCAATATAGTAAATCCATGCCTTAGGAACCACTAATGATAATATAATATAATATTTCCCCACACCCACAAGATCTCCATCCCTTTTACTCAGCACACGCTCCCTCTTGCTCTTTCCTTACGCTCGACCGCTGCCTCTCGTATATATATATATATACCACACTATCTGTCTCTGTGAAGAAAAAATTATTACTCTCGGAAAAGAATCCCTGTCCTTCTTTTTTTTTTGGGAGTAAATATGATTTGCCTCTTCGCATAAAAACATTTCCGACCGCTCGTACTTGGAGGCTCGGCCCGTTTGCCGTGTTTGAATCCCCTAACTACACTAACGCTTTCCCTCGACTATCATTCTTGCCCCTGACGGGACGGGCTTAGACAAGCATCACTGTCTTTGTGCGGGGAAAGACAAGTTAACCTCACGCCCTCGCCGAGACTTCCGTTACCATGGTGGCCGGTATCAGCAAACGTCAGCAGTTCCGCAATGAGCGGGCACTGCAGGACCTCATTCGGTCGGTTCCTGGCAATGACCGATGCGCCGACTGCCAAGCTATGAATCCAGGTGAGTCGAGTCGGATGTCTTAGTTACGTGCTGTGGGAAAAACACAATATTTACTTATGATGTACCTCTATAGGATGGGCTAGTTGGAATGTATGTATATCGGCACCACTTTAACCCCCGCCACACCCGGAAAGAGCGTTCAACAGTAATCTGATATAATATGCATAGATGGGCATTTTTCTGTGCATGCGGTGCGCGTCCCTGCACCGCAAGTTGGGCACTCATATCTCGAAGGTTAAATCTTTGAGTATGGATAGTTGGACGTCAGAACAGGTCGATGTGAGTGGTGTCGCGTGAGCGTTTGCCATGTAGCAGTACTTCAGAGCTGACAAGAAGAGGCAATGCTCATTAGAACATGAAATCGCACGGGAATATGGTTATGAACAAGATCTTTAATCCTCGGAACGTGAAGCCCCCTGTCCCCGCCGATGTTGATGAGTCCGATGCATGCATGGAAAAGTTCATCCGTCAAAAGTACCAATATCGAAGCTTGGACGATGGGAAACCGAAACCACCTAGTCGTCAAAATACTGGCAGTGACCAGTCTCTAGAAGGCTCACCGCCTCCTCTTCCCCCCAAACCTGCCAGGCCCTTTGGGTTCGGTTTGCGATCGGCCTCCTCCACGACTAGTCTTCATCGACTGTCCACCAGACAAGCCACGTCTCCCGGATCGCCTCCCTCTAGAAGCGGCTCCCAGGGCATGGGGGCTTCTGTTAACGATGGGTCCTTCGAGTCGAAGATGGCTACTCTGCGGAGTATGGGTTTTGCAAATGAGTACCGAAACTCTGCTGTACTCAAAGGCTTGGATGGTAACCTTGATAAATCCATTGAGACCCTGATTAGACTAGGGGAGGGTAACGCCACGTCGCGAGCCAGGACACCCGTTCAAGCGACAACTGCCGGTGACTCCGCTAGACAGCAAGCTTCCTCTAATCCTTTCGACCAATTGGATTCCAAGCCATCTCAGCCGGCTGGGCAGTCGTACAATCCTTTCGATGCTCCTGCTCCGCAACAACCTGTGCAGTCCCTTGAGGCGTCGTTCCAACACCTTCAGGTATCACAGCCGCTGTTCCCACACTCAACGGGCGGATATCCCAACCAGCGGCCGTCTTTCCCTCACCCCCTTTACCAGCAACCGATCACTCCCCCAGTGATGCCTACAATCCCTCAGGGCGCATTCGTGCAGTCTCCGCAACCCGTTGAGGGTAGCCACAACCCGTTCGTCCAGTCAGGCAGCTTCATTTCCGCTCCGAATCAAACTCCCGGCGTCGTTCAACCTCAGACAAACCCTTTCTTCACTCAAGCTCCTCAGCAACCCAACTCCTTGCAACCGCAAAGTCAGGCTCCCGCGGGATACCATCCACCCAGACATGCCAACACCATGCCCGCCATGTCTTCGACCTCACCTTTCGGGGGGCCCTCCCCATTCCAGCAACCACAGCAGCAGCAGCAGCAGCAGCAGCAGCAGCAACAACAACAACAACACCAACAAATGCAAACCCCACAACTTCAAGTACAACCACCCCAGCCTCAAGCCTTCCACAACCCCTTCCAACCCATGACGGCGCCCCCCACCCCGCAAAGTGCGGGGTACCAAAACCAGTCGCATCTTGGCCTGCAGGCCCCCGCGCAGCATCTAGCCCCACAGCCAACGGGCCGTATGGACAAGAACAGCATCCTCTCATTGTACGGCCTCTCCCCACCACCATCAGCCACATCCGAGCACTCCCAGATCTCAAGCCCAGCAGGAGTGACCCCCTTCCCGAACTCAGCACCGACACCTACCGCACCACAACCCCAGGTCCTCCAACAACCCACAGACTTCCAATCTGCAGGTACCCGGAACCCCTTCATGGGCACTCAACAAGCCGCCACTGGATATTCTCAACAGCAACAGCAACAGCAACAACCATACCTTCAACAGTCCCAACCTCAAACCCAATACACCACGACCCCCTTCAACATGCCCATGAAATCCAACACCATGCCACCCAGCGCACCCAGCGCCTTCGCTAGACCGCAAGGCCATATGAGCCAGCAAAGCGTCGATATTAACGCGTTCCAAAACGGCCGACACAGTCCGGATGCGTTCGCCAGTTTGAGTGCGCGGTATGGTTGATCGGTACATAGATTATACATGCAATGCATACACATATACATGGAAGGATACGTACGTATCTGGAAAAATATCTCGGTACATATTTGGGTCTTGATTCAGAGTGCAATTTTTATTTTGATTTTCATTTTCTGTTGAGGCGTATTTGGTTGTATTAGTACATTCATTGTGCATTTTGGTGGCGTTGAGTGGCATTGGATGGGAAGTTGAAACGATCATTGGGCTTGTCGAGTGGGAGGCCCGATCGATAGGTATATAGGTTCTAGTAGCTTTGGATAATCTACATATAGAGCTGGATTGGTTATAGACTTGAGACAAATGAAATTGAAGGCAAAATATGTTCAAGAAGGGGAACCAAAGTTAGGGAGATGTGTGTGTACATTTAAGACCAGAGATCCTGAACAACGGTTCTGGTCTTTTTCTTCGAAGAGCTCGGCCAGGTCCAGGAAGGTAGCTTCCACAAGGATTTCTTCTTCCAGACTGGTAATTGGATTCCAAACCACGTGGTCCGTTTGCGTGGCTCCCACGGCCAGGACCAGGATGAGGCCGAGGGTCCTGATCGGCTATACAGCGACGGCATCCACCGGGTCCAAGGGGAAGGTTTCCGCTGACCGGGGGCGTTCTTCCGGAAAGTTTCCATGATCCGGTCGAATTGCCGGTCGTGATGGTCACGAACACGCTTCCGGGTCACAGATCGCCAGGCGGCTTGCTCGGTGGGGTCGAGGCACCAGACAATGATGTCGCCCCGACGACGTGGGTCGTCGTGCCAGGCGGTGTTCCAGGTGCGCCAACACTCTCCGTAGGAGCTACTGCGGAGGAGACTCTGGAGGGTGGGTTCCAGCTGGGCAAAAAAGACGAGATAGTCGGGCCATTCGTGGGGGTTGGCTTGCTGATACGTTCGCGGGCTGATTTGCCGAGGTTTCCAGGAAGAGCGATAGGAAGGCGTCCGAGGTAAATGGCGTAGTCCGCCAACCATGTTTTCGCGTAAAAACCGGTTAGGGTCGTTGTAGAACTGGTCCGCTTCATCCACATATGCGGCCTTCTGCGACTCGTTGAGGTCAACGGGGGGCTCACAGGACAGGGCCCAGGCGTGGATGTTTGGATCGACCAAGTGGGAGCGCCAAGGGGTGCTGTGGCAGGGCATGAGGAACCCAGCAGTGATCTCTGTCTGAGAAGCACCGGACGAATATGCTAGTTTGTCAACCGGGTTGTGGGTTTGCTGTTGGCTGCGGAGATACGAGAGAACGCCGATTGCCCCAGAGGCATGATATAGAGTGGTGTAAATCGCAATACTGATGTTGATCAGCAACAAAAAAAGAAGAGAAAGCCGCCTGGGAATGTATGCCCCATTGGAACGAGAAACTGCAGGGAGAAAGAAGTTCACCAGCGGCGGGGCCGTCAGAACATGCAGTGAGGGGAGCAACGGGTAGATGAATCGCACTTCTTTATGGGAAATGATTGAGAGTGCTAGCGGCATAATTAGGCAAATCATTGCAAGTTGAGTTTGCACCGACAGCTGTAGAATGTTTGTCGTCGCCCGGCGTAGTGTGCGATACAGGCCGACAATAGTGAACGGTAGCGCGGTAGTAAGCAGAAGGGGGTAGCCTTGGGTCACATAATAGTGCCAATCATTTTTCCCGTAAAAAACAGCTAGAGATTGTGCTATGTTGAAGTACAGAAATCTGAGAGGCGGAAACGTCCAGGTTCCGTAGAAGAGGCGATCCAACACGGCCGACAAGGTCAGGACGGAGACACTGATGGTTATGAGTAGTTGAACAGTGAAGGGCAAGTTGATTAACTCACCCGCAAAGCAAAACCTCGCGATAGAAGATAGCCCTTCCCCGCCAAGTGCTCCGAAGCCATGCGACGCCAGCTAAGCTCATCCAGATCAGGATGTTCGTCGGTCGCAGCATACACGCGATCGCAGCGAGTATAAGACAATAGCGCAGCCTACATCAAGTGATTTTGTTAGCTAGACGGCTTGTACCGATCGAGATGGATCCGTCGTACCTGACAAGAAGCACTAAATCACTGGTGTCTTCTCGTTCAGCATCCCTGCCCATGGAGCGCGTGTTCCTCCTCGGCTGGACTTGCGGGATTGATTCCGACGACCATTCCCAAGGCCATAGGTTGAGTGCGACAATGGTAATCGTGGTTTCGAGGCAATTGGACAAAGTCCGGGTCGAACAGAACCATTGCCAGGGACTGAGGACCGTCAGGGCGAGCTTGGATTCCGATTAGTTTCCATATTCTCGAATCAAATTGTTCCTAACATACAGTCGCCCAGGTTTCATGACTCCGGCGTCCGTAAACGGTGCGGGCCAGTTTCCACGTATATAGATCTCCAATTGCGGAGATAACAGCCTGCGCTATCTTCGGGGAGGCAACGAGGATATCACCGCGGGTTGCGGGGGAGAGGCGCAGAGCGCGTGCGAATAGGTCGGCCACGGTATAAATCGTAGCAAAGAAAAGAGGATGGATGGAGGACCGTAGATGGTGTCGCCATTCCTACTCATGAATCGGTCAGTACTGTGGCGGTACAAGGTGCGCCTGTCCGGAAATTGTTCCACAGACCCATGTTATCCAAGCTCCGCTGTTTTCGCCGAATGCAGTCTGCCACGCCGGTTCGAGGGATTGGAAAAATTCATCGGGTTGGAAGAAAGTACGGAGAGATAAAGCGTTGAGGAGACGGAAGGCGATGAGGAAGAGGAGGACATGGGAGGTTGACGGTGAAGTCGGTCTTGTTGTTGTCGTAGTTGATGTTGATGCTGATGTTGATGACGGGGGTGGTGGCCTGAGGCGTGAAGGCGGAGGCGGAGAGGTTGTCGACAACGAAGCACAAGACGACGATACAGACGCCGACGAGGAAGAGGATCGGGACAAGAGTCTCCCAGGAGATCTCCGGCGTCGCGATGAAGTTGACATGATCGATCAAACAAACTCGCAGTGTGGAACCGGTTCTCAGGAACCAATCCCCTTAAGCGGCAAGACTTGGGTGCAGGATAAGCTCGATAAGAACAGAAAAACTGGAGAGAAACGAGAGTTAGTGCGATACGGACGGGGTTAGTCCGGGGCCGAGAGAGCCAAGGGAGAGTAATGAATGGACTGTGAGTGGAAGAGAGGCGAAAAAAGAAGTGGATCAGCGAGAAGTGCCATGGGACGGTTTGCATCATAGGCAATGGTTGTCGCGGTTAAACCTGCGCTTAGGGGCAGCGAAGGCTGATACACCTGCACTTAGGGGAATGACACTGGCTGCACCTGCACTTAGAGGTATAGTCACCCTTTTTCTATTACTTGATCCTATCTCGGTGAATTCTTTCTTTTCTCGCTTGGCTGATGCCCACGAAGTTTGATCCAATCCTTTGTTCTTCTATTTAAACTCGCTGCTTCCTATTCCCTCGTCCCTTTGTTCCCCCAAACCTCGACTATCCTATCTTATCATTACCATATCACCTCCACCACCTACTCTCCTAAATCTTTCCATCGTACCCCCTTGATACATTCCTTTTCTCACTCCCACCATGGCGGTCAACGGCACGAACGGTACCACCAATGGCACCAACGGCACCAACGGCACCAAGAAGACCAACGGTCACAGTGTAACCAACGGGGCTAGAGCATACCATGCCGCTTCCACCCAGGAGGCCATCCAAGCCGAGAAGGACTTCGCCGCCCACAACTACCATCCTCTCCCCGTCGTCTTCGCTCGGGCTCAGGGCACCTCGGTCTGGGATCCCGAGGGTCGTCACTATCTTGACTTCCTGTCCGCATACTCGGCTGTCAACCAAGGCCACTGCCACCCCAAGCTGGTGGCCGCTCTCGTCGACCAGGCGTCGCGGGTGACTCTGAGCTCTCGTGCCTTCTATAACGATGTCTTCCCACGCTTCGCTCAGTTCGTTACTGAGTACTTCGGCTTCGACATGGTTCTGCCCATGAACACTGGCGCAGAGGCGGTCGAGACCGGTATTAAGATCGCTCGTAAGTGGGGATACAAGGTCAAGGGTATCCCAGAGAACAAGGCGGTCGTCCTGAGTGCGGAGAACAACTTCCACGGACGTACGGTAGGTGCTTCGTAGGAAAACTATGACTGCGATGAGACTCCCAGTCAGCTGACTTGTGTCTTAGTTCGCGGCCATCTCCCTGTCATCTGACCCCGAGTCGCGTGAAAACTATGGCCCTTACCTGCCCGGTATCGGCTGCACCATTCCGGGAACCGACAAGCCCATCGCATACAACGACAAAGCTGCTCTGCGGGAGGCCTTTGAGAAGGCGGGTCCCAACCTGGCAGCCTTCCTGGTCGAACCCATTCAGGGTGAAGCCGGTATCGTCGTTCCGGACGAGGACTATCTGCAGGAGGCACGTGCGCTGTGTGATAAGTATAACGTCCTTCTGATCTGTGACGAAATTCAGACCGGTATCGCTCGGACCGGTAAGCTGCTCTGCCACGAATGGAGTGGCATCAAGCCCGACCTGGTCCTGCTGGGCAAGGCCATCTCGGGCGGCATGTATCCCGTGTCGTGCGTGTTGGGTCGTAAGGATGTCATGCTTACCATCGAGCCCGGTACTCACGGATCGACCTACGGCGGCAACCCCTTGGGCTGCGCGGTGGCCATTCGGGCTCTGGAAGTGGTTCAGGAGGAGCAGATGGTCGAGAGAGCCGAGAAACTTGGTCATGTCTTCCGCGATGGTTTGAAGGCCATCAAGAGCCCGATCATCCAGACCGTGCGCGGTAAGGGTCTGCTCAACGCCATTGTCATTGACGAGTCCAAGACCAACGGACACTCGGCGTGGGATCTCTGTATGTTGATGAAGGAGAAGGGCCTCTTGGTAAGTTCCTCTTGAAAAGTTCAGTCAAGCTTCCTCATGTGAAGGGTACTGATCTTGTCCTCTAGGCCAAGCCAACCCATGAGAACATCATTCGTCTCGCTCCACCCCTCGTGATCACCGATAATGAGATCAAGAAATCCCTGGAGATCATCGCGGAGGCCGTGTCGGAGCTTCCCCACCTGAAGGGTGCCGCCGAGGAGCAGGTGATCCCTCCCCCGGAGAAGAAGGTCAAGATCAGTGTTGAGAACTAGAGTGCTGCGAAGGCAGAAGGGAGAATATGGGGAGCCCAAGGAAGAAGACGGGCCACCGACCCCCCTATCTCGTCACCCAGCGAGACCTCTTCGTCCATATGCTGAGCGTGGGTCCAAGCCGACCCAAGACGACCGCTCGTCCGCTGAACGTGGAAATGGACAGAGAATCGGGTTTTTCTCGCTCCAGATAGGTTTCCGAACGTGTTGGACTGGACTTGAGACGGGATGCCATTCTGAGAATACTCTGATTTGATCACTACTTTTAAAAATCACAGCGTTGGCCTAGTCCCAGCGCTGGACGGTAGCTGTATCATCATGAGAATGAAATAATGAATGATGAATTTGACACCACATGAGATTTTCGAGGTAGTAAGAGAGTAAAAGAGCGAAAAGATAACAAAAGTAAAGGAAGGAGGGAGGAAGACAGAGGGGGAGAGAGAGAGAGAGAGAGAGAGAGAGAAAGGGGGGGGGGTAGGTGTGGTCGTAGTATGAGAAGTTGACTTGTTCAAATTAAATGCCGCAGGCGTTGCGTCTTTGCGCCTTTTTTTTTCCCCTTTCCCCCTCTTTTTAATCTCTCCTTTTCTACTTGTCCCTTCCCCCCCTTCCTCAGTCAGACAGCTACTACTAGTAGTAGTACTAGTCCTACCTAGGCCTATTGCCATGGGTTCAATTAAACGCGTGCAGACTAACCATCCACCGTAGTCCCGAACCCTCCGAGACGGAGGGTATTGGATCGGTCCAATCTTAGGGTTGCAGGTGACGATCTTGAGCAATTTCTTCTTCTATTATACTATTATACTAATCGTTTGGCACCGTAAGCTGTAAGATAACACCCTATGGATATCCTTGTACGTTGTCTTCCACGTCTATCAATGCTCGTTCGTCCATCACATATCACCCCTGTATATCTTTCAGCATGATGCGCCTACCTAGTGATGCATTCCCTCATGGAGCTGCTCGATACATTCCATACTTAGTTAGCCATAGTATCTGGGATAGTTGAGTCGCGCAGTATGGTATGCATGGCGAGTATTCCTTCCAGCGCATGAAGCAATATCCCTTCGTCATTTTTAGCAGATCCTGGGTTCTTGGCTTTGATATCTTGCTTGCGGTAAATTGCTAAACGTGTGAGGCTCAATCCTGAATACCGTAATCCGGGATCATTTATTTATTAGGAGGTCTTTCTTGTCGGAGCATAAGCGTAGGGGATGTACTTCGGTTTGCTGCCGGCGAAAATATACCCCAATCCTAGCCTTCTGTACAAATATCTCTGCTTCCCCAGAAGTTGCGTATATCCATAAACTATCAACCAGGATGAAATCTGAGAGACTGGCTTTCAACCCGACCTTGAAACTTATAACCTTCGCATGCTTAGGGCATGGCTTGTTAAAATCCCCTGAAACTCCCTCCATATAATTCACCCATGTCCAGAGTATCTCGGTACCAATATCAGGGATGTCGCGAGACTGCAGAAAAGGTTGCATGTGTTGTTAACTCTCTTTTTAGGACACGGGCTCCATAGGGAAGCTTGTAACTTGCCCTGAATGCTTGAAAGTTGGCATGGCTCTTTCGTTGCCCTCTCGAAAACATCTTCTGTAATACCTTACTCCAAGCCTAGTGCTTTCTGTATCTGGGAGCTACCACACTGTTCTGGCCTATTCTCGCCCCTGATAATACTCGTTCGCATAAAGCGTAGACTGGAGCTTGCTGGCCCTTATTTAGAGTAAAGTAAGAATTTTTGGAATGATAGGTAATTTTTGCATTGTCGGACTTTTCATAAGTAGGGTGTTATACCTGAAGATTGGGTATCTCAACCGTGGCCTGGAGTTGGAGCTGAGGCAGGAGGGCCGATTTGGGGTGGGTCAGAATGTACGAGTTTTGCGTATAAGCCGTTCACATAGTAGCTGAAAGGTTGTTGTCCAATTGACTGTTGTATATCTGCCATGGTGTTGATATAGCTCAGGCAATAGTCCTGATCAGGAGTCACACAGAGCTTAGAGAGAGGTCGTGAGAGAGCGAGATATATCTCGAACAACCAAAAAGATTTGTTTAAAAGGGTATCGTTATAACCAGTTTGTATGTTCCAAGGCGAGGGAGCCCTAATAAATTGGCCACTGATAAAGACTATTGTTTCGTTGACATGGTCGCCTGATTTGCGCCATTCCCATAGCCTTTGTGCATCTCTTATTAGGTGAGACATTGCTCCTGATGCCACACATCTACTGACGGGAAAGTCATCGTCTGTCATGTATTTGTAGCACCTGCAGTACCGACAACGCCGACAGCATCTGCATAGCGGTGGCAAGTGTGCTTGTTTTCTTCATTCAACCATGAAGGAATATTTGGGGTAAGGCTTTGTCGACCGAAGGACCGATCAGTCAAGGTACCAATCACTCGTATGTCACCAAAGTCTCTAGATAGTCCTGAAACTCTCTACAAGATACCAAACTGGGGTCCCCAGTTCATCGCGCTTCCTGGACGTGTATGGTAAACAAGCGTACTTGATTTGCTTGCTTTGGCGAAAGTCCTTTGTCCTAAGACTTCAGGATAGAAGCGCCAACATATCCATGTACAAGGACTATTTGAGTAGGTATATCATATTTAGACTTCTTGCAGGATAGTGTTCCAAAACCTGGGAGTAGGATCAAACTCGAGCTCGTTTCCACGGTAGTGAAATGAACAGAAATTATTGATAGATTAATCTTTTCGAGACTCATGACGAGAATTGTGACAACGTATTGACGTGTTGCAGCTAGATCAGTCTGTACTGAATGTAGGCATTTCCGGGAAATAGAACACAGTGTTGCTGACGAGTATTTTTTTGTGGCTATAGCCTTAGCTTAAGTCGAGCAAGATGAGTCTGCTAAAATGGAAGCTTCTCCGAAACCTAATTTATAGTTAGCTCTTGCACCGAATGATAGGTAATTCAGAGATTAGTTAGTATACAAGCGGCTGGAACGGCGGAGCTTCTACCATAGAATTGTCTTTTTCTTTCCACCGGTTTCCCTTTCCTTAGGGGTGATAGAAGCTTGTTCATCTTCTCCTTCGTAATTGGCTTCAGTATCGAATAAGTGCTAGTCACAAAATGATGAATATACGGGTGGGCTACATGACTATTTCCTGTGGGCGAAATATCTGATGTGAACCGTAAGAAGTGCCAACTATCATGCGCATTCGCTGCGGGTCTACCGAAGAGACCTGCTCCTACCAGGGCGCATTTGCCCTCGGAATTGATGGATATGAAGGGTATATGCAAAGATGGGGCAGTTCACCTCATCGAACTCAAAAGCGCAGAGTATGCACATCGTTATTCGTAGTCGCGCTCCCTCGGAGTAGACGATAGTATCAACAGACTTCCTCTGGGTATTCTAGTCTTGAAGAAAGCAATGACTAGCCCTGTGGTCCCACGAATATAATGTGCGTTTGAAGAAAGGCGGTTCTTTTCAGCGCCACCAGAAAGTATAATTTGTGATTGATGAAAAGAAAGAACCCCTATCTCCCTAGCCCTGCACATTGCAGTGCTATAGTGCTCACTTGAAGTGATATAAGAATAAAATGAACAGCACTGGTGAAATTAGGCCGTACACTCTTTTTTGACTTCGTTAATGAGCCTCTGTAAATGAGTGAGCTTCTTAGGCGGGTACCAACCATTGAGAGAAGAACCTCATCATATGTACAACTGTTGTAGAAAGCATTATTGGTGGGAATATTTGTTTCACCTCCAGTGAAGGAGAGGATAGAAGACTTTTTCAAATTATTGATCGAACTTCCTCATGTCAAGGACGACTCATCTGTTGTGCCCTTTCTTACCATCTCCATCAACAAGGTTGCGCCCTGCAACAAGTGCTGGGAAGTGATAGGAGTGTACCGTATAATAAAGGCTATACCAATTTATACTCGTTAGGCGGAGAGGTACCCACCCCCATCTTGAGGCACGAGATCGTCCCATATCTCCGGTGATTAATTCGCTTTCGAATTTAGAATCTCGGTCGAACTACTATCACCATTCCCACAATTTCAATTTCACCACCTTCAACAATGGCCTCTGCAGAATTCCCGGTACCAGCCTGGTTAACAGCACCGAGACGCGCATCTCAAGCATACTCTAAAACCCAGTATAAACGTGATGCAGCTGAGGAAGCCTTCCCTCCTGAGAGCACAGGGGGGGGTGTTTTTTTAATACCCCTAGTTTGAAAATGTCTGTATTGTTTTTATTTCGATAGTCACACTGTGGGGAATAGTAGATCCCATGCTAATGTACGGAGTGCCGCGCCGGTTTCTCCTGGTCTTGTTTTCCGAGGGAGCTCTCTCAGGCACTGTACGCACCATAAAGGCCGGCACAAAGCTGTAGGCACCACTTCCCAGACATCGCCGTTAGTGGAAGAAAGAAATTGCGTTTCGTGGCGCCGGTCCGAGCTTAACGCCAACCGCGTTCGCTGGGATGGAGCTGCGCTGGAAGATTATTAGAGAGGCCTTTAAGAACCCGATAAGCAACCACATGGTACACCAATGTACTTGGAGTACTTGCCCGGTTGAACACTGCTAGCCATGACGCAGTTCTGCTGTTCTCCGAGTATATATTCCCCCCCCAGGGCGTCTGCCAAGTAGATTTGTGTCTGCCCTTTAGTAGAACTAACTTAGGATAATGTCTCTGTGCTTCTCTCTTTTATCGCTCTTTTGTCGATGCGTGACTGAGACTCGTGACCATCTTGTTTGATGGTAAGCCCATCCCGTTTGGAGAAGATTGGCCACTGTAGTCTTAACAATCATATATATCCCTGCACCAGAGAAGCACGCTCTTGGGGTTATTCATCATCCTTCCTTCAACAAGTTTATCATTCTCCAAGCGCTGTAGCCAGCGAGCCTGGTAGCCCTAGGGGTATGGGGCCTCCAAGCTATAGGTATATCGGAGAGCGTGAACAGTAGATCATATATAACGAGTTGCCAATCGCTGGTGATACATTTGTGGATATGCTTAGAATACTTGACTGGGACACTATGATGATGTAGTTGGCTACATTCTACGACACCGGTGTTAATGAAGCTCTATTATCTTTTAGGAGAGGTTGAGGGTCAGGAAGGAGAACTTGCCTGAGCTTCTCCCTGTATGGCAATAGCTGCCATGCATGCGGATCGTTGGGGGTCACTTTAGAAAAGTATTCTCCAAGCCGCTTATCTCTGTCAGATACACCCAGCAATGTAGAAACCTTATCATTGATAAGAGCTCATACCATTTTACTAGATTATAAAAGCCGAATCCCAAGCTTGTGAGTCATAAGCACATCGTCTGAAAATGTCACTATTGAAGGATAGCTTAGAAATCCAGAAGAGGCTTAGGAGAGTTCAGCCTGAGGCTCTGGAAGCTCTTTTAATGAATCCAAGAGGAGCTTTCGGAAAAGGTATCATTCATGAGCAGCACACCGTGATAGATGGAGCCGAGTGGATGGAGCTGTACATCAAGCTTTGAAGACTGCCATAACCAGTGACGGGGTCCCGTATTCTCGTTAGCGTGGTCTCAATCTTCGTATAATAGGCAAACCTACAGCTCCATTTCAAAACAGAGCCTATGCCGCTTAATGGATGCCCCTCTAAACTATGCCTCATCGGTTTTCGTGTTCAGTGGCAGACGAAGGTCCTAGAAATTCCTTCTATAAAGAACCAGCTACAAATTGGCAGTCGGAGTGGCGAGTTTGAACCCTTACTTGCGTAGCACTGTATTGATTCGATCTTTCGAACACAGCCGCAACGATACTTGTCTGGTTCTAGTGACGCATTCAGCCCCCAGAGGGATTATCATAATTGTGCAAGCTCTGAGGGACATAGCAATCAATTAATCAGACAAAAGCTGAGTATGAGCTGACTGTCCAAGGAGTTAGACCTGGAAGGAGTAGTTCGGTGGGATGTGACCTACTCTTAATTGTTTTACCATAGTTGATGGAAAGATGAGCCTAGGACCTGAAGGATGAGGACGTGCCCATACACGTTTCCGACCAAGTATATCGGGACTCTATTGTCCCTTTCGACGTTAGCTGTGCTGAGGTGCCATGCCGTACTGTCTGTTTTGATAGCTGTGGAGTACCTTTCAGAGAAGACTAGGAGACATTGCTATTTGAGTCTTGGTATGTAGCTGGATGATAAATAGTAGAAGCAGGAGAACGAAAGGAATGGGTGGGGATAGAGAATACATGTAGGGCCTTGGGGAAGAGGAATTGAATGTCATAGGGTAGACCATGCACTGCCAATGGTGACAAGCTGACGCGTATAGGTCATTCAATGTATGCATTGAATGTCAATCTTTATTCTCAAGTGATAAAGCTGGGCTCTAAGGGAAGTAGAATGATCATATCGAATAATATTGATTTAATAATTAACAAAATCCAACATAACGTGGGATTTCAACTACACAGCCAGTCGAAAGCTGCTTGAACTATGTCACAGGAAAACAGTACACTCCAACTCTGCCCAGGCCCTAACACAAAACCAAATACAAGACAATCAAATCATACAAACCCACGCTGAGTACAATTTAAGTATATCCCAGGGCAAAAACATGGACCATCAATTCATCATCATCAGTCTTAAACCCCGTAACTTCATACACCGTATACCGTAAAAGCCTGAAACGTTCCCCTTCAGTAATTATCAGCGGGCATTTCCACCGGTTCAGGCCTACGAGCTGTATTCTCTAACTCCGATATCCCAGCCATCACCCGGCCACTCTTGTCTATTGGCGGTTCATACCCCAGAATAGAGATCTCTATTGCTTCAAGTTTCTTTCGCCGAAGACGTCGAGCAATCAAGATCCCTGCAAGAACCCCAACCGTGACGGCTAGGGAAATGCCCAGGCCCTAGGGCAACTTTTGCGCCGGTGCTAAGGCAGTCTGGTCCTGCGCGCGAAGCATCTGCCTTGGTGTGAAGTGCCTGGAATACCCGTGGGGGTCGCTGTATGAGCTGGAGCAGCCGAGCTGGACGTAAAAGGACCACTGAGTTTGAACTAGCGGGTGCTGGCCGTGGACACAAGCTTCACACCGGGGTAGATGTTCAGGTAGAAGACGTTGGACTCGGCTAGGTTCTTTTTAGTTGAGATTATCCAGAGGAAGTATGAGAGACCGGAGACATTTTCTACGGGTGTGGTTAGAAGGTTGATGCATGCCTTTTCTTTCTATTTTTCTCTCTCTTTTATGTACTGTACATGTGACATAAGTCAGGTAATAATGATATGGCTACTTACTGAGTATAAATTCAGCCTCCTCCCTCGTCGGTCTTCTTTGGTGAATAGCGATAGAGATGAAGTCAGTTAGTGTACCCTTCCATATGATGTTCAACTATTGTCTCGGTTCGTACCAAGAGTTGTATTCGTAGGCGTTGTTTCTTCCCGGTGACGGTGGGACAAGAAAGTAGAACTGGGACTTGACAGGCAGTGCAAGAAGGAGCAGGAATAGTGCGCTTGATCGCCAGAGAGACTGGAGGCCCATGGCCGTCACGCTAGTTAGGTTGAACCTGAATTAGGGTTTCTGGCTGAGGTGAGACACGAGGCACCATGTATAGACAATGGCGTTGAATAAAATCCGCAGCACGGAAGATTTGAAGCATGATATTTGTTACGTTCATGTTGGCAGACAGGATGAGTCTTCAGAGTAAAAGAAGTGAAGGATAACCCTAAGTTGAACAAAGAATGACAGACAGAACATCAGGACACAACAACGATCCACCAACGATATTCTAGCAAAATAAGAGGTCAAATACCGGCGACGATCGATTTTCAGTGAATAAGAAAAGAATGGAGCCGTGGACTGTCTAACGTCTTGGCAGGGCCACCAGGGTCTCAGTCGACTGGAGACGCTAAACCACGATGTCTCATTCGTCATACTAAATTAAGAACGTTAGTGCTTAACCTCATTTTTCCCTGTCAAATGGCTTATCTATTTAAATAATCCAATACATTCGTCCTACTTTTCCTTCCCATTGACGCGAATAAAGAAAAATAAAACACACAATCCCTGCTATGCTTCTATAATGACCCGTTTTAAGTGTTCGGGTCGCTTCCTCGGCGCCACAGCCATCCTGCTATCGATCAGCGTAATTCTGATCGTCTTCGTCAATCCCCCACACACCCGAATTCTCCACAGTTCGTTTCCTCAAACCACTCCAAAGCACAATTCGTCAACCTTAACCCTGGATGACGTCCGCTGCACCGGCTCCCACGACACCTCTCACATCCAGGTCGTGGTCAAAACCGGCACAAACATCATCTACGACAAGCTGCCCACCCAACTGCTCACAGCCCTGCGCTGCATCCAGGACCCGCTTATATTCGCCGACTCAGAGCAAGACATCGGGCCCTACCATGTGCATGATGTTCTCGCCAACGTCAACGAGACACTAAAAATCACGCACCCGGACTTCGCGTACTACCGCACAATCCGGGAATACGAGTCCGCAGGCCGCGACATCCGGCTGCTCCGGGATTCTTCTCGACAGGCCGCCTGGGACCTGGACAAGTACAAATTCATCCACATGTTGGTGCAGACCTGGGAGCGACGTCCGGGCTACGATTGGTACGTCTTCGTCGAGGCCGACACGTACCTGTTCTGGGGGAACCTGGTGCAATGGCTGGAGCGGATGGACCCGGGCCAGCCGCTGTATCTGGGGTCCGCGGCGACGTTTAATGGCGAGAAATTCGCGCACGGGGGCAGCGGAGTAATCTTGTCGCGGGCGGCTATGGCGCGAGTCCTGGATGGGGATCCCGATCTGGCGGCGCGGTATGATGAGCGTATGCACGAGGAGATTTACGGGGATTATGTGCTCATGAAAGCGTTGAAGGAGAAGGGTATCCCGCTGAGCGATAAGTGGCCCATGATGCAGGGTGAGAAGCAGAATACGTTGCCTTTTGGGCCGGGGCCGGACTCGGGAGTCAGACATGGGTGCCAGCCGTTGATTACCATGCATAGTGTGACCCCGATGGATGTGAATGCGATGTGGAATTATGAACAGCGGCGGCAGACTCCTGAGGTATGGATTTGTCTCTCTCTCCTTCCGTTTCCTTTTTTTCAAATACGATAGCAATGGTGTTGACTGATGATTGAGCAGGTACCGCTCCTCATAGGCGAGCTGTATGACTATTTCATGGGCCGGGCTCTCCCCTCAGAACGCAACGACTGGTATAACCTCTCCGACGACTTGATGTTCCGTGCGCCCGGTGTCGAAGGGACGAGACAGAAGTCTCCTCTGGAACTAACCCCTGTTGAGGAGCTGGCGTATAGCTCCTTTGAACTATGCCGGAAAGCGTGTAAGGAGCATCCAAAATGCTTCCAGTACTCATATCACGACCAGACCTGTGGGTTTTCCTTCTCCTATCGGTTGGGATACCGGAAAGACCCGGAGGGCGACGATGGACCATATAAGTCCGGGTGGTTGCTAGATAGGATTGAGAAGGATCGGGAAGACCACACCTGCCGCGCACCGGAATGGCTATAAATGAAGCAAGCAACTATGGACCCGAGTATCACTTGCATTAAAATCAACTATTAGCGACATCCAACAAACACCACGGATGGATCCGATGATCGGCTCAAAGTGACCACTAGAGGTGCGCCGACAAGGAAACAACTATAACTTACAAATGCCGATGCCAGGCAGGCGTGTCAAACTGGCCAACAGTGGGCCACAGCCAGCAAGAACAGGCGCCCCTTTTTCGGCTCAGTGGGACCTAAAACAATGCCAGAATGGCAAGGAGGTCTTTTTTATACTATAGGAAATCCAAAAGTGTATATAGCTGTAAATAGTGCATCTCAAGCGACGTTTCTTCTACCGTTACGTCCTGATTGTAACGTCTCATGACTTCCTTGACTCTCGTAACTACCACTATCAGTAATATAATAGTTTATTGTTCGCTGACATGCAACGTCGGTTTGTCTCGCCGAATGGACATATTCTCCCTAACAAGGAATATCTTTTTCTGGAGGATATCGTTTCCTTCGATTGAGCCCCAGCCGGCGTGTCTCGGCGCCTTCGCCCTCTTCTGTTAAGACCCTGTGAAAAAACTATCTCATAGATGCATCCTTCCTCGTGCTGGTCTCAGCGAACCAATTTTAGCCTAGCCAAAGGGTACAGGATGAGTGGTAATAGGAATTCTATTCCATAGGAATAAGAGAAGATGTCTTTTAATATTTCCCGGCACATCAGTAGTGTAGAGCCTACAGGTGTCGTCCTAATTACCTATATGTAAAGTATAGATACAGGAGTATGGAGTGAAACGTCGTGCTTCCTGCGTAGTAAAGGAAAGGATGGGTATCCGCTAAAGAGAACCTCTCTTCAACTACCAGTCGAATATAAGTAAGAGGCGTAAATAATGCCATACATTCGAGTGCCTTTCTAGGGGTGCTTATTTGGGAAGTTGATTCCTCCATTTTCTCTATGTCGTTGTCCATCTTTGGTAGATGTAGTATGAGCAGCTCCGATGGGTGTAATTCTAAAATATAGTCGCAAGTGCCACAAAAGAAACATAGGGGAAATTATGAGGTACCTCTGGTAGATATCTTGTTTTCCTTGGATGCTAATAATAATACTGAAAGTCCCTTGTGTGTGGGCAATAGAGGAGAGGTGGAAGCCTTTTTTTTAAAGGTAAACCAAGTATAATAAACAGAAACTAGATTTACAGGGAGACTATAAATACTTTATTGGCCTGTCTTGGTGTCGGGCCGAGGGCATTTTTGCCCCTGGTTCGCTGTTATGTGCGGGGATTAGCCGGCAAGTACAGTACTTATTCTTCCTGGCTATATACGACGATGAAGTTTACCACAACCACCACAATGATAGAGGCTTTCAACCACAAAGACCATTAGATCAGGTTACCTGTTAGTATAGTATGGGCCTATTTATTACGGCAATGTTGAATTGCATATATATTAACAATGCAGCCGGAGAAGACTTACATATCTCTTCTCAAGAGTAGCAAATACTATATACTGGATCGACGTATGACATCACGGGAGTCAACAATGAGTCAGCAATTCTGCTCAGGCAGAATTCTCCCGACATGGTCTTGGGAGATTACTGGCCAATATACACTGTATATGAAGGTTATTTTGTTGAGCCTCCCTTCTAGAGTGCATCTATAGGCAACATGGAACCCTTACCTTACTCCTTTCCCTTGATCTCCCAGCTGTGCAGCCTCTTGCAGAACCCAGACTTCCCCACACAACTTTCGTCCGCGATTCAAGCATCAGGACGAAGTCCCAGAGATGATTTAGGTCCCACAAAGGAGGCATCCTGCCAGCATGAGCTGATGAACAGTACATTTTTTCTCCGTATTGAAGCTTCCCTTTGTTCTGGCGCGCCATCTGCACCGCGGGGCAGCTCATTTGTCTTGGTTGGTCTTGCGGAGCCAACATTCGAGAGTGTCTAACGATACCGATCGCTGACTGGTTAGGGTTGCGTTGACCTAAACGACGGGCGTGTCATCCCTTCGCACCAGTTGACTCCGGCTGCCTCAAATATGATAGTAGGCACCTCGCTCTGTATATGATTTGTTTATTCATATATTCATTTTTCTTTATTCAGGACGATAAGCGGGATACCACAGTCGCTCCGGATCCAATCATAGACGACCATGACTCACGTTCCCCAAAGCGAAGGAAGACCGTCAGTGGTCTTCGCCTGGCTGTGTCTAATCAACCAGTCGCCATTACAGGGAGCGAGTCCCAAGGTGGTGACCATGCTGCAACAGATCCAAATGGCACAGTTGGCGATTCTCAAAAGGCATCCGTTCGTCAGGTTCACAGTGACACGAGGTTTCCGCAACGCAAAAACCCAAGCCGAGATACTTCTGCTCCAGTCTTAGAACCTACTTCAACCGACAAACTTATCGCAGGGATCTGGAGACAGGTGTTTTCGCCAGTCCAATTGAGTCGATTCCATTCTGTATGGCGTCCCCTGAAGACATGATTGTCTCGGCTAACAATCCTAGACTATAGAGCCCGGTATAGACATCCGCACTGGCGTTAGTGGGGAGGTATGTGTTGTTGTATCTCTGGATTATATAAGAAGCACTTCTATTCAATCCTTCTCCGTGGCCATCATAAATCTAGCAGGACTAGCAATACTAATTATCACCAGGTGTTCCGAGCAGTCAATACCTTGTGCTTAAAGTATTATAACCAATGTCAATCCTCACGCGCGCTGGAGATGATAGTGCAAGCATATTGGATCGAGTGTTACGAGGCTCGTATTACCGTCCTTCGCTTAGAGAACCCTAGCCTGTCGGCTATGGAAGTCCGAATGATGGGCTTGAAGGAGGCATGCACAGTTCTTAATTGGAAAGAAAAAGATCTGCGCAACCGAATGTAGGCCACCCACTCATCTCGCACGATTAACATCCGCATTAACTCGATCCAGTGCTATTTGGCGCGGCTATAAGGAAATCAAAGATGCTGGCGGCTGGGCGAGCCTGATATTCGCTAGCGCCGGTGTATACCGATTCTGCAAATACCGTACTGGATTTGGAGAGGGCTTCTCCACGCGCCTTCGGCATATACGATCTAGCTTGGAGGTCGCAGCTGATACACTGCATCCGGGCTGGAGGGACCTTCTTCAAGTAATTGGACTAAGAGAAACACGACAGTACCACGGCCACCCACACGAATGGGTAACGGTAACTGGAAGACCAGCAGTCCCCTTATCTGCAACGTATGAGCATACCCAGCTGCCGAATGGCTTCCACTATCGCTTTATTGATGATTGTGTGCTTGATACTTCTGCTTTTGGCACAGCGGATCCTCGGCGGGTGCCGGAATTGGATCCAGATGTTTGCTTCGTGTGCAAAGAGAGACAATCCGATGAAATCGAGAAGAATCAATGCTCATGTTTTCCAACGTTGTTTGGAGGCGTGCGAAGCCCAGTCCCAGTGCAATTATTCCACACAACAAGCGGCAAGAACAATGGGGTCATAGCTCGCGGTGTAAGTCGTTCTCAGCTCAACCATGTCAACCGTTACCTTAACTAACAATAAATAGAACTTCGACCGGGGTATTGCCATCGGTGAATTCAAAGGTCTCATTACTAAAGGCATTGAGGGTGTAGATGTAATGTTAGGCGGTACTCGCACAAGAACTTACCAGATCTTTCAGGGGCAGATGGGCAACTTCACCCGGTTCATCAACCACTCCTGCCGGCCAAACAGTCAGTTTCAGCGATTCTACTGGCGAGGTAAAGAACGCATCATTGTCGTATCTCGAGGGGTTACGGCAGGGAGTGAAATCACCGTTGACTATTCAGATCATTATTGGAAACAATTGAACAAGATGTGTCTTTGTGGGGAGCCCTGTTGTCGGTTCCGAGAACTTAAATAACGATATTTGAAATTACAATGCTTGTCTAGACGCTCATTATGGATAGAAATGTATCTTGGTAATAATCTGGATTGTCTGTTGTGAAACATGAACGAGGTCACATGGTAGGTTACATAGGGATCCCGTTGTCAGATGATGAGCGGTCACATGTTGCGAGATATATCATCCTTAGAGTATGGTTTTCTTGTCTTTTTCTTTTACCTATTGGACAGTAGCGTCGATGATCAAGCCATTCTTTGATTCGTAACGAGCTGTGAAGACCGACCTCACTCGTGGGGGGTTGTGCATCAATTGCTTCTGTGGGCAATGAGATCTATCATTGACTTCAACAAGACCTTCAAAACAGAGCGTTAATGGGTTTCCTACTCCAGGTGAACCCACTTGTAATACCAGTTCTATTGTGTAGTAGTAGCTCGTAACTACGGGTAGTACAGCTCCCTAAGAGTGTAGTCACAAATGTGCATGAATTGTCCCGGGAAGCAAAGTACACAGTATATCCCCAGCAAGTATGTAGAATGATTGGATTATATAATATGAGTACAGCGACTAATCAACAGATCAGAGCAGAGAAGCATGTTCTAGGTGGAGTTGAAGAGGCACCGCTTGTCGCAGCCACTAGAAATGGCACGTTTGTCACAAGCATCAATGTCAATCCCGATGGATACCGGTCCGACCAGTCTAGGAACCCGCGTACAGATGGACTGTCATACTACAGCCACATGGAAGGCTTAGTTCCAGGACGCTACGGATGGATACATAGAAATAGCCTAGATCGGCACCTCTGAACAAGTATCGGTACCTCGCTCCCGGGTCGCATCACTATTGACTAAGCCCCTGTCACCATGCAGCAAGCAGTCTCCATGATTGGAGAGATCATTGGCATCGCCACCCGAGCAGCCCATCTCTTTTAGGACGGTCATCTTGCTGCCTAGTGGGAGTGGAGTCGGGAAACTCAACTCTGTATGGAGGAAGCAAGCAGTGCGCGATCCAGCGAAGGCATGTTTTAGAGATAAGCTTAATTAGACGTCGTCCATGTATCTATTTGATGTCTCCAGATATCAGCAACCTTCAAAATTGGATACCCACGAAACGGAGTAGTCGGATATCCTGCAGAAACTAGGAGAAATTCAATATCAATGAATGTTAACCCTAAATCAGATCACGTGGCTTGTCAGAAAGCACCAAAAGGGAAATTGACAAGTGAACAGTGCATCAGATAAGTCAAAAGAGGGTTAAATCAGCTTAAGTGGATTAGTTTTGGAGTCCGTTCGGAGTCGGACACATGAATCCTTGCAGGGGATAGCCCTGGGGAAGCCGGGCCACGCCCTAGCGCTTACAAACGGTTTTTATAAATGACGTGGCCGTTCAGTTTACGAGCAAGGTCCTTTGTCTGGGCCGACAATCCATTCTCCATTTAGTAACTAAAACGAAGCTGCGGCCAGAAAAATGTGCACGCGATCATCCAGCAGGCGCGCTAGAACGGTAATTGATATCACGATCGTCTGAGCACAGGACAATTGACGTGTTACTGCCATTCAATCCTTCCAGCGTGGAGGACATGATACAGAAAGAAATTCTCTCCCCTTTTGGAGGGAAGCAAAAGTCTCTGACGTCCTATCAATTTGTCAATGATCGAGAGGAGTCTAAAATTACGTCAGCGGATTTACGGCTTTAGCCAAGAGGGAACTCGGATGTTCGGATTCCTAGTCCGAGACCGGGAAGAATTGCCTGATCCGGGCGCTCCCGCTCCGTCAGAGCCGCCAAGATGGAGATTGATTAGAAATAATATCCATAGAAGTACTAACTAATGACAAGTGGTGAAAGTGGGAACAACACGAAAAAGAAAAAAATAAAAAAGTACAATTTCTGATTAACTAAAGTGGAATACGAGCAGTTCTGTGCGAGTGAGCAATTTCTGATTTCCGACCCGGAGTATCCCTATAAGGCAATGATTGTTAGTAAGAAGAGCGCTCGTGCCGTGGTACTACGAACATAACCCATATTATGTAGAGCACTAGATGTACTAGTCGGAAAATCAAGCATTGGTCGCCAAGAGCTACTGCAGTATGATGATAGATCAGCTCATCTCGGTGGACAAATGGGTCTTTCGTGCACAGCGTCTATACTGGAGCTCTTGGCAGTCGCAGGGAGCAAATGAGCTTGGGATACTGCTTCGGTGAACCTGCATCACGGTCCTTTTCCAATTAGCAAATATGGTTCGGCTTTTCATGGATAAGGGTCACTAATTTATAACAATCGCTAACCAGAGCAATTCCCTCTGGCGATCAAGAGGGGAAGAAGAGGTCTGTGATGTGGCCTGCAGACTCTAGGATTCTTTGACTCATCGCCGGCCCATCGTCGCCAGGCTGGGGGCCACGATCCTGTGAGGAGTTCCAACGAGGAGCGAGGTGTGGGCAACCCATGAGCTACTACCCTCCGTATCTCAGGAACTTCCGGGTCGCCTGCCGCTCCCTGCCGCGCTTCCTTTCTCGACCTACCTCATCCGACGGTTCCGATGCCTTCCAGATCTGGTGATGGTAATCCACAGTGGCCATCACTAACTATCCGTGGCAGGTCATATGGCGAATCAATATTATGAGGATCCCCCCGACCTCGCCGTTGGAGGGAAAAAAAATCCTCGAGATGCTTATAAATTGCCCTAGCCCCGCTCTTTTCCCTTCTTTTTCGTTCGAAGGTCCTATTTGGCATGGATTATTTGACAGCAGTGTAGCTATCCTTAGTCACTTCAGCCTTTTCCTGACCTATTTGATTTTGTTTTTGTCCTTCCCTCCTCCCTGTCGTTCGATCTCTTTCACCGCGCCCCTTCCATATAGATACTATGACGGAAACTCAAACGGTCTTGGCATCACGGCAGTCCGGGCGGAGCTCTGAGAGCTCACTCGATGCTATTGCGACCGAGAAACAAAATTTGGCCCTGCATAGCGTGCCATCGACTCGGCCTGACTTGCATAACTCAGCATCTCCTAAGCGGTGGAAAACCTTTTGGACCGCTTTCCGGTATCTGCAACATCTAACCCCAAAGCAGGTTGATGACTTCATGGCATCATATGTCATCTATAACCTTGACTGGTCCAATGAGAAACAGATGGTTGTTGAATTAGGTCCCAATTATCAAGAAAAAGTTGGCGATTGCCTCAAGGCGTACTATGGGGTGCTTAATCATCTCTGCGCGCTGGGCGACGTCGAGAAGATGTATATTCCACCTTTCATGAGCAAGAAAGCGACGGTCCTGGAAAACCAATTGCTGTATGAAGAGTCGATTGCCGAACACATTGACCTCAAGGCGGGAGATAAAGTATTAGATCTGGGATGCGGCCGTGGTCGCGTCGCTGCGCATATGACCCAGTACGCGGGCGCATATGTGACTGGGTTAAACATCGACCCAAATCAGATCGCCCAAGCTCGTTCCTACAACGAGAAGCTCGGTTTCAAGGACAACAGCTTTGTCGTCCAGGATTTCAACAGTCTCCCCCTCCCATTTGAAGACGAAAGCTTCGATGCGTTCTACCAGATCCAGGCTCTTAGTCTGTGCAAGGATCTGCCCGCCCTTTTTCGCGAGATCTTCCGTGTCGTCAAGCCGGGCGCAAAGATCTCGCTACTCGACTGGGTCAGCCTGCCAGACTATGATCCCTCGAATCCAGAGCATGTCCAGCTCATGCGCCGTGTCAAGCCGCTCATCGGAGCCGTGGGCACACCTACTCCTAAGTCACTAGAGAAGGCACTCACGGATGCAGGATTCACGGTAACTCGCTCAGACAACGCTAGTGTCGGCGGATTGCAGGCCCCGTTGATCGCAAAGGTTGACTTCTACTTCCGATCCATGCGACAGATGATTTTGGGCCTGGTCAAGACTCACGTGCTCCCCAAACATTTCAAGACATTGATCAACCGTCTTTGTCTAGACGGAGAAGCGTTCGTCAAGATGGACTCTATGCGACTAGTGACCACGAGTTATCGTATCATTGCACAGAAGCCCCTCAAATGAGTCCCCGTCGCTTAAGGACAGGACAATGGAGACGAGTTTTGTGGGTTCCTGAAACGGAAAAGATTGAAGCGGGAAAACGCCTCACTATTCCCGCTCGAAGAGAACTAACGATCAGCCACCACAATCTCTTGGCGAGCTCCGTTGCGCAGCGAACATGGACGAATCTCTTCCAACTTTATGAACTGGTATGGCAGTTTAGCCACACGTCCGCTGGCGGAATGTTGTCGTCACCAATACTCGATAGCACAAATTTTCTATATGCTGATCTGGACAGCATCTGATCGAAACTAGAATCTCCGTGACTGCACCCCCAATGTCTTCTCTCCAAGGAACTGTCCCCGTGCCAAGAAAGGTGAGTAGCTTATGTCCCACTTCACCTACAGTGCGTGAGACTGTACTGTCTTCCGAAATCCTCTGACATGGCTATAAGATAATATTTGACCTATTGTATACCCCCTGCCCTAATTCTTCGGTCTTCTGGACCTTTTCCTTTTCATGAGAACATGGCTTGGCGTATCAATACCCTGTCCGTTCCATACTCTCGGCGTTCCTCCGGTTGTATCCCTCGGTTTTTTTCACGGTCACTGAGTGGCCCATAGATCTATTTATCTAAGGTTTGCCTTGATTCTGCTACTGCTAAGGTTCAGCTGGTGTTCGTTGTTACTTTGCATCTGACTTTTTATCTGGCCTTCTTTCGGATACCCAGTTAGAAAGGGGAATCCCATTGCTATTAGAAGTATATAGATCAGTAATGATACATCTATTCAAAAAATACTTTCAAACGGTTCACCGTTCAGTCTATCAATTTAACACAGTGATCGAACTGAAGTCGTCGGGTAATCAGATGGACAAGTGTTCTTACAGAATTATTGGAGAAAAATAGAAAAAGGAGAAAAGGGGAAGGGTATGAATCAAGAGACAGAAAGAGAAAACAAAGCGTGAAATGGCATCAAAGCATATTAAAGGAGGCCAAGAGGCTTCCACATGACGGAGATTCCAGAAATAGTATAGGGTAAATAAAAATCGGATAATGATTTGTCCGATCAGACTGCTTAGGACCCTAGTAGTAAGGGCTGGTGCTTAAGACGGTACTACCAGATCTTGGGAATCTCCACCGACAGAGGTTACACTAGTTAGAGCTTTGAAATCTGAGGGTTCCAACAAATACAAGATATGTACTATCGAAATCAGCAAGATGTTCTCGAACAACGCGCCGCAGTTTCCACAAGATGAGCACAGATACTCCTCCCTAAATACCTCTTTCCAAAGGACCACTCCTAGCGTGGCCCCCCACTGGATCCACCGGAGCTTTCAATGGCAGCCATCCATTTGGGCACGTTGTTGCGGATCTCCCGCCAATGGGCTGGCTGTGCGAGAGTCCCTCAAATCTTATCGGTGCCCTGATGCCGGTTCCCATGGAGGGACAAAGTTCATATTTAAAATGCCACCTCAAACAACAGCTAGGTGACCATTGCCACAATGGTTCCTGAAATCTGAACTTTGCCGACATTGGGAATAATGATGTCGAGCTCTCACACTTGCCCCTGCATGTCGATCAACCCTCGGGGATCCGCAAGATCACCAGCTCATCAAGTCCAATTCGAGTTCCACAGCGAAAGCTCACAGTCGTCAATACCGCTTTGGTATTATTAAGACTCTTCAGACCTTAGTCGTGTTGCCATGAGCCGCCCGCAAACCTTTTTTGATGTGGAGGATTGGCCTCTCCCACCTGCCCGACGAGAGAGTACCATTTCGTCTTCAACCCAGTCCTCCTCGTCCGCTAGTTTCGTGTCATCATCTTTCTTTCCCAATCCTCCCCACAGCCCGGCGACCTCATCTCCAGGGAGATCGCGGCAAGCGTCATGCCAATCTATGTATGATGAGGTAGCCCGACTATCACTTAACTCTGCTGTCACAATGTATGTGGACTACAGCTCTGCTATGGGCCCCTGATATGGGATATCTAACCCACCATCAGTTCCTTCGTTCGAAGTACCAAGCTCTTCAGGCTCCAATACACATATATCGATATTCGCAAAGATGCCACAGGAAGACTGAAGGCCTTGGAGCTGGGCGGCGCTGTTGGCCAGCAAAGTCCCTTTTTGCATACCTGTGAGTGGCGTGATCCCAACTACTGTACAAGCACATTACGCTGATTGGGGATTCCTGTGCTGAAGTCAATACATCGAAAATCCCCGTCCCGCATCTAGAACACCCCAAATTACCGAACGAGCCCTCGTTAAGAATCTCTTTCATGGAGGAACAAACCGTCCAGACCGCCCATACCGTTTTTACGTCACAATTATCCTATACATTTGAAGATTGGCACGGTAGGATCAGCCAAATCTAATCAATAAATTCCTACTAATGCGTGTGGACTATCAGATTGTGTCCAGTTTCAGGAGCTGATCCTAGCTGCAAAACTTATTTTTATTGCTGGAATTGCAGAAGCCAAGTCAAAAGGGCGAGGGGAAGAATGCATCAGCCAGAATCTACGGATACTGCGCGGCTACAATGGCAGACAAGTGCTGCTATTTTTCGCCAATTCGCAACGAAAAGAGCTAAAACGCTATGTCTCTGTTCCTGGTGGGTGGCAGACAGACCAGGAGAAAATGGCCTAGGCGCTGACGGGTTTAGTGAATTGCATTGAAAGTGTCAAGCCGCCGAAAAAGGCCGGGCGACCGGTTGTGCTACATCTTCTACCAAATTTTGATCACCTTACTCAGATGAAAACTCTCCAGATCCATTTCTTAGACGACGGAGGTATGTCTACTTCTGGTACTCACACCGAAATTTAGGATGCTGATAGTTCATCCAGATAGTCGATCCTTCTGTCAATTTCTGGCAGACTACGTGAAATAGGCCGTATTCTTCCCTAATCCTCCTATCTCTCTCTTTTTTTCTCCTTAATTCCCGAGCGATAATACTGCATGTTGCTGCATTAGAGGTTCATGTCTGCAGTCTTCTTGGTTCCCGCATGATGACCTTGGAATACGGTCCCGCGGATTCTTTCGGATATAATACTTGGTTCCCTCTTACTTTGAATAATATACCCTGTACAGTTAAATGGATACCATCATAAGTTCTGAAAGCACGTGGCGCACGCACTGGCTTCGATGAAAGGGGGAATGTAATAGCGAGAAGGAAAGCCCAATCACCGATAGAACCTGCGAGTCAAATCATCCATCACACGTATCACACGCGTCCGGTGTCTCACATAGATGTCCTAGTGGCAGCTCGTGGAAATTGCTTGCATGGCGAATATGAGGCGCTGATCACGATCCATGTCACGATGCTCGTGATCGGTGGGCCGCAGGAGAAACGATGGGGGGCACGTGGGAAAAGAATTGGCCCTTGCTTCATGTCCAGACGGAAGCTAATGCGGCACGTTGAGCTATCCGCTACCTTGAAGCCAATCGCCGGACTGACGCTTAGTGGGCCCCCAACTTTATTTTGCGACCCCCACTGGGCAACCCCTCGAGGTACCAGGTAAGTAACGTAACAGTACCTTACTACCTAGATTGTAAGGTCCGGCAATTTACCACCTAACCATGCCACCCTCATTCCTAATGCTCTTCCATTCTTCTTCCACATTCCTTTGTCCTATTCCCACGTTGTCGAGTCGCATCTGCATGATCATAAGTTCACGATCAGCATCCATGTCATGATGCGACATATATGTTCCCTTTAAGGCATCCGTGTTACATGAGCCGTAGATCTGAGAGAGATAACGGCCAATTGTGACAGACGTCAAGATGGCAAAGTTCCGCTCGAGGCTATATAAAACCGATCGAGCTCGGGATTTTGAACATGAACAGGTGCATACAGTCTTCATGATGTTGGCAATTTTTGTCTTCTGAAACTGACGTCTTATCGTCGTTCTAGGACCGCCATGTTCGCATGCGGCAGGTCTACGAAACTATCGATCGACAGGGCTATCAATGGATTGTCGTATTTGTGGCCGGGGTGGGCTTTTTCCTCGATGGGTATACAGTCAGTGTGACGATAAGCCACCGAGTGCATGCTACATCGATTCAGTACTGATTTGTCCTCCTTCATGCAGCTATTTGCAAGCAACATGGCTTTCCCGATGCTATCCTACGTCTACTGGAAAGATGAAATATCTTCTATGAATCTCACAAATATTAATATCGCTACGTTAGCTGGTACAATGTTAGGACAGGTATTGTTTGGATTTTTGGCAGACAAATATGGGCGGAAGAAGATGTATGGTCTAGAGCTGATGCTCTTGATTACCTCAACCTTAGGGGTGGTCATGGCCTCAAACGGCGTACACGGTAGTATGAGTGTGTATGCATGGCTGGTTTGGTGGAGGATTGTCGTCGGCATCGGCGTCGGTGCTGATTATCCACTGAGTGCCGTTATTACATCTGAGTAGGTGAAGTTTTGCCCTGTCTAGTGCGATCAGTATCTTACGGACTGGCGAATAGATTTGCACCCACGAAGCATCGCGCACGAATGATGGCGTCGGTTTTTTTCATGCAGCCACTAGGTCAGATCACGGGCAATATAGTGTCACTTGTTGTGGTCGCCGTCAGCAAGCGTCAAGGGCACGGGGATCTCACCCGCACCCTTGATACCATGTGGAGATGGGTTATTGGAATTGGAGTAGTTCCTGGCGCGGTCGCAACGGTGTTCCGTTTCATTATCCCAGAAAGTCCGCGGTTCATGCTCGAGGTCGAGGACGATCCCGTACAGGCAGAATTCGACGCAACCAACCTCTTCAACGAACCGCCTAGCACTCCGTCTATAGAGACAGGAAGTTGGAACCACCTTCCCCTCCCAGCGATTTCTATGATGAGTCAATGTTACTCCGAACGATCACCCTCACAGACAGAAATTCTTCAGCCCGCGACCCTCAACTCACACTGGCATCTGACTCGGAAGGATATTACACAGTATTTTTGGACGGAAGGAAACTGGCGCACCCTCGCTGCCACCTCCCTCGCCTGGCTTTTGCTCGACTTTGGCTTCTACGGAATCGGCCTCTCGAACCCACAATTCCTTGCCAAGACATGGGGTTCCCTCAAACTACATGGCCCAGCACCTGTCTGGCAAACGAATGATACTCCCGGTGCCGATGTTTACAAGATGTTCCTGGATAGTTCTGTCCACGCCCTTGTCATCCTCAATAGTGGTAGTTTCCTCGGGGGTTTACTCTTGATTCTCGTTATCCACCGCCTTGACCGCGTTGCACTTCAGAAATACGGGTTTTTGGCGTTGGCAGCCCTCTTTATCGCGCTAGGAACTATGTTTCTGACCGTCCACAAAGAGGGTGCGGTAGCCGTGGCCCTGTACATCATCGGTCAGGCCTTCTTCAACTTCGGTACGGGCCACTTTCTGAAATAAAGGGGAAATGAACACTAATTTAGAGGATACTTCAGGCCCAAACGCAACAACCTATATAATTCCTGCCGAGATCTTTCCCACGCGATACCGTGCCACATGTCACGGAATCAGTGCGGGCGCTGGCAAACTTGGCTCGATTCTCGTCCAAATCTTCTCTGCACACTTCAACTTCGGCTCGGGTCTCGGCAATGAGCCCATCATTCGCCACGGCTGGGTTCTGATTGTCTTCAGCGTATGCATGATGCTAGGCGCAGTGGTCACCCATTTCTGGATCCCGCCAGTGCAGCGACAGGACGGCAAGGGGAAATTCTGGGGTGGAAAGACGGAGACCTTGGAGACCTTGGCGCTGGGAAGGATGGGATGGAAGAGTCGGTATGCGGTCAAACCGAGGGAAAGAGAAAGGGTGATATCCCCGAGCTTTTCACCCGGTGGGTTTGGCTTATAGTGAGGTATTGTTCTTGTATATATATATATATGTAGGGAGGGGTATATAATAGGCACAAACTACAAACAAATAGATTTGCCAAGAGGAAGACTAAGAAGCAAATAGTTCGTTGGTACGGCACATCTAAAATGATGAAAAAAACAAGTGCATCATCCGTGAATCGAACACGGGCCTCATCGATGGCAACGATGAATTCTACCACTAGACCAATGATGCTACTAGATGCAGAGCTGTGTCCAATAAACGTTTATAGTACAGATCGAGTTTAATGAAGATCTGCCTGCTACAAGAATTGCTTAGGTTGATATATGAACCCAAAACACGGGGAACTTTTGTCTTGGCCTCAAAAATCTAATTTCTAAGGAGAATATCTCTTAAGTGTTCTTACTAGACATCTCAGGAAGTCAAACTTCACAGATAGACAACCTGGCTTCTTTAGATGGTTGCAATATATATTCCTTTTCAGCATGATCTTCACTCTGTTTGTTTCTTTTGTCAGTCTATCAGTTGGTACCTGTCGATGTTAATACACCTGGCATGCTTCCTACATCGCGGAGGCACTTTTGCTAAACCCCAATCACATCCAGCAAGTCCACCGTAAGCGAATCGCAGAATACGTTAAGGAATGGCTCTGTAGACCCAGGCTACTCAAGAGAGCTTTATACCAGATCTGCTTAGTGAGCGAAAGTGTCCTGGGCCGCTCATTGGAAAGGTCATCGGTTGATCCGATCAAGGTGTTGGGGTTTGTACGAATACTAGACTCTATACATGATTCAAAACATCTCTTCACATTGATAACTTGTAGCATCCTTGACATCGCCACCCCTGTACACCGAAACAAGCGTATAAGGACATAATCCTCTCCTTCGCCCATCGGCAGCCAGAGCATCACCGGTCTCAGGAGCAATACGATTTTCGACCCAGTCCACCATTTGCCCCAACGGACCGATAGGAACAGGCCCTGCCCCACCACGACAATGATAAACCCCTGGGGCTTCGAAAAAGCGATAGAAGTCACGCACAGATGGATCCTTCTCTTCTACCAGCTTATAGTATTGCTCCGTGCCTTAGGGAAAATCAGCTGGTCCGATAGCCCGTGCCAAGTGATCATTTTTCCGCCGGCCTGTTCGAAAGCCGACAGGTCTGGGTCATCTGTACCTATCACTTTGTTGTAGGTATCCTTTGAACGTGTAAATATCTCCTCAAGGGCTTTGTGGTCTAACGTGGTGAAGTCAAAAGACGGGTCTTGCAAGACAATTTGACTGATCCAATCAGCGGAGATAGCAAACGGCACACCGGTACAGTTTAACGACGTCGAGTATATATTGCGAGTAAGGCTCGACTCCCCCATTGATAAGGGCGTGCCCTTGCCCAGGTACTTTTAACCACCAGAGGATTATTCCGGGTGATCTCTACCCCGACTCTGCTGCAATTGAGCCGAGTTCCTACCAAAGTACGCGGATCGAAACCACACAAATCCGGCGCAGAAATCACCCCATCCACGACCCCGTCAATATCATCGCACGCCCTAATTGTAGCAGCAGTAATAGCATCCAAGTCACAAGCCGGAGGAAAAGCCTGAAGCTGAGCCATGACAAACTGCGGCCAGAACTCCGCGACCAGGAAACCAGGCCAATTGATCGCCGGCGCGGCGGCCATGATCCCATTGTAGGCGGTTGGGTATCGCTGCGCTAGCATCAGACCCTGCCTGCCACCCGTGGAGCACCCACTCCGGTATGAGTACTGCGGAGCCCGGCCGTAGAAGCTGGCAGCGATCTGTTTGCCGATGGTCGCGGCGTCGCCAAGAGCAACATAGGCGAAATCCTCCAGTAACGCGGTGTTTACGTTCCCCGATGCATCTAAGGACCGTGATTTGGAGCTCCAGCGGTTCAGATCGTGGTCGCCGTCTGTGGCTATGACCGTGTAGTTCTGGGCCACGGCCGCCGCGAGTACGGGATCTTCGGATCTCATGGCGTATCCGACTCCGCCGGAGCCTTGCAGTCGGTTGTTCCAGTTACGGAAGGGCAGCCAGACTGTAGCGTGGACGGCATCGTCCTTCTCAGGGTGGGCGTACGTGACCGTCACATTGCAGAAATCCAGCGTCGAGTCGCTCCCCTGGAATTCAACACCGGGGCGGCCGAAAGGTCCAGTACCTGCCCCCCAGGTATAGAAGAATAGGGAATAATATCCGACGAGCAATTCCCGACCTGAGCGACAGTAGCCGCGAAAAATTCCGTCACAGTAGCCATGGAAACCATAGACTATACCCTATCGTGAAACATTGCGAGCACTAGCCAGACAACCGCAGACAATAACATCATGCACCCCCTTTCCTTCCATCGAACCTACTTATAGTGGGTATAGGTCTTCGGAAATATAGCCCCCCGGATCTCAGGTTTGCTGGAAGTCCTTAAAACTCAAACCAAACTCGTCACGTAGGGCCAAGACCAACCGGCCACCTGATAGGGCGAATGGTACAGTGATGATATTAGAGGGAAGAGAAAGCCCCAGAACGTGATATGATTTTGATATAGGATGTCAAGTGGTAGACTCGGAGATGCCGAGAGATGTAGGGGTGGCATGGGATGGATTCTTATCCGGTCTTAGTAAATCTGTGCATAGGAAGGGACTGTTAATCGCATAAATAAGTGAGACTTGAGATAGATCTGCTCAGGGCGGGGGAATCCCAGTTAGCCGTGTGTTGCTAGATGGGGTTATTGGTGCCCGAGACCGAGGTTCTACATCCATGGTAGGGTATGGACATAACCTTTCTGCGCCTTGTAGAAATGAGGCAGTTCCGTAGATCTCTGGTAGAAGCCTGGTCGATCTTCTAGAAACTGTAAATCTACGACTTCAACTCTCCAATATAGCTGTCATGCCGCTGCACTTTTAGGGCCCTGGAGGGGTTGGGGTCGGCTTATCTAAGCCCTACAGCAATACCCTACTAGGAGTACCAGTACCAGGTGAAAATTAGCTACAGCCTTCTATCTTTTAATAAACGCCAAAATACCATACCTAATCACCTTCTATCATTCAGTCTGTAGAGCGTGTGCACTACTACTGAATAAGTTGATCATAAAGTGCGCGATTCGAGTCCGTGAGGAAGCAATATCTGGTTTTCGATTTTGGAGTTTTGCCCGTCGGAGTTGATGCCGATGCCGGTGTACGTCCGATGCAACTGGGTCAGCTGAGGAACTATTCTTCCATTCTGCATGAGACGGGGCTCCAGAATGGTACGTCGGAGCCTACTTATACTACTTTTAGTAATCGAAGATCTGCGCTAGTGGCAGGACAACTCAATGGTGCAGATTTGCTGAGGGGTAAGGTGGGGAGCTAGATTGAAATCGAGCCATTCTTTTTTCCCCACAGCTTGAAAATGGTGATTGAGGAAGACTGAGTTGGGAATGAGAGTTTTAAATAATATCACGCGGTTTTTGTCGGTACTTCATTATTCATATGGAACTATAGTGTAGTAGAATGCTAACTAACCCAAAGACAGCCACAGCTTCTAGGTACCTCGTAGTAAGTACTACTACCACTACTATCAGTTAGTACTAGTAATAGATAGTAGTAGCTCCTTGTGCATAAAGTGGGGTATAAAGAGCCCAGACCCCATGCTCTCTCTCTCTTCCCTTTTACCCCGCTCCAGCTTTCCTTAATACCCCCACCATCTCTTTCTTCTCTTCCTTCAAATCGACCAGATCAGAGAACTACATGATGGCTGTCCCTTCGAAAGACAGAATCGAGCCCGACTCCTTCAACGTCCCAGTGGGCCAGTTCCCCGCAACCGCCACATCAACTGGTATTGACGCCGACACCATTGCATCCAATGTTATACGATCACTGAACACAGCCTTGGGGCTGAACCGATCTCAGGAGATCTCAAAACTGTTCCTGGAAGATGGCTACTGGCGAGACCATCTCGTTCTAACCTGGGAATTCCGTACCATCAAGGGCCAAGAGAACATCTCTAACTTCCTCAAGGAGAACCCCCGTTCTCTACAAATAGAGATCGATCGGTCGTCCGCTTTCCGCGCTCCTTCTATCTTTCCAATCGATAGTTTTGGAGATGTCACTGGAATCCAGTTCTTCATTGAAGTCACCAATGATGTAGGAAGCGGAAAAGGTGTAGTACGACTGGCTGAGAAGGACGGCGAGTGGAAGATTTTCACGTTCTTCACATCCCTGCTTGAGCTCAAGGGTAGTGAGGAGAAGATCAATCATCGCCGACCTGTGGGAGTATCACATGGTGAGCATCATGATAGGAGGAATTGGCAGGATAGACGAACCGCGGATTTCGACTTTGTGGGGAAGACCCCGACAGTCCTGATAGTTGGTATGCACACCGTCTTTCCGTACTTTCCTCCTTTCTTTCAGTAAATAAACTAACTTTCCCAGGTGCTGGCCAAGCTGGACTGACAATTGCTGCCCGCCTGAAAATGCTCGACATCGATACTCTGATCATTGATGAGGAAGATCGCATCGGAGACAACTGGCGTAGACGGTATCACCAGCTTGTGTTGCACGACCCCGTGTGGTTTGATCATATGCCCTATCTCCAGTTCCCAGCAAACTGGCCTATTTTCACGCCAAAGGACAAGCTCGCAGAGTTCTTCGAGTGCTATGCTAAGCTGCTCGAACTGAACGTGTGGACTAAGACCAAGCTCCACTCGACATCCTGGAGCGACGCGAACAGCGTGTGGACCGTTGAGCTCCAACGGCAGAAGGAGGATGGTACGGTCGAGACTCGTACCTTCAATCCCCGCCATGTCATCCAGGCGACCGGCCACTCGGGTAAGAAGAATCTGCCCAATTTCAAGGGGGTTGAGACTTTCCAAGGGAAACGTATCTGCCACAGCTCCGAGTTCCCCGGCGCGGATCCCAAGAGCAAAGGCAAGAAGGCAGTTGTGGTTGGCTCCTGTAACTCAGGTCATGACATTGCACATGACTATTTCGAAAAGGGGTATGATGTGACGATGGTCCAACGTAGTTCGACCTGCGTCGTTTCCTCCGAGGCCATCACTAAGATCGGACTGAAGGGCTTATACGAGGAGACCGCCCTTCCGGTTGACGATGCAGACTTGTGCCTCTGGAGCATTCCCACTGAGATTTTCAAGGCGCAACAGAAGAAAGTCACAGCGGTTCAGAACCAGCATGACAAGGAAATCCTAGACGGGCTGGAGAAGGCTGGCTTTAAGGTGGACCAGGGACCGGATGATGGGGGTCTTTTGATCAAGTACCTCCAGCGTGGTGGCGGTTACTACATCGATGTCGGAGCCAGTAAGCTCATCGCCGACGGCAAGATTAAGGTCAAACAGGGACAAGAGATCGCCGAGGTCACTCCGCAGGGATTGCTCTTTGCCGACGGCTCCCAGCTAGAAGCGGATGAGATCATCTTTGCAACAGGCTACCAGAACATGAGGACACAGGCACGTATCATATTCGGAGACGAGGTAGCGGATCGCATTCAGAGCGTCTGGGGATATAACGAGGAGGGCGAAATGCGCACAATGTGGCAGCGCAGTGGGCACCCCGGTTTCTGGTTTATGGGTGGTAATCTGGCGCTGTGTCGGTACTATTCGAAACTGCTGGCTTTACAGATTAAGGGCATGGAACTGGGTCTTAATCACTGAACATAACTTGCCGGGGGTATCAAGCTTCCTATTCATTCTTAAGATGGCTAGAATTAAATCAGAATGAAACATACAAATGAGCATACAACCTTTTTCACACATATTGATTCACCCAACCCTCCTGCGCCGCCACACAAACTCCCATCGTTAACAGGCAAGTGTACAGCGCCGCATCCTCGTCAACATCTCCATGCCCTCGTAATGCCGAAGACAAATATTCCCTCTGCGCCCGATTCCACCCACCAACCTTGAACCCCTTCCTCGTCAATGTCGCCAACCACGGCCGCCGCAACCCCGACTGTGTTGTATCCGCAATACTCAACACAAACCGATCCCCCTTCATCTCACTCCCGGACTCAGCCGACGACGGCCTCGACCTCGACGACCTCTTCTCCCACTCCACAACCCTCACCACTTCCCCCTCCCCATCCGTCCTCAACTTCCTCACTGAAAACCGATATCCCCTCTCCGCCTTACTAACCTCCCAACCGCCCCCAAAGGGAAACCACACCCCCCCACTCAACCCTTTCTTCTTCGTCTCCTCCCGAACAGGCATATATATTGCCCCCACGATCGTCCCCGCACTCTGCCCCGGTAGATGCGTATACTCTTCGCTCTGCACGATATACATGTCTCGAGCGGTGAGTTTGCGGGGCCCGCCCGCGAGCGTCTTGCCGAAGCAGGAGGGTTGGTAGACTTCGAGGATTGGGGTGGGTCGGCGAGAGGTGGGTGTTAGTTGTTGGATTTGGAGGCTGAGGTGGGAGGTTAAGCGGAGGGTGTGTTTTGGTGGTGGGGGGTGGGCGAGAGGGAATGTTTGTATTTGAGTTATGGATTTGAATTGCGTTGGGGTTGCTGGAGGGGTTGTTGTTGTTGTTGTACTATCTTTCGTCAGTATATTTGTTGTATAGGATGGGGGTTTTATACTAGTATACTATACTAGTAGAGGGAGGGAAGGTGTGGAGTATGTTATACCTTTGTGTACTGTCTGTGTCGCTACTCATTGTTTTCCTTGGGTATATGGGGTATCAATTGAGGTTTGTTTATTTTTTGAAGGTCCTGTAGCGTAGTGTAGTGTATAGAATGAAGGATTTCTGGAAAGTTTGATATATCTACGTCTATATAGCTAGCTAGGATGTCATGTTTTCCTTTATAATCTTCAAAAACAGGGCTCGTATTCGTATATTCCGGCCCGCAGCGCCCGAGGCTCACTTGATTCGTTCGACGGGAATCCTGTCTGCCTAGCAAGCCCGACTAAACCTTTCAAGCTTAAGTGATTCCGGGTCTTTATTCTCTTGGCACCCTTTTTCATCTCCACTGGGCTGACTCTGCGTCGGGAGTGGGTTTTGCCAAGAGCCAACGACCAGAATACTCTTTTTGGCATGGTTCGCGGATACGAAAGAGAACACGACGCACAAAACATATTCTAGAAGCGGTAAGAGTGGAGTTGGCGCTTTTTCTATTTTTCTTTTACTATATTATTTCTTTTTTCTTTTTTTCATGCAGTGAGCGGAGGGGGTATCATTGGTGCTTTTCTATCGAACAGGGGTTATGGGTATGGGGGCGCTATTAACACAGCCACCGACCATCGACTTGTCTCAGGGTCGCACATTCATCTGACCACGGGTCGTAGAGTTGTTCGATCATGATTCCGCGTTTTCGCGCGGCTTCGTATAAGGGCTCGCATGCGGCACGGGCTTCGTGAAGGATATGCACCGGCGCTTTTTTCTCGTCTCGCTTGCGACCCCCAGGGGTAACATTTTCTCTTGGTTCGTAGTATAGGTCTAGAACGAAGGACAATCTCCTGAGATAGGGGAGAAAGGTCTCCGATTCGAAGGCTTTAATCAAGTTCTCCCATTCTGGGGGTTTAGTCAGGGACGCCGGTCCTCGGAATCGGAGTGTCGATAGGTTGGGAGGGAGCCAGGTGTACAACGAGGGGAGGCGGGACTCGTTCTCGAATATCTCGCCGATGGAAAGCCGGAGCATCTCTAATCCGCTCAGCTGTGGTAGAAGCTCCTGGATCATGCACTCGTTTGTGAAATGGAAGTCCTGGCAATGCGTTGAGCGGATGGTTAACGTGGTCAGGTTCGCAACGAGATGTGGTAATGCGATAGCCATCCGGCAGAGGGCATCAATGGCATCGTTCTCGATGATCTCCAGCGTGCGCATGTTAATGGTCGTAGGTGGATGGTTGTCTTCATCCAGCGGTGGGTCTTGTTTACCAGAGTATTTATTGTACGTCCATGTTTGAACCAGTTCAGGGATGAAAGTGATCTCGATCTTCCTTTCCTCAGGCGGGCCTTCTCGCACGGTGATATAATCCGCTTTTCTTTCGCCTTTGAGCAATGGCCTCCTTATGTGCCTTCATCAACTCATTCGTCGTAGGCCCTTCGAAGCGGAGACCGGAGGTGAGCAATAGGATCAGATGACGAACCCGGCCCTGCCGTATATGCGGAGAGCCGATGACTTCCCCACTGGCTGAGCCGAGCTTGTACCGCTCGAGTTGCCAATGGAGAGGCAACTCTTTGTCATTGAGATCCTCGTTCCATCCTGTGTCCATTTCCAGCGATTGAACGTTCGTGAAGTGCGAGCCGAGAATGGCCCATTCCTCGTTTGAAGGGGTATCCTCAATGCGGAGCGCCGTAATATGAGAGGGGATGGACTTGAGCTGACCGACGAGGTTTTGGCCGTGGTTCTCGCTTTTCCCCATGCTACCTTCGACTTTGACTACATGATGGTACGGTTTTAGATTGATCCGAGTGTATGCCGAGGCCCTTCTGGCTTTCGGGTAGGCATTATGACAATTAAATGTTGATCCTAGGATGTGTGTTCTGGGTGTGGTCAAAGCCTTTAGCTGAGCCCAGGCTCGAAACAGGGGGCTCTACTGTATAGGTTAGGACTTCAAGACCGGAAACAGAAACGGTAAGCGGGGTGTAATATTCGACTTGCGCACGTTTGAATATTGATGTTTTGGACAGGAGTTAGTCACCATTAGTACTGAGGTTTGCTCTGATCGAGCCAGGTATCTCCCCTTGATCCAGCGTTTGCAATTGTTTTGACAATTCCTGCGAGACGAGTAGAATGACGATACTGCAGCTAAGGTGTAGCTGTCTAGATTGCTCTCGCAATTAATTTCCGTCTCTGACGAGATGATCGGCAAGTGGGCATGGTCCGGGATAGCAGGGCTTAGTCTGGGGTGTGGGGATCAAATGATGTGTTGGAGTTGGAGTTAGAGCTGTGTGAGCTCAGCCTTGTTGCTTTTTTGCGCTGTTTGCTTCGCGTCACCCTTACACATGACCCATTTGTTGCACGTGGATTTGAACTTAGGTCCTCTGTGTAGGAATGATCCTCCATGGAGAATTTGTTCCTGGATCGCTCGCTCCCTTGGCATGTAATTGTAAGGGACACCGCACTAACTGCGCTCTGCTTGCCTTGGAACATAAATCAATACCCCACGAAAGTATCACAGTACGATAATTTTCCATACTTCCCCGAGAAAAACAATGAATCTTAGCATTCCACTAACCATTGCTCTTATGAAACAACAAAGTATCTAATCAACGCCAAGACGCACTCGAGAATACCTCCTCTAGTACAGTGTTGATCCTACAGTACAAAGTTAATGTGGCTTCCTAGAGAATTAAAGCAGCTCCAACGGCCGAGGAGTCGCCGCAACGAGCCCAATAAGACCTCCTACCAACGGCAGCAACCCCCGACCGGTATTGAGTTTCAGCCACCGGGTCAACAGCGACTCGACTTCCGTGCTCGACTTCTCGTCCGCCACCCACTTCGAGTTGGCTTTGTCCATCAATTGGTTGTTTGTATCGGACATCAGGCCAAGCGTGTAGGGCACGATACCTAACGTCAAAACTGCTGCGGTGCAATACATAAGAGAGCCGTTGCTCGGTGTCAATGGGGCTAGTGCTGTGCCCGCGCGAACCGCCCAGCCACAATAAAGGAATGCTGCGGACGTGACTGCGGCTACAGGAGGAGATTGCGATTTGCCCTTGGTATAAATATTTCGCCATGATTTGACGGCAATATCAAGGGGCATATTATCTTCGCGCGTCGCCTTAATTAGTGCAGGCACAGTGATTGTGCTCAAAGAGATAATGCTGCCTTGACGGGCTGTTAGCTCCTATACTGAAATCCACAATCATGGAATTATTTACCGGAAAGCCAAGCAGCGCCAGTTAGGCCCACCACTTGGGCGACGCAGAAAGCGACAGGATATGGGCTCATGATGTTGATCCGTTGCTGAAATGAAGCTTTAGAATGAAACGTGTTGAAGTGTGAATGGCGCTGGGAAGAGTTTTTATCAGTGCGAGCAGGACATCCATGACGACATTTCTACGCATGACTTAAACCTTCATCAGGAACAATTGGTGAGCTTCAAGTTCCAAGGTTCAAGTCTCCCAATGACCAAGGGACGGTCACCGACTCGGGAACCTTATTATTGATTCTACTCCTAGTGGGCCCTTCTCGGCTTTTGTCGGTCTTTGGGGCATTCACGCGAATCAAGAGAATGGCGATCACTGACTCAACGGTGGGACTTTAAGCTATCTATTGCTTTCCTTGCCAGTCGCCTTCGAGAGGATCCCACAAAGTTGTATGACCCATGTCGGATCGGCGTGTTTTGACACCGACACACCGATGTGAAGAAGTGTGTATACGGCTAGGGTGCACCCTGCATATTTACGTCCGAACCTTTTGTCACTCTTCCCTGGGATAGAATCATATACAGGCGTGCACATCTTTGAAGGCCCAATCACGGATGCTAAACTCTAGAAAAAATGCTTGTCAAGAGTGGACACCATCGTTTCTACTCTTGGTGAGAACGAGAACATCGCAGGATTACCGGTACTACAGGATGCTGCAGCCACCACAGTACCAATACTGCAAGTATTGAGTCAGATGCATAGCTCCTACTAGAGTCGACCTCGCCTGTTCCTCCTCTTATCAGATACTTTAAATCCTAGATTTGCCGCCACCCGTCTGCGACTGGTGTACTGGATTGTAAGTAACGCATTCTGCTACGCGTATGAAGACCTTCTCAAGGCGCAGGTTATCTATGAAACTCATCCCCCGCTGATACAGCTGTACCTTATGCAGCCACTTGCTATAGTCGAGGAGTCTTCAGAACATATCCTTAGTACGGAGAAAGGTGTCTATGGCCGTTATGCGGATCTCGCGGCGGGGATTGTTGAACTTGTCACCGATGAGTGCAGGGATTTGGATGCCGTCGGGGTGTCCGGTGCTTCCAATGATTAGCTTCCGTATTTGCCGGAGCTGGCATGAAAGGCTACACGGGGAATGTTAGCTCGATTTATTCCCTTTTACTTAACGGTTGAGAGAAGCGTATGGGAGTTGGTATTTGGCTCATAATGTCCATGTACGTACTTAGGCTAAGATATGCACATCTCATCGAGTAGTGTTGATTCATATGCTTGAAGTCTCTCACAGAAGGGATAGCATATTAATAACATATGCAAGTGGCGTAATCCATCTGCAGCCTTTTCTCTGTGCATTTGTACCATAAATTGCCAGTGAAAGAGCAGATCTTCTGACCAGGGCCACCTCGGAACCTGCGGAGCTTTCCAAAGACCGACCTGCGAAGAAGTGCTGCGAAGTTTATATAGCATGATCTTCTAAGCTTAATCCGTAACCCAACCCTACATGATTAATTTTATGACACTTAGATCAAACATACGCACTCTTAACGAAATCATGACTTCAAACACGAAGGTTGACTTGAATCCTGTCCCTTCGCTCGATCTACAGTCTCTTCCTGATGAGCGCTCTACAAGCCTGTTCACGCCCGGCCCCATCTACCATAACCATATGCCGCACGTAAGTCCCTTGACGAGATCTTATCCCTAAACATAGCCAGCTATAGATGCCCGACTCAGCCTACCTACTAGGGTTTCCATCAGAAAAACTGGTGGAGATGTACCAGAACGAATCATCTCACTCAGAAACCCTAACGACGGACTACTCCGAACAGGAATAACCAAAGACAACCGGAGACAATTCCTAGGAACTGAAATGTACACTCTCTCCTCCATCACATTAGCTCCGTGTCTGACCAGTGGGCGCAGATACACAGCTGCATACACCGAGTTCTTCGATCAGGAACTTTTCAACAAGCACGACAACTGGAAGGCACTCGTAAATGAGTATCTCTTCAGCTTCCCCGAGCCCCTTATGCATGGCTTCACCGGCATCCGTAAGCTCAACCCCCCTCTTCTTCCCCACCCCAATACGTCAGCTAACACACAAAAGGATCGGCCATGCATTCATCCACCTCGCCTACGCCTGCGAATTCTCAGTCCCCGAACTCGCAACCGAAGCCCTAAGTTTCGGTTGCACAGAACGAAACCCAATCCCCTGCTCCCTCGACTCTCCGTACCCGGATATCTCGACCTACAAATCAACCTCTAGCAAAGAAATCCTCTGCCGCGTGCACACTGACGGCCGCTTCCCGCTTCTCGAGTCTATTCTCCACCCCCGGATTCATCAACATTCCGAATATATTCGCTCGCACAGAAGCCACTATCCTCGAACACTAGAGTGCGTGGGATATTGTCGACCCTGCGGAACAGTTCAAGGAAGCGGTCCATGTCGCCGGGATACTATTTACGGAGTCTCGGGACGAGGCTGGTGAATATGACTTTTCCTGGCGCATTTGTTGACGGTGGGACAGGCTTTGAAGGTTCTTCTGCCTTCGTTCCTGAGGAGAGTAGGGTTGGTGTTTTGAGGCAGTTTTGGTTGTTTGTGCTTTATGTTTTTGTTGCGCGGTTGAGTCCGAGGATTGGGGATGGAGAGGAGGTTAGGAGGCTGGAGCTAGAGGGGAGGGATTGGAGTGGTTTATGAGAGGTGTTTGCAGGGGAGGTTTGGGATGATGTGCATCGGATTAAGATAGTCTGAGCATTTGGGATGTTGAAGGAGTGGTTTGGGGAGAATGATGGGTGGTATTTGAAGGCTACGGTGAGGTTTGTGGAGGAATTTCAGGGGTGGATAGGTATTAGGGATGACATTGAGCGGAAGATTGGGGAGTGACGGTTTGCCTTCTATGGATATTTTGCTAGTCCATGGTTGGGTGTTGTTGTGATCTCAGGGGAAAGATGGGCAGAATGATGCTGTATCAGCTACACGTACGTAGCCTACTGAGGACCGGATGCCATTCCGATAGATCTCAATTCTATGGACGACTATATCAACTATCTTGACTGCTTCTTCTCTCTTCTTCTCCTAATGGGTAAAGCCTTCAGGGGCTGAAGAGTTGGTGATCCGGCCAAGCCACTAGGTGGTCACGTGTCTCGTATAGATTCATAACAAGGGTCGTATAAAGTAGCCGAGAAAGAATATACAAACTGGCAGCTCCTTAAAGTGAGTACTGATAATTTCAGAAAACATATTCAAAAGTGCGCGATGTAGCGTTAGAAATCTGTCTTGATCTAGAGCAGATCCTTTATGATCAGGATCTGGAATTTTTCTTCTAACATGGTGTGGCGATCGGAGTTGCTTGCAGGTTCATTGGTGATATTCATCGCTGGTTCGACAACCGTAAACCAGACCACGAAAGAGCGACAATATCAGACTGATAATTTTACATTCATTCTCGAAATTGGCCTCACCAACAAGCATATGGTGAATAGTTTTCGGCCGTAGTACTAAGACTTTAGCGTAACAATTTATTTGGATCACTAACACCTATTAAATTACATGTCCTTTAGCACGAAGAATATTGAAAGACAAAATATGATTACTGTATGATCCGTGCTGAACTAGAATATAGCCCTGTAATTCTTGCTTTACTGTTACAGAATTTATGTCACAAGCAGGCACGTACAAAATCTGTGGGTAGGGATCCTAACACGTGATATAGGGGGATAGGTTAGGTTAGGTTATATTTAACGGCCGTGGTTCGCCGTCGAGGCATATGAACCACCATCCCCTATTGGGGCAAAGGCCGCCAGGGGGTAAGCCCTGGGTGTCTCTAACTAGCTGCTAGTTCTAGTTCTATGTACATGTATGGGACTTTGGCGCGTTTACATAGCTGCCGTAGTCAAGAAAAGTAGAAAAGTAAAGGGCCTGCGATAGCAGGTAGAGGGATAATGCCAGCTGCACAGGTCCGCCTATACTCCATGACCCATTCTGCCTCCACTGCGTTTTTTTTTTTTTTTTTTTTTTTTGAAAAGGAAGACAATAAAGAAAAGAAGGAGATATGTTATCTCTGTCTTGCTAAGTTAGGGGGTATTGTGGACAAATATTCTTAAAGAAACAGGTCTTAGATAGCTATGCAGCTAGTTTAACTGCAACTTTTAAAGTGCCTAGTAAGTAGAGGATTGTTTTAGAGGGGGGACCTGGAGGTCATAACAGGTGTCTCTTTGCAATACGGCAGAAGAAGAAATATATAAGGAATTTTCTTGTGCCACAGCGGCAGAGAAGGTATGTATCTTCATGATTAAAATATTTATAATAAGTTATAAAGTTACTATATCCTGTACGGGCTGCCAGAATCCGCGTGAGTAGAGGGCATGGTATTCGCTGCTCATTAGGGCACTTGGAGGAGAAGATATTCTATAGATCCTGATAAGATTATAGAGCTACGGACTGTCAGTGTCTTTGTAGAGCAGATGTAGTATCAGTTTTGGCGCGCTGCCTTAGTGAGGTGTATAACCATTTCTTAAAGAAGGAGGGTCACGGTAGCCCCATTTCTAGCAGCTAGATTAGCTGCTTTATTCTCTAGGATATCTTCATGCCCAGGGACCCGGCAGATCTGTATAGAGCCGCCATCGGTATATGAAAATCTCTCCAGTGTAGGCCAGGTCAAAGCAATGGCCCGGAAGGATTCAAAGATCTCTTGTAATAAGCCTGCGAATAATAATAGGAGCCGCATGGCTACGTCTTGGTTATCTAAGTAAACCCAAACATTAGTAGCAAAGCTAGCTATATAGAGTGCTGATACTGCTTTAACCCCAGCCAACGCTGACTCAGCTTCAGCATCAAAGACCTCTTTATTTGGGCCGAGGGAGAGAGAGGATTGTAGAAATTGCTTCCCAGACTGATATAAAACAAAGCCAGCGCCTACCATCCCATTTGCTAGTCTATGATATAGGGGGATAAGGTGTCAGATAAAATGGCTATGCGTGACTAGAATCATGTGACTGAAGAGGGGTAAAAACGAGGCCCCGTACGCATGGATCAACATAAGCAAGTCAAGAATCATACAAGAATCATAGAATCATCAATATCATCAAGAAGAGCTCAAAAGGCTCTAGACTTGATCATTTTAAGACGTTTTATGAATCGTATCTTTATCTGATATTCGGGACTGACCGAATATCTGACATAAGGCTGTCGAAGAGAACACACTCTAGCCTCATTGTTTCCATCTTGGTCAGAGGCTAGCTCAAGCCCTCAATTAATCGTCATGGCAGACCCGCTCAGCATTACGGCTAGTATTATCGGAATTGCTACTCTGGGTTTCCAGATCGCAAAAGGATTATACAAAATTGCGGACGGCATTGGTTCTGCAGGAGAGGAGGTCCGGCTATATGCAGGAGAAATCAATGAATTCTCCAAACTTCTGAACCATATCAGAGCGCAAATATTAGCTACACCTGATATTCCATTCAGTTCGCGAAGCTTGATAAAGGATGTTATTGATATTTGTGATAAGGTTCTCCAACCCTTCCATTGCCTACAGAAAACCCTGGAGTCCTTCTTCACCCGGTTTAAACAAAGCCCCAACAAGCTCAAAAAATTCGGTCTTGGTGTTGGATGGGTTTTCTGTTATAAGAAAAAGTTGCTGTTTTATTTAGATACACTTAGGAATCAACACAGGATCCTTAATACAGCACTTGACTTAGCCAACTTGCAAACCACGAAGGACAGGACTCCCCAAAGCATATGGTGAGCATTCAAATTCCGTCTCTTGTTCAATATTAATGATTTTAGTATTCTGCAGCTGTCTCTCGAAAACTCCATGGCTGCGATTAATATGTCACCTAACAGTAGCACAGGAGGCAGTATTTTCTCCATTAGAGGCACAAATGAGCAGCCGTCCAGAAAATTTCTTCTCTCAACTAGCGAAAGGATGTCCAACCTTTCAAGTAATAGTGAGAATGCCGAACCGCCGCCACAGATAGAGAATGACCTGGACCCTCAAAGTTCAACCGACCTCGTTGCACCAAGCAGTATTTCACAAGATCACGAAGATCAGCTAACAGCTCATGAAATGCAACTCATAGAACACCAGATTGACCAATATCAGGGTACAGATTTAGGCACAACTGCTGACGAGTTATGGGAAGACACACGCTCTCTCTCACGGAAGGCGAAGCGATGGGCATCTGAAGCCCTTTGCTCGCTGGAAACTAAAGCTGCAGCTTCGTTGGGGACGTTGCCAAGCTTTACCCACAAAGACTATACTGTGGGGTGGGTCTGTACCCGCTCCATAGAGTATGCAGTGGCTGAAGGAATGTTAGACGAACAACATCCGGCTCTTCCAGTAACTGAAAACGACCCGAATACGTATACATTGGGAAGAATAATAAGGCACAACGTCGTCCTCGTATGCATATCTGCAGGGACCATGGACACAGGGGTTGCAAGCACTGCTATATCAGAGATGCTTCGAAGTTTCCCAAATATAAGGATACGACTCCTGGTTGGGATTGGAGATGGAGTTCCAAACCTATATAGCGATATACGCCTTGGCGATGTAGTGGTTGGCTCCCCGACTTCATCATCAGATGGCCTTATACTTTTCGACAGTAGTGGCGATGAGATTGTTGAGACCGGCACACTCGAGACACCACCTAGAGAACTCAGAAGCACACTTTCGATATTGCAAGCTCGACATATAAGAAGAGAACCTGAAATACCTCGTTATATTAGAGAGATGTTAGAAGCAAATCGGGCTATGCGTCTTTCATTCTCCGCTCCAGACCCTGGAGGTGACTTGCTCTTCCAATCATATTATGAGCACCTTGATAAGAGCAATAAGAGTCTGCGAAGTTGTCTTGAATGTGACCCCTCTCAAGTGATACCGCGGCCAGCACACAGAGGCAGACCTGCTATTCATTATGGCACTATCGCATGGACTAATTCAACCACCAAAAGTGGTTTCGCCCGTGATGCTATTGCCCGCCAGAAGTCCATATACAGCATGGAGAAGGGAGCTATGGGACTGATGAATTTTTTCCCTTGTCTTGTTATTCGAGGGATTTGGAACTACTCTGACTCCCACTGGAATACAATATGGCAGGGCTATGCGGCAGCAACTGCTGCAGGATACGCCAAAGAAATACTTGAGACAGTACAAACCGCTCAGACGTAGACCGAAATCGTCTGACAGCCGTCCTATTGGACGATTATACATAGTTCGTTAACTTCTAGAATATAACGTATACCTTCCTCTCTTCAAATTGGATGTGAATCAGTGTTAAGGTTACACAGCATAGCAGAGCTTCCAAGAACTGAGTCACCACACGTACAGTCTAGCTTTGAACGGCCGGTAAGCACTAACGGATTGAGGACATTGTCTTGCTACATCTTATCTTACTACAAGACTCTAAAATGTAATTTGACTTCCGGCACATGTGCAAGGTTTTCTCAGCATTACGCTTCTTCAATTGTCAATCCGGCATTCCGGAAATGCACTTCTGCACTTTCCTTCTTCGCACCCACAATATCGATGCGCCACTGGAGAAAGAAATCAAATCCTTGACTAGGATTGTTTGCATATGATCTCCAATGCCACCAAATGAATGTTTTCAGTTTAGTAAAGAATTCTTAATAGGATTCAAAGGCTGCTCAGCTAGAGCAGGCGAGGCATGCCAACACCCCCCCTCGAGGTGTGGCAACTGCGGGGGCAGACATCCTGCCCTAGCTGCCAGTTGCCCAAGCAAACGAGCAGCCCGAAAACACCGAATCAAGTGTCCACTATGCTACCAAGCTCACCAGCGGTACAGGTAGTTATTAGAACACGCCAAAGAGGTGTATCAACATCTGATAGTCCAGTTAGGGAGGTATCTAGTAATTCTCAGATCAGTAATCCTAGGTCTAGCTCAACCCTAGGAACACCTTAAACAGCGATTCAAGTACCACTACCAAGCACCCCCCGGGACCAAGTGATGGAGGATCCCCAAACTCCTAGACTCCTGGAATATACCAACCCATCTCAATGCTAGTGGTCCATCAGGACTGTTGCAGGGCATATTTATTTCTATAGCAGCCCTGGAGGCAGGACTCCAGAGACAGGCAGATATTATCTGCTTGCAGGAGCCATATATTGTATGTAATTTTCAATATTCAGCCTATTTAGTTTACTAGCTAGAAAGAGGAGAGCAGAAGCACTATAGAGTACTGATAGTAATTTAGAAGGACTATTAGATATAATAGCTATTAAAGAAAGAACTGACCTGGTTAACTATCTCTATATACTAGCCCTAGATATCTGGAATCTAGACAGGGACAGGAACCGTATATAAAGAACAGGAATAGTCAACTGCTATAATAATTGGCTAGAAGAAGATTATTACTGGCAGGGTAATAGCCCTAGATACTAATGAGCTATTGAAGATACAGAATAGGGACTATTAATAGAAGGAAGATATCTTATACTAAGTAATTTCAATACTTATAGCCCTCTATAGAATTCCTAAACCAGTAAACAGGTTAATATAGTACCCATGGAGAACCTAATCAAGTGATTTAACCTGCATATTAATAATAAATCAGGAATTCCTAACAGGCCTAAGTGTACCCCAGATATCTCAATCATTGATTTAGCTATATCTACCACAGAACTAGATTCCTTAGATAGCTGGTTAGTTTACAAGGTATGTCCTACAGATTCAGATCATGAAATAATATTACTTGTATAGAAGGACCTAGAAAGAAGGCCTATAGAAGCTAGTAAATAGGTGACTGAATAGCAGATTAAAAGCCTGCATGTAGATTCTGAGGCTCTGGACAAGGCAAAGCAGATATGGGATATACTCGCAGCATGCTAACCAGCTCTACTAGATAGCTGTAGTAGAGCTGAGATAGAAAAGGATGCAGTATAGCTTTAAAGTATCCTAACTCAGGTACTTAATAAACATGCTAAGTCTATAAGGGTAAGTCTATTTTTAAAGTACTGGTAAGAACTACCAGTCAAAGCTAGCTGATAAGAAGATACTAGATGTCAAGGGTATCTACTATTTAGGGTAGAGGACCTGTCAACTAGTAAGGGTACGTAGGCTAATATAAAGAAAGAGGTCAAAGGCAGGCAGTAGATACTATTCAGACAGGAGACAGATTTTTGATCTCCTACTACTACTAACGATTCGCTAATTTATAGCTAAAGGCTCCATGCCTAAAGGATTCAGAACCCCCCTTGAACCCAATCTGTCGTGTGGCCTGATGTTCCTCATCGGTGACCGATTGTCTACGCACCTGGGTCAGGGTATCCTGTACGGTCATCAGGCCGAATCGCTATTCGATCTGTGACACTGCGTATCACAGGGCCGCTAAACAGAACACTAAATATATAGGCCACTATAGGCCGTGACAAGGCTCCAAATCCATTAATAAGTAATGGACTACTGTACATAAACATACATAAGGACTAGATAGTGGCATTCTGCATATCGCCTAGCGTGTTGATTCCACCACTAGGTTAAAATACGAATCCGCACACAGTCTAGTGGGTTGTGGTTTATAATCCAACATAGCGAGGGTATGAACTCACCACCACTACCACTGTAAACCCTTTTAGTCTTTCATATAAGGTCAATTGTTAATAGTTGCCCAAATTGCGCACTTATCCTGCGCAATTTGGAGCACCCCTTTGACACTCCTGGAGAGGTGAACAAGTGAAACTAGCGGGGAAGTCCGGACACCCGATGGTGCTCCGTATTCCCAGTCTTCAAGCGCGAGAGTCTATAGAATTTTGCAAAGCCATAGGTTTGTCGACAGCAGGGGCTTCAAAGACTACTTTGCTTACAAGATTTGCAGACAGCCATATTCCGGCGTGGTCCATGGCCCCCAGTGTTGATATGGGTGCTCGACTGTACAGTCATGCAAAGGATATATGAGCTTACGACTCAACCATTGAGTGTTTAGCGAAATGCTGCGAAACTCATTCTGTGTGCCTGAGCTCGTCTTCTGTCATGCTACCAACGCGGCCTCTCGGACCTAGCGGTCCAAATCATGCCCCAAGGCTAGTTGAGCCTCCGAATAGCTTGTAAGATATTTGTATTAAATGATATCAAAACGATCAGAACTTTTTTTATGATCCCTATCAAATATCTCAGAGGCCTATCTAGGCGGGAACCCCTTGTCCATGCTACCAGGTCTCTACCAGGATGCTGTCGAGATTACATACCGCTAGGGAATTTGATATATTTGGATATATCCTCTTTGCATTATTCAAGACAACCCTGGCGACTGGGAACGTTGAGTCAGGATATATGGCTCACATCTACAAAAATGCTCAAATAACTATTATCGCGGTCTTTTCATGCAACCAAAAACCGCCAATCCTTGTACCAAGAGCCCAGAATAGACAGGAGCTAGCCACATCCGACTTTCTGGAGCAAGACGGTTCGCGTTCCTTCGTTCACACGCACCGTCTGAGCCTAGATACAGTGAGGATGCCTCCGCCCGACCCAAAAAGTTGATTTCGAGAGGGTGGACCGAGCATATCTACCAAAGGGGCTGGACCTTCCAAGAAGACCTTCTGCCAAGTCGTGGAGTGCACTGCTTGAAATAGCCGTGTTGTATATTGCATTGCGATGAACACCAATTCTCCGAGAACAAAACCATATGTCCTCTTACTGCGCAGGAAGTCCAGTTTATTCTAAGTCAGATTAGTTGGACTACATAAGCGCATATTCCTCAAGTCGTTTAACATTTGCGTTGGATAAAGTGACAGCAATATCGGAAATTGCCAACGTGTTTTCGGAAGCTACCGGTGATGACTATCTTGCTGGCCTCTGGAAAAGCAATCTGACAATTGATTTGGCGTGGCACGTATGGGGAATACAGTTACCACCGGATGATTATCTCGCCGCCTCCTGGCCGTGGGCTTCCCTGAGACCAGGCGCGCCAGTATTGTTCCTGAGGATCAGGTGTAGAATTACACGACTCACCTCAGTGGTTGACACAAATGTCATATTGAAGCGTCGCAAGCTGTTCGGAGAAGTGAGAGATGGCTTCGTAAAACTGTACGGCCCTCTCCTGGTATCTACTACGCGACTTCCAGATGCACCGAGCGGCTGGATGACCTGGCCAGCAAAAATATCAACGGCAAGTCATTTCTCACCAGATACAAAACTATATGTGGGTGAGGACTTGCTGGACACAGGCGAGGGTGTTCCCATACGGTGTCGAAGTCTTTCGGATCGAAAGCTGAAGGAGCCGTTACTGAAGACACAAACGATACTGTTGCTTGTGGGAGAGTACATGGTCAAAAGGCCTTGGTTTTGGACGCTCTCTCCGTGTATATGACGCCTATGAGCGTTTAGGTCTGATAGAATTTGACAAGTGACACCTCGATGCGGCCATGAAGGTTGCAGTGAAATCCACGGTGACCATCGTCTAGTTCTGAATAACCTCGGGAAAAGTTCTAAAAAAAAAAAAAAAAAAAAAAAAAAAAAAAAAGGGACGGAGATCAGAGCGTGGAGATAAGATAAACCAAATCGTATCGCTTGGAAGGATTTTCCCATTGGACGATTGATGAAATGCTTAGATATTTGATCCTTTGAGGAATGACTCAGAATGAATGAATATGACACATTCAATGGATGGCCCACGTTGGACACAAACTTGTTCTTTTTATTTCCCCCTCTTTCCTGGTCTACTTATATCTGGATAGCATCACGCCTCAATTGAAGGTCAAAAAGTCAAGTTTACAAAGTCCACAATGGGGGCCACCACATCTACTCCAGAGGAACCCTGCACCCTAGTTCCAATCAACCTCCACAACGCAGCGGAATACACCGAACTCCAAATCCAACGCCAAAAATGCGGCTGGGACTTCGAAGATGCCAAGCTCGTCGAGTGGCGTGAAAAACAGGACGCAAAGCTCAAGTCGTTCTTTTGGATCACCATCCCCCCATTACCCACAGATAGTGGCGCAACTCGTATCCGCGCCGGCCACATCTCCCTAGACTCCTACGCTAGCCCCCCAGACCCCGAACTTGCCATGGCTGATCGCTCATGCCTCACCATCCAGACCTTTTTCATCCTCCCCCAATACCGGGGCGGCCTTGGGCGCAAAGCAATGGATTTGGTTGAGGAACTGGCAACCAAGGAGCCATACGGCAGCCCCCAGTGTAAATACCTCACACTGAACGCGATAAGCAAACGGTATTTCTACGAAGAGAGCGATTTCTGGAACAAGCTGGACCGGGTACGGCCGGAAGTTTGTACGGTCGAGTGGTATGAGAGACGGGGTTATGTGTATTGGAAGTCGGAACCGAGGTATAGGGAGCGGCGATTGGATGGGGATGAGGCGATGGTTTATTCAGATTTTCTGAGGAAGCCCTTGCTGAATTAGACGTGTTTGTTTTCGTCAGCTGGCTACGTTTGAGCGTGATGAGCGTTTAATGATATTTTCCAAGGGGGCTGTACATATGGAGCTTCCTGTTTTCTATGTACTGGATGTACGTATATGATATGGGAGGGTTAGTGATCAACGTGCGCATAGACTATTTACTATTTTGGAATGCTAGGGGTTGACATTGCATGAATCTCCACAAGCCCCTGAGGCACCATCAAGCATATTACACGTCGCAGACCCTGAAACAGACTCTCCTGCGAACCTAGTCTCAGGGTGCTACGCAATTGTCGTAGAATATGGGAAAGGCAACCACACACGTCTGTGGCTGATAGTGACTTCACCCCTTGCCTCAAGATCAAGGGGTAAGAAAACATATGGAGTTACGAGTGGAGCTGGGATGCACTCCCTGCCAAATTATTGGCACAGCATGCCCCAGAGCAACGCCCCATAACGGCAGGGCTTGTAGTTTAATTCCGCGTTATCGAGCTAGATCTGCGAGCCCTGAGCCCAACGGCACCCGGCGAGGTTCCTGCGCAGTGAGATCTTCGCATGCCTTGCAGTGATTTCAAGTCTATCTTAGTGGCTATGGTAAATGTAATATGATTACTACCAATTAGGTGATGCGGAGCCATTTTTTGCAGGAGAGATGGGCGAGCTTTGCCTCGTCGTGGTGATGATTGCCAATTTGTAGGGTGGTGATCTCTAAGGCACTCCACTCCGACTATAGAGTACGTAACGTCTGGAGATCAATTTGAATATATATATATATATATATATATATTTTGTCTTTATGATACGGTGTAGTGGGAGGACGATCCCCTGGCTTTTGGAGTATAAAGTAGGCCTCGCGACCGGTAGTTTTTGTTCTCCCATCATCGCAACTGTATCCTTTAAGCACCTATAGCAAACCTACAATCACTTACCCATACTGCCAAAATGAAGGCCGCCGCCATCCTTTCTCTCCTGAGCGTCGCTGGACTCGTCTCGGCTGCTCCGGCTAGCAACGGTATGTTCCTCGTATAGAGGACGAAGCAGGCATAGCTGATGATCCCTAGTCCCACCTCGAGAAGTTCTCGTCCGTGACCTTCCCGTTGTCGATAAGCTTCCTGTTGGCAAAGTCACTGACAAGCTTCCTCTGGGCGAGGTCACCGATAAGGTCCCCGTCGGCAAGGCCCTTGGTGGCATTGGACGTCGTCAGAACCTGGAGCAGGAGGTCGAGGGGGCACTGACCGACCGCAATCTTCCACTCGACGATAGACTACCGCTCGGTCAGGCTCTTGGAGCGCTTGGACGTCGTCACGACCCGCATGAGCATCATGACCACCCTGAGCACCACCGTGGGTCTGGTGAAGGGCATCATGACCGGGACTGGCGCGATGACCCGAATCGGGGACCTCCCTTCGAGCGTCCCCCCGGCCATGTTGGCGAGGGTCATGGACATGAAGGGCATGACAATGGCCGTGGGGTTGGCACTGGTTGGGGTAAGGGGCCTTCCGCGTGAGTGTGAAGTTGGCCTGGTTACCCAACTTACATTGGTCTGAAGCCATTGGCGGATCATAACAAAGAGGCGTGGTGTTGGCTCAGGATGTCATTGTTTCCGGAAATTAAGCCAACAATAGTCCCATCAGTAGCGGTTTTGAGTTGATCTTGGATGTATCGGTTTCATTTTTTTTGTTGATTAATTAGGTGTAACTATTCTAGCTCGGCCTTTGGAATTGTTAAACACGGGGATATCATCCCAAATAGCATCATTTGCCGGAGTATGTTGTAATCTCGAGAATCCTGATTAACTCTTGTGCGAGTCTTGGGTTACACCGCTAGCATGGCTATGCCACCAATGAAGCAGTTGTTTGTCCAACGGCTATCACCGGTTTTTAATTGAGGTGCTTGGCAGGAGGAGAGGAGGTGGATTGATGATAAGACATGTTTACTTATTTTATTGCGGGGAAAAAGGGTTCATGGATATTATTTAAACCCGAAATTCCGCATTTCCCTTTCCTCACCCCTTGATCCGCGCTTCAACCCGGAATTGTTTCCACCATGAAGGTATGTTGGCTTCATTCCTTTCTCTTTTTTCTGTTTTGGCCCCAGTGCATTGATGAAGGTATAAATAATTAATCCTTCATGATACAGTACTCTAAGCTTCTGCTGCTCCTGGCCAGCGTCGCACATGCCCTTGATGTGCCTCGGAAACCACACGCGCCTACAGGAGGAGGCAGCAAGCGTCTCACTTTTAATGAGACCGTAATTAAGCAAGCAATTGCCCCGAGCTCACGCTCGGTGCAATGGATCGCCGGCGTAAAGGATGGGTCGTACGTCTATGCGGCTGAAGATGGTGGTCTCAGCATCGAGAACATCGCCACCAATGAGTCGCGCACATTCGTCCCTGCGGACAAAGTTCCTGCAGGAGGTGCGACGTCCGGGTATTGGATCAACCCGGACTTGTCGTCGGTGTTGTGGGCGTCGAACTATACCAAGCAATATCGGCATTCGTTCTTTGCCGATTACTACGTCCAGGATGTCGCGTCATCCAAGTCCGTCCCCCTAGTGCCCGATCAGGAAGGTGATATTCAGGATGCCCGGTGGAGTCCGAAAGGCGATACAATCTCCTTTGTGCGCGGCAACGATCTTTTCCTCTGGGAAAATGGCACCGTTACTCGGATTACTGATGATGGTGGCCCGGACATGTTCCATGGCGTACCGGACTGGATCTACGAAGAAGAGATTCTGGGCGATCGCTTCGCGCAGTGGTTCTCGCCGGACGGTGAATATTTGGCCTTTTTGAGCTTCAATGAGACTGGTGTCCCGACCTACACTATTCCGTACTACATGAACGGTCAAGCGATTGCTCCGCCGTATCCGCGGGAGCTTAAGCTGCGGTATCCCAAGGTATCGCAGACAAATCCGACCGTGACATTGAATCTCCTCAACATCGCTAGCAAGAAGGTGACTCGGGCTCCGATCGACGCGTTCGAACCGAGCGACTTGATCATCGGGGAGGTGGCGTGGCTCACTGATACTCACACCACCGTTGCTGCCAAGGCGTTCAACCGTGTCCAGGATGAACAGAAGGTAGTTGCAGTCGATACTGCCTCGAACAAGGCTACAGTCATCAACGAGCGAGATGGAACAGACGGATGGATCGATAACTTGATCTCGATAGCTTATATCGGCTCTATCGAGTCATCTGACAAGACGGATTACTACATCGATATCTCTGATCACTCGGGATGGGCGCATCTGTATCTTTTCCCTGTTTCGGGCGGCGATGCTATCCCTCTGACCGAAGGCGAATGGGAAGTCACGACCATCCTTAGTATTGACAGGGAACGCCAGTTGGTGTACTACCTGTCGACCCAGCATCACAGCACCGAGCGTCATCTATACTCCGTGTCATATTCTTCGTTCGAAGTTATCCCGCTGGTCGACGACACCGTTGCTGCGTACTGGTCCGCTTCCTTCTCTGCGAGCTCAGGATACTACATCCTCTCGTACCTCGGACCAGATGTGCCTTACCAAGAACTTTATTCCACCAACAGTACCAAACCAATTCGCACAATCACCGAGAACGCCAAGGTAATCGAGAAGATCAAGGAATACGCCTTGCCAAACATTACCTACTTCGAACTCGACCTTCCCTCTGGAGAGACACTCAACGTGATGCAGCGACTACCCCCCGATTTCTCCGAGGACAAGAAGTATCCCATTCTTTTCACCCCGTACGGTGGCCCAGGAGCCCAGGAAGTATCCAAGAAATGGCAATCCCTGAACTTCAAGTCCTACGTTGCCTCTGATGAGGAATTAGAATACGTAACCTGGACCGTCGACAACCGGGGCACCGGTTTCAAGGGCCGCAAGTTCCGCTCCGCCGTCACCCGACAGCTCGGCCTCCTCGAAGCAGAAGACCAGATCTACGCGGCACAGCAAGCCGCTGACCTTCCCTGGATCGATGCAGACCACATCGGTATCTGGGGGTGGAGCTTCGGCGGCTACCTGACCAGCAAAGTTCTGGAGAAGGACAGCGACGCGTTCACCCTGGGTGTCATCACCGCTCCTGTCTCTGACTGGCGCTTCTATGACTCCATGTACACAGAGCGTTACATGAAGACCCTCTCGACGAACGAAGCAGGGTACAATACGAGCGCGGTCCGGAAGACGGACGGTTTCAAGAATGTAGAAGGTGGATTCTTGATCCAGCACGGCACGGGTGATGATAACGTTCACTTCCAGAACTCGGCTGCCTTGGTGGATCTCCTAATGGGTGCTGGTGTCTCGCCGTACAAGTTGGACTCTCAATGGTTTACGGACTCGGATCATGGCATTAGCTACCACGGCGGAAGTGTGTTTTTGTATAAGGAGCTGGCGAGAAAGCTGTATGATGAGAAGAACCGGCAAACGGAGGTGTTGCTGCACCAGTGGACTAAGAAGGACTTGAAGGAGTAACTGTTGCATTTTTGCGGTTTACTTTCCATATACTGCGTATGTACTTTTGAGGTGACGGCTAGAGCTAGGCAACGTACAAGAGGTTACAGATCAGGTTCACATTTCACTATAGATGGAGTCTCCCCGGGGATAGCGAACTTCAACAAACAGTGACACTAGTGGTTTGTTTGAGATATACTGGGCAATGAACTGTCTATCTTAATCATCAAGGTTAGCTTGATATAATCCAATATTCGAACATAGCAGATACCCGATGCGATGCCCAACCGGCCCCCTTTCCTAGAATATAGGACTACATATATTTACCATCACCCTTTGTGGGGCATTCCCTTCCCAACTTCTTTCCCCTCCCTTGGATTTGCGAATCATGGGTCTTTCTTCGAACTTTCTTTTTCGCGAATATCTAAGCTAAAGGCGAGGAGCTTGAGCTCTAGGACCAGGTTCAAAGGTCCTAAATCCCATCGTCAGCTGGCCCCAACAACCGGTACGATAATCAACTAACATATAAGCTCTCAGCCGAGATTCTCCCTTGCTTCTCCATATCCTGCCAAAACTTCCTAGCAGCTTCTTCGTAAGACTCAGCTGGAGTGTTCTCATTAATCGTCCCCGAAGCCATGGCTTGCGTCTATGCCTTGTTTCCGTTTCAACTTGACAAGAGCATCGTTTTTCGCCTGAGAATTGACCTGCAAGTAGACGTCCTTGATCCCGTCTATGGACTCCCCAGCGTCCAGGCGTAGTTAGGATATCGAACCATTGTAAGTTGGCTGCACTGGCGCAATACGCTTTTTTCCCGGGCGTTTGATTCTAGAGTACCTTTTTGTAAAACCCTCCCTTGAAAATTGCTACCTCGAATTGCTTAAGGACCTTCGGCATTATGGTTCAATGTAGTGAACGTAAGGTGATAATAGCTTCGGGGTCAAGCTAGAAAGTTTCCATGGGGGATGAAACCGAGAATGGGGATCGACCTGAACGACGTACACGTTGATAAAATGAGGAGTTATATATAGCCCTTTTGTTGGGTTCATGTCCTAGCCAAACGGTCGTTCGTCCGGTCTGTAACTGGTCATAGGATATATAATATTTAGCGTTAATGACGGCTGGAATTTTAACTATAGTGCGATCATGGTTTGTATATGTGTCTAAGGCATGCGACAGCCTGTGGCCATGGCCAGTAGGTGTCCAACTGCATACTGGCGTTGGAATGTCTCGCACTCAATTCCCCAAAATCAGAGAAGGAGCTGTAACCTTGCGCTCAGAACCAATAGACTCCGTCCTTGTAGCGCTGTATGAGGTGACGAGCAAGCCATTCATTGCGTGAAGTTTGCGGCGATTCGAATAAAGTGGACCTTAGCTGGACTAGCATGATTTAATCGCTTTTGGTTTTTATAGGAGCATCGATGGCTATTTATACGCTGTGAGTCCAGGAGGGGCTAATCAATGCTACATTCTACACGATTTGTGAAGCCCAAAGGAGGAATAGAGAATATAAGCATACCTAAAAGCAAAGAGCAGTGAGTCGAAGAAACCAAAAATACATCCACTGGGTCTTAAGAACAGAATTAAATGGGCAGCTTCCAGGGACTGGCATGGCAAGATGAGCCAGAGCATATGGTAACTACGAAGAGGTAGCAGCTAAAAGACGTGAACAAGACTAACCGTTCTACTACATGTATTTTAGGGTAGTTTTGTGGTAATATGTTGTAGCCGGGTTTACTAAGATTAAAGTGCAGTAAACCAGAAAATGGAACTTGATTCATATTCACCAAGCAGGAGAATAGGCGCATGCCAATGTCCTGCACCGAGCGGATAGCCTTGTGTGGTTTGGAAATATACATAAAACAGACTGCCAAGGAAAGTAGCTAGAAAAAGAAAATAGATGGATACCAAAGATATTGTTGTTCAAACAAACTGAATTCAGCCCAAGGATTATCTCCGACAAGGGAATTTTAAGACATTCGTGGGTGCGCATGAAAGGTTGGTATATACTAGACTAAAAGACACACGCTATGCACACTACAGGCCATAACCATTAAAGAAGAAGAGAAATTATATGAATAATAGGTCTACACCTTCATAGTTCCCCGGGTGGCTGGAGTAGTCAAGAAAATATGCGTCCTTCGAATCATATAGCGTCGTACTGGTCTATAGAATGCTCATGAAAACATAGTGGCCGCCAGGGGCGGAGAAAGGAACCAATTAGACCAGATGTCAGACGAAGGCGGCTTCAATCATATCAGGCAGGCAGTCAGGACAAGCAAACGCATGCACAGGTTGTGTATGTAGCAACCGAGAGGCATGGGCAGTAACAGATAATGTTATGGGAGACAACCGGATGGACAAGAATATTCAATCAAAAATGGGGCAGGGAGAGGCGACCAGCGTAAAGCCTAAGGCATGACTGCGTGCTAACTCCAAGCTATATAGGAAGATAGTACAGATAGTCTAAGAAAAAGGTAGAAAAGGAGAAGAATATCACAACATGAAGTATAACATTCGGATCGCAGCAGACAACGTTAGAGTGGGACACATATCCAATATACCAAGTACAAATACTCCCGCCAGTGTCGTATGGATACTTATAATATATGGAAATCAGGGCCGCTCTCGCGGCTTTCTAGCAAAGCTAAGATTATAATCAACTTAAACGATACTTTTATGCGAAATAGTTAGGTGATGGCGTGTTGCTAAACGCGCACAATCTATATCCGGGTATATCTTCGTATATATTCAAGCCCGCTAAGTTAGAGGGCCAGCATTCTGATTATCTAAGAATCAGAGGACATTTCTGTATCTATTACTTAAGCTGAGTATGTTGGACGTTATAATACTGTCCTGCATCTTCAATGGCTTTGTATCTCTCTGCAAGAAACAAACCTCCATCGCTTCCGCAAGCATTACGGCTGACCGTCAGCCTGCCATCACATTATCCGTAATTCAGAGTTCCATAAATGGACAATGTACTATGACACTACAGGGGCACTGTCTCCACTTTTGCTTCCAGAAAGTGTGTCTGTAGTGGTTTTACTAAGACTTAATCGTTTAAACCCCAAGATGTGCGACTGTATGCAAAACACTGCATACATGATGAGTACCCATGAGCTTCCGGACACGCTAGGTGGTGACTGTTCAGGCCTCGTATAAGATTAATGATGTGAGAATGAGCATTTAGCCCTAACTTAATATCAAAAGGAATAGTATATCAATTGTTCCCAAGGAACAATAATTGAGTTACTGCGTAGGTCTTATGACCGAAAACGAGAAAATAGCCAGGTTGCTCCCTCTACTCTAGATAGGAAGTAAGACTGTGATTAGTCTAGTTTGCTATAGGGTTTGTTAGGTGTGATTTTCCACCGCATAGGATCGAATTCTGCGCCTACTTATGACCTAAATCAAAAATAGTGGTTCAATCAAAGCAGGAGCTAGATACTCTATGTTGTAGCTAGAAGTGTAGCGACAATCACTGATGTTAACACTCGATGATTCAAGTCGCCGGTTGCAGCGAGACGTGTTGAATCTAAGAAGTGGCTCGAGCATCAACTGAGGACAGTGGTCGTGATGTCACTCGGATAGCCATCTCCTTCCCGAACCGGCGACTTCGCATATCTCACACGATGACAACATGACCGTTCCAATTCCAGACTCTCTTGTAGATCGAGTTCTTCAGCGACGCCAAAGTCCTCAACCTATGAAATAGATATCGGCCGCGTGACTAGATCGTGGACTCAATTAGTGCTTATCGCTGACGTCAGAAGCGGACCCTATCAGCTATAATAATGCTATCAAGTATAATAATAATAATGCTCGCTAATTGCAGGGGGACATATACAATGCTCCTTTTGGTTTTTCTACACATAACTTGAAGTTTGTAGCATCCGGACTGCATTGATTGTCTCATACAGTCTATCAACCAGCTTCATCCGCCATGCCTGACCGCAGCATCAAAACCAGGGGCACTCGCATTCGCAAGGATATCGAGGAGCTCACCCGTCAGGAACTGGACAAGCTTGTGAGGGCCTTCTATATGCTCCAGGCTGCAGACCCGGGGATGCTCCCAAATTTAAATGAAGAGTCCTTCTATGTTATTGCGGGATACCATGGCCAGCCCTTCAGGGGTGCAGGATACGGTAATATGAACTGGTGGGGAGGATATTGCCATCATGGCAATGTTCTCTTTCCAACTTGGCACCGGGCCTACCTGCTTCGTCTCGAGGAGGCCCTCAACAACGTGTCCGGCTCTACCGATGTGGCCCTTCCGTACTGGAACCAGTTCAAGAAGACGGGCGTCCCTAAGATCTTCACCGACAAGGAATACACCTTCTCGACCAAGGTCGCCCCCAGCGACTTCAATTCTAATGATATTCATACCACAGAGGGGGGTGCTTTCACAATTCGTAATCCACTGTATTCCTACAAGATGCAGCAACGCATTTACGATAACCTAAAGCGCGTCGCTGTCAGTGCAGACGGCCAAAAAACAAAGGCTATTGATTACAGCAAGTACAAAGATTATGAAACGGTGCGATGCCCCTATTCAGGCCTGGTCGGGCCGGGGGATCTGGATGAAACCAGAATATATAATGAAAGTGTCAAAAAACCAATCGAAGACCTCCAAAAGAATGTAACGGAATGGCTCGGCAACAAAAGCACGACTCTCGTCCCAGGCATGAGCGACCTATATGTCAGAGCTGCATTTGAGGCGCCGAACTACACCGTCTTCTCTAACACTACCTCGGCAGCGAAGTGGAATGATGACCAGTACGGTCGCCAGGCCACGTGGAATCCCAACTTTGCTGTCCCAGTGGAGGAACCTCACAACGGCATGCATCTGGCTGTCGGCGGTTACAGTTTCCCCGACGTAAATAATACTCGGCCCTACTTCCCCAAGTCGAACGGTGACATGGGAGAAAATGACACAGCGTCATTTGATCCTATTTTCTATTTCCACCATTCCTTTGTCGACTACATATTCGCACTGTGGCAAGATTTACACCAGGCCGAGGGTGTAAAGATCATTGAGAATTATCCAGGCACTAGTCCCATTGACAGCCAGGGTCCGACACCATTCACAGCAGCGGACTCTCACTTAAATATGAAAACTCCGTTGATCCCATTCAAACGTAATAAGACCGATTACCTGACATCTGAGGTACGTATCATTCATTGCGCTTCAAAGTATGAGTAACTCAAAGTGATCGGCTCTCTAGGATGTGGTGGATATCAAAGCCTGTGGCTATAACTATCAGCCACCTAAGATTCCACCGGCAGCCCCCGGACCAGTTGGATCGCCCAGTACAGTGCAGGTTGCCAAAGACACTAATCAGTCCGCCCTTCCTATCGTGCGAGTGTCAGGAATCAGCCGGGCGCAGCGTCCTGGGTCTTTCGTCATCCGTGTATTGGCAAGCACCGGGAAAAAGGAGGAAGTGGTAGGTATCGTGCCTGTCTTCAGCCGGTGGCACGTCCCTAGCTGTACCAACTGCAGCAACACCCTCGAGGTGACTGCACACAAAGTCCTGCATCCTGATTTGCTAGTCAACAACAATGAGAGGTTGATTCAACTCTCCCCTGAAAAGAGGCTGGAATGCGCAAAGTCCCTGAAGCTTAGATTGGAGGTGCTCGAAAACCCCCGCGCGGACCTTCCATATAAAGACATGCCAAAGGAGGGTTTACCTAAAACTGAAGGCCAGGTCTTGACTCCCCTTCACAAGGACAGTATTCTGGACCCAGACCCAACAGTAGAAGTACTACCATGCATGGTTACCAGCCCTATACGTTGATTGGCCTTTCCAATCTGCTTGTCGTGCTCTCTTCAACGCCCGAAGGGGGCGAGATGGGCACCAAAATGCCGAGAAGGGGAAGCCAGAGAGGAGAAAGGGGAGAAAAAAAAAAGGCTTTGCCTATTCCTTAGGAACCTGACTTGGTATTCGAACCGTTTAAAGGTTCATTTATATTATGCGGAGTCTGTACAAAAAGCTATGGCGATGTGGGAGAGTATTGTTACTTACTTCTTAGTGCAAACAGATGCAGAAGCCAGCATCACTCCAGAGTTCACATGGTTCAATTTTTCATGTAAGTGTGCGCCCAAAGTAGAGGTGGGATGGGATAAGAATGATCATATTTGTATGTAGTCTATTCATTGTAGGGACGCTATTTTGCACGCACACGCACGAGGATACGTCAAGATCACCAGAGGGTCTTGTAAGCTGTTCCAAAAAGCCGCAAAATTTATGCATTAGAACAAACAGGATCGACACAGGCAAACTTATTGTGATGGAGTCAGTTGGTGGGAATAAAAAGTCCAGCCATGGTACACCCATCTATATGAAAATAGATATCACCAAATGGTTATGTCCTGCATCGCGAAAGGGATTATATTGCTTCGACTATGCTATCTATAATATAAATGGCAGAAAGTCATAGAAGTTCCTTAGGATCTTGTATATCTCCCTTTTACCTCAAGAACAGCTTCAACCCTGCTTTTCATGCTCTTTCGCAAAGCATCTTGAATGTCTTGCCTGATGAATGTCGGTGGCAGCCCTAACACCTCCTCTGAGCCCTCATTTTTCTTATCATTCGACCTTTTGCAGTTTTTTGGAGATTTTCACTGGGCTTACTCCACATTTATAAAGGCCCCATGTATGTATATAAGCTAAGGTACGTACATACGTTTCCCACCCAATACCAACACCTCCATTAGCGCAAAAAAAGACCCGCCAACTAGTGCCTTAACCACGAGCTACTACTTAAACTAGCTACTAGCTATCATCCCATAGCCTCGAAAATTTCATTCCATCTCAAGAAACAACCCACCCCCCCCAACACAAGCACCATGGCCGAAATCTCCACCTCGGAGATCCTCCTCTCTCCCAGCTACCCCACCAAATCCGTCACCTTCACCCCGCAACGCGCGACCATCGTCCGCGAGATCCATACTTCTATTTTGGTAACCCATCTACCATAGTTTCTATTTAGTTTAACGACAAAGTAACTAGAGACATTAATGCGGGGTCTAGAGCGGTCAACACGAACTCACGATATTGGGCCTTGCTCCCAAGGTTGATGTAGATTCGATCCGGATCGAGGGCACGGGGGCGGCGACTATCACCGACATTCAGACGGAGATTGTGCCGCGGCGGGAGATGTTTGAGGATGTTTATCCTGTAGTCTCTGATGAAGGGGAGGGGAGTGAGGATTTGGCTGTGGGTGTGGAGTCGGAGGGTGAAGAGCTTGGGGGCGACGATCCGGAACTACGGGCTGTAAGGGCGGAGATCGCAGAGGTGGAGGTGCGGCTCGCGCGTGCGTGGAATGAGCAGGCGATGGCGGTTTCGATGCAGGGGATTTTGGATGAGTATGCGAAGAAGATAGATCCGGTGGACGCGGAGAAACTGGATGGGTTTCTCCAGATGTATGCGCGGCAGCGGGCTGCCGGGCTTGAGCGCGGTATCATTGGGCTGGGGTGGCTGTTGCGGAGGGGGAGAGGGAATTGGATCGGCTTGCAAGGAGGCGGGATCGAATTGAGGCGAAGCATCGGAGGGTGAGGGAGGGGGTATTGAAAGAGGCGCGGCGGGAGAGGGAAAAGCGGGAAAGGGAGAGGAAGAGGAGAAAGGAACAGCGAGAGAGGAAGAGGAATGAACGACGGGTGTTTTGGACGGCTCAGGTTGGGCAGGTTGTGGTGCATCTTGATAGTCAGTCGGTGGTTACGCCGGGGTCTAGTCGGCGCAGTTCGATTTTCGAACGGTCGTATGGTGACGCTTCGGACACGGCTCGTGGGCCGATCGATGTCACGCTGCGTCTGAGCTACGTTGTGCCCGGTGTGAGGTGGAGCCCTCGCTATGAACTGAGGATCAATACGCCGTCGTCGTCGGCGCGGATGGCATATCGGGCTGAGTTCCGGAATTCCAGCTCAGAGACGTGGAAAGATGCGCGTGTGACTTTGTCAACATCGCAGGCTTCGTTTTCGGGTCTGGAACAGCGGATTCCATCTTTGCAGCCTTGGCATATTAAGTTGCTCGATGCTATTCGAGGTGAGAACCAAGAGCATCCCTCATGGCAAAGAATTCTGAACGGTGGATACGCAAATAAGCCTGTGAGTAGCTCTAACAATGTACACTACTGTCGGATGAAACTAATCATTGAGGAACGGGATAAGTTCAACGGTTTGTCGACCAAAACCCACAGTCTATTCCATCCTCGTTCGTTTGGCGGAGGCCTTTTTGGAAATACAAATACTTCCTTTCAGGCTCAGGGGGCCACGTCTCTTTTTGGTGGTGCAGTAGGACTAGGACAGAGTCAACCAGCATCGTCCGGGGCGAGTCTTTTTGGAGCTGCTCCAACCCCAAATCAAGAAACACAGACTGTCTCAATCTCATTTTGGTGGAGCAGCTCAAGCACCACCACCAGAACCATCTGCACCGAGTGCGGGTGAGATATCATCCACCCAGAACCCACAGGTTGTGTCTGGACGCCTTTTTGGGAGGATTGGTCAAACAAGCGGTTTTGGGGGGATGGCTCAACAGGCGTCATCTGGGGGCCTTTTCGGCGCGGCAACGAAACCGTCTGGCACATCGCTTTTTGGGAACGCTCCAGCAGCAGAGTCATCACAGGGTCGAACAGTACAGGAGGCTAAAGATGATACCGCAGACGAAGAAGAAGATGAATACGACATTGAAAATGAATCACTTGCGGCAGCCAGTCTAGAACACCAGGAATCGGTCCAGCAAGACTATGGACTCACTACGACGTACGATTTGCCGGGCCATCGGACCCTCATTCCATCAAACAATAATAGACGTCATATCCTGGCCGATCTGGATTTGAAATCTGTTACCCTCTCCCATATCATCGTGCCCAAGCACAGCGCAGAGGCATTTTTCCGTGCGCAGGTCAAAAATACACCATCGTTGAGAATCCTGCGCGGCAAAGTAGGCTTGACTGTTGATGAAACGTTCCTCGGGACTGCAACGATACCCAATTGCACGCCAGGTAGTTTCTTCAACGTTTCCTTGGGTGTTGATCCCTCGATTCTGGTGACATACGGTAAGCCAACAGTGCGGCGATTGAATGGTGGGTTCTTTACGGGGCAAGTGGGAGCTGTGTTCCGGCGCACCTGTCATATCAAGAATACCAAGAGCGTCGCTGTGGATATCACTGTCTTGGACCAGGTGCCGGTAAGCGAGGATAAGGAGCTTCAGGTTGAAATCCTGGAGCCCAAAGGTTTGGATGAGAAAGACGATGGAGTGAAATTGGATATGGAAGCGAGCCATGGCAGCGGAAAGGCAACCATGGAAAAGAAGGGGGAGGTTAAATGGGCGATACACTTGGAACCAGGCAGGGACGTTCGAGTGGTGTTGGAATATGGGACGAAAGCGCCAAGAGGGCGCGAGGTGGACTCAGCGTGATACTACGACAGTGCTGTCACATATGGTTCTCAGGTTCTGGCTATCAGATCCTCGTATATTGTTTCCTTGAAATCCAGCCATTGTTAATACTATGATCTCAAAGAATGGTCCTCTCTCTTTCTCAAGTAATGAAAATCGCCCTACATCCTCTCCATAAAGAATGGCCTGATATTGACAGGGTTATGCAACCAATAAAGCTCCAGATCGCAGAAGAGAAATAGGAAACCATCTCATCAAGATGCAAGATCGCGAGTATCACCCGAATAGGAAAAGACCAATGCTTCATCTATAACCAGCGCCTTTAACACTCAATCCCCAAGACACTAATAACTAACCCTCTCAACCTCAAATACAGTCCCCCCCCACCCACAACATAAAAGCCATATATCCCCCTAGGCCCCTCCATCTGACCACCCACCCTCCGCGCCGCCTAACGCGCCGGCATCCGCATCTTCATCTCCGCATCCTGGAACTATGACTGGAGCCGCACGATACTAGGCCAACAGGAGAGCTACAATCTGTACATCTCCTTCCGGAACCCCGTGGAACTCACGTCGGATATTAAACCCGTGTATCTTTTTTTGCGGGGTGTTGGCTGAGGTTTTCTTCTCTGTGGCCGGGCATGGGGATATCTCGCCGGCGAACCACGGGGTGTGGGATCCCGCGAAGAAGAGGATGGAGGTTTGGGAAACAGAAGTGGAGAAGTGGCATTGGAGTACGGAGAGGGGTGCGGCGGAGTTTGCGGCGGGAGTTGCGGGGAGGGATGATGCTGTTAACGGGGATATTTTGGAGGGTTTGTCCGGAAGTATATATGTTGGGAGAGATTGCCGAGATTTATGGGCGGGTTAGGGAGTGGAGATCGAGGTTTTGTATAACGGAAGTGTGGAGGAGTTGAGGAAAGGGTTCTGTTGGCCAGGAGGATGGGAGATAAGGGACGAGTTTGGGAGTATATTGGGTGGTTTATCAGTTGTATAGGGTTATGGGACATGGGACTTCGGAGAGCATCAGAATGGGGAGATGGGGTACAGACGACTTCTTTGGAGGAGTTTTTGAGAGAGAATCCTTCTGTTTAGGAGTTTGAGGTCTTAGGGGTTTGATATTGATGGGACTTTCGTCAATCGAACAAGAAGCCGAGAGATCATCAAATAAGCTGATGCCGACTAAATGTAGGGCCATCCCGTGTAGATTGCAGCCGGGGGTATGCCACGGCCATACACACGGCCATATCCGCGGTAATATTCGCGAGAGTATCGACGACTGTTCGACTAGGGTAAATACTCGAGTTGGAAAATACTATGTTTGAGTATATAACAGGTAGGTGTTTGACTTCGCTGCTATTTCTTGACGAGAGTAGCTAGAGGCCGTCCCGTCACCCCTTATAGTAGATATGCTAGTAAGTATGTACATACGGTGTTAGTTAGTACATAAGCTTCGAGTTCATCTCCGGTCAAACGAAGCTGGCAGAGGAAGGGGTTCACTTGGGTGTGGGTGATGTATGGATGTGGCATTTGATTTGTGAAGAGGTGTGATAGATGGTATGTGCTATGGTTCTGGGAAGAAAAGGGTGTGTTCAATTATGCGTATAGTTTGAATAGTTAAGGGCTAGACTAGACTAGAGGGCGATATCAGTTTCTATTGACCTGGTATGCATATTCAGTACACAGTCCCGGACAGGCCTAGTGCAGCGTATGGAACGGGAATGGTGGGTAAACCGAAACGGGTAATTTATTAGTAGGGCTAAAGATAGCATCGCAAAAGTGGAAACTCACCCCGGGTAAAAGCTCCATATCAGGGACCCAGTTTCATTTACTGGGTATCGATAGGGAGGGTAATTAGGACAAAATTAGCCATTTCTGGTGTCAATGATGCATTCACACCTAGTGTAGTGAATCAATTGCTGTCCGGGAGAGATGTGCTTCGTATGGGTTCTCGTGTCTCGTAAATATATATTTTCAGGTTGAAGCTGTCATTTATGCTCCAGCACGAAAAAGCTGTCGCTGGCTATAAATCCTTCATACGGCCAATTATTTCCACTACTTACATTGAGAACCCACCTATTGAGAACCGTATAGTACATATCTTATCTTCATTCAACGTTGTCTACTTTTCTACCGGATAAGAACGGAGAACGTGATTGATTCAATGGCAGGTTTTCCAACCGAGGCAAAACCACGACTAACCCCAAGGGGTAATGATGCCTCAGGCTGCGATAACGACAACTGCGACCGTCACGGGAATTGGCAGCCCTGACTCATAACATCAAGGCTGTGTCGGAATTCCTCAACAAATGGAATCCTGACCATCTCAATTGTCTCGAATGGTTTCTGAGATATTGCCAAGGTCGATAATCATACGTAGGATAACTCCGTAGTACACGGAATCTGACAGCAAACAGCGAAAATCGGAGGCAACACGGAAGATTTCGGCGAGTCACAAGAACATGCTAGCAAACGTTAAGCGCAAGCCTAAAGTTAGCACAAGATTCGACTGCAGGTTTCGAACCTGTTCATGTGCTGTGATCCCTGCTACATCTGGTATGCCAGATAGATTAATTCAGGGTTACGTAATGGTGCAGGGAGACTGAGAGCGCCAATGACATCTTCCGATCCACGGAGCTCTGGAATTGAATTTGGGAGGAAATGACCAAAGGATGGAATCCAAAGTTTCTTTTGTCTGGTAGTATCTATAGGGGAAGGGGAGCTGAGATAGGAAAGGAAAAAAAAGAAAGAAAAGAAGATAACGGGAATCAAAGAGATGCAAATTATATGAGACCTGTCGCTTGCTCCTAGTTATTATTACCATTAATATTTGGTTTGTTTTTCTTCTCTTGGCTTGGGAGTTCATAGAGGGTGAGATTATTTTTTCATTAGTGCTGACCAAAGAATTTTCGGGTTCATCCACCGACGGGTCGTTTTCGTCGACGTCGGGATCTCTCAGGAGAGGAGTTCTCTGATGTATCAAAAGCTATATAACCTGGACACCACCCTCGGAAGGGAATGAGACGGCCTCAGTCCTTCATCATGAGCAGATTGGGGGTTGGGGTGCGTGGTGGGAAGGAGCCAGCGTCAAGCATTCTTGTCTTGCACTGAAGCGGGTTCTCCTAAAACGGGAGGATCCCAATAGGAGAGTCGGTGAGCTCATCCTTATCCTCAGAGATCCGAACTAGTGTCTAGTCGGGAAGCCTCCAGTTCTCTCCGTGGAAAAGAGCTGGAGCCAACTACGCCTTTATAGCCACTGCTGTCAGGCTTTTGTTTCCTTCCACCCGAAGCCATTGGGTCTATTTCCCTCGGGTTGACCGTCAGAGAAATCCCGCTTTCCCTTCACACCTCAGTTTTTTTTTCTTTTTGATTTATTTTTTTGTTTGGGAGAGTCCGGTTGGTGGTGGAGCCGCATGCCCGATTCGGCCCGGTTGATTCGAGTCCGAAGAAGAAGACCAGAAATTAGCTTGCCGCATGCAGCTATTCATTGGTTGAATCGGTGCGCCTGGTGGATCTGAACCGCTCCATCGGACCCATCGTGAATGCAGGGATCCACTGCAGGAGAAAATTCTCTCGCGCCTTCTATGTTTTTCGCCCTGTCCTTTTTTTGGGATGTATCCTTTACGAGCATATAGTAGGCCTTTTTTTTATTGTAGCCCGGCAACTGTTACTTGGGGATGGGAAGGGCAGACCGGAGGGTATTTGTACTCAGTAGGACCCAAAAATATATGGGTACGACTCAGAAGATTGCCATGGAAATTGGCGTAGATACCAATGGGTCTGAATGGAGCATCAAGTGGATGCCAGTTTCGCAACCGCAACGGGGACTCGTCGACAACACATCCAGCTCCATTCGCGGACCTGCGCGGCCACCTAGCAGCAGGAATTATTGGCTGTACCAGAAGAATCCTCCCTTGGCCCCATCCCGAACCAACCCGATCAGTCAGAGGCATCCCTGGGCAACAAAGGATGTGCGTGGAAAGATAGGGATATACACGCAGTAGGGCTTTTTCTCAACAGCGCACTAAGACCGACGGGGGTCGGATGTGTGGGAAAACGAGCGAAAATTTAGCGGGAGAGTATTTATGTCCCGGAAGGCCTCTGTTGTCAACTTCTCCAGCTTTTTTCCCTCCTAAAAAGTTCTTCTCCCTCCCATTCCTTTCCACTTCTCTTCTCTCCTCTCTCTCTCCATCCCAAGAGAAAGAAAATTTTAAATCAATTACCATCACAATGGCCTCCTCTCGTGTCTTTGCCTCTCGCCTGGCCTCTACCATGGCCGCAACCACCAAGGTTGCTCGCCCGGCCGCTCGCTTCGCTGCCCCCAAGCGTACCTTCACCACCCAGCGCAAGACTGCTATCCCCATGACCCCCTTCCAGACCGTCAAGCGCCAGCAGCCCTCCATGATCCAGGCCAACGCTCGCCAGGTCTTCGCCAACGTCCAGGCCCGCCGCCAGTACTCCTCTGAGATCGCCGACGCCATGGTCCAGGTCTCCCAGAACATGGGTATGGGTACCGCCGCCGTCGGTCTCGGTGGTGCCGGTATCGGTATCGGTCTCGTCTTCGGTGCCCTCCTCCTCGGTGTCTCCCGCAACCCTGCCCTCCGTGGCCAGCTCTTCTCCTACGCCATTCTTGGTTTCGCCTTCGTTGAGGCCATCGGTCTGTTCGACCTGATGGTTGCCATGATGTGCAAGTACGTTTAAACGGATCGTTTTAAGTAACGGCATCCGAAAGGGGCATATGAGGCAAATGCAATTTCCTTTATTCTCAAAGCCATGTCGAAATTGAACCGCGCCGTTCAGTTAGGAGGTAATTTTTTGTGGTGGTCTTTTTATATATCATGTACTACTTTCCCGGCATCATCTATCATCCAAATACACTGTACATATAGAGTTTAAAATGGCCACTTTAAAACTCCAAATTTGTTCTCTTCCTCGATCACATTCCGCTTGTATATTAGTTCCCTGATATCCCATCTGTTTCTTCGACGGTTTTGGCCACGGTGGTCGGTTAGCTGGGCTTTCCCTCTCTTTTTACCCCGGACTTTTTGGCAGCGTGTAAACTGGAGCCCAATTGTCTATCCCAGAAGCAGCAATCTGTCCCGTGGCTTTCCTACGATCAGGCTATAACGCTAGAGGCTACAAATCTGGAGAAAGCTTTGAGATTCTTGAGCTGAGATCGATTGTACACCGCTAGCAGAGGTCAATTGACCCGGTGGATAACGGGAGGAAGCTTCCCCGGCTACGTTGACCATAACTGGCGGTGGCAGGGGAAATAAACGCCACTGTGACCCCATTGGTATCAAACATCCGCTAGACAAAATAGCAAGATTGTGAGACGAAAACCAAGGTAGGAGAAACCAAGAGAAAAAAGAAAAAAACAAGAGAGGGAGCAACGATGAAACAATGAAACCTCAATCTCCGCCAGGGTGTAATCGACATGCATCCCGTGAGACACCAGTCTCAAGAAGTTGAGCAAAAATTGAGCAAAAAGGGTTGCCGTTGTGGATCTCGATCCGGGATCGTGAACGTCACCGCTCACCAACCATACCCGGAAATGAGTTCTAACCTGGACCAGTAGAGCTCGCCAGGACCGATGAAAAAAAATTTTCATAGTCATAATAAAGCCAGCGGAACAGCCACCTGCAGCAAAAAACCACTGAACCTTCATCCATGCATGAAGAAAAATTTTTTTTGTGTTACGTTCAACAAACAATCAATGGCCCTGACAGCTCAGACCATGTCCGTGATAGCTCCAGGATCCTCGGTAGAAGCGCAGGAGCTAATGGCGGACTAGAGCTGCGCCAAGGTCGTCCCATGATACATCCCACCAGACGCAGGTCCACTCGTCGCCATCGCCTCGATCCCTGCGGTGATCGCGTTTCTTTCCCTGTTCGCCTTGCAGGTCTGTATATAGTTGCGCTGAGAGGTATTACCTGCGTGTGTGCGGTAAGTGGCTTGAATGGTGAATCATGACAGCATCTAGAACAGACTTGCCCATCGAGCTCTTGACGTCGTGTTCAATTCGTTCACTGGGCTCGGAGTTGCCCGATCACGTGAAACATATGGGACAACGTCGGTCTACTCATGTGACGCTCTCGAATCACTTCACACTTCCATTACTCCGTGGGAGATACGACAAGGACTACAATCTACTGTAAACAATTGACCCGACTACTAGAAAGCAAAATAACATCTCAGATATCATGAGGCACATTCCCGTATCCCCCATATCCCCCATATACCACCAAAAGACCTCCCTCCCGAATCCCACGATAATAAAGCGGGATATAATTCTTCCCCCACGATATCCTCGGCACGCATTCCGTAGAACATGAACATCTCTAACCCCCCAAACCCCCATAAGATAACCAACACATATAACGAAGCTAACATCATCCCCAAATCCCGCTCTAATCAAACACAACCATGACAACCCAACAACCCCCCCGAAGCTTCACAGCCCACCTCCTCTCCTCCTTCACATCCCCCATCTCCTCTCTCCCAACGCCCACCCCAGATCCCATCTACAAGCCCGCAGAGGTGCCCCTGATCAAGAATGCAAAGAGATTGACTACCACACGGACCAAGCAGCTCATGCGCGCTGCGGAACGGGCACATGATGATCCGCCACCTCCGCCGGGGCTGGGCGAGTGCTGTGGGAGCTCGTGTGATCCGTGCGTGACTGATCTGTGGAGAGAGGAACTGGCATGTTGGAGGGAGCGTTGGGGGGAAGGGGCTGTGGAGAAGAAGGAGGAGGAGGAGGAGGATGGGGATGATAGTAACAGGGATGGGATTGGGGAGAAGGGAAGAGGGAGGTGTATGCCTGGGAGTTTCGAGTGGTGATTCTTTTTCTATCTACTTCTTTTTTTGGGGTCTAATGTCTGGAGTATGTATGAATAGATGGGTTGGTTATGAGGTATGAGTTTTGCTTTCTTCGTAGGGGAGCTAACGGTGTATGGATAGATGTGCTGATATATTATACCTTAGATCTGGTTGTCTATGAATGTTATATGGGTTTTGGCTTTGTACAGGATATAGATGGGAAGGTATAAGAACGATATTCCAAGTCTTCTCAAAGGCTTCATAGACTCTGCTTGAAGCTCCTCGAAAATCAAGGCGGAGCTTGCCTTGACAAGATACAGTGCGTGCACTTTTTGGATGAAGAGACTTGCGTGATGGGGTCAAGACATTTTCGACGGGTTTCCTAAAATTCTCCATGCAGACCTTTTTACTGCATCAACTACTGGAATCTTATTTCTTTGTGGTCCACCCGCAGAGACCTTTCAACACCTAGATTATATGATATGTTTTCAATCTACCTGTCGATCTTCCTGCGCGACAACATGGCGAATGTGAGGTAATTCAGTACCCGCATGCCCAGCACTCATCTGCGTCTATCTGTCTGACCCGTAACTTGGTACTCTCTGAAAATGCACTTGACTTGAGTGATGATGTCCCCGATGATCCGGCAGAGAATGATCTCGTAGAAGCAGACAACGATATTTGGGTGCCTGGTACTCGATGACCCAAATCTATTTGCTAATCTGGGAGACGCCGGAGGCGGCATTAACATTCGATCCCCCGCGGAGTCTTCCATGTTGAGTCAGTTCTCTTGTTGACATGACACTCGAAAGACCATTTCACATACTGTCAAGTGAGTTTTGACCACGTGAGTCAATGTTTCCCCTTTCTCAACCCTGTTCCTAGCCAACGAGGTCGAGGAGACTCCGTTTACAAATGAAGGTGTAGGGGAGTTCTTTGGAAGATGCCACCTAGATGATGAGTTTGAGAAGGAAGTGGAACAGAATCTGGGTTAGCGTTAATTGTATCTGAGGGCCTTTCCTGACACTTTTATCACGTTTTTAAATAGAGTCTCTTGATCCTTGCTGTTTAATAAACTTGTCCAGTCTAGGGCTGAACAAGAGACATGCCAGCTATCGAAGACTGCCAGATGCATAGACCTCACTAACGGATGTGGGGGGTGTATGATGGAGCATGCTGTTTTCTGCTTGGGTGTTGCTTATCTCTTGTGGTGAAAAACAGTGTATTCTAAGCCCAGATAGCTTGTCTACTATAGGTGAACAGGATCAATGGGATGAACTTGAAATCCAAATGATCAATACCGCTGTAGAACCATATCCTGTCGCCATCTCTCGCAGTAAGTCGTTTTGAAGGAACGACATTGCTTCGTAGAAAAGTGTGCCACAGGGACAACATCCCTTTCTGCCAGAGAATGATGGGCATTTAGGTACTTTTAGGTATAGCTCGTAACTGGGAACCTCGTATGGACTAGACAGGCTTTGTCAATAAACAGGAGCTTCAGATGTCTGAAGTGGCAAGCCGAAAATACCCCGTCATTGAGCTCTTTTTGTAACTCGCGAGTAAGTCTTGTTTAGCACCTATCGAATTTGAGGTCCGAGTTTTTCTTGCGGTGGATATCAAGCCTAGCCAGGAATGTTTTACATTACCTCTAGGTCTGAGCCCACATATCGGTTTCGGAGGCAAAGGGTGGGATTGTGGGCTGGAACAGGGCCTGCACCTTGGACAAATTTGCCATCTCAGCCAGGATCAGCATCCAATCCCAGTTGTGAAAGACCACGGTTCCATCAGACATATTCTCGGAGCAGTTTGGTGTTGCCTCTGGGTTGTTAGTGGCGTAGATATGTCCTTGCAGCTCTTGATGGACATGCGATTGGTTGTCACCATCTCGTAGCCCGACAAGTTAATAGCGACGGCCTTGAGTAAGAGGTTGAATGTTGAAGTAGCCTCATAGCAGTATGGAATCGCTATCTATGCGGAGACGGATTGAGTACCACTACCAATGAAGACGCCATGGCATGAATGGGACATTCTCTACTTGCATGTGAGAATGGCTCTGCATGCAAAATGAGACTTATGGATCGGGCTTGGACTGTCTATGGGACAGAAACATCCAGAGGCCCGGTAGATTAGCACATGTATGCAAGGGCCGCATCTAAGTTATGAATGTAATTGTTCATAGGAAGTTACGACAGTTATTGCAGGGTATAGCCAGCAGGGACGTTCACATCTGTTTCTGTGACTTCCTGGTCTGCCAATTGATCAAAGATCCAATGACGAATCCTGTCATCAGACCCACACGGGACCTCGTTAGAATGAAACTAGCCTTATTATGTGAAAATAATATCTCCGGCTTGTGGGGGAGTAAACTCCCACCAGTCGATGTCCGCACCGACACATGATACCCATTGAAGACCTGCACATTCATGCGTGGTGTGGGTATTTTTTCACCGGTAGATATAAAACATGCCCCCCAGGGATGAATAATTTAAGAGATCCATAATTTGTCAAGAGGAAGATAAATGTAGAACATAGGTCTTATGTTGATGCCGCGTCTTGTTTCAAGATTCGTAGATGGTTGGAAATGAGGATAGAGGAAGGGCAGGAAGGGTCTTATAATCCTACGTTATCCTACGTTAAATTGTAGAGGAAGAGTGGAAATTTCTCTATTCCGTTTCCTGTATTGATTGTGACTTTTTCTTTTAAATTTTGTGCCGTCCACTGGAGTAATAGGAGTCTGTTTTTTTAGAAGAGTAGATTAATATCATTCACTAGGCAAGGGCATTTGCGGATAGTCATCAGGGCAAGTATCTGTCTCATTCTGATCACATACAGACTTTTTCCATGAACGGAAGGGAATAGAAATTGAAATATGAAAAGGTGGATTTTCCAAACCCCCAAGCGTAAGAGCCGCCCATTAACGGACACCCTAAGGAGTCTCGGAAACATTGTACACCAGCTTCTGCCCACTGACCTTGTCCTCCTTCATCAATTGCATTCCCTCCAACACACCCTTCAATCCATCGGCGCAAACCTTGGGGGGGTGCACCTTGATCTTACCCTGCGCAATCAAGGGCTCGGAAAGGGACCAGAACATCTCACCGAATTCCTTGTCCTGAGGCTTCGCAGGAATCTTGTGCTCACCGAAGCTGAACGCCTCTCCGATGACAGTGTACCCAAGAGTTGCGCGATCATTGACATTCTCACGCTCAATCTTGCTGTTGAGCAGGTTGCTGTACTCCCCACCCTTGGTAGAAAGAGCGTTGTCACAGAACTTAGCACTGGCTTCCAGAGAGATAGTGTCGAAAACTAGTCTCAGGTTGTCGTTGGTAGCCTCGCGGATAGCCTGAGCGGACTTAGGGTCACGGTAGTCATATACTTCATCCGCACCGAGCTTCTTAACCAAGCCGAAATTGTGAGGCGAGCAGGTGGTGATAACCTTGTAGCCCGAAAGCTTGGCATACTGGATCGCCAGCGATCCGGTAGCAGTCGAACCGCCGTAGATCAGAATCGGCTCTGGCTCGGAGATGGGTTCGGTTGGCAGAGCCAATTTCAGACTTTGATACAGGCCTTGGCCAACAGTAGTAATGCCGACTCCCAAAGTGGCAGCTTCTTGGAAGCTCAACGACTCGGGGATGTGCATCTGGAGATCACCCTTCGCAACGATATACTCAGCGAAGCAGCCGTCCTCGGGTTGCACGGCGTTGGAGCCATGGGTAAAGCCGCAGACCCGGTCGCCTTTGCGGAAGGACTTTTTAACGTCCTTGCCTACTTCCTCAACAATTCCAGCGTAGTCACATCCGACCAGGGAGCCGGGAATTCCGAGATATTCAACATGCTTCCAATCGGTGGGGTTCAATGCTACACTGACAGTTTTAACAAGGATATAGTCGTCGCGAAGCTTAGGTATCGGGCGGTCCGAGACAAGGGATGCCTTTTTGGGAGCGGTGATAACAACAGCCTTCTGGGACATTTTGAACATATATAGAGAGGGGAAGAGCTAATTGATTGATTGATTCAAGTGTGATCCGGACAGAACAGAGGTTGGGGATTAGGGTTACATAAAGAAATAGGGAAAGCAGTGATGCCATGATGACAAATCGCAATTAGTAGGATTACTAATCACGAGATTCATAAGCCTAGTTTCAACTCAATTCTCCAGCTCCATCTCCACCTTCCAACGATTACTGAACAACTTCTCGGTTGTTAGACTAGTATGTTCTAAGTCCTGTAGCATGGGTAAGTTGCCTTGCACTTTTCATTTGCTCCCCAGATCTCCATACCGTATAACACTGACCAAAACATGAGAATAGTTAGTCTTTTTCTTGGTAGTACACCAGAAAATCTCATGTGGGTGTTATCGATATCATTTATACCCAGTCTACTCTGACGAATGAATGCTAGCTACTAAATATGTGGTGGATCGGCTCAATGATATCCCGGTGTGCATACAGAGGAGCATTTGATTAGAAAGCACAGAAATATCATTTTCTTCGCACCGAGTAGCCGGTGTGGTTTCTATAGGTCTCCCTGTACTCATTCCACAATGACTCCCTCCCCACGGGAGCGCGTCTCTCGAGCCTGCGAACATTGTCGTTCGCGGAAGATTAAATGTAATGGCGAACAGCCATGCAACGCGTGCTCACGAAACCCTCAAAGATGTGCCTATCGGACAGGTAGCATACGTAACAGAAAGAGCCGCCAGAGCAAAGAACAACCACGGGCCCCGGCACCATTATTACCGGCCCCACAGTCCCCAGCACCACTGCGTGGGGATTACTCAAATATTCGCCTCATTGACGACCCCGCCCACTACAAACGACAGTATGAGCTGAGGGCCGGCATTGGGGTATCAAATCCTGAGAGCGGAAACTTCCAATTCTACGGTTAGTGCAACGGGTGCATTTTGTAAGAATTTTATCCATGCTGATCATGTTCAGGTCCGTCATCTGGGTGCGCTTTCCTTCAAAGAATCTACCAAAGAATTCAAAAATGCCCTTCTCGTGAATCATTACTCACATGTCGTACTGGACCGATACCCGACGGCTTGCAAAAATGGGGCATAGAGAGATTTATGTTTACCGCCGATGCGGACGGAGACCTGCGCCGGTCACGCTTGGCAGCGGAGGCTTTCCTCCCTCAATGTCTAGGCGATATGTTTATTGAGGCGTATTTTAGAATTGTCCACGCACAGATGCCGGTGCTCGTATACTCAGACATCCTTGATTCGTGGAATCAGATGTGGGAGACTCCTATACGAGGCCGGCCGGTAAAAAACCAGGAAATCCTATTCATGGTCTTAGCCCTCGGGGCGCGTGTGATCAGGCTAAAGAAAAGCGAGCAAGAAAATCGGGCGGACGAATGGGCCGAATATTTCTCCAGTCGAGTGTCCGAAGGTTCTATTTTCATGCAGGAGCCGAGCGTAAAAGGTGTGCATCTAATGTTGCTGAAGGTACGCATCGCTCTAGCTTCATTCGGGTAGATACATATTGACGTCGCAGGCCATGTACTCTCTACAACTCATGCGGCAGAATGATGCGTATCTGTATCTCGGTCATGCTACTAGAACCGCCATGGTATTAGGCCTTCATCGATCCCAAGTTACTAACGGCCGAGAACCAAGCATGCACCGGTTGCGCCATACTTTTTGGATTATGTATATTTTCGAGCGATTATCATCCGTGTATATGGGCCGGCCTTCGTCCTTGTCTGATAACCAGATAGATACGCAATATCCTGAAGACATACCGTCCTACAAGGACGAGCTTTTTCATCTCCCAGCAGTCGAATGTACGTGGACCAGGGTTATGGCTGAAATTGCCAAGTTGGCCGATCACATCTCTGTCGACGTCTACTCACCCGCTAGCATCAAGAGTCTTGCGGACACAGCAAAGGTGGAGCAGACGCTCCTCGATTACGACGCGGCCTTGCAAGCTACCACCAGATGTCTGCCGGAGTACCTGCACTTCTTCGATGACTCCGTACCGGTCGGTGAAGACTGGCAAGAAATTCAACGCCTCAGTCTAGGATTCGCCTACAATATAGTGCGCATGCTTTTGTACCGACCGGCTCTGGTGTTGACCACATTTTTCACCTCGACGAGCGAAGCACAACGCATCGCCGCAGGCTGTCTTCGTTTGCAAGAGTGCATCGATAACTCGACGACGGCAGCACGAAACCTGATCAGCTTGGCCCACGACGTCTATTTTCAGCGGTTCCCTGACATCCGGTACGACGGGGCGCTGGCTTCCTATATGGTCTCCGCAATTATGACCTTACTGTACGACGTCTTGAACCTGGGAACCGAACCGGATAAGGCGCGCGAAACATTTGCGTTGGTGGAGCAGGGTATCCGATGTTTAGATGACATTGAGCATACCGGATACACTGTTGGGAAAGTTTTAAGTATGGACCTGATGAAGGTGGCCAAGCAGGCGGTTTTGGCAGCGGATCCAGTGGTGGACACGAATCAAGTTTTAGTTGATTCGTTCCCTTGGTTAGAGTATGGACTCCCTCTCCTTTCCCCCCCCTTCTCGGGGATTCCTTGTTTATACTAACTGAACAGGAACTGGGCCCCTGACAACACGATTAATACCCCCAGTACTGTTCCAACGCCGCCGATATTCCCTCAGAATGCAGCCTTTCCTATGCTTGGAACGCTTGCAGGAGACGTTGCGATGCTGTCGGGATCTGGGGTTAATTGTCAATGGTTGAGCAATGGCCTGGATCCGAGGAGCATCCCTGGATGTTTATACTGATCAAGAATAATTTCCTATATACATGAAGGTCAATAGACGGCGAACATAGATATAAATTTAAGATAATCCACCGGTCTAATAACAAGTATACAAGGGGGTACTTAAAACCTTCCAGGAAACCATCTAGCTATTCACAGTAGGCGGTGTCTAGTATAGTGCATTCAAGGATCAAGAATCGATTGGCTATCGTTTTCGTCTATGCGCGACAGTCTACGCTAGTGAAACAACGTAGTACTAAAAGACGACTATTGCCATGATTCGCAACTCTCCCCGCATTATCAGTCATTCTCTAATCCCCTCCCTAACTCAGTAACAGCACTAAAGAAGATGACACCAACCAACCTATCGACCCTTCTCAAAAGCTCCTCTCTAGACCTAACCCCCTACGAAGCTCTCTACAAGCACTTCCACGCCCACCCCGAACTCTCCCTCCAAGAAGCCACCACATCCCAAACTGTCGCCTCCCACCTCTCCCAACTAAATGCCTACGAACTCCACACAAACATCGGCGGCTACGGGCTCGCCGGAATCCTCCGCAACGGCGATGGCAACACCGTCCTCCTACGCGCCGACATGGACGCCCTCCCCGTGAAAGAACTAACCGGCCTCCCATACGCCAGTACAGTAATAATGAAAGACGCCGACGGCATCGACAAACCCGTCATGCACGCCTGCGGCCACGACATGCACATGACATGCCTCCTCGCCGCGGCCGAAACCCTCGCCAACATGCGACACGCCTGGAGCGGGACCCTAATCGTCCTCTTCCAGCCGAACGAGGAACGCGGCGGCGGCGCACAGGCCATGGTCGCCGACGGACTTTACTCCAAAATCCCTGTCCCGGACTACGTCTTCGGGCAGCATGTCATGCGCATGCGGGCTGGAACCGTCGGCTCTCGGCCGGGAACCATCATGGCCGCGGCCGATAGTCTCAAGATCACGGTGTACGGGCGGGGCGGGCACGGCTCGCTCCCGCATCAAACGGTCGATCCGGCACTCCTGGCCGCGCACATCGTCATCAGACTACAGGGCATCGTGAGTAGAGAAGTAGATCCCACCGATCTGGCCGTCGTGACCGTTGGAAGCCTCCAAGCCGGCCAGACGGAGAATATCATCGCAGACCGAGCTGAAATCGGGCTTGACTTCCGCACCGTCAAGCCGGAGACTCGGGAGCAGATTATTTCTGCGATTCGCCGCATTGTAGAGGCGGAGTGTGTGGCTAGTGGGTCGCCTAAGCCCCCTGTTTTTGAGCCCACGAGGCGGTTTCCCCCGACAAATAATGACCACGAGGTGGCGGGGAAGTTGGCAGCGTCATTTGCAGAGCATTTTGAGGGGTTTGACGGGGATGTGCCGAGGTCGAATGTCAGTGAGGACTTTTCGACGTTGGGGACTTGTAGGGATTTGCCGTGTTGTTTTTGGTTTATTGGCGGGGTGGAGGCGGAGAAGTGGGATAGGGCCATGAGGGAGGATCGGATGGAGGAGATACCCGGGAATCATTCGGCGTTGTTTGCGCCGGCTATACAGCCGACGATGAGGGTGGGGGTGGATACGCTTTGTATGGCTGCTTTGACATTTTTGGGGGGGGCAGATGTATAGTAGTACAGTTGGGCGGATATAAAATGAGGGTTAGGGTTCTTGGCTCTTGTCATGTAAGGGGTAGATGCGGTCGAAAAAGAAATCCCGCATAGAACAGACAATACACTACAATTTACGGAGAGAGAAAACCTCATGTGACGATGAAATCCAATAGACATCACCCCATTGGCACACTTAATTCGCGCAAGGCTTCGTTAGTCTAGACGCCACGTTACAAAAGCCCACCTCAGCCGCAACATGAAGGTGAAGCTGCCTCACCACCGTGTACGGAGTAGTATCTTGAAAGTTCGATAAAAATAAGGCCAGAAAACGTATCGAAGAGTATGGTGAGGTTGGGGAGGACGACGGTGGTACAGGTACTTTTGTTTCAAATTCTTGGAGCGAGCATATTAGCTGACACAACGATATCTTCTAGACCCTGTATAAAGTGGCATTCTATTTCCATTCTACCTAATCCTACTACTACCCATCTACCTACCAGTTTCGCCTGCACCGGTGGCGTAAACATACAGCACCCATGTCTAAGACGAACAAAAGCCCTCGAAACGAGAGCAAAAACAAAGCAAAAAACAAAAACGTACCGACATCCCCAAGTCAATATCCACCCTTTTCGGCCCTTATTCACTAAAAGCATAGAACTGTTTAATATAAGCATAGAATCCAGCGAGCTAAATTCCGTATATCGCGCGTGCAAACCCAGTCTTGATCGGTTCCCTGGCCACAATCTATCCTGGACCAGGGAAAGCAAATGTTAAGGCAACTCGGGAACAGTTTGCTTGGACGATTTCCGCTGGTTCCTGGCACGTCTTCTGAAAAAGACACGCTTGGCCCATTTCCACGCCTCCACGCCCATGAAGAAGAGGATCGCTTCGACGAAGACGATGCCCCACTCCCATGAGATCCCTGTATGCTTGAAGACCACCGTGTTGATAACGGGGATATACAAGATCGGGAAGGTTGTGACAAACCCAGCCATAATGGACCAGAAGAGGAATGGGTTGCGCCAGACATCATACATCCACTGGGTGAAGTAGCGGGTGGACTTTGGCTGCATGCGGAAGAAGGAGCGGCGCATGTTGACCATTTCCCAAGCGAGGAAGAGGGCGAACCAGGTGAGGCAGACGAAGGTTGTTGCGCGGGCGCGGAAGACCAGGTCGCATTCATCGCTGTAATGGCGATTGCAGCCGCGAGCGAGGTCGCCGTTGCCGAATCCCCACATGCGGACTGAGAAGGCGGAGAGACAGAGCGCTGCGGTCCAGAGGCCGTATACGAGGATGTCGATCAGGACTTCCCAGGTGAAGATGCCGGCTTTGTCTTGAGGGGGTCGGGTCATGATGTCGGGCGCGGCGACTTCCATGCCCAAGCCCATGTCGGGCATGCCGGAGGTAATCATGATGATCCAGATGATTTCGACGGGCGAGAGGGGAAAGACGGAGCGGCCGTCTTTGTCTTGGAAGGCGAGGCCGATGAGGAGGGTGCAAGCTTGGGCGATGTTCTCAGAGAGGAGATGGAGGACAAACTTCTGGATGTTATCGAAGATGCGGCGGCCTTCTTCGACTGCGTTGAGGATTGAGGCGAAGTTATCGTCTGTTAGGATGATGTCTGAAGCGTCTTTTGCGACGTCTGATCCGGCTTGGCCCATAGCGATACCGACATCGGCATGCTTGAGGGACGGGGAGTCGTTGACACCGTCACCGGTCATGGCGGCGAAGCGTCCGCGTCGGTGGAGCGCGTCGATCATGCGTACCTTGGTCTGAGGAGCACAGCGTGCGATGACCAGTGGCAAGGTGGGAAGCGCGTCGACTTCATCATCGGTGAGTCTATCAAATTGGCTGGCTGTCATGACCATGGCATCGGCGACGTCGGCTGCCACAGTACTGAGATCCGCAGGCATGATTCCGACCTGCTGAGCAATGGCTTTGGCGGTGCCCGGGTGGTCTCCAGTTACCATATGGACTTCAATTCCGGCGCGGTAGCATGCTGCAATAGAAGCAGCCGTTTCCGGGCGGGGAGGATCATATAGGCCAATCAGTCCGAGAAAGCAAAGGTCCTTTTCGACATCTTCGCGGTTGGGGTCCGCGTCTTCGAGTAGGCGGCTCTCTTCCTTATACGGCCGATGGGCCAACGCCAACACGCGGAGACCGAGCTTTGCGAGCTCCTCCATATTTTCAAGAATCGAGTTGCGATGGCTATCGGTCAAAGGTACCGGCGTGGACGAGTCTTGATCCCAGACGACAGTCGTGCACGCGTCGATGATGCGCTCGACAGCGCCCTTGGTGAAGACCATGGAGCGTTCTTCGTGGGGAGTGATCTTGGTAAAAATAACGGACATCTTCTTGACAGTGGAATCGAATGGGAATTCGGCCTTCTGGTGCCACACAGCGCCTTCGCCTTTAGTCCACCGATCACGGTTCCAATTGAACCTCGAAGCGAATACTTCAATAGCGATTTCGGTGGGTTCGCCACGGGCGCTCCATTCTCCCTCGTCGGACTTATAAACATGAGACAGGTTGGCCATCGAAGCTACATCCAGGAAGTGCTCTAGCTGGAGGTTTCCCGAGATAAAATCTTCTGGCTTCTCCGCCGCTGCACCTTCCTTCTCATCGTCGAAATGCGCAGGGGACACCGGGGTAAAAGTCACGTCACCGACTGTAGGGTTGAAAGGCTCGTTGGATGTGCCCACTGAGTATGTGCCTTCCGAGGGAATCCAAGCTTTCTTGACAACCATTTTGCCCTGAGTTAGGGTTCCTGTCTTGTCGGAACAGATGTCTGTGACTGCACCGAGAGCCTCAAGAGAATCTAGCTTACGAACAATGACGTTCCGCTCCACCATGCGCTTGGTACCCACAGCCATTGTGATGGTGAGGACAACCACCAAGCAGGCAGGAATCATACTCAGACCGGTTCCGACCGCATACAAGATGACCTCGTTGTTATCGCTGAACAGATTGGCCGCCATCACAACAATAGCGAAGAGAACGGCAACGCCGAACAGCACAATAGCCAACTTTGACAGCTTCCTCTGAAGTGGAGTGCCAACATTGACTCCAAGGAAGCGACCAACGGCATCAGTCCCAGTAAGCGTCCAAGCCTGGACATACCAGCGCTTCTTAGTCTCTCCGTTAGGGCCACGCTTCACCGGGCGCTTCTTGCTGTCGCTGGCCCGCAGCGCGGCAGCAATGGAACCGATTTCAGTGGACATACCGGTACTGAACACCACGCCACGGGCGCGACCGCGAGTGACAGTACTAGAGCTATAGGCAATATTCAGACGGTCGCCAGGGCCCGTATCCTCCTTGAACGTGGAGTCGTATTCTTTCTGGACGGGGAGTGACTCTCCCGTGAGAAGAGCCTCATCCGTCTCGAAATTCACGGCTTCGACCAATCTAGAACGATTCATTATTAACTGATAATGATCCCTACATACGCTGCACAGGCGAAACCAACCTGATGTCCGCAGGAACCGTATCGCCCGTTCTCAGTTCGACCATATCACCGGGGACGATCTCCACCGAGGGAACGGAGAAGGTCTGGCCGTTTCTGGAGACCGTACCAGTAGGCGAGCTTAGCGAATGCAAAGACTCCATGGTCTTTTCTGCGGCGTACTCCTGAAAGAAGCCGACGATGATATTTAGAACGATAACGGCGGAGATAAAGCCACCTTCAATCCATGATTGGATACCGAAACTGACCGCCATGGCCAGTATCAAGACCTACAACGACGAATTGGATCAGATTCTGGGAGCTCTTATACAACAGGGGATTGCTTTTGACAAAACAAAGTGGGTCCCTTAACTAGCATCATTGCATTGGCAACCTGGCGGATGAGGATTTTGATGACCGAGACCCCTTCGCCTTCATCCAGCTTGTTGGGTCCATATTGCTGCAGGCGATGTTTCGCCTCATCATTGCTCAAACCCTCATCGAGTCGGGTGCCAAGTTCACTAATCACAACATCATAAGGAAGAGTATGAGCTGGCTGGCTTAATGGAGATCCCCCGGACCCTGGAATTCCAGAACCGGTGTTCCTTTCGCTCGTCATAGGAAAAAAAAAAGCGTCGGAAGAGTCCCAAGGCAGAAAACAATGAACGATAGTGACGGATACTGGGAATTGTCTAAATCCACAGAGTGGGGGATGGAAAGGCCTTTTTAAGTCCTTCTCAACGACAGCAGAGGGTCAAAGTACCCGACCATATTCTGGTTCCGGTTTTTAACGTTTGGCTGGGATTCGGACGAGCCACGCCCTAGAGAATGGGATGCACAGTCATTGGGGGAGGACCGGGCAGGATCTTGGCGCCCAGTCGATAGAGAGGGGACACATCTTTTGGAGAGTTCCGCGTCCAATACAAGGAAGGATGACCAACATGACCGCTCCTTGGCTAGTTTTGGCGTCCTCAGCATTCAGGTATCCTTCCCTGCACGTGCTCCTCGTCTCGGCCCAATGGCCATCCATCATTCACGCCTTTCTTTTTTTTTTCCAAATCCCCGTAGGCTGACGGAACGTTGTCGGTGGGGATCGCGAAAATTTCTCTGCTTGGCAACACTAATAATAATTCCTTTGTACCTTCTCGGACCGGTCATGATAAACATTTCTCATTCCCTTCGCCAGCAAAAACAAGGGAAGATCAGAGGCTAGTCGGTGTGTCCTGCATATCGCCAATTCACAGCCCTGGATCTATCATCTTCCCATAACCCTGCCATGTAGGGTAGCCACGCAGACCCTTTGACTGGGTTCCTCGATCATCGGTGTATTTAACTACCGACCTCGGGGTAAGTTTCAGAGCTTATTTCTCCACTCGTGATTACCCCCGGCAAACAGAGCATAAGGCAATCCGCGGGGACACAACCGTTGTTACTCGGTGGTGAGCTGTCGGGTGTCACGGAGACCCATAGGATAAAAAGCACAATTCGTCGTTCCCAGCGACAGGGATCTTGAAGGTAAGCAAACTTCAAATCCCGCATTGAATCTGGATGCAGGTAAATGGAAAAGATGATACCACGCTCGGCCTCACTAATGGAAACACGAGACGGCCAGCTAGCACTTTGTTCAGGGTTCCCCCCCACTGTCTTTGTTACTAACTGCGCAAACTGTGCGATCCGTTCAGTCTGATTACCCTCCGACGACGCCGTCGTTGTTGATCTGAGCCTATACGGAGGTCTTCAACGCGACAGATACAATCCGGGAATTTACATCGGTCTTGGCGTCCTAGTTCTCGGCTCACGACAGCTCAAACACTCGTTTACACGTAGTTCGTCGCCTGTTGCAAAGGTGCCTAAATATGGGATTTTGCATATACACCTCTGTGACTCAATAAGTTCACATAAGAAATAGTGCGACGGGAATCCGGTGCATCATTGTATGAAATATCACCAACCTATGGGATGAACTGAAGGGTTCACCTATACCTTGTAGTAGCTCCCAGCCAGGCCGCATCTTAGGAGTTCTATCTTTGTAGTCTCTTCCATGTTCGTGTGATGGGGCTTCCTCACTTAATGGAAGTCAACGCTGCTTTCGCCAATTACCCTCAAGCTTCTACAGCCTATATTCACCCTGGAAGGCAATTCCGCGACTTAAAAAGAAGGTTATCAGCCCCCTAATTATATAGCATATAATCATTGGCAGGAAGAGGAATCCTTTTCTTTCGTTTGGCTGAAGCTTAAATATTGTATTAAGCAATGCCAAAGAAAGTCAGCATGTAGTTGGTGTAATGTCAAGAATCTCCATGTTTGGGGATCCTGGTCAAGGGTTTCCATTCAGATGAGGCTATATCTATCCAACCAAGAGTAAGAAGCATAAATTTAAACTTTGTGAAGAATAGCCCTATCGCTCGATACGAACCCAGTAACAGAAACTGACGGTCTCTTGGCAACGGTTCAAATCATGCTGCCATTACTAAATATATATCCACTTGCCAACGATCTCATAAAAAGGACGGACAAAACCAGTCACGTCACTCGATATACAAACAGTGAGAATGAAAGCGGCTTTCTCAGGTGGTTTGCTGTCTCTTTACGCCGACAAGGATGGAGACCATAACAACAATGTGATTTGTTATCGACCACATCCATTGACCAAAGTTGGAGTAAATTTCAATGCGTAGCCTGGTAAAATACCATTTTTTTTGGCATATATTCACCCATACCCCAGCCTTTCTAAATTTGTAGAATATCTGGTAAGGTATTCGTATGGAACAATATCAAAACGGTCAGATTTATGATCCCCTATCAAACTCTCCAGAAGGCCCACCTAGATGGGAATTATGAGGCCTTTTGTATGTGGCCTGATCACCATAGTATTCAACAATCCACATACTTCTGCAGGTGGTCAATTCACCAGGCATATGTCAGGTCTGCGATACTAGGTAATTTCACGGGCGTATTCAATAAAATCGGCAGAGTGAATCATCCATATTTTAGCCGCAGATGAAATAGGTATAGTTCCAATATTTATGCAGAGGGGGACTGGTACGACGGTAGGTTCTACAACGCTAAATTGGTGTCTGGTCTAAGGATAGGCTTCCCCAGATCTGAGTTGGTAGCGTGACGGTCAGAATCTACAAAGTGGACTATCCCCCGCATGTTCTCGTCTTGATGAGATGTGGCACTGCCCTATGTAGGTGAACTGTGATATAGCAGTCTTTGAACTGTGCAAAACCCCCACATAGTGGTTGAATTGAAAGATTTTCCTTTTGAAAGGATATTCAGGTGTCGACGGGCCATTGTGAGCAACAACAAACGGACGAATGACTGTGTTGGTGGAAAAGGGCAGAAAGAGGCGAGGGAGCTATGATAATGCCCCACTCCCCACAACTTCCGTTTTAGGAAGTTAAACTGGAAAACTGAGGCTAAATCTAGACTGACATCTTAGCCACTAGGCTGTTTGGAGAAAGAAAAAAACTCATCTGGAAGGCTAGCGGAGGGATCTACTATTCGACTGCACCTGGTGGGTGGAAGCTATTGGCCACCTTGTGGGAAATTCCGAACAGGGTTTGTCATAATAGGCAAAGCTTTCGCAACGCCATCCGTAGTGTCAATTGTCATCAACGGACGACTCCGGTTCTTAGAAATTCACTGAAAGTTCTATGAATCGATTAGTAAAAGAAACGCAGAAGCACAGTATAAAAAATAAAGTCCCCTCGGTAGAGACTGTGTCTTTGACAGCTTTCAATCCCTGCATCAGCCATGGCACCCATTGCAGATACACCACTCAGTGGATCAGATCCAAACATGGAGAAATCCATGAATGGATCAGGATTTTCGACTCCGGGAATGTCACAGTCTCCATCACAGCTAGAGCAACAATCAGACTCCTTTGATCTCGAGAGACTAGGACGAGAGCGTCCTGCTTGCTTCTCTAACATATGGTCGGAATTGACCTTTGGATTTTCTATTGTAATGTCTCAGATCCTTGCAGTATGGCTTTTCCTCGCTTGTGCTCGTAACTACATCCCAGAAGAGCTAACCAGGTTATTGATAGGAATATTATATATCGGGCTCAAACGTTCTTATTCCCACGTTAGTCAAGGAGCTACACATACCGGCAGCTTCTGTTGTATGGCCATCAACCGCCCTGTCTCTCGTCGTGACCTCGACACTTCTCATATTCGGTCGACTGGGAGACATGTACGGCGGTTATGTGCTCTACCTGGCAGGAGCTGGCTGGCTGACTATCTCGTCGATTCTAGCCGGTTTCTCTCAGACCTGGCTAATGCTACTCATCTGTCGAGCGCTGCAAGGATTCGCACTTGCTGCATTTCTCCCGTCTGGGATCATGATCCTGGGAAGTACATACCGACCGGGTCCGCGAAAGAATTTAATTTTCAGCGTCTATGGCGCATGCGCCGCGCTAGGCTTTTTTGTCGGTATATTCTTTTCAGGCTTGTGCAGTCAGTTTGTGTCCTGGAGATGGTATTTCTTCATTGGGGCCATCCTCTCCGCAATCACCACTATCTCCTCGTATTTCTCTATCCCAAGCGATTTTGCAGAGAGAAGACAGTCGAAAGTCCGAATGGATTGGATTGGTTGTTGCCTGTCGATACCAGGATGTGTCCTGCTTGTATTTGCGATAGCGGAAAGTTCATATGCTCCACAAGGTTGGAAGACACCGTATATCCCGGTTTGCTTCTCGTTGGGGATCATCCTTTTGGGAGCCATGGTCTATGTTGAAGGATGGGTAGTGGAAAACCCCCTGCTTCCCGGAGACTTGTTCGCAGTCAAATACATGACGCCACTTGCCATTGCACTGCTGTTCCTATATGGCAGTCTGGGTATATATCTTTTATATGCCACCTTATAGTAAGTGAACCCCCCGAGTGCGGATCCCTTGTGGATTTAAACTGACGATCTCTCTCTGCAGCATGTCGGAAATAATGGGTGCCGGTCCGCTGCAAATAGTAGCCTGGACGGTCCCCATGGGGGTCGGAGGACTTATTCTCTCGACAACGGGAGGTTTCATCATGCACAAGATATCCGGGACGATTCTGATGCTGATCTCCTGTGTCGGATACGCCGGCTCTGGACTCTTCTTTGCCCTGATCCCTAGAGGTGGGGTATACTGGGGTTTTGTCTTTCCCGCAATGATTTGCGCCACGGTCGGAATTGATATCAGCTTCAATATCGCCAATATCTTCATTACTACTAATATGCCGAAAGCCAAACAAGGGTTGGCAGGGGCATTGATTAACTGCACTCTTCACTTCGGAATTGCTATATTCCTCGGCTTCGCTGACATTGTGAAGTCAGAAACCGAGCATCTGGGCCAGTTTGAAAGCTACAAGGCTGCTTTCTGGTATCAGACGGGGCTGGCATTGGTTGGAGGTCTTATTGTTGTGTTCTTCGTACGGATTCATCACGCAAAGAGCGACCTGACCGTGGACGAGAGACAGGCGCTGGCAGCCGAAAACCGGACGTCATAGCATAAGGCTTCTTTGGGCTGCGAATATGACCGAAATAGTATATGTACATAGGATAGCGCAATGTTGAATGCTATAATGGGATGGTTTTAAAAAACAACGACTCTGCTGCCTGATTCATGAGGTTGACCGATAATGAAAACATGTGACTGGTTGCCTGAAAAAAATGGGATGGATCTAATAAGGTTGGTCAAGGCGGTGAAGCCATAAATGGATCCCCGCAAAACTTCCAGCCAACTGTCAACGACGTCAGTCGCCCCCTATACCCCCTAAAGTTCGCCAAAATGAAGATCCAGTATATCGGAGTGAGTCTGCGAAGGTCCCTACTGTATACTGGTCTCTGTCTAACCCGCTCCGCGCTTGATAGATCCTACAGAATGCCCAGCAGCCGGCAGTGGAGCTGTGTGCGGAGCGTGAGCTCACCAGCTACTCGCGCTTCACTAGGGGTAGCATCAGCGAATTCATGACCATGTTCAGTAAGACGGTGGCCGAGAGAACAAAGCAAGGCCAGAGACAAGATATCCAGGAGCAAGGTAAGTTCACAGCCCTTGCCCACGGACCGTTGGACAACTTCCCCCTGACCGCCCCATGTTCTTAGATTTCACATTCCACGTGTATGCGCGGACCCAAGGCATCGCCGGCGTCATCATCAGCGACAATGAATATCCCTCCCTCGCTGCCCATCAGATCCTGTCCAAGGTCCTCGATGAATTTCTTTCCCTCCACCCCAACGCGGGCACCGCCACTCAGCCCATCACCTTCCCCTCGCTCAAGACATACATCACCGCCTACCAGGATCCGCACCAGGTGGACAGCATTATGAAGATCCAGAAGGAGCTGGATGAGACCAAGATTGTTCTTCACAAGACCATCGAGAGCGTCTTGGAGCGCGGAGAGAAGATCGATGACCTTGTTAATAAGGTAAACTTTGGCTTCTACAAGGCATTCGACACAGGTTGAAGAAAGAGGCTAACTGGGTTTAGAGTGAAGGTTTGTCCTCGCAATCCAAGATGTTCTACACCTCTGCCAAGAAGCAGAATAGCTGGTAAGGCGGACTACCACTTTTTTGCATACCAGGAGGCTGACGTTGTTTAGTTGCATCCTTATGTAAGAGATATCCCATAGGGGCGGACACAGAAGACCTCGGTATCATCGTGAACCCCTCCCTGAAGGGGGGTTTCGGTGTCTTGACTGCTTAATTTCATTGTGTTCGGAGCGTTTTCATTCTTTATTGCAGCTATAGTTGGCATTTGCCTTTAGTTTTGATACAGTAAGCTGTTTGCTTGAAATTTGGTACGCTGGCGGTGGATTAACAATATATGAAAGGCACATGGAGCAAGCATCACGGAGAAATCATTTCTTTCAATTTCAGACTGTCACTCACTCTTAGAGGCAGAAGAAGGGGTGTTGTTGATCTGGCTTTTGTGACTTGGGGCGCCGTGATACATTGGTAGAGACCTACTATCTACTGAGTCACCACTGTAACAAAGAATAAGAACAAAACTTGTTTTTCTCCCCTCGATGCGTCGGCCTGAAACCAGGCACGATGACAAGTCAGTGTGTGAGCTGTCCGACCGTCAGGAACAGGGCGTACACCGATCTTTTATCAGCTTATCATCTGTTCGAGTGGAGCCCTGGTGCATAGAGTCCGCTCCGCTAGTGATGAAATTTGCAAATTGTTACAAACCACGTTGACACACCGGTTGAGGAGTGCGATAAGGATGAAACATTCAGATCGTGCCCTCCAGGCCCGCTAGCTTGGTTATAAAAGATTAAACGAAGCCACTGTCTTGGCCACACGACTGGCTGCCTTTTCCGTGAAGATCCGACAAGCGAAATGATATCTTCCGAGCTAATACCGGGACGGGCTTATCTTTCGGCGAGGAAAAGTCGAGGCGATCGAGGAAAGTCGCCCCTCGTCCAATGTAGATCATGCGGAGATTAGGGCACATTAGGGCAGGGCAGCCCCCTTAGGGCAACTCCACTCGGGACCAGCATCGACGCCCGCCAATTCGCTCTGCATCAACTCGTCTTCTAGAAGGCGATCCACCACTAATCCCAGTCGGTTAAGAAGCTTGAATTTCCATTACTCTCAGGATTCGGCATGGTGGTACCGCCAAATACCCCGTCTGTAACCGGGCTCCCGGCCCGGTCGCGTCTGATTGGCCATGGCCGCCGAATTTCTCATGCTCTGTTGTAAATGTTGTGGGCTTGACAGTTGGGCCTCATTGGGATTTGATCTCCTTTACGACCTGTACAACTGTTGTTCATATAGCCCCTCTTTCACTTATCTCTCGCTTTTTATCTATCCCCAGCTCCCTTCCTTTTGTCCATCATTGTCCAGTATACCCCAGCGTTTGAGCGAGAATAGTAGGTGAGCTCTCCCGCCCCTCCGCACCCAACCATATTATACCTAACGAACGTGCATAGACTACTGTTGTTATCCATTCTTTTGATTATTTTCTTTTTTCTCTGTTGAGTCATTAGACATACACGGTTATACGCCTGAAACGACGCGTGCCCCGAGACAACTCTCACTCTCCACCAGCAACTCTATACCAACTGATTGTCTACCTTCCGTTAAGAGAGCCAATACCACAGTCAACATGGAACAAGACTTCCCTATTCAACAAGCATTCCCCTTCAGCATGCAGAGGAACCGGCTGGCGGAACTCCTCACGGCAGATGTGTTAGTTGCTGCGGGTTCAGCATCATTGATCACTCCGGCTGTCATGATTCTTGACCGGTACGTTTGACTAGTACACCAACGCAGTTACTCGAAATTCTCCAAACATCTTTTCTGACTGAGCCCTAGACTCGTCGTGGAGAAGTCATCGCACAACCAACCTCTTTTGCCAGCATTCCGCCGACATCTGTGGCTTTCCATTACCCAGCCAGCGACGTTCCTTACATCCCGCCCGAGTCTCCTAGTCTGGGGTCTCTACACCGCAACGTTCGCAGCAGCAAATGCCACAGAGACGGTCTTGGACCGAGTCTATCCGGGGGTTGACCACGCCATTTCGGGAATGGCGACGTTCCTTTCGACTTTTGTTGTCAACTCCTCTGTGGGCATCTGGAAAGATATCAAATTCGCCCAGCTCTTCGGCCACCCACCCGCCCCAAAGCCCACCAATCCGATCCCCAATCCAACAGCCGTCTCCAAGAGCAACATCCTGCGCCGCGCTATCCGCACCATGCCGCTCGCAACCTACTCGGCCTTCCTTCTCCGGGACGGCCTCACCATCTTCGGTTCCTTCAGTCTCCCCGCTATGGTATCCAGCTCAATCCCCGACTGGGTCGCTTCCCGCGAGTACGCCAAGATCCTCATCGCTCAACTTGCTATCCCCGCCTCCATCCAGCTGGTCAGCACCCCCATCCACCTTCTGGGCCTGGACCTCTACAACCGCCCGATGCAACTCCCCGCCAGAGACCGAATCGCACGTGTCAGCAGAGACTGGATCGGTGCGTCCCTGACTCGTATGTGCCGCATTATCCCGGCATTCGGCATCGGTGGGTTTGCCAATACCGAGGGTCGGGCGTTTTTGCACCAGCAACTCCAGCTATGCGGGGAGGAGTATGAAAACGAGGGCTGAGTGATCTCTATCTTATCGAGAAAAATCACTCATGCCGCGCTGGCATTGGCTGCCGGTGGACGGAGGATCCACTTGGCGTGGCTGTACATTACTGGAATGGGTTGGACTGCCGCTACCCTAACCCTAAATCCAGGGCTAAAATTAACCATCCCGTACCCACTCCCATCACCGGGCCGGTTCCCATGCGGTGAGGGGGGACGGAGAACGGGTTCATGAGAATGATTCCTCTTGTTCCGGTTATTGGATGAGGGTTCTCTGCACATACCACTCGAGGAGGGATTTCCCGGGTGCTCAGACCAGTGTGTATCGGTGGTGGCTCCGGTTTTACCCCACTGAATGAGAGCGTCCCCGCGGTAAAAGGGGGTTTGGACTCATTCGAGTACCCCGATCGATGTATAGAGATTAGACTTTTGTATAGAGGAAGATACCATTGGAAATTATCAATATGATCAAGTTCAGAATATTTTCGTGTTCGCTTTGTTGGAAGTTTCATTAAGTGTTCAATACTGCCTTCATTAACCCTTCGAGATGAACTATGGAAGAACCGGAACAGCTTGCAAATTCCTCAACATTTCCTTATTGATTTATTAAAATACAGTAACAGGAAGGGAAGAAAATATGACAGTCCGTTTGAATTATTTCGCCATTTTCAGCCTTGGCAAGGAAATCGCGCAATGTCCTATCTCGCACCCCCGGACAGCCTCGTAATGATACAGATAACTACTTGAATCGGCAGTTCTATGTAAGATAGGGAGAACCTGTATGGCTGGCCTATCTTAAGGTTTTTGTGATGCTTAGCGATCAAAATTCATTGTCTCCAGACCTAGGCCGCATCCTCTGTACGAGTGTAACTAGGGCTAAAAATCTCACCAGGCTTCGAGAAGTCTGACACATCGAACTGTACTCCTGTCTGTTATTCATATGATAGATTTAGGTCCCCCTGAAAAGCATAACCCAATATAGCGTCCTTTTTTATGTTACCTGGACTGTTCCAGAGCATACATATTAATAAAAGCAACTGAAGTCCTGAATTCGTTTCTAATACCAGTGGCGTCGTTCAAGAAATAGAAAAGTAAGGCCGAGATTTCAATTTCACACTGTAACTGAACATATGAAGTATTGGATATTTCTATGGTGTGCAGGAGAGAGTTCGAGGTGGCTGGACAAAGAACCATAAACCTTCCATGGTCGGACTATCTGTTCATCCGAGGCTGACATTCTGGGTAGACATCAGAATAAGTTATTACCAGCAGTTCTTCTATTCTGTGTTGAGTAGCGGATCTAGTTGAAATCCTAAACTAGTCCATATCCCGAAGCTGCTTGAGAGGTGCCCAGTAGGTGTTGCTACTCGGCGATAGCAACGAAGTTGCCCTACCTCGGTCCGCAGTATCTTTCTCGAAAGCTGCATAACAGACTAGCGATTAGTGAAACACTCAGAAGCTCACTTGTAGCGATGGTTGGCGTCGGTGGCCGCAGCAAGGGTTGCATAACCTGTCGACGACGCAAACTAAAGTGCGGTGCGCTCGACCTTCAACGCTAGATATATATATAGTCGGGAGGCGCAATTGACATGCACTAGATGAGGGAAAGCCCGATTGTGAGCGTTGCACAAAAGGTGGCTTCCAGTGCGAGGGATATATAAAGTATGCCGAGTTTGTGAATGTCACCAACCGCTTTGCACAACGTCGACCGGCGAAATGGAAGTCATCTTCGCAACCAAGAGTACCGAGCTGCTCGAGCTCTAAAGAGCAATCCCACGCACTATTATTGGCGGATATCCTACCATGGGACGAACAACATATATTTACCTCGTATCTAGTTGACCGGCTGTTCACCTGGCATGAAGATGAAGCCTCTCCATACGCGGCCTCGTGGATCTCCGTCCTTTACCGCTCAGAAGACCCTGCGGGACTATCTATGACCTCCCTGCGCGCTTTGGCTACTACATATTTCGGGAAAGTTCATGGCCAGACCGATCTGATGCGAAGAGGTGCAGTGTTTTACTCCCAGGCTCTCCAGTGCCTACGCGTGCAATTGCAGTCCCCGGATCAAGCTCTTGAGCCTGACCTTCTGGTCGCTATACTCTGCCTCGGGATTCATGAACTAGTTACACTGACTCAATCATCGGCATGGCTTCAGCACTACAAGGGATTGGCTCGTATTGTGAGGGCTTACATGGCTTTAAGATAACCTTGCATCGGCTGACCCATTGAAATAGACCGAGTTGAGAGGACCACATCGCCATCAAACCGGTCTTGGATACGCTCTACTCCCTACGTTAAGGACTTGTATTGTAAGAACACTACAGTCGTTCATACCCGGAGGCATCTATACTAAACATCTCGGCAGGCCGTTGGCTGCCTTGTTGAGAGGAAACGCTGTTTTCTCGAAGATCCATCATGGAAGACTACCCCATGGGCTGGACGAATGGAATCCAAGACACCCACTGACGACTTACATGATGTGCTTTGTGATATTCCGGGACTACTTGAAGATTTCGACAAACAAACAATATGGGATCCGAACATACCCGGGCGGGCTTTGTTCCAAGCCCAGCTTTGCCAGCGCCTACTCTCAATCCTAAAAGAACTGCACTGTTGGCGGTGGAAATGGCAGGATGATTTCCCAAATACAGCGTTTTCGGCTCCTCTAAACGAACCACTGTCTCCTAATCCGACGAAATTGCCTCGCAGTCCCTTCAAGAATATCATCTGGTTCACGGACCCGTGCCGAGCCACTGAGTTAATTACCTACGATGCATTGTTGCTGATCCTCCTAAGAACTGCGGAACTTCTTAGGATGCATATACCCAATCTCGTATCTACCGACCTAAGTGATCCACTTCTTCCAATGCAGGGTACTATAGAGGACATCGCCATTGAAATATGTCGAATGGTGGAATACCACCTACAAGACCTTCAAAGAAGCTCGGGAGCATTCATGCTTCTATTTCCACTCAATATTGCCTATCGGAACCTCCCTGCCAGATCGACAGAAGCTAATTGGCTTGAGGAGATTATGGCTGTGGTTGCCAACATCCACGGGTTCGAGATTAGTCGGCGTGAAAATATGCCTGGGTCGGGGAAGCCGACAAACTTTGAGGCAGGTGGAGTAGAAGGAATGGAAGTTGCCTAGTCTAGTATCTGTCAAGCATTGTCCCTGATCCTTGTTTGAGCGAAGAAGGGTATCGGGACTCGATGGCATTTTTCCCTTTACGAGCCATGGCTATCAACACGTGATGACATGCCTAATCTGAATAGGAATGGACTCGCAGAATCCTCCAAATCAAGTTTAGCGTCAGGCCAGATACTACTGCCAGGCAATCAAATTGACCGCCCTTGACACCGCCTTCGTTTGTCTTCCTATCTATATCAAATACAACCAGTTTCATCAAGGATCATTGTTTCTACAAGGGGGAGCGATAAGGTGTTGTTTAGTGGTTGCCACAGTGTCCGATCTCGCTACTAGTAGATAGTGGACCTTGCGTTGCCAGCACTTCACCCTTGACATGACACGACCTAGTCGAGGTGGACAGGCAATATATAAATGAGCCTCTCCAAGAAAATGGCTCGTTCCAACCAGTGCATATTGTTTTATTCCCCTATTCCTTGCACTTGTGTCATATTAAATGAACCCTGATTTCTGACAGAACGCTGGTCTGGTCTTGTGTTTTTGCAGACATGCGTAAAACTATCCAATTGATTGCCGGCATGGCATTCTACTCCCTATGGAGTACCGCATTATCAACATAACTAGAGTCACGGAGCTTGCACTCTGCTGAAGACGTGATCCCGGGAGAGCCTTCTCTATTCAAAACCTATGGGTTCAAGAAGACACCACTGGCTACAAATTACACTCGTGTGATTCCACCCGTAAAAGGCCGGACCTCCCGGCCCTGGCGATCTTCTGTTTCAAAATTTGCTGAGTGCCGAATGGATCATCTATTCCTTCTATCAGAAAGCTGCTGAAACCTTCTCACCATCTGATTTCACCGAACTGGGTCTTCCAAGCACAACTTTACCAGCGAATCGCAGAGATGCGAGACAACGAAGCGGGACACATTCGCATTTTTCAGTCCCAAATTTCCAACACGTCCATCAAGCCCGGTCCATGCGAATATAACTTCGGCTTTGAAAATAAGCCTGATGTTTTCCTTACACTCCAAGTGTACATCGAAGTCTCCATCATGGCCTTCCGACCAGTCTGAACATCTCCAAGTCAACCCTCATGGCCGTCGGCCAAGTTGGAACTCGTCACAACGTCTGGTCTCTCATCGATGTCTGGAATACCAGCCCTTTCTCCGGCCCATCAGACACAGCCTACCCCTACGCAAACCGGATCCTCGATTCCACGAACGCTTTCATCGTGCCTGGCAGCTGTCCAAGACAGAATCCAGAACACCTGAGTCCACGCCAGAATCTGCCACCGCTTGCCTTTAGCAAGAATGGAACGGGCGCTCGACCAGGGTCGGAAATCCAACTTGTTTTCTCTGACCCAGACAATCAACCCCAGTTTGATGAGTCGCGCGAGTACTATGTAGTGTTTTACCATGGACTTAACGTTATCAGCCTACCCTTTGATACGAGGACCAACAGCTCGACCATCTCAGCTCAGTTCGATTCACAGTTGGGTGTTATTATCGTGAATGTCGCAGATCAACCAGGCGCCCCTACGGAGGACTGCGTTGTTGCGGGGCCTTTGATTATTTTGGAACAGTAGGGATCGTTGATATTGGAAGAGCCATCGACTGTATGAGCTTTGTTTTGTCGAGAGTAGTTTGTCTTACGACCAATCCTTGTGGATTGGGGTTTGGTAGCTTGATTTGGATTATGTATTGTATCCACTTTGAATCTCATTGACATCGGTTTAATTTGAAAGCTTGGAACTCTGATTATGTGAACCCCGAATGTACACAGTTCTCAGCACTTCCTACTTTTTTTTTTCTTGTATTAAATTGCTTGCTTTCATAGTTGCTATGTCCGCAGTGTAGTATTTCATCTAGAGAGTCATATACGGTTCATGCCCATCCTACTTAGAAGCAAGGCGGCGGAATCAGACGGGTGTCGCTGGGGGGAAGAGATGTCGAGCCCTGAGACAAGCCCTCCTCCAGTATCCACTTTACAAGGGTCTTCGAAAGTCAATAATTGACAAACTGGCGGGCTTAAACCTAGGATTAAGCGGTGATTGGAACACGTTATTTGCGAAGCCGCGTGCAACCCACTATATTACCGAATATATGCACGAAACGGGAGTATTAGCGAAGCTGCGCGAGGCGGAGCTGGCTAGTAAGAACACGAGACTGAGGAGATACTTTGAAGTGTCAGGAACCAGCTGCGTGTGGTGAGGGGCACCAGGTATGCTGTGCAAGTTTGAAGGACCTAATTGGGGTTTTGGGGGGGTGGGGGTCAACTGGGTGCAGTGTGCATGTTAGAAGAATCTAATCGGGAGGATCAGACGGGGCCCACACGCATGGTACCTAAGAAAGACAGCGCTGTGGCGGGCGTTTTGGTTGTTTTATATTGCTATTTTTTATGTGGCAGTACATAATTTCATAACTCTATCGTCATGGGGTCCATGGCGTACGGTTTTAATTCTGCCTCATCCGCAAGGCGCCTGCATAGCTAGACACTTCGGTACTTATGTCCTAGTGCGGTCCATAATTGGGACTTGAAGACTCAAAATGAGGCTTAATACACCGTCAAGATCGGAGAAATACAAGCTCTGTCCGAGGATTCGTTCGCCTTGCATTGAGTTCGTCAACCTCGAACAAATTCATCTAAAAAGTACGTTAGCTAACCACGTCAGTACTAGTCCTGTCGATCTAGTGCTCAGTAACTTGATCGCATTCCGAGTAGTGTGGTCGAATGTCCGGCGCCCTCTGGCATTTTACAGGTATACCCCGGAGCAAATCGTTGTTCAACCCCATCTAAGCTAACAAATAGATGCAAAAATAGGAATGAAGACCGCAAGTAGCCAGATTTCGGTTTCACCATCGCCGCCAATTCGAACTTGGGCCCTGAATCAGGAATGGTTTCCCCCAATTCCTAAGTTTAAGGCGGATCTACTCTGGTTATGCCGACCCACAAGCTTGTCGGTTCCTGAATCAAGTAGCTTTTAGATCCTTCGGGTGTAGGATACGGATGGCGATTCCGCCGCTGTCTTTTGTCTTTTTCTTCTTGTCTTGGGTGACTCACGATAAAACCCTGGTCAGGGTAATATGTGATGGTCATACTCGGATCTCGGATGAGAGTCTACCTGGCCTGGGCAAGATAGTCAACTCAACAACTAGCTGAGTCTACACTATTACACCTATGTACCTAATTCAGTTAGTGCATTTTACTTGGTATATATTCTCGATTGGCTATTCAAGACCGAGGATTAAATGCAAAAAGACAAGCATCTTATAGCCAGGACGGAAACACAAGGGAAAAAGCGGGGGTGCAGTATCTGCTTCGTGAAGGTGTCAACTAGGTATGCATATGCTTGAAATTGAATAGTGTTAGATAGAACATACCTATCTAACTAGTCATATGGCCAACTAAGCGCCGTAAAGACCTTTTGTCGGAAGCGATGGAAAAGGGGGGGAAGAAAAGCATTTGGTCAACGCTGGAACTCCGAAATCAGGCTGCGCTTTCCAAATATTCGCGCAACGTGCCGGTGCGATTTGGTAAATCTGGTGCAGGGAAATGCCACTCTTCTATGCAGTAATACGCTCTTCAATTGTCCTTAGAACCTTGCGAATGTTGGGCAGATACTACTGGTTAAAGGCAAAAGCTCCCGCGGACCGGCAGATCGGCGAGCGTCCCACGTTCAAGGCTGTGAGGGAGGGTTTATATAGTCGTGGTGGGAATGATACGTGTTCTTATACAAACTCGATGGATCTAAAGTCATCACGTTGAAGAAAGAGTCGTTGCTCTTTTGCGCGGCCCTGTGATGGAGAAGGTGTAGTCTACTTTAGGGAGAGGGGTAAATTTGCCTATTCGAGATGAATGTGGAGAAACAGCCTTGGACGTGGATGGGATTCCTATTGTTCTAGAGAATGCCTCGACATATTTACTTGCTGTAAAACCTACGCATGTCCCGATTACCTTGTTGAATGATATAGCCTTGCCAAAACACGTTCTGGACATAAAATCGAGACAGCTGTACGCTTTGCAGTATGCGACTATGGCGAGTGATGTGTAATTGCGTACCATGTGTTCAAGTCGAGCTGAAAATACAATCTGGGCGCAGCTGACATGAATACTCCCATGTGTATATGCACGTATCGTGGCCTACGTAGAGCGGTTGAAACAGGGGACGGACAAGGCAATATTGCATGAGCAAAGTCTTCTCATAGGACCGTCTAACAGAAGGTTACATTAATATAGCTCGGACATGCAGGCATAGAATGCTACACTGAGCATCGGTCAGCATACTTACCATGTAAACTCGATGCGTTAAGGTGGACAGGTCGAATACTTTTTAACCAATCGAATACCATAATCGGCAGCTAGAGACAACACGGACTGCTTCTGTATAAACCTCTGCATATTAGCGCTTCTAAATTCTAGGCAGCCACTATTGTCCTCAATCTTCCAATGTCGACGTGTAATATCGGTGAATATGATGGATTGGGCCTAACTACCCTTTTCTGAAAGAACATCGCGCAAGCTCTCTCAGTGTTGGCCTAAGCTTGAACACAATTCGACGAGAGGTCTAGAAAGGATGCTACAAGCATAGGAGATTGCAGCTTCTCGCAGTTTCCGCTGCAACAATAATGTTTTCCGTTGGACCACTACATTCCCCAATCCTACAGTTGAGCTTCATGTAATCCAGGAATACTGTCTCCAGTACTTGCATCGCGTACGCAGAACCTAGGAAGGCTGACCTAGAGGACGCAGTGTCTGAAAAAGGCCGATCTTTCTCAGATATGAAGGCAGTTTTATTGGTGTTGTAGGGTGAATCAAGGCTGCGATGTGCGGTATCGGGCTTGAGGTTTCGGAACACCGGTGACCTGCAGGTCTCAATGAGCCAGCCCCTAGTATTAGTAAATTTGAAGTGGACAGTTACTCTCCCAAAATCAGCTTGTCTAGAGTTGGAGATTACTGGTATTGTAGATGATGCTCTGTTGACCACCTGCATGCCGACCCTGGAAGATTGATCGGCCGTAGTACAATACCCAGGCTCATCATATTCCCTTAGTGATTAGTGCCTTACGGTTTCTGCAGGCAGGTTTCTTTCGAGAATGACAGACAGAGGCCAAATTTTCCTTCGATTTCCTCTTTTTCTTCTGGACGGAGTTGTCAATCCTTTAGAATCGTTTCGGTCTCGGTTCTCTGAATAAGGTAGAAACTGGCAAGACCTCCATGCCTCATGAGGCGGAGCTGGAGCATTCGAGGAATCGAGGCGTTTCCAAATGAGGCAGCTGAATTGTTCCGTCTATTCCAACCTCATGCCGTTTTTGGTAGACGTGAATGTGTATCAGCAATTTGATCAAATAGATCTCCTAGGCTTGGAATCTTAATATAATTGGAAATATCACCGATGTACTGCTTTACCACATCATCTTCATTATCGCCTATACTGGAAAGCGCCAATAGCTTTCGAAAGTCTTTTGCGGTCAAGGTCTGGATAGCTTCCATGACACTGCATATGTTCCGGAAACTTATTAAATTGTCAGAAAACTTTCCATTTTCGTGCCATACCAAATAAAGTATCCTGAGAAGAACGTGGTGAGAGGAAGGCAAAAGGTGACAGAGTCGGGAACGGTTTGCGCAAAAAGGAGTGCGATTCCACCGAGATACAAGAGATGGGTGACAGGGGTATCGTTGCCCACGAACCCTTTATGCAAAAATAGGATATTTACCAGCCCTCTTATGTGCCTAGGTTCGCAAAGGAGCGATTTCATTTAACCAGACCTGGTCCAGGTTAATGTTTATCTATAAACAATGAAGATTGATGTTTTGCGTATAAGGTAAGTCTGTATCACCATCTAATCACCTGACTTCATTAACTTTGACAGCCTATGGAGGCTTTGGATCAGATCAAGGAGAGGATTAAATCAACCGTTTTTGACTGCTTGGCATGGTTTATACTATGTTCCATGTATGTATTCAATATTCATAGTCTATGACGAAGGCTTTAGCCATACTATTAGCTTAAAAGATTACAACATCTTCCTACTCTAGGGAACCTAGAACCGAAATTCTCTCAATTCATGGTATATAAAGGGTTTGAGACCGCACTGAGATTTTCCCTCCGAACATCCCTTCATCTCCCGTCCTGCAACTATAAAGACCATCTAAAACCTTCTTACTCAACATTTAGTCTTTTACATCACTCTCCAGTCACTCCATTACTCTTCGTCTGACTATCCTATATAACCTCCGCATAGCTCTCCATCATATCTTCTAAAGACCTCTCTATCAAAATGGCTAATACAAGTGATGAACCGCACGGCCTGAGCATTCCTGTATTCGAGGAAACGCTGCAAAATGCTGTAGATCAGCGCTCTCGAGTGTACAGCTTTGTCTCATCACTCTCTGTTCGCTGGGAAAACGACCAGACAAATGCCAAAGCTGACCGTGAAAAGTTCCGCGATATTGTCCATCTCTTAGGATTTCCCACTCCCGAGCTATATGTTATCCCCTTGCAAGACCGCACCTCAGGCTGGATCTTAAATCATAAAATACATTTGATGATTGATCAAGGACTAGCAGCGGAAGGACGGGCACTGCTGTTGATATATTATGCTGGACACGGGGTGGAAAAAGACGAAGCGCTTTTTTTTTTTTAACTTCGTGGTTTGGCAAAGATATTGCTGTTAGGGGCATTCTTAACCAAGTGGAGTCCGATTATTGCTATCTCTTACCTGGTTCTGAAATCAACGTCATCTTCATCCTCGACTCTTGCTTCAGTCATGTGGCGACAAGAAATACGGTCAATGCGCAACGTATCGTCGAAGTTCTAGCAGCACCAAGCCCCAAAAGCCCCTTGGCTAACCCTTCCCAGGGGCGTGCTTCCTTTACTGGGAAGTTGTGGAACGGATTATGGCCAGAAAGACAGCGGGTTACAAAAGCGTTGGACTAGCTGAGCTTGTGGATAGCCTCATCGAAAAGTCACCACAGGTCACCCCAAGCTACAAGCTCCTTGTCGGAGTGCACTCCCTGCGACTAGAGCTGTCAGGCTCCGTGTCCAATGTTGTCCCTCCCCCTGTCGTGGCACCGGAGTATTTTGCAGTCTTCACTGTCCATGTTGCCAAGTCTCTATCCAAATCTGCGCTTGCCAAGATGGCAGAATAGATTCATGCCTTGCCATGGAATATCGGATTGACACTCGAGAATGTATACGAATCGTCCTCTTGGACATTTATTTTCCGGTCGTCCCGATACATGTTCCTTAAGCTAAACGGGTTAAATTACGTTACTCTGGTCTGTACAACAAGGCTCCCGAATCTTGTATCCAGGTTCCACTCACTGAAGCATCGAAGGCCGCAAGTAAGAAGCAAGAGAACTTGCCTTCCACCCTCTTGGGGTTGGGGGGGGGGGGGGCTAGGAAAACCCACCACACCGATTTGTGATTCCTATGTCCCCACCTCTACCTTCACTACCTTGTCATCCTCAAAGGCACTTTACTACGCAAGGTGATATTGTCCTTTATTAGACACCTATCTGGCCATGAACTTTTCTATAGTCTAAGTCCAGGAGTACGACATAACACAGCCGAATTTGTTTAAGGAATGTCTCGAAAGCCCAGGCCGAATATGGCCAAAACATATCGAAAGGAGCCCAGTGGAGCTGGAGAGAGCCCGTGAATACCAAAATAGATCTCATTTCCAAGCACTTGTGAAGTCTGAAAACTGCAGCATGCTATTTGTTATTTGAGCCATTAGCAAGAATGAGACTTTTTTTTTTTTTTTTTTTATTTTTTTCAAACTTTAGAATATCCGTTAACTCCTCGCGAGGAATTATACTCTTTGGTGCCAATCATATCCACAGTCTGAGCCAATAGTCAGTAAGGAGGCTCGACCATCTCAAATGGGCGAAAGTGTCCCCATTCCAGATCGGAGACATGTTATATGCCAATCTTCGTCGACAAGGATATGCATTGATGCAGGTCAGCCAATGTAGAATCAAAAGAACCCTGCCCCGTTTGAGGTTTTGTAAAGTTTTTGCCCCCCGGTATCGATACGGAACCACCTTGTAGCCCGCTGATGCCCTCTGCGAGAATTCTTCCCGTCGTTTAATACGAGCATATGTAGCATCGGCCATCATAAGGCCAACAATTGCAGTAATGCACCTCAAGCTGTAGCAGAATTCACAGTAGAGCGGTTAATCACCCTTCTTGCGTGTACATCCAGTAGATTCTCTAGATGATCCAAAGCTGGTCAGCCTGAAGAAGCAGGCGTAGAGTGTGCTCTTTCTAATAAGTCAGTAAAACAAGCTGCACCTTTTTGTCCCGATGACCTTTAATAAGAGAGTTGGGCATTGTGCCAATGTAGGGTGGGAGTGGACATGCCTCATAGCGGGAGAACAGGATTATTCTACCAAGCATATCCGAAGTAGAGTTTTAGGATGACAATGCTATGACCACGCGATTATGCCAACCCGAAAATTATCTCATGCATCTGCAGGAAGTTGAACACATACCAACCCTGTGTGTTGATTGTATGGACCGCATTTGGAGCATGGCTGGCAAGACAAAACCCTATTCTAACCTTCTTCGCACGAATCATACATTCACCCACGAATGCACTACAAGGGCTGTCTTTGTTCTCAAGTTTTTGCTTTTACTCTCTGTCATCACGGCTAAAATCACTAAACGGATGCTTAACAGAAAAAGGTGACATGTTGAGCGGCCACAATGTCATGATGTCGAGTGCTGGCATGCCTCGTATTCAATTTATTTCCGGCAAGGCCGAGTGCTATAAATAAGAGGGAGCGAGCTGCGTCTCATCTTCCCTATATCTCTTTTGCAGCTTTACCTCAGCCCATAACAGGTCCATAATTTTGACCATTTTCTCCTTGAGGCCGAATTCACAACGCAGACTCTTACCTTCATTTAGGCCACCCACCTTTGGCAATCCCATGTCCCTACCCCCAAACCTCTGGAGGGATCTCGCTCGTGAAGAGAACTTTAACCGCGTAATTACCCAGCCAGTCCATCCCCAAGATGGTGGGAACACCAACGGCCCTTCCCGGCGGCTATTCCGGCGGCCCGGGAGATCTCGGGCTGGAATACGAACAATGCTACATTCTTTTGCACGAAGATCACGGCGGGCTCGACTTACAGCACAACGGCATCTAGAGATTCAAAAGTGGGAACCCCATCCGCCAGATCGGAGTCTGCCATAGTCCCGACAATTGCAAGAAGTGGGGCCCGGACCAAACTGTGTCCAGAGGACAACAGTTTTACCTGCATGATCGCCAGGGCACCAGTTCCCATCTGGGGTCTGGACGGGGGTTTAGTGCTTATGGCTACCGGTAGCTGGGGGTGCTTAACCCAGCCAACCAGCGGGAGCTTTATGCGAAGTTCAGGGGGAAGCCAACCTGTGGGGAGGGTGAGCTGAAATGCCGGTCCGTGTTGGGCTGAAGGAACATGGGGGCTAGACTCTTACGACGCAGAACTCGAATGGGTGTATTACGCTGAAGTTTGTGCCAGTCAAGTGTCACCATAAGGATGACGATGATTGGAGTCAGGGCAAGGACGGTCTTTTCGTACCTTGCAACCTGGGTAGATGAGTCATTGCCCTCTAGATCTTTTTTTTTTTTTAAAAAAAAAAAATAAAAATAAAAATAAAAATAGAAAAAAATAAAAAAAAATAAAAAATGCGCAGTACATTTGGTTGGCAGGGTGGAAATGGTTAGCTGCTTTTTCTTTATTTTATTTCTTTTCTAGAGAAAACCAGTAGATTAGGCGCTTGGAGTGATATTGAAAATATTGAAACCAACCCTTTGAAGTATATATAGTAGTCTTATTATCCAAGGCGGTTGCTACGATATAGATTTTGCATTCTACCGTTCAGATACATAGATTGCAGTAGCAGCTACTGAGATTCACCGTTGGGAGGACTCGAGCTGCAACTGATGCCATCTATACGAGTCCAATACGATGATGGGTCCACTCGAAGATAGAATGAAACCGACAAGTTGCCAATTTTGCATAATGCTAAAAGCCTACTAGCCATGGACTTAATAATATCCGGCAAAGGTGGCAGTGCCGACTGCCTGGTTGGATCTAGCGATTTACTAATCCGGGTAGCGGATCGAGCCGAGGGATGTCTGGAATAAACACGATGTATCAGGCTATGGCGACGATCAAACCGTGACCGAAAAACCCTAGTTAAGTCATTCTTGCTGCCTAACGGTCACCAGGAGGATCGAACGATGTGATAGTCAAGCTTTGTTAGTTTCGGAGAGAGCGGAACCGCCTCGGAGTCCGCGTGTTCCGATGATGAATTCTTTCTCAATCTAGAACGATGGTGGGTTCTTCGGTGAAGGAGAGAATGCTAGGTATGTTGGTTGATGCCGAGGAGATGCCCTAACTGTAGAGGGGAGAAGAAAAAAAAAAACACAAAAGAGAAAAAAGAGAGAGAATCACCAATTAATGGATTTGCCCTGAGCTATAAATACGTCCCAACCAAGGAAATATACAATACCTCACCAATCAGAACAACGACTGAAGATCCACCCGGACACGGAAGTACCAGGTTCTGGCCAATAGAGATGGAAGCCGACCCTCCGCGCTGCATGGAAAGAGTGCATAAGTGAAGATTAGTCGTGATTCCAATCGTTACTTAAAGCTGACCAGTCCATCCGACCTTTGTGACAATCTCTGCTCCGTTCCTCATCACTGCAGAAATTGACCAATCCGACGGATATACCGAACGACCGACGAAACTATGCATTGACAACACCAGCAACACCCCAACCTGCATCAAGGCCATCCTTCTCTCGTGTAACACCCTCACCCATCCTCATCCGATACATCCGCGCATCATGGGCATCCCAACGGGCGGTGTCATCGCTATCGTCATCGTCGCCTGTCTGGCGGCCGTGTCGCTGGGCGCCGCGATCACAAAACATTTCTACAATGAGGGGTCCGACAATCGATACCAGTTCTCCCGCGAGCAGGAGCTATATATGCGGTCGGTGCGGATGAAAAACTTTGGGATTCACCGACAAGAGGCGCGGACGAAGGACAAGGACCTCGAGTCTGCTGTGTGTATGTGCTGGTCTTGGTATTCGTTTATGCGGTTGGCCGTGTTGGACTAATGGATCTTGGCTGCGGTCTAGATACGGAAGATGGCTCGTCACGGTTTTGAGTCGCTTTGACACCCGACCTGCGTCCATATTCCCGGCGAATTGTATCATGGGTCTTACGCGTTTACGAGTATGGGATTACGTTGCGGCGTTGAGCGGCGTTGATTTCTGACGTTTTATAATGGGTATATCCTGGGGTTTGAAAATTTGCGGATACCTTTGTGGTGGACCACGAAATGTTCGATTTATTGATTATGCGTGCATGTCTCTGGAGACGTATATTTCGTTTTATTTTATTGTTTTGCTGGCTGTTAGATATGCATGGTCACCTCATCTTGCGCCTTGTTATCTTCGTCGTTGGAAGTAGGTGTAGCTCGCTTGCTTTCCTTGTATCTACTCCAGTGCATCATACATACCCCTTTGGTTGTTCCTGGTTCGACGATAAAAGTCATCCTCATTTTCTTCACCAACCTGGGGAACCACAAGAAAACAGCAGGTTGGTCTCCGGTACATATCACACCACCGCCAGCGCTCAAACAAACCTGATCGAACTAATGCACATAATTGACCACGTCCATATACACCTAGCCCACATCTTCCCCGTCGTTGTCAGAGAACCCATCGTGCCAATCAGGTTGGATCTCATAATTCCTCTCGTGGGGTTCCAGATGGCCCCCACCGCCGGTAGAGAAACTTGACCACCGGGAAACTCATCCAAGGGCTCCAGACAGAGCCTATCGACAAACAGACAGAAGTTATCCCCGGCCCCCATGTCTACCGCGCAATCTAAGCTGTGCTCACAGCTGAGGAATCCTTGGAGATCCTCTGGGGTTGGGTTTAGGAGCCGGTTCGTAGCATCCTCTGCGACCTAGGCACGGAAATGATCGCTGAATCCATGGGGCGTGGCTCCATCAAAACGTTGGTGCATGGTCCATGAACGTCTAGCTCATGATTGGGGTGAAGATCCATGCGCGGTTCATGCTCGAGCGTCTTTCGAACTTGTTTCTGGATCAGATCGAGAATGCATTGTCATGCCGCATCGTCTTGGTAGGTAGTGCGGTAGATGGAGAAGCCCCAGGTAGAACCTTTACGTACGGTCGAAGTACGGCCGAATGGCTTCAAGAGTAACCACAAGTGTTGGAATGATTTGCAAAGGGGCCATGAGATAGACTTGATCCTATATATATACGGAAAGATCCTGATGAAGAGGACCCTCGATTAGCTGTGCTACAATATTGTCATGTGTTTTCTTCGCTTCGGTAGTCTCGAACGCGTCGATACTGGATTCTGTCGGCTTGTTGGAGTTTAAGGAGAAGAGAAGAGTCGTCGTGGAGAACTTACTAAACACCGCTCTAAATTCGGCAGCCGACTTATCAAGCCAAAAAAAAAAAAAAAAAAAAAGAAATCAGGGCGTACACAGTATTCATGAGATCTATGCGTATCACTTGTACGTATGGCAGCCATTCCCGTATTTCTTTTTGGATATCCTAGGAGCCGGCCATTCAGGACCCGTGGGAAAGTATGTGAAGTCGTCCTCTATTTATCTAAAAACTGTATTGCGACATGCCCTCGTAGTTCATTCGAGGTATTGAAAAGTACCCATGAAATGTTAGTGTATTTATAGTAGCCGTTGTAATCAAAGCACACATCGCTAATAATCACTTGCAATATCTCCAGAGGGAGAAGCAACAGCATTTTCGCAGCAGCACCTTTTTGTTTCAGGGAAACGAACTACGCCGCAAAATTGAGAATCTACCTACAGTGATTGGCACAATCAGATTGACACAAGCAATGTTATGTCTGCTTTAACAGGGGGATCACTGATATGGATTTGGTTAAAGTAGCCCTCTATTATCCAATAGTATATCATATATTGCTTGATAATAAGCGTCCGGCGTCGACATACACAGACTACCTAAGTGTTGAGCGTCCATCTGGTTGTACAAGCCACTGTCTATATCTAGGGTTCTTCTTACTGTGTCAGGTGACGGCAAAGTACGAGACAGTACGGGGTGCTAGGATCGTTTCCTCGAAGCGCGGTATAGAGTATTTAATAGAGGCGGTAAATACAGTTATTGCCTTGCAGGTATGGGCTTCTGTGCTTTACATACTATAGCCTAAGGGCCAATAAGACATTTCTCTATTCCGGTTCAAATAAAGGGTTTCAAGTCTAATTATATGATGGCAACATGTAACCCCCAGCCTACAATGGATTAGTCCCCACGGGGTAGTGCTGGGAAATGATTGAAGAGTGTAGGTCAAGGAAACTCAACCTTCGAACAGCACTGGAGAGAGTAATTAAGAATAGTGCAATCCTCTAGTGAAGCCCAATACGAATTTTTTGTACAACGAAATCTTTCAATATAAGAATCTTCCTTGAAACAGTCTTTCATTTCGAGTCTGCTGGACCTACTCTGTATCAATTACCCTAAATATTGCACCGCGATGTCCCAATTCGAAGAAAAGAACAAGCGGACCTCAGGGCCACAAAGCGTTTGTCACCTAGGCGGCAGTGGATTACTGTCTCTGTGTGAATATGTGCAGTGCTAGGAATGATATTTCCTTTCATAATATCAGTCTTCCTCGCGTTTGCTCGGTGGAGGTCATTTTCCTATAAGTTGATATAACAGTGCATATCATGCCATACGAACGAGTATGTATTAACAAGTGAATACGCACAACGGGTTTTAATCAGGACTCTGAACTGAAAACGCAGTCTTTTCTCGAAATTGGCTTCACCAACAAACATACGTTGATTATTTTTCTACCCCGCTGCCAAGACCTTAGCATGAGTAGCTTATTGATTTTGTCTTAAGGGTCTGCCGTACCGGCACTTAAATGACCACGGTAATATTTCTTTTAGTATCAACTGTGGAATAAACACAGTATGTTTACAATACATGTACTGTAAACTAAATGTAACCATTTATGTCTACTTCCTAACATTTATCCCATTTCTAAGCTTATCCGAAATCTACTTCGAAACTCCAAGTGGGATTTAAATTGGAGGCAGAAAGGAAGGTCCACAATGCACAATGTTAATGTTACAATGTCTGTCAACCCTAAACATCTTGATCGAGCATAGACCTTACGTAGCACCAAGTCCAAGCACCTGCAGATCTATACCTAGTGCTCAGGGTGAAATTTTGTTGTAAATCTATGAGAGGTCACTATCGTAGGCCCAATCTTCGATACAAAAGTATAAAACCTACTTTCTGCAGAAGACCTATAAAGAATGTCTCTTTCACATCTGCTTTCCGGTAGAGAGATTTAGAGTGTGTTGAGCTCTGGTGTCTGTGCTGCTGGGTGGTCGAGGGGTATAGGATGAGAGGTGTCTCGTTCAGCGCTAAAGTTAGCGAGAGAGGCCAGATTACTGACCACATGCGCGTTTTAGAATGATCAGCTCCCACGGCCTTGTCATAACCTGCCAGTGCGCGCTGGTACGTCTCCTCTGCCACTTTCAGCTTGCCCTGATTAGCGTAGAGAAACCTGGCCTTCCTTCAAAACCCTTCAGGAAATCAGAACTTCGTTTTGGCGATATCTCCGAACCACCATCTCCCGACCAGGTTGTAAAGTGTATCAAGGGTGGATATGTGATCTGGACCTAGTGTATTCTTATAGCCTGCCAGCGCTCACTGATACATCTCCTCTGCCTCTATTAGCTTATCTTGACTAAAGTAGAGATTCCCTAAACCATCCAAGGCTTCCCAAACATCAATTCTATTGTATGGGCAATTGAGAATCAGATGATTTGCATGTGGAAGAAACCGCTGCTGAAGTCTTGCATAGTCTCGATCCTCCTTGCTCGGGGCCATATGCCCAACAGAGATCAACGTTAGCTCGTATAGCTGAACTGTATAATCATCAGAAGCAGCAATATGGAAACACCAGTTCTGTACCACAGGATGTATAGTATAGCTCCTCTCCTGTTGTTTTGTCTCAACAAGGGAAAACCCGATCAGCGTTTTCATCTTTGCCTTGAAAGCCAGTGTGTCTGACGCTGCCATATCAAACCAATGTGGCGTGTAGGAGCAGTTCAAGCCGCACTGAATCAGTTAATACCAGATATCCCGGTTATCAAAGCAAGCAAGTAAGAGCAGTAGTACTGCAGCGGCCGGATCACGTTTCCATTAATATATATGTACTGTGATCGCCAGGTTGCTTCTTGTAGAACTCGCCCAACCTGTCGTAAGTTTCATCGAAAAGTTCTTCGACAGCCTCCGCCTCAAGAGTCAGCGCGCAGATAATTGCTATCGCAAACTCGTCTTGACTGGGTGGGCACATATGGGGCACATATGGGGCATATATGGGGCAAATATACAGTAACAAACCTAACAAGTTCAAGCAACGGATGGGCTAGTCTCAGGTATTCTCTAGAGGGATAGACAGCTGTCTGTGATGACAGAGCTGAAGTGAAGGATATTCACCCTCGCGATGTACTCCCCACCAAACAGATATGTGCATTAGCCGCTAGAAAGAGAGGTAACCAGTAAGACTATGGGCAGCATAGCTGTGCGAGGCACGAAGAAGTATAAGACTATTAGAGAACTAGATATTCCGAGTGCATGCAAATGGTACAATCTAGCGGTAATCGAATGGGAACGGCATGAAATTCGAGAACTCGCTGTTGAGAGTCTCCATCGCATAAAATCAGGAGTTGGAGGGGAGTTATTAATCCCCCCACGTGCTACAACGGATCCCGGTTTTACTATCGGGCCGTCCCTGGGAGCTGCCTGAGCGCAAACTCCATGCCCGAGTCCATGTTGACAGCTCTGAGATTTGTAGCAAATTGTATGCTATCACTGCTGGAAATGGATGGTTATCATTATTAGTATTCAAGGTTAAAAGTGAATATTAAGATTCCCCCTCAATAAGCTGGGCGAAAATGATGCAAGATGATCGAAAATGGCAAGATAAACGACAACCCTTGCTTGTATTGTATTAGCATAACTTCCACCTTTTAGCCGAACCCCAGGGTCGTTTAGGTAAAATGTCGATTATCCGTACAAGCCAGACTAGCTCCCGCCTTCTGCTCGTCATCAATTCCCACGATGGCGTGCTTTGACAAGGCTGACGAAAATTGAAGCCGTACCATCAAGAAGCAGAAACCACAACCCATTGAAAAAGATACGCAGCAGTACCGCAGACGTGCTGGTTATATGTAAGCAATAGTGTAAAGATCGCCAACCAGGATGTCTTATCCGATCGAAAAAGTACCCCCGGCTACTGACACCCCCGCCGAGGCATCAGATGTGGAGAGATGCAAGGCAAAGAAGAGTCCCCAACCAACTCCAGAGCCTACACTCGAGCGCCAGAAATGGTATCAATGGTTTGCGCCCTCAGACACCCCAGCCGAACGGCGTCTGATACTCAAGCTGGATGGGCTGATCATCGTCTTTCTCTTTCTGGCTCATTGGGCGAAAGTCTTGGATTCTTCGGCGACGAGTACTGCCTATGTGAGTGGCATGAAGGAGGACCTCAGCTTATATGGCAATCAACTCAATTACTTGAATACGGTGTATATGTACGATCCTCGGTCTGTAGTATGTGGACTTTGTACTATTCTAACGAGTTATATAGGGTTGGATTCATCACCATGCAGATTCCTCTAACGTTGGCGGTTAGTTAACTGGTCTTGTCAAACCGGTGGGATATAGCCTAGATACTAATGTGGCTGCGTAGATGACCCGCTGCCCGGTGAACTATTTCCTTCCCGCGGCGGACTTGCTCTGGGGGGTGTTTACCCTCGCTCAGTACAAGGCAAGCAATGTGACCCAGCTTTATGCACTGCGCTTCTTTGTCGGAGCACTGGGTGGCTTCTTCTTCCCCGCTGTTCAATGGTACCTAGGCAGTTGGTACAAGCGGTCTGAACTCGCGCGTCGTGGCGCGATCTTCTTTATCGCAAGCCAGGTGGGCAGTATGAGCTCGGGGTATATTCAAGCCGGTGCCTATGCGCGACTGGATGGCCGGTATGGGATTGAAGGATGGAGATGGTTGTATATCATTTGTAGATATATCACGACCTCTACATTTTGACGAGTCGCGTCTAACACAACACTGTAGGTTTCGCTTGCACGATTCCGATCGCTTTTCTAGGCCTCTGTCTACTACCCAGTACACCAGAACGGTGCAACTCTCGCTATCTGACCGAGGAAGAAATTCGCCTGGCGCAAGAGCGCATGGCGGCCGAGCACCGCGAGCCACGCCAGCCATTCACCATCCCCAGGATCATCACAATTCTGAAAGGATGGCGCCTCTGGGTTCTTGTCGGATTTGCCTTCTTCTTCTCCCAAGCGGACGGAGTCTCTTCTAATAGCGGATTATCCCTCTGGCTAAAAGAAGAAAGATATTCCGTCGAAGCTATCAACACAATCACCACCGTGTCGCCGGCCGTCACTATCGCCGCCTCGATTGTGTGTGGTGTGATATCGGATATTTACGACGCGAAAGTCTCCTTGATTGCCATAACTGCATTTCTTAACATCTTTGCCTGTTTAGTACTTGCTATATGGAACGTTCCACTGGGACTTAAATTCTTCGCATTTTTCTTGTCGGGGACGGCAAATGGTATTGCGGCGATTATTTATGCTTGGGCAAACGAGATCTGCTCACGCAGCGCGGAGGAACGAGCGTTGGTCATTAGCGCGATGAATACCATTGGGAATACGTTTGGGGCTTGGATTCCGCTTTTGTGAGTGATCCTGGCTGGAAAGTTTGTCCTTCAATGCATTTTGCTGACTTTTTAACTATATAGTGTCTGGAAGACAGTTGATGCACCCAGGTATCTGATTGGGTATAACTGGAACTTGGCACTCGATGTCTGCATGCTGATCATGTTGTTTGTATTGCGGTACTTCTGGGTGAGGGAGCAGAGGCTGGGTAGGGTATGAAGCGGACTTGAAGATGGCTATTTACCCCTTTTGACGATATAGAGGGGATAGAACTTGTTTGGTACAATATATAATAATAGAATGCATAGTTTCATGCTCCTAGGAAGGATATTATCATCCTCGCGAGATAATAGCGTCATGCTGTCCGAAGTGCTTCAAAAACCTTCCCCGGATCACCCGATGGTCCCTCTCACCGACGGCAATCGGCCACAGAACCCTTGCAGCACCGTCTTCAAAGCCAATGGGACAGCCTTCAGCCTGCTGACACTCCGGTGCCGCACTCATATATCCCGGGTCTACCGTATTCATGGCAACACGCCGTTTCCATGCGGACTCACTCTCCGTCTCCGTGATCATGTTCAGCGCCGCCTTGGACATGTTGGTGTGTACATGGTGGCCCGCTTTACTAGGAGACTTGGTCTTGCTCTCTAGGATCCCTTCTCGGGATGACACATTGATAATGTACCCCAACGGCCGGGACGAGGGACCTACCGCCCCCATGCGAGGCAACAACTCCCGACATAGAATAAGGGGCACAAAAGCATTGACGGCCTGTGCGCTGATCACGTCCTCATATGGGATCTGGTCGAGACTTTGAGTCCACGAGGATTTGCTACTGACCTCTCCATCAGCATCAGGCCCCAGCCCCTTCTGGATCTGTGTCTGTTCCGACCCATTATCTGTCAAACCACCACCTGCGATCTGCAACCGTACTCGATCCTCAATACCACCCCAGACACTCTGAACCCCGCCCCTCAGCTTCGGCACATACCGATCCTCGTGATCCGCAATGCACCTATGGACACCAACCTTCTCTCCGAGCTGCTCCTCACGCATAATCGCCCTCGTCTCAGAGCGCACAGGGTCCGTCAACGTCTGCGCAGCATTGTTAATCAGAATATCCAGCGTCGTAGAAGAAGCCCCCCTCCCCTCCCCATCCCAATCATCAAGCAAGCGCTTCACAACCTCAACAAGCCGAAACGCATCCCTCGCAGTCCGAAAGTCCGCCCCGACAACCTTCAGCCGTGGGCCCCACGACCCGTAATCCGACTCCCGCTCGTATCGCACCACCGTGTCCCGCGGGTAGCGCGATGAAACGATAACACTGGCTCCGCAGCGGAGCAACCGTAGCGCGGTGGAGAAGCCGAGGTTGACACGCCCGCCAGTCACAAGTGCGGTCTTGCCCCATAACATCAGACTCGGGGGGAGAGATATCGCCGACGAGGCGAGATTGAACGACCCGCACGGCCGACACAGGGACGGGTATGTATCGTGGGTATCGCCCGGGGGGGTTTCCAAATGGCACATGTAGCACCTAGGGTTCCTCTTTTGCGACTTGGAGTTGGGGTTTGAATTGAGACGGCGGTCTTTGTGTGCGTTGTTGAGATGGTTCACGGCGCGGAGACCGTGCTCTAGTGCTAGTTGCGTCTTCACAGATGTCATCACGGCTGGAAACGGGCTTTTCGCGTTGAGCATCGAGATCGATGGGTATTTCTGGAGGTATTCGAGGACGCGAAGGGCGGACTTGAAGTCGTTTGTTGTGGGGATTATGCTACTGCCTCTCTCGACGTCGTCTGCTCCCCAGTTGCTTGTGCGGCTCATTTGCCTTACGGATGCTTTAATGCCGCTTATGATGCCCTGGCATTGGAGGACGCGGATTGGCTCGGGGATGTTGGCGTCTGGAATTAGGTGTTTGGAGATTGCGTTGAGAAGTTCACAGGGCTTGGTTGGGAGATGCATGGCCAGGGGACTCGGCAGGTGGTTGTCCTGACAGAGGAGTTGGTCGCGGCGGAGACATGCTGCGATTGTTGCCGGGTGTTGGGTTTGGATGAACTGGATGTACTCTTCATCGTGTGTTCCTTTGGCCATGTTGAAGACGAGAGATTAGGGTACGGTACTAGATTGGGTACTTGGGGGACGTATAGCGGACTTTATATCGGGAGTGAGGCTGAGACTGAGCCAAGACGCTTATTGATGAGGATCGCTCTTGTATTCTATGACTCATTCGCTCATTCACCGATTTTTATAGCCTCATAACTTTATAAACTGGGACCCATGAGGCTGGGGCCAAGGCATTACAGGATGTGGGGGCATGCTACCTTAAATGACTCACTAGCCCACCTTTTTCCTGTCCGCCTTGCGGCGAACAACTAGTTTCTCTACACATGGTATATATTAGCCCTCATCCTTCAATCCTTACCCGTAGGCTATAACACACCCCAACTCCTCCTTTTGAAAAAAAAAAGTCTTAGTAAAAGAAAATACAAAATGTCCCTCCAAAAAATCGTCCAATGCCTCTCTCCCCTCCCGAGAGAACTCGCCCACCAAATCCTCTCCGACATCCGCATTTGGGACATCCTGCGCCTCCTAATCCACAACAACCCAAACGTAACAACCGACATCCTCACCCACCCACACCTGCGAAAAGTTCTCCCGGAGGACCCTCAAGCCCTCAACTCGTTCATCCAAACTGCAACCCTCTACCGCGACGTCTGCGCCGCTCACCACCTCCAGCCAGCTCCCCTATCATCCCCCCTAGCCAAAAACACCCAGGCCTGGAAATCAGACTACAAAGACCTTACAAACTACATGCACAGCCGCATCTTCCTGGAACTACGCCTGGACGGCTGGAAACACGAAATTCTATCCCGCCACACACCCCCAGAATCCCCATTTCCAGAAGTGTGGGACTACTCCACCATCTCAAATATGCAAACACGATGGAATACAATCCAAGCTGCCCAAGCGACCCTCAACCAAAGGAGAGCCATGCAGCTACGCCACGCCGCGGATCTCCTCGAGGCGAATCCAGATATACTGAAAAAGACAAGAGATCCAAGCCAAACGCCGCGGAAGAATCCGGGCCACGTTGTGCAGCTGTTCAGGCGGCTTGCAGAGCGGGGAACGAATCGGTCTTTGCTGCGGGGGGATCAGCTGCGTGGACTGTTATATTTCTTTTATGCGTTTTTCCCGGTCATGCCCTTTGATGAGGCTTTGGGGGTTGTTGTGAATGGGTTGGAGGGGGTGGGGGTTGGGATTGGGGAGCTGTTTGCGGATGAGGGTTCGGAGTGCGTTCAGAAGGTGAAGTTAGAGGTTGAAGGAGAGATTGAGGAGGCTATTTGGGTGGTTATTGAGGGGTTGAGGTGGGTTTATAGGGCGGAGGATGAGGCAGGGAAAAGGGTGAAAAGGGTGGAGAGGTTGGAGGGGGGGACGGTGCTTGTGCATCCTATGGGACCAGAGGATGCGTGGGCAGACTCCAGGGAAGGGTTGGCGTGGCAGTATGAAGTTCATGATGAGAGGGAAGCTCGCTGGTTGGAGGCTTTTGTGAAGATTTACCGGTATTTTGAGAGGTTGGAGAGTAAGGATAAGGGGGTATAATTTAGTGACCCTCTTGACGACATTGACCATCTCTATACGGACAACTTTTGGATCTCTTCGACTGTCCAACCAGGGTCACATGGACCCATACAAGTGCCTAATTCTGCACTTTTGAAAATCGCTTAATTAACTTACATGTTCTTAGGAACCTGCTGGGACATTTTCCGATGGGTATGCTTGAAGCGGAGAATTCCTCTCTCGTTCCCTGCCGTTACCTAGAGCCCCAAGTTGCTGCTATGCGAAGGCAGCCGAATCTAAGTTAACTGAATAGATGGAAGCCTTGAAAGAGAGGGAAGATTAAATCGTTAGCAATGTTGAAGGGTTCTGCAAATGCAAGTGAGCAAGAAGGATTAATGGTGATGTAGTGTGATAAGAGTCGGTTAGATAATTCCTTTCTATAGGAGAAAGCAGCACCCCGCCAGGGAGTGGAGGGTTTTCAACCTGCCGAGGTGTCACTCTTCACAGTTATAATACAATCCGAGGACAAAGCAACAGTCACCTCGACAGGTCCTTTGTATCCTTCATCCGACATATTTCGTCTTACGTGGAGCCTGAGAAAGCGAGTTAACGTCCGTCACGAGTTGCAGTCGCAGTCCCTATCCTAGACAGGCGGAGGTGGAATGGGAAGCAACTCGCAAAAGGCCTTCACCCTTCCATTCCACAGTGACCATGATGCGCAAGTATCTAGCTCTGGAAGGATACTCGTCCGAAAGGAGGCCCCTATGCAGGCCTACGAGCGAGGCGGAGGAAAGAAATTATGTACAACTCTCCGTCTGGGATATTGAAACTGGCGAACGTATTCAATAACTTGACTGTATTGATGGAGGCCATTCTGTCGCTATTGTGTATCCTCCAGATGGGAATCGGCTGGCAGCAGGCATTGATAGAGGCACGATTATTGTCTGGAACACTGAGAGTTATAAACGCTACTCTACTCTGAATCATCATGCTGCGGCGGTAACATCAGTTCCCTTCTCGTTTGGTAACAGACTTATGGCAGCAACCACGAACATATACCTTCAAGTTTGGAACATCAAGAGTGATACCCCGGAGCTAATCTATGAGCTTCAGGGAAATACTCAAGTGAAATTTTGTCCTTACAATTCATGGATGCCAGCACGCTCGGATAATGTGATTAAGATCTGGGATATTCATTCCAGCATGATCTCTAGTGAATTATTTGGGACTCTTCAATTCCTGGATTTTGCTAGTATCGGGTTGTTTTCCTTTTAGCTGGCTATTGGTTTTCTTTCCTGGTCACCGGGTCTTCCCTATTCCTTCCTGCAAAAGCAAATGCTTTACAGCTTCTATTACTTAGTGTGTTCCATAGAAGAACCATCTATCACGTCGTACGATTCTAGGGAACAATAAGCTAAAGGAAGTTGTCCATGCGGCTCAAGTGTCTCTTCATCCTCAATGTAATACTTCGAGACAATAGTCCACCCGACGCGGCCAGACACCATGACTTGCGGGAGACCACCAAGGCCAGCTAGCCGCGATGGTATCTGTTCATAGTCACCGGCTTGACTTGAATGCGCGACATTTGAATGCATGTTTCAATTACTAATGAAGGCCCAAGTGGAATGTTTTCTGGTCTCTTTGACTTCACCGGCGCTGCCAGACATGATCGAACCGTGCTCGTGGGATTGAGCTACCCTATCTCACATTCTGTGGAGGCTGGCGTACGCTCGGGCTGCCCCTTGGATATGCTGATCACAGCAGTGATATCCGCCTTACTCATAAGTCATTATACGCCAGACATGATCAATCGGATAGATGACGAATCTGGACTGCGGTCCCATCAAAGTGGGTATTCTTGACGATGCCTGTGGGCTCGGAATGACTCTTTCGGCGCCTTTCCTTGACGGTCGCAAGGGCTAGGGATGCCAAATCGGACCGTTCTTCAGTAGACTATTGCGCTCGAGGGGCTCTTCATGTCTGGATAAAGATGGCAAGAGGTGTCTACGGAAAATCCATCCAGTTCCGTGTGGTTTACAGGAATTCGCACAACACGTGGGACACGTTTCCGAAGGATTCGATGACCAATAACATAGAGTAAATACAGGCATTCTCATGGCCAGGCTTGACACAAATGATCCCCAAATCTTTCTTACTGCCATTGGGTCTACCTCTACAACATGGGCGAATTAAACAACTTTCGGAGTGGAAACGTTAAGTGAGAAGTGATGTAATACAACATGCGATATGAGACTCGATGAAGCACCGCAGAATCCATCGATTAATAAGATAATAGTCAATAAAGGCTATGAGATGAGAACAAGGTACGAGTCTTACCATGCTGGGCTTTGTAACCGTTTATCTCGGAGGAAGAACATGCGGCTAAAATTATCAGGAGAAGAACCCGTCAGTCGATTGACGTGGCCAGCTTGATCATTACACCCAACCAGAATACAAGTGCCATGTCCAACAAAAGCCGCATAATGCCCTATTGCGCGTGGTATTCCCCAAGAGATTGGCCCCATTAGCCCACGGTGGGCATCTGTGACGCTTACGGCCGGATTCTGAGCCTCTTCCGTCACTATGCCAATGATCTGTTCACAACGCCAAATGGGTGACAGTATGCTTATCAGGGTGAGGAAAATTACGCGACCATTATTTGGGGAGACATTCTTTCTGGGTGGGTAATAACTATTGGTGACATGTTCCCCGCTGTTGTGTAAAAAGCTCATCAAAAGGGGGAACGAAGAACTGGGACCAAGGCTCCGATATCCTCTGGGAAAAACGGGCTAGCAACATACAGTCCCCGGTGGGAAAGATCAATTGGTAGATCTTGAGACTATTGTGCCATCCGGGCTTTAGCCCACAGCGCTCTGGCTTTATTGTAGGTGTTGGTAATGAAGAAGAAGCTCTTGAAAGCTATATCCGGCACTATATAGATAGCGCCGACCAAGGGTTTTCGTTTTATCACGCTAAAACTAGCAAGGACAGGAGCACATTACCATCAACGACGGCTCGAGTCGGGTACGCGCTGTACCTTAGCATTGATTCAGCGAAGCTGCGGTATCTAATCAAGACCTTTTATGGTGAAGGTCTCCTGTATGGTGGTCCGGCACGCTTCATAGTGTTTGTGTATTGGCCTCTAGTGCTGTGCGTCGTCCAAATGTTTGTTGATTCTCTATCAATTCTGTATGTCGTCATACGGTCATCGATGAGCCCGAAGCAATGTGGGACAGCAATAAGGCAATTCACCTCTGGCACGTCAAACTGCAGGGACTTACTGACAATCTATAGCTGTTGGGCTGAACTTACATGACAATTGCACCAACGTAGTTTGCCTAGAGCCCCCACTGAAGCTTGAGTCTTCCTTCCAAGCTGAAGGACGGGTCTATCAGGTTGGACAAGGGCCTCCACGGAATTAATTGGATAATATTCGGCCAATGTACGATCTGACGCCTCATAGAGTACAATAAGTACCGGGCCTGATGGGTATACCCACGGGCGCCCACGCCGTAGTCTGAATCGATGGTACTATTCTGAAGGAAATCCCTACTTGATAGTTACAGTTGAAATGGTTTCCATTATTTTCGGTGTTTCTGCTCGTGTGAAACCATTACTCATGCCATTTGACTAACGTTATTCGGGCTAGCAGGATTGTCTAGTAAGCGTGATTAAAGGACAAGTTTTCATCTATCTTGGGACACTGTATGAATGGCGCCCAGTACAAGAGCCTTTCAGCTTCAGCCTTACTAGCCTAGTGACTAGTATACTAATATAAATGAAATATGACCTAACATTTGCTTATTATCTATCCGAGTTTGTACCTCGAGGCTCCAGGTTGATGCTGTAACCTTACCAGGCTAGCCTGATCCCCCCAATATTATATCCTGCTCTCTGCCTAATATCGAAGAACATTTGCGTCACTTAGCGTGATGGATTATTCCAGCTGCACCTGTACAGCACATCCTACCAGTGAAGTTTCTTGCTCCTTCCTACAGAAAGCTGTGTCTTGCAGCAAAGTACTGTGTACTGAAAAGGCTCTGCATTACATGTACCCGAGGCTTCCTTTTGACTTGTGAAAGTCTAGATCCTTTGGCGTGATGGGCAATGGCAGGATCATTAGGGTACCTCCACTCACATCCAGGTTTTTACGAACGACACACTTGGGCCATGGGGAAGGTCTGACTCATTGGGGCTGAAATAGATTGCCAACATGCCATCCGAGCATTTGATTCGCCAGTTAGGTAAGGGACGAGGCTATCAACAGTGGAATGAGTCAAGGTGACGAGGGCAGGCGCGGTGAGGTCGCACAAGGCGTTGTTTGTGTTGTGCTCATCTCGCGATGCATCCATTTAAATGGTACATGAGTTGCCATACCACTTTAGCTCACTCCCTCATCACCACGCTCATTTCGCAGCGGGATTTACATTATCATCAGATAGTATCAAAGACAAAGAAATGGCGTTTGCTATCTACGACTATAGTTCTGAGTCCTCTAGTGACGGTGAAGACACCGATATGGAGGCTACCGGAGATCAGAAGACCTCAGGTAGGTTGGGCTTAAAGGGCTGCACGAACATTCCGCGCTGATTCCTCTATGAAGAACAGAGTTCCGGGGCCGTACAATATGCCCCTCCTGGTTCTATCTGCGAGGTCCATAACCTCTACGAGACGAAGCCCGACAAGAAGGGGCGTACGACCTGGACAAAAGAGCTGCCCGACGATCTCACCATCCCTGCTGAGAACACTGAGTCCAGTCAGTATGCGCTGCTCGTGCGAAATGAGAAACGCTACGATGGCTGCAAAAACCTTCAGATCCACTCCATCGTCATTCAGAGCGAGTCCTTGAAAACATTCCTGGGTAAGGTCATGGAGGGCTACCCAGGTTTGACCATGACCCTGAAGCGAGTCGAGTTCAAGCCACCTTTCCAGCCGTTCGTGCATCGATGGGAGAAGCTCTCCAAGGCCAGAGATGAGGTGACCGATCCCGCGACAAAGGCGGTGGTTAACTTGCTGTATACTATTCTTGAGGAAGAACTTCGCGAGACCATCTCGCGTAAGAGGGATCTGATTCGCAATGGAGTGGCTACTCATGATCTACTCTGGACGATATTTGAACCAGGTGACACCATCTACTGTGCTTATGGCGATCGCGAGCGCGTTTATCGCTTTGAGTCGGGCTGGATCAATTGCCAGACCGGGGAGTTCATGATTTCCGCTAGGTACATCGATTTTGACGGAAACGGCTTTGGATATAGGTCGCAAAGCCATGAAATTCCCCCGTTTGAAGGTACACTGCCCATCACAACCTTACCTGTTTTCCCTGTGCGGTACCATTGCGATCCTGTGGGTGTGCGACAAAATCTGATTGCCCGGGGGAGGCTGTGGGAGAAACATCAAGGATATCACTACAAACAATACGAAGGAACTGGCATAGGTAGCTACATGTGCCAGAAAGTTAAGTTCAACGTCAAGAGCCGAATCATTATTGATACTGAGGCCTTCAATACTTTCAATCCCAACGAAGCCATCAGAGTCGATGCACTGAAGAAGACACTAGACGACGAGATGCGGCTTCTGGCGACCCCCATCGTGCGCGGGTATTCGCTAAAGGATAAGAAATGGCTAGCATTCTATCTCGAGGGGGTAAAGGATATCGTATGGGACTCTCGCGCCTTCGATTCGCTGGTTTTACCGGCAGATCAGCAACGATTGAAGAATCTGATACTCGCTATCGCAAAGGCCCAGTCAAGGCAAATGGATGCATTTGACGATGTTGTTCAAGGCAAGGGTCGGGGAATCATCATGCAATTGAGTGGTCCACCTGGCGTAGGCAAGACGCTCACAGCCGAGAGTGTGGCAGAAGTCATGCGGGTTCCTCTATATGTTCTCAGTGCGGGCGACCTAGGCACGTCCGCTCGTGGTGTCGAGAATGCGCTGAAAGATATCCTCCGTATGGTTCCAAAGTGGGGTGCGGTTCTTCTGCTAGACGAAGCGGATGTCTTTATGGAAGCTCGAAACAATACCGATCTTCAGCGCAATGAGCTGGTTTCCATTTTCCTTCGGTTGCTAGAGTATTACGAGGTAGGCGCTCGGACTCTTTGCAAGTCTCAAGATTCTCAAGATTCAAGCTAATTCATCTACTAGGGAATCCTGTTCCTTACGACCAATCGCGCCGAGAGCATTGACCCGGCTTTCGAGTCGCGTATCCACGTCTCGCTTCGGTATCCAGATCTGGATGCTAGGTCACGGCGTCAGATCTGGGCACAGTTCCTGATTGGGAACCAAGGGTTCTCTCCAGAGCAACTGGATCAGCTGGCCGAGGTAAATATGAATGGGCGGCAGATTAAGAACGTGCTGAAGACGGCGCATCTGCTAGCACGCGAGCTGGACCACGACATCCAATATGAACATGTCCGCACAGTCTTGGACCTGAGGGTAGCTAACTATGCCAACACACCGAATGGGGCTCTTTGATACTGGGCGTATCGTTGGCTTGAAGAATACTGACTATGCGAGGACTTCTATCTTTAACTTCAATCTTGGTAATAAAAACGGGTCTTCCTTGCTTTGGCTACGTATAGTATTCTCATGATTACAAGAAAATGTATTCTGCATCGTGGGATTGTGCCATTTGTGTGCCAAGTATCATTTCTATTTCTTTGAGCATACGTCACAACAAGTACAGTGCTCACTACGATGAAATGTTCTATCGTTATCACATCTAGAGTGGGAGCTGGGGTTTTCCCCAAGCCGTTCAACCCCAGTAATAACCCTTGATCGGCTGGTCATTAGAATACACAGATATCCTAGCTGATACCAGACACAGATTCAGGCCAAGGCCATGTGGCGGCTCTTAGGAGGATCTACTAGACGTATATCAGATCATCATGGAGTCCATGGAGATCTATACCGGTCTACGTAAATGGCGACTTACAATACATCGTAACCCTACACATCTCGAAGCCCGAAATGCTGGAATTCAGGGAATGGCACGAATGCGACAGCCCCAAGGACATTCCTGGTCCGCGAGTTCCCCTACTACAATATCATAGTCATCAAATACAAATCACCCTCATGCGATAGGCTCAGCATAAGCATGTTCTTCGCCTTCGACATGTACGAATGCATGCAAAGGCTCGGTCTCACTCCAGATGTGTTCCCCAGCCCCTTCGACCGTATACCGTTTTCCGACCAACGCAGACACGAAGCAGACCACGCCTATATCCCCCTCAACACCCGGTCCGCCGATGATCGCCCATCCCTTGTCTTTAAATTCGGGCATCTGGACGCCCTTCACACGCTCCAGGTGGATGCGCGCTTATGGCTCGCGGGTGCGGAGGGACTTACGCAACTCGTCCTGGTGATCGCTTTCAACAAACCGGCCGAGCAGATGGAGTTTGAATGCTGGGAACTTCTGGATTCTGTTCCATCGCGCACAAATAGGTCACTGTCGAGTGTATGTATCTGATGGTCTGAGGTGCGTCTGTGATTATTACACTGGCGAAGATGTTTGATGTAGTTCCTGCTCTTCCGGATATTACGGACGAGTCCGTGGTTGCGTTTGCGGACAACGAGGTTTTGGGGTTTGTGCTCGGGTTCTTCCTGAGATTTGAGTTGAGTTAATTGGGCAAATTTTAAACCTCCCCTTCGTTGATCACTAGCCAGCGCTTAATGGTGGGATGTCTGGGTGGCGTTGTATGTTTTTCAGGAACCTTAGCGTCCATTTCCCGTTGTTGTTATTTACTGCTGGACGACTTCAGATATTGTACTCCATCGGCTACGGAACTACAGATATCGAATGTGATGGGCCGAAGAAAGAATACCTTCCTCCGTTGAGTTGCCCATGGCTATTGCTTAGAAGCAAATACAGTTGTCTTAACCTACACAATCCGTTTCATTATTTGGTTTATATCAACCAGAATTACCACTAAAGCTCCGCTATCAGCCACCATCCAACGCAATTTAGATTAGTAGTGCTTTGATTACGATATCAGGCCATTATCAGGCCACAACACTATGATATCGTATGGTTGAATGACCATTCTAAGGCCTATAAATATTGCTCATTTTATCATTAGATCAGAAATCAGACCTTTTCTTTTTAGGGTTGCATGCCTTAGGGTTTAGCGGTAGATTACTAGGTAATACGGAATCCCGCATCCCTGATAGTTTATTTGTACTCTACCGGACCTATCTGGAGTAAACCGTGATCTAGACCCACTTAATAATTGTAATGTAACCACTCTTTCCTACAAAAGGCAGTAAAACGGTACGTGAGGCGGATATTGCGGTGGCCGTTGTGGTTGCTAACATGTTAGCGCCATGTCTCCGAAGGAGAGATAGAGCTATTTACCGGGTGACCCGCATTATCGACGGCGACAATGGTAAACAGCAATGCGACTACCGCAGTGTCATCCTAATAATTTTAATGTTCCTCCTGTACCTCAATCTCATCTTTGCCCGTTGCAGCAACGACCAAGCTCTATGAGCGAACGGAGACAGGTTAAATTCAATCTGCCTTTCTCAATGGAAGCGAACTCGGCCAGTGGAGGTTACCTGCCGCAAGGTGAGGTCTATCCTCATAAACAAAGGAACCCCTCCAGGTCCTCGGCCAAAGGGTAACCAAACCAAGGCCCGATCATTCTCTTCGCAGTTGTATCGGCGGCCTCGCTGACAGGTCCCAACTCGTCGTCATACCCTTTTAACCTGACTCGCAGGTGAGATAGAGGCCTGGGCCTAGACCACAGGTTATTTAAAGATACTCTTCCACCAGAGCAGTCATAATGTAGCACACATCCGTTACACAACGTGCTGTAGCTTCGTCGCAAATCAGAAAGACCGATACAAACGGAAGCAGGCATTATATCCGGGATTTACTGTCATAGTTGTTTTAACCATCATAGGCGAGCTTGGCAGGGTGACATATCGCCGGGTCCAGAGTCCGGATAAGAGACGTCTGTGATTTCTACGCATCAGGCCTTGGCAGTCATGATATCATATTTGGACGTGTTGAGGACAGGCTCTGCAACGTCAGGGTTGGTCGTGTAGAGCGGTTCCCAGTATCCGTGAATTGTAGACAGGAGCTGAGCTCCTGCGTTAGGCCAGCCATGGTAGGGACGGGAGTCAGTGGGTCATGGACTACGCCATACTGGCTCGCGAAGTACCAGAAGAATAGATGCTTGGCCCTGATATCGAGACCACCGGGTTACGGTGTTGAACCAGCTGTGCAGATGCTCTCGCTCTTTTCTCGGATGACAATTGAATATTTGAGCGTCATGGGTACTCTGGGCTGTCGTTATGATCAGGCCGTCCAAGCAGATTTGAGTAGTCGAGTAGCTCGCAGAGATCACCGCGGGGTAGTAAAGCAGGTAGAATATTGCAGGCGCATGGGTCCAGGTTATTAGAAAGACACCGGTGGAATATTTGAAGCGACGTAGAGTTGACGTGACGCTATTACCAGCTAAATTAGGACCTTGAGACAGTTCCATGCTTACTCCAAAAACTGACGGTGCTGAGATTTCTGTATAAATCATTGGGGCGATTTAGCGCAATTCTAAAGTCACAAAACCATAGCAGCGTTGAGTAGCAGCGTAGCCCTTAGTAATCGCATGGTGGAATATTGGGCTAGACATCAGACTCTTTCGAGCTTGAATCCTTGTTCTCGTTGGGAATATTACTCTGTCAATTGTTAGCCACACATACTTGTTGAGGCAACGCGAGCTATATATCTTCGTTCCCTTGCTGATGGACGTGTGATGTTGGCGTGCAATAAACTATAAGGAATGCAGGCTATAGCGTTCGCTTTGGGGGACTATCCTGTATGACCGAAATTATATTCGTCAAGGCACCATTGCCATGAGGTCATGTTCATGGACCGGATTGTCTAGCCTATTCCCAAGTTTTCGTCTTTAACGCCGCCGATAATGTGTCCATTTCTGGGGACATCTCCTCGCTGACGACAACGCAGACCACGAAGGACTATCCACGCTTGTAGACATCACCGCAACGCATCGAGTCATTATACGAAAGAAGTCCTTGGAAGATCAGCTTCGAATTACCCAATTACCCGATGCCTTCGAAACAAGATTGCCAAGGAATCTTAACTTGGGTACCGTGCACCGGGCTTGCGCCATGATCCAGTACAGGGCATCCGTAAACGAGCTAGTTGATGAATGTACCACTGGGGATGTCATTCCAAGACCATTGGGGCTTACCTAAATTGTCCACCTCTCTTAATATTCTACCATCTCGGGGTTCATAGAAGAACCCCGTATCCGCTAGGAAGGCCGAGTGTGTAGTCCCAGCCTTTCACCGTCGACCGGAGGTGTTTCAGGTTAATACTGGTGTACTCACTGGCAAGCGACAGCAGTTGAGGGTCGCTCAAAGAAGCGGTAAATTAACCGGGCTACCCCTACTGTTGGGTCAGGGTCTTGGGTGTAATATGAAAGAAACCCCTGCATATGTTAAATAAAGAACTTCGAATCATAGGGGCATGATCTTGGATTGAACCGAGGTATATGTCCACAAACAAGAGGCATGTAACCCCGATGTGACGGACGAATCTAGTCGCCACGGGAGTACAAGGCAGAGCCTACCCCGGGTTGAGAGTCATAGATGCTCTCCAGTGGCTCAAAGAGAGTAGTCCGCTACTCCTGACAGCCCATGGTGCCATGTGGTGTAACGCCCGTCAGCCATTCAGGGCTTGGGAATCTTGTTTCTGCGGGCGATGAGACTTGGCAGCCTTGGGACCCGATGGTAGATATTCCGCCTATCACGCCGGTCTTCTTTGTTCTTTTAACTGGATTAGGGTTGATCGAGGAGGATTTCTGGTACAGGATAAACAACGTCGTATTTAGAGAGTCAGAATGTCGCAGTCAGAGCAGGGTCATCGTTACGTAGGGCCAGGAAATGATTTCTCACAGCTGGAGTTGGTGTTGGTGCCTCTGCCTCTGTCCCCATCTTCCTTTGTTCAAACATCTCACGAGACTAGCCTGACCCCTAAGCAACCTCTTTTTCTTCCTTCTTCTCTCCGTCCCACTCGAAAGGCTTAAGCAAGAAAAGTAAACAACCTTAAACATACTAGATACAAACCCACTTTACCCCAGACTCTCAGCTGCGGGGAAGTTTTCTTCCCCATGATCAAAAATACGAGACCGTGCCCTTAGACGCGACATCATCCCATCGAATCACAAACCCGCCAGGTATTTGGTGGCGCCCGCCACGCCGTGCGACATCTGATTCCTTTCCCTTTTGCCAGGTAAATTCGTCCCAATCACTATTCTAATTCCGGCCCTTGAATCCCTCTTCTCCAATCATGGTCATCAGCCGACACGCAGTGTTACATTTGGTTCCCTTCACTAGTCACTTCCCGACAGCAGCCCAATGCTCCATTCACTGCGACCTGCCAGAGTATTAAAGCTCAAGGCCAATCCTCTAGCCGTGCAGTTCCTCACATGCTCATTGTTTGATCGGATCTCTGTTGCTGTATCACTGACCATCATTCAACAGCAACAGGCAAAATGAAGAAAATCTACAATGTCTACTTCCTGTGTGGCTTTGCCACATTGGGTAAGCATATCTATTAAAGCTTCACCGGAGGTGAAGTGGCGCACGGACTGATCTTGTCGCAGGTGGTGGTTTGTTTGGTTTTGATATCTCCTCCATGAGTGGTAAGTAAAGGTAGCTCTCCCCGTAGTCAAGGCAACAAACTGAACTGCTCCAGGTGTTTTGGGAACTGCTGCGTATACCAACTACTTTCAGGTAGGTAGCGGCCAGTATAAGCAGGTATGTTACACTCTCTCCGTAGCGATGTATCTGGAATGCGCGTTTTAACTGTGAATAGGGCAGTATTACCTGCGCAATGCCATTTGGCTCGCTTGTAGGGGCACTGTGTTCCAGCTTTATCGCCGATAAGTACTCGCGTGTGACGGCCATCCAGTGTTCTTCCATCCTATGGATTATTGGATCTGCGTAAGTGCGGCTTTCGCCATAATGAAAAGGTGCACTGTACTGATACCTACAAGTTTCATGTGTGCATCGAATGGAATCCCTCTCTTGGTCGTAGGTCGTGTCGTCGCCGGCGGCTGTGTCGGTATCGCGTCAGCCATGGTCCCAGTCTATCAGGCTGAAATCGCGCCCAAGGAAATCCGAGGACGAGTTATTTCGCTGCAGCAATGGGCGATCACCTGGGGTATCTTGATCCAGTATTTCATCGTGAGTATCCCCTGCTCATTGTCAAATGGGATCATCGTGCTGACAGCCCTCCAGCAATATGGTGCCAGCAACATCGACGGCGGCCCAGACAACCCCCACCAGAGTACCGCCGCCTTCCGCATCCCCTGGGGAATCCAAATGGTACCTGGCGTCATCCTCTTCTTTGGCATGTTCCTCTTCCCCAAGTCTCCTCGTTGGCTCGCTAGCAAGGACCGCTGGGAAGAAGCCCTCCACGTGCTCGCGCGGCTCCACGGTAAAGGAGACGTGAACCATCCCAAAGTCCTCGCCGAATACAAGGAAATCCAAGAAGCCTTGGCGCTGGAGCGCGAACAATCCTCCACTAGCTTCGCCGAGCTCGTCAAGCCCCGCATCTTCAAGCGTGTCATCCTCGGCATGAGTCTGCAGATGTGGTCGCAGCTCTGCGGCATGAATGTAATGATGTATTACATCGTGTATATCATGCAAGCTACGGGTACCGGCTCACCCCTGTTGACCGCGTCGATCCAATATATTCTCAACACGGCCCTGACATTGCCCGCCATCATATACCTCGACAGGTTTGGTCGTCGCCCAGCTATTCTCATCGGCTTCTTCCTCCAGGCCATCTTCCTCTACCTGGAAGGAGGACTACAGGCCGGGTTCGGGGCTCCAAACCCTCACACAGACCCCAAGCTCGATGCCATCTCTTGGACCGTGGCCGCCCATCCTGCCGTTGGAAAGGCGATCATCGCGCTCTCCTACCTCTTCGTCTGTTCCTTCGCGACAACAATTGGCCCCACCTCCTGGACCTACCCAGCTGAAATCTACCCGGCAAAGGTCCGCGCCAAAGCCGTCTCCCTCGCGACCGCCTCAAACTGGATCTGGAATTGTCTCCTCGCCCTCTTCGTTCCGCCATTGCTCTGGTCCATCAACTGGAAGATGTACATGATTGTATGTCCCCTGCCATCCCCTCTTATCTCCATCAACTGCAGCCACTAACCTAGATCCACAGTTCGCAGCCTTCAATACCGCAGCATTCATCCACATGTTCCTCACCGCGCCGGAAACCAAAGGCTACACCCTCGAAGAAATGGACGACGTGTTCGACAGCGGTATTCCCGCCTGGCGCAAGCTCAACAAACGCAGCCGAATGGATGAGCTCGAACGAGAAATCACAGAAGGAAACCTTAAGATCGCGTCCACGAATGATCATACCGGCGTGGCGGTCACCCGCGAGACTCCTGAGAAATTGGCGTAATGAATGGTCGGTTATGATATGAGTGGAGAGAGGTATAGTTTCGTCCGATTACCTCCTAGACTGGGGTCCTTGTCTGCAATACAGAGATGGATGGATGTATGGCACAGACGGGCTGTGTGGAGTGATTGGATTTGGTTTTGTGGGGGGGTGATAATGTTTAGTTATGAAGTTTGACGGCGATATCCCCAGTTCTTCCTTTGTTTTTGGTCGGATGATATAGGAGGTAGTTCACAATTGTTTTAATGAGCTTTATTGTATTTCTGGTAGTGTAGGGAGCTGTAGGTTTGGAGATTTTCGGTTAGGATCTATCTATCTATGTACCCCGTGTGGCCTAAGAAACCAATATTATAACCCCCTCTAGATTTTAATCCCAGTTCATAATATAAAGCCCTGGCTAGCTTTCAGAGATATCTTCTTCTTCCCTCGTCGGGCGGAGGGAACTCCATCGGGTTCTACTTGCGGGTCATGCCGACGGATTTGGCCCCCGGAGTCCGGTTACAAACTTAAGTTGCTTACAGATATTAATGAAGTTTTGAATTTCCCACCGCTATGTTTGCGTTATAGTCATATTGTTAAGAGGTGCTGGCGTAGAAAATATCCAAATGTGGTCACGTTTTAATCAAGAAGCTCCTTCAGTAGATAGGCTAGCTAGTCCCTACTATTAGAGAACACGACTTAGATATTGCACTCCTGAATATCACTACATATATACACTATAGCGCTTCCCATATTCTACCTCTCCACCGACCCTCGAAATCATGTGGCGTCTTCGTGAAATCCAATTTGATCAAGAGCCGAATCCCGATTGATCATCCAAGTAAAGAACCCATATGGAAGAAATGTGTTGCAGAACCAACTCAGAGTAGAAGCCTGCCCGCGTCGAATGAAAGGGCTGCGACCGCTGAGAACGTCGTCGACCACATTCCTCGCTGCTATATCGACATTCTGCTTGTTAGGGTGTACCATAGTTTTCTTGTGGCGATCTATGACCTCCGTAATCTTCCGGTAGTGCGAAGCCGGAGGCAACTCAAGGTCTGCGATATTGGCAGGGTCATTTCCGCTTGTCTGGACGCCGCCGAGGATGACAGTGACAACGCGCACGCCAAGAGGCGCCATCTCAAGACGTAACGTCTCGGAAATCCTCGTCTCAGCGCTCCTAGAGCTACTATAGATACCTAAAGTAGGGGTAAGTAAGCATCAGGGTATGCGGAATCCCCAAGGATAAGAAGCCCAACGTACCCGCCCATGCAAAGACCATTTCACTAGACACTGAACTGATGTTGCACATAGTCCCTTTGGCCTTGATGAGCATTGGAGCGAATGCCTGTGCCATGGCAACAATACTCCAAACATTGGTGTCGTATACCTTCTTCGCGTCGTCGAGGGATGCGTCCAGAAGCGGTACTACGGCGTTGACGCCCGCGTTGTTGACGAGGAAATCGAGTGTCCCTCCTGTATGTTTCGCAACAGTATTTGCGCATTTGCGAATGGATTCCACCGATGTGACTTCCAGTTCGACAATCTCTATGCCATCTGTTTGAGCCAGATCTCCGGCCTTGGCCTTATCGCGCAGCGTTGCAAAGACCCGGAAGCCTTTAGCGAGGTAGACCTTAGCCATTGCTGCCCCTAGTCCTCCATGGCTGCAACCAGTGATCAAAACTGTTTTAGACATTTCTGTAATTACCTTGTGGGATGGAGATCTGTCAAATACGTGGTCGTCAGTGTGAGTCGAGTGAGGTGGTGGGGACTCCATTTATATACAAGACACAGGTCGTCATAAAACGGACTTCGGACAGCCAAAGCCGTCGGGAATGTCAAAAAAGGATTCTGACAGAAACGACAACAAATTAAATATGGCAGAGTGGCTCGTCGAGCGGAGGAAGCGGACGGAATCCCACCGGAGGAGTTTCCTCCATTCTAGATAGTAATATAACCTTCAGGTTGGTGACTTATTTTGGGGTTTACTTTGTTGAGATGGTGTCTGCATGAGCACTTCTCTGTAGCTTTACTAGCGGTCGCTTTAATATAATATCCCAAGAAAAAGCATTTTCGTAAAAACAAACCAGTTAGTTTCCTCCGCGATTAAAACGTTATAAATAATATTTCTTAAGAGTTCCAAGTACGCGGCCTATCTGCTGTTCTACTAGGTAGAGGGAGAAGCCCGGGTGGTGGACGACGTATGGTATACATTGTTAGGTGGGTAGCGACAACATGGGTCCCCAGATATGTATATTTTGAGAAATGCTACATAAAGTGGACTTCCTCGCTCCCAAGAGAGGATTAGAACGGACAGAATGAATTCTACATTACATTATAATCCTTAAATAATACTTCACGCACTGCATTGCCATAAGTCTTTATAGAAAGAACAAGTGCATTGGAGAGATCGAACTAACAAAATATAACCACGTTAACACAAAAATCAAATAACGGAAAATGAATCCTGGACGCAAAAGCACAACACACAAAAGCCCAAAGGAAAATCTATTAATTCAATTTCCAATCATCAAAAATCCCTCGATCATCTCACTCAACCGTTTCGCAAATTCCCCCTTCATCATACTAAAATGATTCGCCCCCGTCATCCTATCCAAGACGATATCCTCTTCTGGTAGGAGACTGTCCCAGCCACACGGCCCAAAGTCGGTTCTGGTCGCTGTGAGGAACTTTAATCCCTCCGGATCCTCCGGTCTGCGCTCAAACTTTGGTTCGCAATGTTTGTCGATCGCGTCGCAGGCCCAGATGATTTGCGTCCGTGGGGGGTCGTTGGATGTATATGGTGTCGCGCGGTAGGAATGTAGACTGTTGACGCAGGCTTCAAAGTGTGAGATCAGCCATGGGGGTGGGTCCCGTTTGACTCCGTTCACGTCACCGAGGAGCCCTATCGTGTCGCAGTATTCGTAGTATCGGTGGGGGAGGTGGTCGAGACCTTTAGGGACGGGACAGTCGATGAGTACAAGCTCGGTGACTTGTTCTCCTTGGGCAGCGAGTTGTTGTGCAATGTGATACGCGAAAATACCACCGACCGACCATCCACCAAGAGCGTAGGGTCCGTGAGGTTGGCGGCGTCGAATCTCGGTGATGTATAGCTGGGCAACTTCATCGATGGTGCAGGTGTAGGATTCTGGGGTCTTCATGAATGGGCAGTTGACTCCTACGACGGCGATAGAGGGGTGGATACGGGGGAGACCTGCGTATGAAGAGCATGATCCGGAGCCGTCTGGGAGGAGGAATAGTGTCTTCACTGTAGAGGGTACAGCTGGGTTTCCCTGGAGAAGGAGGGAGGTCGCTGAGACCTTTGGCGAGGGCATGCTGCTTGTCTCGGGACTGGTCTCTATAGTGTTATGGCTAATCACCTCATACGAGCTGGCCTCAGATGCGGATCTGCCTTCGTCGCTGCTGCCCTTGTCTTGGTCCATTTCTATTTCGGCTTCAGCAAACATCGAGTTTAGGGCGGCGTCGCGGCCACTGACGGCTACAGTGCCTGCTTCAGGAGCGCCCTGTTTCCAAAATGCCTCGAGATTTCTGATGGTCGGATGGTCCAGGAAAATGGAGGACTCATAGTGTAGGCCGAGCTCCTCGCGGAATCGGCTGGCGCAGAGCAATGCGAGGAGAGAGTCCACACCCAGGTCGTCAAATGCCGCTTCTGGTGAAAGTTCCGAGATGGGAACGCCACTCTCCTCGGAAATGATCTTGAGTGCTGCTTGCCAATTGTCAGAGCCGCTTGCTGGGGGAGTGGTTTGTAGCGAGCCGCCTGCAGCCGAGGTTGACGCAGTGCTCTCGCCAATTTGAAGAGTTCCTCCAGTAGGAGCGCCGGCCTTTGTGTCATCTCGCATGTGGACAATATAATCCATGAGCCTCCGGGGTACTCCCTGTGCCTTGATTCCCTTGTAAACGGCGACAACCTCCTTACCTTCGAAGACGACCATGTCACCGCCGTACAAGCCGTCATTATCGGGTCCAGTCATTTTAACATGCGACCGGTATGTATTCGTGATTGACAACGGCTTGTAAAAGTGCAGAGACTTCCAACCATGGTTGACGAAAACTTCCTTGCTGAGGTCGGCTCGATCATTCGCGTTCATAACGAAGAGAGCTGGCTGTCCAAGATTGTCAATCACGTACGGATTGACATGGTATACTCCGTCCGTCCGAGGGTTATTGAATTTCACGGTAGCCGTCGCCTCCAACCGGGAACTATCCAGGATAACCGAAGAAACTCCCATAAACTCGGAGTCGTAAGAGGCAAGCGACGATACCAAATTGTATCCCGTCTTTCCGGTGAACTTCTGCACTCGGTCATCGGTACTCAATCTCGCAGCCATATCGTCCATTTCCGCTAGAATGCTGTCCGCGCGCTGCTGGACCTCTGCCTGAGCCGCCTTAGCATCCGGAAATGCTATGCTAGCCAAGGCGTGTCTGACCAGCTTCTTTCCTTCTGGAGTAACGCTCCAGAACTCCACAGTTGCGGTAAGGGTTTGACAATCAAGCAGAATGTGGCATTGTAGAAGTTGCGGACCTTTCCCTTTGCTCTTTGTGGCAAACGGCCTCTGCACATCCATATGTTGTAGGTCGACCAAGGCTCCTACGAGCTGGGTTTGTTGCTTGCGGAGATATTCTCCGATTACAAGAGCCATCTCAGCATACACGGATGGAGTGACAAGAGGAAGATTGTTGACCCGATGACCGCGAACAAATGGGTCCATGTCATCGCGGAGCACATCTACTTCACCAACAACGGTGATTTTGTTGCCTTCCTTCTTCTCTTCAACCAGTCTATGAACACAGGTAGTCGAGAGACCAGGTACTCCCTTGAGGAACATTGCATCGCCTTTGTATAGTGACCAGTCGTTGACATATTGCATCCAGTACTCCTTCAGGTCCCAGTTATATGATGGGAGGCGTAAGACAGAAAGGGCAGAGATAAAATCTCGATGGTACTCGGGCCATCGGACCTCCACGCCTGACTCGTATAAAACTGACAGGCTAGAAGAAAGCACCTTCCATGTATCCTTGCACCGCTGCAAAGTTGGAACGGTCTTGGCTGTCGAGTCGAGGTTGTTCTTCAACAGCCCAGAGACGATAGGATGAGCGCCGATCTCGATCCATATCGCATTGCTGATGAGACCGTCCGCCTTGGCACTGTCTAGGGCAGCGGCGAAGTTGACAGTTTCTCTGCAGTGGCGAGCCAGATATTCTGGTCCGAATGGTTCCTTGGATGTCAGGATTTCCCCTAGTAGAGGCGAAAGGACAGGAACCTTTGGCTCGCGGAACTTTACACCTCGTGTAGCGGCTTTGAACTTCACTAGAATGGACTGCATCTGTGATGAATGGAAGGCAAATGGGACCCGAAGCCTGGTCGTCTTCAAATTGGTCGAAGACAATATGTCCAGTATTTTGTCTATTTGCTCATTCGTCCCGCTTAGAACTGTTTCCCTTGGCGTATTGATGCAAGCAATATCGTATTCTAGACCGTTGCAGAGGGATTGCGCTTCTTCCACACCGGTGCTGATAGCAAGCATGGCGTGCGTATTGGAGGAAATATCGTCCTGTAGCAACTGTGCGCGCTTACCAGCCACGAATATGGTATCTGCCTCAGAAAGTACCCCAGCAATATTCAATGCAGCATACTCGCCAAGACTGTGGCCAACAACAGCGCACGGCTCAAGTCCCCATGATATCCACAGGCGAGCCATAGCTATCTGGATGCAAACTGTTCCAACCTGAACGACGAGAGGCTGAAGCTCGTAAATATCCACCTCGCTTTCTTCAATCAACGGAGAAATTGAAGGAAAGCCAAGAGTCTGTACAATGGCATCGAACCTCTCAAGGTCGCCCCGGAAAGTACTGAACTTGAGCAGATCCCGTCCCATGCCTATGTACTGGGATCCCTGCCCGGTAAAGGCGAATGCCACACGCTGGGAAGCCCTGGTCCGGGCCTGGATTGCTGGAGACAAGAGTTTGTTCTCCAGCAGAGCGTGAACCTCTGCGAGTTCGGAACCGGCCACCATCACCCGGAAGGGATGGTGCATACGACGGGCAGTTGTTGTATAAGATAGACTAGGGAGTGGCGGCTTGGCAGTGGTCATGTATGATAGTAGAGACCTGATATTGGCTTCCAGTGCAGTACTCGATTTGGCAGAGACGGCGACAATATACGTCGAGCGGGGATCGGCCAGACCAGGCTTGGGTTTCAAGACTGGTGCATCTTCGATCAAGACAGAACTGTTTCCACCGGCGGCGGAAAAGTTATTGATCATGATTCGGCGTGCGCATCCTTCTGGACGGGCCCACGGGACGGGCCTCTTCGCGATATGAACATTGCGGTCTTCGAGATCCGTTGGAAATCCACTGTTGATCTTCGTGAAGTTAGTACCATCCGTTCTCAAAGAGGGAAGCGATATGTCAGACCTTGTTCTTAATTCCACAATGAGGAGGTATCTCATTCCGTTCAAGGATCATGAGCGACTTGATCAAAGCAATGGGACCGGAAACAGACTCCCCATGTCCAACGTTAGCTTTTGCAGACCCTAGAAACAGCCTCTCCTCATCACTCCGTGGCCGTTTTGTCTCGGGCGCAAAGATTGACAGTACGGATTTCATCTCCCTGGCATCACCTAGGCAAACACTCTTCTTAGAATTTATTTTCGGTTATCCGCACATTAAAACTCTTTAAACTCACCAGCCTGAGTTCCAGTCCCATGCATCTCAACATATCCCACACTATACGGATCAACGCTAGCTGAGGTGAGGATCTTCTCAAAGACAGCCTTCTGCGCCCCGACATGCGGCCGAGTGATACTCTCTGCTTCAGCGGAGTGGTTCGTATACGCTCCAAGGATAACAGCGATAATGGGGTCGTTGTCAGCCGTGGCATCTTCTAGCCGTTTGATCACAAATGTGCAGACACCCTCTCCACGACAATAGCCGTCCGCGTCATCGTCGAAGGTCTTGCAATTTCCTGTTCTAGAGAGGAAGTGGCCACGGTCTAGGCCAGCGGTGATATCTGAAAACAATCAATGTCAGAGCTTAATGATACTCTACGGGTATCCTTCACTTACCAGGATTTGTCAGGACGTTTGTTCCGCCGCAAATAGCTGTGTCGATGTCCCCCTTTAGGAGGGAGTTACAAGCAAGATGAAGGGCTGCCAGGCCGGAGGAACAGGCTGTGTCGACGCTGTAGCTCGGTCCGCTGAATTTGTAGAAGAAATTCTGGCGCCCGGGGATGAAGGCACGACAGGAGCCTGGGATGTAGCTGGTAAAGATTGAGTTAGCTAGACGGCATATAAACAGGCAGAGTATGGAAGGAGATAGTATAAGCAAAGGCAGCCAGGAAGATATGAGCGTGAGATGCTGAAAGAAAGAATCAGTTTGGATAGATACGTACTATGTATCAACATTTTGCGAGCTATTGGTCTCTCCCCAATCATTACTGGTTGTGCCATAGAACACCCCAATGCGATCAGATTGTGTAGATGGTGATGAATCCGGCACAAAGCCAGCAAATTCCATCGCCTCATACGCCGTCATAAGAGAGAGGCGCTGCGCAGGATCAGTCTGCGGCGCTTCTCGCGGACTCAATGCAAAGAATCTCGCATCAAAGAGACCCGGATCTTTCAGCCAGCATCCGTAGGGCGTACCCATGGTGTTCTTCCTTTTCAAGGTTGGGTCAACATGGGTCTTGACATCCCAGCGATTATTGGGCGCTGTACTCGCGACGTCACGGCCTTCATGGAGCAATTGCCAAAACTCATCATTGCTGTTGGCATCAGGGAACCGCCCGGAATATCCGATGATCGCCAACTTGGAGTGACCGAGGTGACCACTGGTGGATGTTCGATCGTCTCTCACCGCAATGCTAGAGTTCATGCATGGATCTACAGTTACATCCGATACTTCATGCTCTTTGAGAGCCGCAGCGAAGCTTTGCCCAGCGAGCGTCGCAATGGGTAATATGGTGCAGCCTTTTGTCAATGAGGATGTTGCCAGAGCCTCGCCAAGCGAGGATACGATTCGTTCTAGTTGAAGCGGTTCTCGGAGGATCCCGTTTAACGCGTGACTAATAAGTGCCTCGAATGTATCCACGTCAATTGCCTGTCCAGTGATGGGGGACGAAATCCTGAATTGACACTGGCGTGATGCAAACCCTGTACCGGCAGTTCCCCTTAGCACATTGTCTATATCTTTGTGTCCGTAAAGATGAGAAGCGTGGTATGGTGCATAGATAGGAATAGCAAGAGACCGGTTCTTCAGGAGGTAATCAGAACGAAGAACGTCCTCAAGTGCGCTTGGGGGCCCACTCAGAGTAACTCCCGCGCTGGCATATGTGCTGATGTATGGGGCCGATGTAGTTGGGAGGCCCTGTCCTTGTTAGCAGTGTGATGCAGCCTATTGTATGGTGGAACGTACCTTCTCCTTACTATACCTCCCCAGAACTGAAAGTGCAGTATCGCCTCCAAGGCCCGGGACCAACACACTCCATGACGCTGGCGACCCTGTTTGAGGTTCAATCCGGTCGCGAACGTCTGCAACAAATAGGCCTGTGCGGAAAGCAACTAAGATTGTATGTGTTGCGAGTGGAATAAGGTCTGTAATACTCTGACAACAGCCCACAGCAGCCGCAGTGAGAAGGCCCGTACAAAGTCCGACCAAGCATGTATGATGAGGCGATGGATATCTTTGACCTGGGGACGTGTAGTACCTTTCAACATCATTGGTCAACCCAACTACCTTTACTCTTGAGGATCGCTTACTATACCTACCTGATGAAGCAAGCAAATTGATAAGTGCAGGCTAGGGCTTTCTCGAGGGCTGGGTGAGGACAGGCTAACTGCTTGACTCTCGCAAGGAGCTCCTCAATTGTAATAAATCGAACGAATCGCTGACGCTGCTCGAACGGAAGACGGCCAATCTCTTCTCGTAGACCAAAAGTGACTTTTTCAAAGAAGGAGGTCAGAAGAGGATTATCTTTAATCGCAACGAGAGACCCTAGACCCGCGACGGAGTCGCAAGTCAAGTCCCCAAAAATGATAATCTGCTGGCGGTCGCGAACTGCCATAGTTGTAATGAATGGACGGGTCTCGGCAATTGTTGATCTGAGATTTAGGGCTAACAAGATCCTACAGCTGCAGCGAGTACTCTTGAAGTTATGTAGCTTTATATGTTTGACATTAAGGCCCTGTCGCCGGCCGAAGCCGCAGAGGGTGCGTACCACACTGTCCCAATCAGGCCAGGCAGAGCGAAATTGGCCTTTTGGAACCCCGAGTCCACTGCAGTTGAAGGGCTAGCCTCAACGTATCAGTCATCATGACTGTAAGGCTGGCTAGACACGGGTTTTGATCTTCTGGGAGCATGTAATCGTCGACATCAGAGCACCTCATCGTACCTAGACCCCAGCCCGAGGTAGCACAAGAGATAGGATGCCGAAGGTGGATCTGCGGTTCTCGAACCCCTAGGGTCGATTGCTGGTGGCGACCCTTCTCCATCGGATACCTCGGGACGTAAGCGAAACTTGACGGTTCTCGGGTGGTCGTCAACCTGAATGTATCCGAAGACCCATGTCATGGGGCACTTTTCAGAAAAGACACTGTGGTGTTCATCCTGTAGTTGTAACCAGGTCATTGTACGTATGGATCGCGCATATTCGAAATAGGAGTTTGTGTTTTCGTAGTCAATATAGGTGACTTTCACCCCTTTTACAAATATATATAGACGGGGGAAGAGGTGTGTCGTTATTATGGTTCAAATCCAGTCAAATTCTAACTACCAATGCCACCATTGCCTGCACTCCACCATGACTCCTCCGTGCCATCTTCTCTGCCTTACGATGATGGGATACAGAAAGGGATAGCGAAAGGGACCTCTGCCGCCATCAAGGTAACATACATGCTGCTGTGCCTAGCGAGCGGATTATGAAATGTGGCTTTGAGGCATAGAGTATTGTATACTGCATCTACTAACTTAAACCCCGGAAGACACCTTTGACTGCAGGTACGGGTTCACAATATGCAGAAGACAAACTCGCTTCTAGCCAAGTTCTTTGATCCAGGGCACATAGCATCTGACAATCATAATTTCGTGATACAGGTCATGCTCGTGGACATAGACAGCTACCTAGGGTTGAAGGAAGATCCACTGTATATCCAGAGAGGTGAAGGAAGAGAACACAGTAGATGTACTGCAATTACAGTGTTTTTCCTGCTTCGCTTACTGGGATACCTTTATGATTGGCGAATGTGACAACAATGTCAGACTAGAATTCGTTCATGTGGTCATCCACTATGGCAGAGTCACATATGTCGAGGATAGGACTGCTGTCGGTTGCGAGCTAGATGAGATTCGCTAGATACAGATACCGCGAAGTGCAGAATTGGGGTCTGACACTTGAGGCTGAGTAGGAATCCCATTGCCTTGGAAGCGTGTAATGTGTTTTCTCTCTTACTGGGAATCTAGTTATCTTCTTTTTTTGTAATAATACGAAGAAGGTAGCAGTGACAATAGATCCACATAATGGGGCTGATAGACCTCCCATTACTCATGCAATGCTACTATGTGATGCTTTCTTCCAGGGTATCTCACGGCTTAGTTATATCTGAAGGCGATAATTTGCTTAAGGCTTAAGCGCTGCAAGGTTCAATTTGTCATTAGCCAATTTTGAGTAGTCCAATAGTGAACTGATGGGGTGACATGCGAGTCATGAACGGACCTCTGATAAACCTATAATGGGTGTCCGTGTGCCTTAATCGAACCAGAGATTTTCGTCCGCTGTGTTGCGTTCTCGGCGACCGAGGGGGGCTAATGGGACCTGCTACCACCCATATGGACGAGATAGCTCTTCTACTGTTTCGGACTCTCGAGTACGCCATCTAGAAATTCACGGAGGGATGGTGGAGGGTATCTACGCTTCCAATAATAACATTAAAGGTTCCTAAGGCTCTCTTGAAAGGTTCCCAGGCCTCATTCTTTGGTTTCCACTGACGAGAGCCCTAGAGGTGCCCTGTGTTACTATTTGGTCCAGAAGCAGCATCTAATGCCACGTTGCAAACTTCCCGGTGAAACCGGTCAGTATATTACACATACACTAACTACCGTGCATGGAATTGCCTTCTCTCGATCCATACACACGGAGCCATTATAGACGGCTGGCTAATTTTACGATGCATCCGACCATCGATCATCCAGCTACTATTTCCCTGTACCCAATCATGAACTAATATATGGAATCCGTACACATGCGGCTGAGCCTACAAACTACTTTCTAACTTCCTTTTTTTGGTGTCAGGCTGTTTCATATTCTACCTTTTTTATCGTGCCATCTCACGACGGTCTGTTCTTCGTGGTGTCGACGTGGTTGGGTATCAATGTAGTATTATCACATAATGCTATAGATAACAACCATGGATGTTTATTTCCGTTGCCTAATCTCTCAGCCATGTCAAAGAAATAATAGTTTCACAGTACTCTTCGCCATGATAGGGTGTCCGCTGTTAGGGCTCGTATCGTGTGCACAACCGCATCAGCAATTCAGATATGAGAAGTATGTCTACCAATGGCCGGTTCACCTGGTTAGTTGCCACTATTAAGGACGCCCTGCCAAGGTCAGGAAGGACGATATATACATCCCTGACACCTGACAAGGTAGGACTGATTGTGTCAGCCTGCAGTAACACATCACCCTTGGGCTGATGAAGGGTGTCCTCCCCCAAATTGGGTTTCGGATGGTGAAGATTTGAGGACCCCAGTGAGATAGGCACGGTGGTGACTGCAATACCAAATTCTGAACCATCGCGGTCAATGAGATCTATTGTGCCACCGTGGCGTCTTACTGATCGTACCTACCATTGTCGGGGAATGCCCCCTAAACAGATTCTCCGCCAACACGAGGTTGCAAAAGTATATCCCTGTTTGTTGCCCAGCCTTGCCATGGGGCGCCCATGAAGTCTATGCGCTTAGAGTTCAAGTCATCGAACTTATGTGCCTGCTATAGAGAGCGTACCTAGCTGTAAGAGTAAAATGTGACCTCGTGCATACCGTCAGAATGCAAGCGTTAAGTACACCTCAGAAAATATTATATACGAAAACTATATGTGAGATATGAGTATGCGCCGTTAAACATTTGCTTGTCTCTACATGGTCACTACGTTATCCTGACATATCGTACAGCTTCTCGGGATGGAAGGGCTCAGCAGGGGACCAATCAATCGGCAACATAGCGATAAACCACAGGTTCCCAAAAGACTTCGGTCAACTTGTGACCGATGCACGATGCTCAAAGTCCGGTGCGACAAGAAAAAGCCTCGTTGTGAACGATGTGAATCGGTGCAGCAGCCATGTGTATATGGCCCATATCGTTGGAAAGGCAGATCAACAAGAAGCCACACTGGGCTTAACAAATCCTACATTCGTTCCAGTGGGCCAGTACCACGGGGGGCTGTAGAGTCTTTCCGGCAGGCAGCGACTCAAAGCACGCCAGCGGGGGAAACTATGATCTCAGAGGGTGCTGTAAATGCGTTGTCCGACCTGCCTTTGTTCCCAGCGCTGGACACTTTATCGTTCGACTTTCAGGATGAGATCGAGGGTATATACATTGGGCTAACCGACGATGATGGCAACGATTTGACGTCTGCGCCTAGTGTAGGAGACTTTATGGGCCCTGGAGCGGATCATGTCTCGCATCACATAGAGACTGGGCGCCTAGCTGTCCTATCCGGAAGTGAACCACATCCTATGCTAGACTCGGGCATATCCGACTCACATTTCTCTTCCCCAGGCTCCTGGGCTTCGCGAAACGTTTGCCCATGCGCTAGTCTAACGTTTGGTGTTCTCCATGAAATGTACCGCGCTGAGACCACATGCGGGATCGAGACAAGCTCTTATTTGCCATCAAGTGACCACATCCTCAAAATTAACCGTGCGGCGGTTAAGAAAATCCATGAGGTTCTATCACGACAGTGTACGGAGTGCCATGGATACCACAGTATCCTGCTCTTGGTCGTGGCTATAATGTCAAAGATTTTATCATGGTACCAAACCGTCTTTAACCGCATCATTCAGTACTCTCCAGCCAAGAGTCCTGGTGACCAAGTTGAGCCTGCCTTTGTGACGCCCATTCAATTCGGTGATTTCGAGCTTGACATGAATGCGGAGCAGCGAATCACAGCACAATTCTTGCTTTGCGAGCTTGAGCAGATCAATAAGGTACTCGCCCTCATCAAAGACAGTCCACCTAGAACAGCTCAGGATGGGAGGGACTCGATGAACACTTTTGTTGGTGCGGTTTGTCAGTTCCTTTCGTCCAACCTAACCGACTTAATAAGTAACGTGGATGGATTTTGTGTGTCTAGGCCATCGTTTGCTCTTTGTTAGTACATCCTTGGTGTTTAATTGCGAAGCGTAGCTCAATAAATGAACTTGTCCATTAGCCTTCACTCATTTGCTATGAATTACATATCTCCGCCTACGAAGTACCCATATGGCCGTTCCCTTAGCCGACCGGGAGAAATACTGGCAATGCTTGTATTAACTAGCAAGCCTGTCTCTGCTTGTAGATCTCCTCTTTCTCACAAAAATACGTTCACCCCTTCGATATGTTGTTTTTGCTGAGCATGTTAGAGCCACTTCTGCCTTAACGTTCCTCTATGGGTCGCTTCCTCGATATGGTAGCAGGAGATGGTAGCAGGAGATGGTAGCATGCGAATGTAACGCCAGAAGACATCCCCACAAGCGAGGACTGCAGGCCCGGAATAGGTATAATGAGATGCAGATAGTCAACAACCATGCCTTTCGCACCCATCCAGCAGAGCCTGTGTCTGAGCGCAGCATTTCTTGCAGCCTCGTCCCGGAGAGATCCGATCGAGATCAAGATTCATTCATGAGAAACTCCGCTAACTGAACGATTCACTGTCATTTATATATTGCAGTAAGCTATATGCCAACGCATCAATGCTTCTACTGCTTTGAGCAACAAGGGGGTCAAAGTCTACGCTGGCTGGCATACACTTCAAGCTCCATCTACCTTCAATTTCCCGAAGGCTCTCACCACAGTGTAGATATCACAAAGGTTCACCCGATGAGTTACAACGACTTGGTTGTTTTCAAAACAAGGACGCAATACCACCGAACAGCCATACTCCCACATGGTCCTGTTGAAAATTATGGTCGTACGGTGCAACTGTGCAGGCAATGTAAGGCAAGAAAGGGACTCGCTCACCGAACTGAACCCCGTGGACAGTTCCCAATCACACCAGCTTGCTGGTGCTGGCATTTGCGTTCCCTTGCCGGTCGCATATCTTGTTTTTTCAAGAATGTCTCGGAGAGATCAAGTTCCACTTGCAGATCCCTACTACTAAACTACCAGACAGCGAGTATTCAGGGCCCCGACTGTAGTTCGCCTCTTCAGCGCTCGGGATTTGGTAAGATGATCGATAGTCTGAGCGCCATTCCCTTGTGGACCTGGGTTCTAAAACCGCCTAAGAGAACAGCCGATACTAGTTCTGCGAGACCTAGGTCCGAATGGGTCATCCTGGCTGGGCGTCACATTGTAATTCTGTCTTCTGGTAGTCTAAAGACAAGGGTCCCGGTGTATTCCCTTGGTGCTCACCAAGGTCGAACGATAAGTCCAATAAATTGGATCCTCAAATGCCCTTCTATAGTATTCAAAAGCGCACCTACCGCACTGTCGCTTATGATAACCCAATTCATGACTGATACATTCACGTGTCTCCGTACCTCATGCTGTGATATCATCACGTTTGTGTGGAGGGAGTACCCCGCTGACCTCTGATTTCTTTCATTACGAAGTATAAACACCACATCTACACTCCACATAAACGAGAGTCGCCACCACTACAATGCACTGTGTGTCAGGAAGGTCCTGCTCAGCGCCCGGGCCAGCTGGCATTCGAGGGGCCACATTACGAACACCGAGGGAGTCATATGCGCCTGACATGTAGGGTTAAGGGTCTGACGTTAGCCAGGGCTTCCCCATCATTGGATAGCTGTATGAAATCGCCAACGTGACGGGTAGGATTCATCACTCAAAGGGGCTAGCCCCAATATCCACTATCTAAGGATAAATCAGGGATACAAGAAGTAGATATACGAGATCTTCTCACATAACACGGTGGGTTCCAAGTGAGAGGTGATACGCATTCAAGGCCGGGTCCAACGACTGAAATCTATCCGCTGTGATCCTACCGATCTGACGAGCGTCGAAGTCCCAAGCCAGGTAATGGGTTTTAAAGTGATAATCATCGGTGCCGGCCTGGCGGGCTCACTGCTAGCTAATGGGCTGCTAAACAATGGCATTGAGGTCAGTGTGTACGAACGCGACAAACAAGAGTCCCAGAAAACAGGTTATCTCATCCGCCTTGGTGAAGATGCAACTCTGGGTTTTCGCGCCTGTCTCTCCGAGTCTCAGGTAGCCGCTATTCACGGAAAGTTCTCCCAGACAGACCTCTCGCTGTCCACAGCTCCAGCGATTTACTCGTACCAATATCGGCCCCTGGTGGACCTCAGCCGCTTGCCGGGTTACACCAAGGCTGGTTCGATCAACCGCCTAGTCCTACGCGATGAGCTGATGAAACCAATCAAGGAGGCTGGCAAGGTCCAGTTTGGGAAGACTTTCAGTCATTATAAGATTGTCAGCCTTGGGGATGACAACGAGCAAGTAGTGGTTTATTTTAATGACGGCACCTCTGACCGGTGCGACGTGCTCATCGGAGCTGATGGGAGTGCATCCAGAGTGAGTCTTACCAATCTTTGCGTTCTTCTGGAACGGAACGCTTAATCAAAAACAGATCAATGAACAGGTGGGAGCACGAAATCTGGTCGAAATAAAAAGTCACTGGTCATTTCACGCGAAAGGAAGTCTACCACTCGAACGCGTCCAGCAACTTCCGAGAAAGCTCCTAGAAGCCCCCCTCGCGGTGTTTCACAAGGGGGCTTTGTTATACTATGCTCGTGCGTCTTTTTCGCCTTGACAAAGCCAACGCTAATTATCTGTTTTAGTCTATATTCCTTCCTCAGGCCGGTTACTACAAGACAAGCATGATATTGTTGACGGCAAATATGACGAGTCGGTGGCATCCTTCTACTGGGGACTGAATATCCCGCGACAGGACATCCCGTATAAGGACCTGTCTGATATCCCAGATCGCCGGAAGCTTTGTGAAAAATATATCCAGGATTGGGCCCCTGAACTGTATGTTGAGGACTGCGAATGATTGCATCGGGCTAATTATGTATAGTCGCACGATGATAGCCCTCGGATCGACCGACAATGATGCCGACGACATGTACGCCGCTAAGCTACGTGCGAGTACTCCACTACCAGATGACTGGCGTTCACGATGCCAAGTTAAATCGATCGAAGAGGGGCATCCTCGGGTCTGGTTACTTGGTGATGCAGCACATGCCATGCTGCCTAACAGGTAGGGCAACTTGCTCACGTGGTTGTTTACGAAGCTATAAAACTCACGACCTCATCAATCTTCAAAGGGGCCAGGGCGGGAACCAAGCGCTACGTGGCTGTGACGATATCTTGCCGGAACTCCTTTATCTCAATGACGAAGCGCGGAAGGGGAGGAGTCTCTCATCGGATGATATTGGAAAAGCGTGTAGTCGGTACGAGCGGAGGATGTTTCCCCGTGCATTTGACTGGGTGAAGAAGAGTGGGGGCATCGATGCCGATCCCGTAAGTTGATAATTTATCCCCCATTGAATTGCTTACGCTGATATTCTTGCCAAGCCATTTCCTCTGGATGGCATGGTTGGATATGTTATTTCGATTATTGCGAGTGTTGCAATCCCAGTTGTTGTTTTTGCTAGTAGGATTAGCCACTTGTTCGTCAGTCTGTTCTAGGGTCCTCGGGGCCCGTCCAAGCGTGGGGTTGTCGATAATCAACTCTTACACTGGGAGGAGTTGGTCTTCTACAATTGATGTTCCTGATCACCTGGGCGTGTATTCGCTTCTAGCTATTTATATCTTGTTCTTTTACTCTTCTGTCTCTCTCTTTCCGTGGGCTTTATTCCCTTTTGCTATCTTTTCGCCAGTCCATGTACCTGTAGGGCCTTCCGTTCGTTGGATACTATGGTAGCAGATCTTTTTGTTAAGCAGTAGAGAGCTCAAATCCTTCCTCTTTTTCACTCCCGTTCTTTCTGTTTGTCATCTACTCCAATTCCTCCTATAGCTTACAAACCTAGTAGGGTATCAGCAGCGAATCCCAGAGAAAAACACACAGCTAGGAATATCTGAAGCAACAGTTGCGATGAATATATAGTGAAGGAGGTAGCTTTAGCCTTAGGCATTATGGCAAAATATTGGTTATATTAGCACCACCAGTTTATTTTCTTTGCTTTTCTTTTCTTTTGTTGAATATGTTGGTAATCGTCAAGCCTTTTCGGCATTCAACATTGTTGCTTAGAGAAAGGGGGGCTGTAGGACCTTGAGGACCTTTGGTCCTCATTTACCCCCTCAGATAGGTCTAGTATCTTATCAAATCAGATTTAATTTAGCATTTTTACATTCAGAAATACTACCGTATCTTCCCTTGTTTGTTATTGTGGCGTGATGGTGTGGATCGGTGTTCCATGAATGATATATATTTGGCCTCATGAAAGTTGCGTACATTTGCACTATTTCGATCTTAACCGCTACATTCTAGTAATTGAGTTGCTCTCCGCAATATCTATTAGAAACTCGCTATTTTGTTGAAGTTATTTTCATCAAAAGCTGCATTTTCCATCAATACGACGGCACAGGGATTCCCGTTATGCAGGACATAAAGCTTGCTGACTAACTATCCATTTTATGCTGTCTAACTATTTATAGCACCACTTAATCTCCGTTAATATAAGAAAGAGTACAGCAAAATCGCCACACTGAACGAATTACGTCAGTTAACGGGTATCGAAAAAAACAAGAATATGTAAAGATCAAATCCTTCCCCAAACTTCTCCTATTGATCCGTCTCAAAAAAGGTATCTTTCAACAGCTTCGACTTGACTCTACCGAGCCTGTCATTCAGACCCACGACGTTATGGTTATGCCCTAAGTCATACTAGCAGCTTAACATCAACTAACTCAAAGACGTCAACGCTAGAAACATACAACAACTAGATAGATGCATTGTAAACTGTAGGTAGGATAAATAAATTCTAGCTTGTAGAACCAGTACCTGTTAACCCAACCAAATTCCACCCCATGGATCATGGTCGTGACCACACGGGTTGAAACCCACCCAACGTCATCGGAAACATACGTCAATCCGACCATGCAACGTCTGGGATCGACCAATCAGTCTTCCTTTCTGATAGTGGTAAGTAGCGATCGGCATGATATCAACGGCCGAGTATTTGGGGTGGGAGGTTGAAATTCCCCGATTGGAGACCTTCAGAGTGGTTATGATCTCATCTGGGGCTCGCGAGGTTAATGCCGGGAATCAGAGGCGCGTTCACCCACTTTTCGTTTGTCAGGGGCGGGTGGAGGCATCCTTTTACTATGTGGGGTTAAATAGGGAGGAATATAGATTTCATGGAGGAACCTATTGTTAGGGATAGGGGGGTTTGGTGATGTGGTGTGCATAGTTGAAAGATAATTTAGGTTGAAAAGTAGATGTGGGTGATAGGGTTCTATAGAAAACGATTTATCTCTATTCTGACGGCTGTACAGCGATATTACCGTGCTGCACAATACCGATTAGACTTCTTCGCGATAGATCCAGCTGGAGCTATCAATTCATATCCCCTCCCCGGGCAGGTTGACGCCATGATGACAGTCAACACACACACACACACACACACACACACACCTTTTCGATGAATTCAATCAGCATCAAGCCAATCATGCCATTGGTCTAGACCTTAATGTAACAGTCCAAGCTTGGAGTGGGTCTGACCCCGGATATCATTCGCGACGCATGGACATAGGTCTATATCTTGTTCGGTACCATGATGACGACGGCCTGGGACTCATCCAGAGCTGGATTGGGTGTGGAGAGGACATATCCTGGACTTACATGCATGAACATCGTAGGGCTTAGTATGATGTCGGCGCGCACATGACGTAGGTGGATGTTGATTATGCCGGGTTACGAGGTTTGTTGGCGATGTTGAAGTTATTTAATAGCACAAAGGTGCAGTGTCCGGGATAGAATTGGCCATTCTTTGCATACATGATTATACAACATTTCGGGCAGATTCACGAATTTTACGAGTCTAACGGATCATCATTAATTATTTTAGTTTCTTGGATTTAATATTTCCAAAATAGGACAGCGACTCACAGCACCATTCTCTCCGCTCAAGACTCCTTTGAAAATACATTCGCTGTTTGACCCTACCCCTGAATCGAACATGTCCTCTCCCACAGCCCAACGAGCGACCGGTACCCCTCGCAAGCTCCGCACAGGGTCTGGCTCCAGCGCTGGCCCACTTGCTGAACAGAGTCCTTCTAAGCGCACTCCCCAGAAGCTCCAGGTCCGGAGCCGCAAACCGACTGAGGAAGAAGTTCCCGAAGAACCAACCACTCCGTCACCGAAGCCCCGCAGAGTAGCCCAGAGCGAGCAGCGTGATGCCCCTGAAGAGACACAGTCGCAGGCATCCAGCTCTGCTAGTGGATTAGGAGGACTGGGAGGACTCACCAGTGGCCTTACCGGTCAAGTAAAGGATACTGCTGGAGCTTTGACGAAGACAGGTGAACAAACGGTGGAAAATACTACTGGCCTTGACTTGTCTTTCTTGAAAGGGCTTGAGGTCAGTGAATGGGGCCAGGTCCTTGGTGAGGATGGGAACCCCGTTGGTCGCATCGTGGAAGGAGAGCCACAGGATCTTGTCGGATACACGGTCGCAGATAACGGTGAGATTCTGGATGACGAGGGCGACTTGATCGGTCGCGTCGAGGCTCTGCCAGAGGCGATCCAGAATACTACCGACGAGGCGAGGAAGGCTGTCGCTGGCCTGGCTGATTTGGGCGGTCTTCCGGTGGCCGAGGGTGGTTTCATCAAGGATAATGCCGGTGAGACCGTAGGCAAGGTTGTCGAAGGGGATCCCCAGGACCTTGTTGGTTATGCGCCAAATGAGAAAGGGGAGATCCTCGACGACGAAGGCGACCTTGTTGGACGTGTTGAGCCTGTCACCAAGACTACGACCGCTCCAAGTGTTCCTGGATCTCAGAAAGCGGGCTCTCAAACCACAAAGAGCACTGGAAAGAGCGTCAGGCAGGCGCCCACCGAAGACGTTGGCCAGGAGCCGACTGGAGAGATTGGTCAGGCTGGGTCTGACACGAAGGACGTCAAGAGTATGGCGGAGGAAGAAGCCCAGGAGCCGACTGGAGAGATTGGTCAGGCTGGGTCTGACACGAAGGACGTCAAGAGTACGGCGGAGGAAGAAGCCCAGGAGCCGAGCGAAACGACTGAGCAGGCTGTTTCTGATGTCAAAGACGCCAAGACTGAGGCCGAGGAAGCAGTCGAGGGCGCTGAAGAACAGTTGCCTCCCCTTTCCATCCTTGAAGGTTTAAAATGCAACAAGCTCGGCAAGATTATCGACCCTTCAACGGGAAAGCCGATTGGTGAGCTGATCGAGGGCGATCCAAAAAAGCTCGCTCGGCTTGGTCTTGCACTTGATGACAAAGGTCAGTTCTGGGATAATCGTGGTAATATCATTGGCAAGGCTCAAACGCTCCCTCAACAAGATTATAGCGAGGAGCCTCCGTTCGCAGGGCTGGAAGGCCTACATGTCGTTGAAGACGGCTGGGTTGAGGACAACAAGGGCAAGCGGGTTGGCAGGATTGTTGAAGGCGAACCCAAGAAGGTTCTCGGACGTCCTGTTGATGAGGATGGTGACGTTACCGACCAGCATGGGAATATCATCGCAAAGGCGGAATACTACGAGCAACCCGACGAACCGGAACTAGAGGAACCCGAGGTGGTCGACCTGTCGAAACTGGATGGTTTGACTTGTAACAAGCTCGGATATGTAATGGGACCGAATGGAGTCCCGATTGCACGCGTCGTCGAAGGGAACCCAAAGGAGCTGGCCGGAAAAGAAATTGACGACGGCAAGATCTGGGACGGCCGAAGGCCTATTGGGCGCGTCGAGCTTATTCCAGAGAGCGAGCGCGAGAAGAAACCTGAAGGTCCATTTGCCGGCCTCGAAAATCTAACCGTAAATAAGGAAGGATTTGTGCAGGATCCCGATGGCAACATCGTTGGTAAGGTGACTGAAGGTGACCTGCAGAACTTGCGCGGGCGGACCGTAGACGAAGACGGAGACATTATTGATAAGTTTGGCAACGTTAAAGGACATGCCGAACCATATGAGCCTCCAGAAGAGGAGGTAGTCGAAGAAGACCTGTCCATCTTGGAAGGTAAGGTCGTCAACAAAGCGGGCAATGTCGTGGACGCCCAAGGAAACGTCTACGGCCGGATTACTTCTGGGGACAAGCGGCTCGCCGGACGGAAGGTTGATGGCAAGGGCCAGATCTGGGGAGACAACGGCAAAGTCATTGGTAAAGCAGAGCTTGTTCCCGGAGCTGAGCAAGACAAACCAGAAGGCCCCTTCTTCGGCTATGACGACGCTGAAGTCGGGAAGGACGGTGTCATCACTTCTGGCGGCCAAATTATCGGCCGTGTGATCGAAGGCGACCCCAAGCGACTCCAAGGGCGTAGGGTTGACGAAGACGGCGATATCTTGGACAAGAATGGAAACACCATTGGCCGAGCAGAGCGATGGGAGCCGGAAGAGAAGCAACGCACCGTCAACCCTATGGCAGGCCGCAAGGTGACCCGGGAGGGTGAAGTACGCGATATTGATGGCAACCTCATTGGCAAGTTGACCTCTGGCAATCTGGCGACCCTTATCGGCAAAGAGATTGATGATAATGGTTTCGTCGTCGACAACGATGGTAACAAGCTCGGCGAATGTACTCTGTTGGAGAATATACCAGAGGAGAAAGAGGAAGAAGTAGTAGAGGAGGAGCCCGGCCCATCTCCAGAAGAGCTCGAGGAGCAGAAGAAGGCTGAAGAAGACAGACAATTAGCTAAGAAAATGTGTGCTATCATCGGACAGACGTTGGATCGTGTTCGACCCATTTGCAAGATGATCACCGAGGTATGTTATCTAATGAGGGAGCTTTGCAACGGAACATCACGCTAACTCATGGATAAAGCACATCGAAAGAGCGGAACGCACCCCGAAAGACGAGCTGGACGAGGAAAAGTTGGTGCAAGATGTCAAGCCGCTCCTTGAAGAAGGTGGTCGCATCCTCCAAGAATGCAACGGTGCAATCCGGGGTCTCGACCCGGATGGTCGCATCGCAGCTACAGCAAAGGCTCGCGCTGCCGCCCACGAAGCATCACCCGAAGAATATGCTCTTGCCGATATGCTGAAGGAAATGACAGATACTGTCGTTACCTGCATTGAGAACGGCCGGAAGAAGATTGCCGACATGCCTCATGCGAAGCGAGAACTCAACCCCCTCTGGGCACTCCTGAGCGAGCCTCTGTTCCAGATTATTGCTGCCGTGGGCCTACTTCTGACGGGTGTTCTTGGCCTTGTTGGCCGTCTACTTGATGGTCTCGGGCTGGGGCCTCTAGTCAACCGCTTGCTGGGTGGTTTGGGTCTTGACAAACTGCTTGAGAACCTTGGTTTAACTTCTATAACCGACGCCCTGGGCATAACTGGCAGGAAGAAGAAATAACGGTGTCGCCTATGCCTTCTTAGCTGTATAGTATGTTGCAATGTCTTATTTTGGTCGACGTTTCTAATATGCGTATTAATTTATGTGTTTAATAAACGAGAGATTGTAAATTCTAATCAATTCACGGCGAGCTTCTATCTTTTAATCTCTCTCTTGTAATGTGGTCTACAAGTAATTAAATAATTTGCCTCCCTAAATGCCAAAGGTGGTGCGGTCATGCGTGCCAGACCTTCAGTGGAAATCAACCTTTAGATAACAATGTTGCTGATGTTGAGAATATGACCTATATTTTTCCTAAATAATATCAATCAATCTATCAAGATTCTATTAACCTGTTAGAGGCTAACCATTGAACGTTTAGCTATGTAGGTGCTTCCGAGGTGGCTAGAATCTAGCCGTAGAACGCCGTAATCCGTATAAAGAAGATACAAGAGAACAGAAAAGCTAATCCACAACTAAACCTGCCTACCATATTCCTGGCCGTTATATCTTCTGTTCCCATATAATCCAGTGCCTACTGACCTCCTTCCGGTATTTTCTGGTGCGATTGTCTGATACACGTACCAAGGGGTCCTGACCAAGTCTCTTTCTGGTCTGTCCGTTTACATATTGCCTTCCACGTCCGTCGTTAGTTGATATTGACCAGCTTGCTTAGATTCCCGTTGCGGAACTGATTGAGTGATCCTGTTTTGTATATAAACTCAGTAATAAAGTGTATTGTCTGTGAGTATGAGATAATTTCTTATAACCTAGTTATCCGTAGTCTTCCAGTTATGTTTCTTAAGTTTTACGTACCTGATATCAGTATATAGTAAACACTGGAGTAGGACGTGCCTTCAGGATCTAGAACCTCTCCCCGCAGTGATGCTGATCCAAGTCAGATGCGTTGATTTTATAGAGGAAGTGGTATGGACCACTCCTTTACGTCCTTATCTGGATAACAATTGAGCTGTGCGGCTTGGACAATCTCTGATACAGGTCCAGGGTCTTTAAATTTGGGACCTCGATTAACTGGTGTGTTGGTTTTGCACTTTTGTCTGCCTTCCATTCCCTTTTTTACTTTTCCTTGATCAGGTAGCTTATCTTCCGTTTCACCGCTGCTGCAAGGCGGGTAGCTCAAATCTTTCCTGTCTTCATAAGTAATAATATGCTTCATATAGACTTGCGTTAGTGAATTAGTCTAACGCGCTTGGGGTACTCTACAACGTCCGGTATCCTGGCATAAGGTTCCACATGAATCTGTATATGACGAAGGAAGAGTTGTTCAATTCTATATTCAACAACCATGGTCACGAATCTAGCGTATACGTTGTCATAGTGACTTATATCATACGACGGATCTCGAAGCAATGGAAGCCTTGCTGCTTTTAGGTATCGATTGCCTCTCTATTTAGTGTTCAGCTTCCCCTTCTCCAACTTCTTCCCTCCTTCTACTACCCTTGTGGTCCCGCGGGACTACTGTTGGAGTTTCCTTTCTTGATTCCCGGGTTCCTTCTTTTCTTTATTTGCTCCCAGGACGCCAGATGGTTTACTTTCCTCAAAGCCAGCACATCAAAGTCTTCGAGTATCCAGCTGTATTCTCCATCAAGATGCCTTTCAAACCCCAATCACCCCTACCCCTCCTCTCAAAGGGCCCCATCTCTTCGGAAGCTTCGAAGGGCCGATTTGCTGGAGCTCTACCTTTCTCTTCGCAAGCCATATTCAGCGAAATTGTCCACAAGATTCTCGAAACTCAAAGAATTCACAGAGTTAGTCTATGAGTCCGTTGAACCGCAGCAAGGCGCCTTAATTTGTCGTTCACTCTGGGAGTCGAGCGTCATCGAATCGAGCAACGCGAGGTGAGATAATATCCAAACAGATGTGCAAAACTCTTCCCTGACGTTTGTTATCCCTGCTCAGAATGAAATTTAACTCTTTCACTGGAACTCTTTGGGTATGGACCATGCTAAGGGAACTTCACGATGCCCGCCAGTGATGTGCCAACCATGCCTGCAGGAGCTGGATCAAGAATAATGAGATAAATGACTCTGAACATCTCCTCCTCGACATCAGTGTAGGGACTAGTACGTCCCTTCGCTCCGTGACCTGCAGTCAGCGTGCTAATGTCCTATCAGCGTTTGAAGGCTTTACCGGTCAATACGTCCACTCTTCCAAGGAACCGGATTTGTTTCTCCGCCTAGACACCAGTCCATTAGCCCGTATCGTTATTGAAAGCGGATGGAGTGAATCCTGGCCACGTCTATGCAGATATAATCCTATGGCTGAGCGCCGCTCCCGATGTGAGAATTATGATCTTGTTAAAGTGGTCTAGATCTGTCCGCAGTAAAGGAAAGGGTACAGCGGAGATTTGGACCACAGACTCTACTGGTTGTCAAGTAGTTCATCACAAGGTACAGACCATGCTATCTCAACATCATACACCGAAGCTAGTATTAAGAGCCTAGCAACTATTTCCGGTGCCTGTTCCTCACTCTCCTCAGGGTACCGATGTAATCAAATTCACAAAGCTCGATGTCTTTGGAAACTTGATGGTTACCTGTAGCCATCTTGATGGTATTCTATCTTTGGATCTCTCAATTCTGCATCGATTTACTCCGAGAGAATGGCGCTTATGGGCTTGACACCTGCGTGGGGGTACATGTGATGGTTGACTAGCAGTCTTTACTGTGTATTGATCCCGTGGAAACATCAATAACATCATCATGCTTTCCCTTGCCTCGAAGCAACTGCTCCGCACGTTCAATGCCAAACTCAGTCCAGAGGATCCACGCAACGTCAAAAAAAAAAAAAAAAAAAAGGCCACTCGCGCAACCATAGATCCTCGTAAATGTCGGCGCCTCTCCACTCGGAAACTGCAATTGCCGGAATAGAATGACAACCACTTGGACCAAACTGATCATAAAAGCCAGAGTAAAAGCGCGAAGTTGCTGATCGCCCCCGCAAGAGTTATTCACCCATCCTGCCTATAAAGGCGTATAGTATCCGTAATATTCGGACTGGATAAAGGCAGCCATCTTAAGATGTTGAGCTGCGGGCCATGCCGTGAAGTCGGCAAAGCAGACCGGACCGCGACGGCCGATTTTATCTGCAACAAAGCCCGAGATTAACATGAAGAAGTTGACTGCTCCTACGGCAGTTGGAATGTTGTTTATTTGTAGAACAGAGTAGACCTTTAGTGTTTTGAGACAGAAGTTAAAGTATTGCATTATGTATGAACCGCATATCAGTGTCCAGAAGACGTAGCCGAGAGAGAAGGTGTATAGTTTCCAGGAGGTGAGAACACGGCTGAATGCTATGCGGTCTATTTTGTGAACGGGGGCACGGCCTTCCTCTTCGATTCGTGCGCGAGCCCGTTCTCGTTCGCTCCCGGATAGGTAGAATCCAGTGGTGTTTACTAGTGTGTCTAGGTAGAAAATAACTCCGTGGATAGCTACGGGGAAAGGCGAGTAGGAAGTCGAAGATAAACAGCCATCTCCTCGAGGACATCCCTCCCTTATCTTCCACACCACTGAACAGAAACGCCTGTAGGCACCCCGACAACATCTGGCCGAGCACGCGGGACATAACGAAAAGGCCGCTGTAGCGTGTCACTTCTGATTTGCGATACCAACAGCCTCAAACATATCGTACCCCGGGCCAGGCGGCTGATTCAAAGAAGCCGATGCAAAATCTCAACCCGTAGGACTCAGCGGCGGTGTTGCATTTGAAAAGAAAGAGGACGAACAGAGACCATGCCCGATACATGCATTGGAGATATTATCCCCGTCGAGTCTCTTGTCTGACTTTGATATGCCAGGTTCATGCCAGCCAAACCAACGGGGTTTGGTAGGAGGCGATATCGAGTTATCACTTGCAGTGGATGATTTGTCTGGTACTCGGGAGGCTGTGTTGAGAGCCCCCTTGTTATCCCTAAAGCTAGTGGTCGGAAGCACTTTGATCGACGTTTCCAGCAGCGGCATATTTGAACGTAACAAGGACTAGATTATCACAATAAAACAAACAAATCATCAAGCACCCTTCCAGGCACGCCGACAACCTTCATACCTAGCGAGGCCACGCGGGAGCTTTAGTCCGCTGTTCAGGGCATGAGAAGGGCGATATTTAAACTCATTCGGATATCATCTTGATGCGATAAAAAATACCGACGGTTCGTAGTTCAGTCTGGCCTCCATGTAGGACAACTGGCTCCTAGAGTACTGATAATCTTTACGCCATTTGACACCGTGATCACGCAAGATCCGCTCACTAGAATTCAAGTAGGAAAGGGGATTCTTTTAGGTTAGGAAATTCCCGGCGTGGGGCGGATCATGCAGCACGCGAGTAGTGACTAACTTTGGACTTATGAAGCCTTAGCGAAGCTAGCAAGCTGTAGCTATATATTAGGCCTATGGAGGAATTACAATATCAGAGAAAGTCTAACCTTCTTACTCTCGATTGATCCCCCGACCTCGGGAAATAAAGGTCGAACTTATCGCCATCAATAGCGCGAAACTAGCCTACCCGGCTGGCTAGACCTGTTGATGAGCCATTAATAATCACACTATATGGAGGTCGAGGATTTGGTAGGCTCTTGCGCAACTCAGAAGTACCAATATAGAAGCTATAGGGTTGATGTGATCATAATATAGTTTAATATAGTTGAGCAGGAGGTCACAAATCTGACTTCCAGGCACACTCTGCGCTGACCTTTCATTGTTGACTACTGTCGTTTGATTTCCGCGGCCACGGACAAAGCTCTCGTACTGAGCCTCACAGCTCCCATCAATTAGTAGAAGATATTGACGGACTAAGATGACATTTCGCGGGTGACGAGGAGCCTTGCATCACCTGTGGTGGAAGCTTTGGGAGGTTTTTGCACAGCAATACGCCACCACTTACTCTTCACAAGTCTCAGTGAGCATCTAATTCTGCGAGGCGCGGCACCGTCTCATCATCGTGAGTGGCATTACAGCATAAATGCGATAAATTCGTACCGCCCTTGTAAGCTAAAACATTCACAGACGAACAAGAAGTTCTGCTAAGTACAGAGCTGATCCTCATATAGATAACATATATGCCGAGCCGGAGGAATCCTTTGACTACTGGGATCGCCTCCTAGCTGTCACGGCGAGGACTCTGGTTATTTTCGGGGATCAGGACTGGGTTTGCCCACCTGCTCAGTCGCTGGTAATCGCATCCCTAATTCCGAACGCCCTCTTGGAAATCATCCAGAATGCAAATCATTCTGTGCACCTTGTGAAGAATGTGGAGGCCATCAGACATACTAGAGAGCATTTGAGGCTTCCATGAGCCATCTTTGAGACAGCAGCAGTTGCGGCATCGTGCATGAAATCTGCGAAGCATGTAAAGACCTTCCCGGGTAGTACGATAGAAACGTCAAGGTTCATCTCATAGGAAGTCCCATCCCATTCCCCCATTGGACGGTGAAGTCAAGGCCGCAATATGTCTGGTCACGGCAGCATCGGCGGATGACGAAGTGTGCGCTGGGGAACAAGAGCCCGCTGCCTCTGTGTCCCAGCCTTCTATATATTGATAGCAATATGCCTTCCCCATGATGAGTCCACCTATCTCAACAAGCCGTGTTCTTAACGCTACAAGCCAAGGGTAACAGGGTGGCTGAGCTCCATGTCCCATAGTGGGCATTGCTTGTAATGTCACCAGGGAGCTTGCCGACCGGCTTTCGTACGTAGAGACTAAGGCCGCAAAGTCCGTCATAATCTGCATGATAGAAGTAGCATGTGTCCAGCCACTAGGGAAGCTCTGAAGGATAACTGTGCAGCTTTGGATTTCTTGCTTGGCCGGGAACACCATGGCCGTCGTATGACCAAAGCAATAGAGAAGGACGAGACAAGCCGGGACGAACCGGGTCAGTGTTATATAGTTAAGGGGCAGTTGGCCTAGCTCAAAGAGGACATGACTGTAATGGATATACTTCTGAACAATGTTGAGAAGGTGCTCGTGAGCAGCCGGTCGCAGTGGTTGGCTGAACGGTGTCGGGTAGTACAGCATCATCAGTAGTTGATAATACCGTGCGTTGAGCCAGGCCATAGTGTCGTGTATTCTAACATTACTGGCTTCTGGCCGAGATATTAGACACCCATCACTGTACCAGTTATCCACCTCGTAATGAAGCTCGCTGAGGATAACGTTGCGATCGAAGGGAGTCAGGGACCGCACGTTTCCACGCGGACATAGAAATACTGCATCTGTTATCTTGCTCTCGAGGCGGCGGAGCTGGATAACATGGCGTGTGACTAGCAACATGCTCGAAATTTTGGCTCGTTGGGCTGAAGCAAACTCGTCCACTGTCACTGCTGGTAAACGGACGTGGGTTTCCGGCACAAACAGCCCAGAAGGCTGTCCGACTGATGCCGCGAGCATCCGATCAAGTACATAGACACTCCAAAAAAGCCGATTTGATAGCTCGTCTGAAGCTGGCACAGGCACCAGGTTCGCAGTTGCTGGGCGCTGCAGTGTCAAGCCTTGTGCCATAGCTTGTCTGGTCAGCATTCCAACAATTGTCCATGGGTAAGGTCCGTGAGGATCAAATAGTGAATACAACGTCAACAGTACGAGGATCTGGACTGAATCCAAGCTTTCATTCTCCGTACAATATTGTAGAATGATCGAATAAGGCATTTTAAGATCTTCTCCGATTCGCGGAGTGATCTTTCCTGCTCGTTCGAGGGTCGTTCGCCCAATAGCATGAATAAGGTAAAGCATCTGGCATATACTGTCAGTCAGATTCCGCCTCCCTGTGCCGAATAGTTATTGCGTGGATGATAATATAATCCATCTAGCGAAACTCACCAGAGAGTCCGCATCATTCCCTATCAGCAGGATGTCCGGATTCACACTCTGCGCTTGCATGATCCGGGTTTTATCAACGAATGGGTACGCCCGATGGACATGATTAAAGTAAGCATTGAGACAGGCGAGTGAGGGTAGCTTTTCGGTTTCAGTCGACCTCCAAATAATCACTGACCCTCCCTGTTTCGGGTTTCCCCTATCAGGTCCATTAGTAAGAAGAGAATTTGTGTTCTCAGCTGTATCATCGGACTCCTCCGCAAGGTAGATTGGCGACTCCATGCCCTCTCGATCCGTATTCCCAGTTGGGGAGGTTTCTTCCAGTTTAGGAAGCGCATTCTTGCCCACGGTCGCGCCAGGTATATTGTCTTCAATATACTGCGAGAGCCATTGTATCCGTGCATGGAGAACTTCTGGCGACGCAGCAGCTAGCCTATCCGAAGTGAAGTACGAGCACTTCCGACCTGCATCGGTACATGTCTTGCAGGAGGGCAGAGCCTTGCTACATTTCTTCTTATACTGGCGGCAGCGGTTGCAGGCTGGGGGGGGATATGCAGACGGCCACCGACCCTCCGACCGCTTTTCGACCTCATTGCGATCGGGGCTGGCCTGATTCAGTCGATAACGATGTGTATGATATTGCATATTCGGTATTTAACTACCGAGAATAGCGAATGCGATCGTTGAAAATCGACTCCATTCTCGCCCCGGTTCTGGCGTAGGCCAAATCGACTCCAGTCTCCAACGGCCTGCGGGGTTTGGAATTGCAACATTTACTCCTAGAACGATGTCAAACCAGGCTAAAAATGTGTGCTTGGGCTCCGCAGCTCATGTGGAGATTTATCAGCCAGTGAAATGCCCATTTCCCTATCAATTATCCCGTTGGTGTCTGTGCACCGGCCCCCGTCCGACCAGAATTTCCTTATTCAGGTAGTTCAGCATCTATGCGGTGTGATTTCAACAGCACGGAATCTAACCAATATCTTGATCAGGTTTGATAGATGTCTATAAACAAGTGTTGATATATACAGAGTGAGCCATGATCATGGAAACGTTCAACAGCTCTAATATATATTGACATGGATATCAACAGCGGGTTCTCTAACCGGCCATGGAGGTAGCCCGTGGCATTAATATATCCGTTGGTCTGTTTCCATTATCATACCATCTGTCAATCTAACTACTAATCGTCAAGTAGATCGAGGAGAAACATTCTGTGATGTTCTCGTACAACTCCCAGGTAAAGCAGAATTCGACTTCAAATTACTCACAGAGGATCCGCAGAACTGCCGCGATGCGCCGACCGAAGCCATCTGGAGAGCCCTGGAAATTACCAATGGAAGAGAGATTCCCCGGGGAAGAAAGGTAGACGGTTCAAGGATCGCGTCATGGCGCGTTGGTACGACCATCGCTACTAACACCCTACTGGAAAGCAAAGGTCGGAGATTTGCTTTCATCACTACTACATGAAAATAGTGGACAGTGGAAAGTTCCTCGAGGATGGCGTGCAGCAAGCGTTTTTGGACGCAGGCAATCTCCCTGGCTGCAGCAGAACTCCTTGTTTGAACGACAATTTCTCTAACATCAAAGCCCAAATATCGTCTAAACAACGAGGAACAATCCTCCTGCAGAAGCTCTATCGGGAGTTCACGTTGCCCGTCATTCATCGATACATGCATGCAATACAAGCCAATGCAGGAATTGCAGTTCGGAAATACTTCAAGGGAACTGCTAGAACGCGAGATATGCCATTGACTGCGACAGATTACTTTGACAACGGCACCATATTGAAAGTCTCGATTATCAATCAATAAGTCTGGAAGTGCCACCTTCGACTGGGAAGGCACCGGGCCGCAGATGTGGGGAACTTATGACTGTTCTATTTCCATCACGCACTCAGCTATCATATACACGATACGATGTTTGATCAATGAGAATATTCCTCTGAACGACGGTTGTCACGCTCCCATAACCATCAAGATCCCCGAAGGGATCCATCCTACGCTCGAATGCGAATGTGCGGCAGTACACTAGCTAGTCAACGAGTGATCGATACGATACTGCGAGTGTTCAACTGTGTGGCCACTTTCTCCGGCTGTGCCAACAGCTTCGGCTGGGGTGTGGGCGGGAAGTATCCCTTCACTGGCACTATCGAGCCGGGATGGAATCACGGTGAGACAGTTAGAGGTGGATGTGGTGCCGGACCCAGTTGGGATGGCGAGCATGCCATTCAGGCACATTCTAAGAATACGAAGATTACATATCCCGAGGTTGTGGAGAAAAGAACGCCGGTCATCATCCGTCAGCATACAATCAGACATTGATCAGGAGGCTCGGGCAGGTTTCGCACCATCCACGAAATTGAAGCTGGGATACCCTTGAAATTCAGCATTCTCACTGACCGGCGGGTGTATCATCCACATGATATGAGTGAAGGGCAGCCGGGAGGTGTTGGCAGAAATTGTGTCTTCAAATGAAACGAGGAAAAGTCTGCCCTGGAAAAGCTCTCTGTACGTGGCAAGGCTGCTCTAAGCTTGGCTACCGAAGAAATTATGCAGATTGACAGTCTCCGGGGTGGGGGATGGGGAATTTTATAGAGTCTTGGTTCTTAACATCTCGAGGGATATCTTGTAGGAACATATGGTTTATCCTTAGTTGACATAGTAGATATATACAGCTGATGAGACGTTCGTGCTTGATTCGCGGCCTCCTTCTACTGAGGACTGAACTGTACCCGTGGACGGAGAATCAAGGAGATGAACAAGGGCTTGGGGCGCGAATAATATCCTTCGTGCCGGAGGGGGTGAGGGTTCTCATGACATTTTACTATTAGCCCTAACTTTCCTTCTCTTCTGGTATCAAACTATACCTCTACATGTCATATGAATAACCTGTTACCCCCCGTTAAACCCTAATCACCTGCCTAGAAGACCAAGAGGCCGACCCAAATATCAGCAATATTTTCAAACAGGTTGCGTGAATGTTATGTATCAGCCTGCTTATGGCTTGCATATACAAGATATCAGCAGTCAGCGAGATCAGCCAATCATCCTGTAGAAAGCCGAGGAAAGCCGAGGTCAGTTGATCCGCATGCATCAATTACTTAGCGTATTAGGTCTGTGACAGAGAAGACGAACAGTGCGGTTCAAGAAATGGAACAACGTCCTAGATTAGGTTTTTCAGTTCCTCAAATAAGGGCATCAGCACGCCGCAGGATTAAAGTTATATCGCAGAATATTAGATCCGCATGAACCAAAATGTATATTTATTAATAAAAGCAATCAGAAAACACAAAGCAAGAACAAAGGAAAACAAGACAATAAGGCCAAATAAGGCCAAATAGCAAACCAAACTTCGGGACACCATCATACAGCCCATTTTTACCTCTTATACTCCATACCAGGCATCATTTGGTACCCCAACTCCGCTCTAGTCCGCAACTCAGCCTCCTTCTCCTCCTGCACCAGAGCGCAACAAGAACAGCAGTATGTCACGCAGCAATCACCCACGCAGCTCCCTTTGATACCAAAGCGCTCGCGCATTTCACCTCTTCTAATTGTCTGAATAATCCAATGGGAGTACATCAACCCGAGGCCTGTGAATATTGTGCACTTTACCATTCATTAGCGGGTGTTCTTCTAAGTTGGATTGGTCGCAAAAGGGGTTTACATCTGCATTGCAATAGCTGAAGCTTTTTAAAGTGGGATCACGCCTTCTACCTTGTGTTTTTCCGAACGTGAGGCATGGGAGGCAGCAACTCATCAAACCTAGACATTGAGAAAGTTCATGTTAGCGGTATGGAGTTCTCTGGTGCGCGGTGGGATACGATCGTTGTGGCTATTTGTCTTACATAGCGATCCTGGTTGGCAGCAGTCGAAGAGAGAGTAGTTCCAGTCTGGGTTTTGGGTGATATCTCCCACTTGACCCGGGTTGGCCTGCTCGTATGCTGGGGGCCCGTGAGGCCACGGGCGGTAGATCTTGTCTGTTGCTTGGGCCATTGAGATTGTGCGAGGGGATGTATGGAGAGGTCGGTACCAATAATTAAATTGGGATGGTTTAGTAAGTAGTGAGCAATTCACTCCGTGAAGTAGACAACACAGAAGGCGTAGGGTAGGAGCGAAAGGGGGCGGTATATATAAGTAGATTTTTTTGTAGAAACATGGCTAGAGATCTACCTTGCGCTAAGAGTATGGAATTTCACAATAAGAAAAGAGCATTGAAAGCATCCAATCATTGTCTCACTCGTGGTTGATATTGTCCGCATGAGCGATCAAGAGCTATACTATCCACCCGCCGAAAAAGGAAGTTCGCATCCGTATTAAGCATGTGTGGGTCTGCTGCCAATGAAAGAGCAGATATGCTCTGATGTGGACCACGGTAAGATCTTCTCCAGGGGCCCTAACCTCCTGAAGAAAACGGGACACTATTAGTAGGGTAGTGTGCCATAATGACCTACGGTGGCAGAGTTCGCAAAGCCGCTATGGCGAAGTTGTATCACTTCCTTCTCGTGGCCTTCACACTATAGACAGGGTAGACTGTGCGATAAGAATGGCATTAGACAAATCCATTGTGACGGTAGCTACTACGCTTCTATTGCCGCACTGTAACACAAGCTTTCATTTCCATTTTTATCTAAACTGAGAGTTGAAGTCTTCGTTACTCTTTCAAGTCCCTGACTGTAAGCCTATCCGTCAAGCCTTCAACGGCGTGCTCTCCTTTGGCGATAGCTACGGAAGGAAGTTTAAAATGGTCATCTCCGAGCCGCCAGAAGGAGACAGGTCCCCCAGATTCTTGCTATATATGGTCTCCCATGACCTAAAGGGTATTCTTCCCTAGTGATTGAATGATTAGGTCATGATCGGTAATGGCCAATGCGGAGTTACTATGGCCAAGATTCGAGGTCTCCGCACTAAGGTAGCTGCTCACAAAGGGGATGGTCAGGGTCTGATGTTGGCACATAGCAGGAAGAGAGAATTACTTCGCCTCGCCACAGCGCTCGTTCAGTGACTAATCACATCCGGCCAACACTGTCCGGGCAACTGGCACAGCACATCGTCGTAACAATCCCGCGATGAGAGGGCCGTGACTCTTATGTTCTCATGTAGTACACGCTCAAACAGAGGAACTATTGCAATGTAGACAATAAGCGGATTCGGGATTCAATTGTGGCTGGTTGCACAGGCCACCGGATACATTGCTAGTGGTAGACATCAAGGTTGTGGTGAATGCCATCCAACATCTGTTGCGGCCATCCTCGCACGAATCAGTTCCAACTAAGGTCTGCGGTCATTGTGGGCGGGTAAGAGCTATATATAGCTTCGTAAGACGGCCAAATTCTTTCGGTTGCTGTGCAATATATCGGATACCGGGCATAATCAGCTTCCAGCTCGCATCCTAGAAAGTGTCGCAGTTGGTCCAGCCAATATCCATATTCGAACGAGGTAGGCTGGATTCTGACTGGAGCCCATGCACCTTCTTCCCGTTGTGAGCTAGAATCTGATCCCCTTTCCGTGTTTCCCAAAACTGCGCCAGGCGAAAACACCTTGCTGCAGATTTCTAGTACTGTTCTGAAGCCTAGGAACAAAGTCAGAAAGTCTTCTCGACCGTCATCTCGAAATACCAGATACTCACAAGGTCGAGGGCCCTTCATGAAGGAACAGATGAAAATGTAGGCAGCGGCGGTATATACCGCATGGCAATGTTCTTTATTAAGTTGCGGCATAGCGGCTGACACTTTCCGAATAGCAAGGTTGTATTGCCGCTCGGCTGCCATATGGTAGCCATTGACCCGGATAGCATACTGTTGCTGCCGTAGGCTCTCTGGACTCCGTGCCAACTAGAATCATAAATAGGCAAGTAGAAGGCGCAATACATAGGGATAAAAGAAGCCAAGGCGAGGAAGGTGGATCCGTTGGTGCACACCCATTGCAGCCGTGCTTTTCGAATCGCCAATGTCAGTTGGAGTGATAAAGTGATGGAACAATTCCATATCGACCATAGTAATCTAGAACGGCCGACATGATAATGTCGGATGAACTTGTTCCGACAAGGTTACGCACACTTCGGATGACGGAGGTTTGCGTGTCCTATGTGCTCGTTTTGCTGGCCTGAAATTTTATTGATAAGACGAGATGAAGGTTTGATGACGTATAAGTGGAGCTTTCCTTGTCTTAATTGATGTTGATGTTAATTGTAGCTCCATGTCCCCCGCTGAGGTTGACGATTTGCTAGAATTCGATCCCTCCAGCTGGTAAGCACACTGTACTGAGTGCTGCACTCAGATATTACAGAGAGGCTTTATCTCACCACACTATATATCGATTCCGTTGAGTAGAGATAGACATATAACTCCTGAGGGACACCTACTTTAATCCGGGGCGTTTATAGTTGCCACACGCCGAGGCGTTATTTTCAATGAGGCCTATGAGAGCCCTTGGCCATCCTGCAAGTATTCATATTATAGGTGGCCTTCCTAGGGATAGGGTAAAATATGAGACAGCAATGATATAGGGGAGATTCATCGTGGATACCTCGGCAAAAAGTTGGTAACTTCGGCATAGTCAGTTAGCGATCCCGGTCCTTTGATTGGCGCGGAGCCAGGTATCAGAGCTCGCCAACGGTGACCCAGGCAGAGGATTCCTATTAAGGATTAGTAGAATTCTGTTGGTACCTTATACAGGTATGACAAAAGACCTCTCGCGTGCTGTTAAGACAGCTCTACTGGTGCTCAGAGTTTCAACGACATGGAGAAACATACTTAAGACAAGGGGCGCTTAAGTGACTATCTCGAATTATGTATCTTTACAGAGACCATAGATCACAAGGCTACATGTTCCTTCTCGCCCCTTGTGGAATAGCCATAGAGTTGAACTTGCTCCTTCCATATTATTCTATACAGAAAACCCCAATGAGCCTGGATGTGTACTAGGCGTTCCGGATTCACCAGGGACGACTCGCGCCACTGCACTGATTCGTATTAAAGAAGAAAAATACATCTGTTCAGAAAGGGTCAGAGCCGACATGGCTGGTACATTGGCGAAATTTCAACTTCGAACGCTTCTCCGCGGATTAAGCAGCAATGGGCATGTACCGAGAACCCGCCCGGCTAAATTTGACTGAGTGAAGCACGCTGACTGGCCTTTCCCCGGCAGGTGGAAGAAGGGGGGGAAGGGGTTTTATGAGTATGCCGCGGTAAGTAGAGATCTGGGACTTGAGTACATCCCTTTCGTGATCTTAGATCATGCAATCTAAATACTGGGCCTATGCAGTAATTCTGCTGTGCGCGGCAGGCTCTTTCATATCATAATCAACAATACTGTTATGATTCATATAAGGGTTCAGTTTTAAGAGATATTCTTTCCGCGATTTGGGAGTCATCTATATTGACTTGCACAATGCTTTCAATTCCGTTTTCTTAAGGATCAGTCATTCCAGAAAACCTCGAAGTGCTTTCTTTTGTTCTCCAATATGACCGTGTTCTCCTGGCCTTCCTTATTAACATATTCATAGCCATGCGAGGATCCTTGGGGGGGCTTAAGCGCAGGACTTGTGGGTAGAGAAAGTGATTAGATATTAAAAGATAAATAACAAAGGAAGACCTTGAAACCATCTGAGAGCTGCGATCAAGTCCCAATACAAACCTGCTGAGTTCGTTTAGCCCCTAGGTAGTATTCTCGGTTAGATTAGGCGGGCATAGCCGTGTTTCATTTATTTAGATCGCCCGCTAAATGGGGCCTCAAGCCCCCACAACGCCTCGCCTAGCCAACTAGATACAAGGGCCCGCGAGCTAAGGAGGTGGAGAAGGGGCCAATAGCCTGGCTTTAGGTAGATACTAGCAAGGGAGCGGAGTGCAAGCATACCATGAATGAGTTGGTGGGATTGTCGGCGTTCTTTGGTCACGTCTTCCTTTCCACAGCCTGAATGAAACCCAAATTCAAGCTGGGATGATATTCCTTTCTGCTTTACATCGAACTACTCAATGCCACTTATGCACCAAATTGACTATCACTTTTAGGCCCCCAATTTCGATATGCTATCTCTACGCAGTGAAGGTATGACATAGGAAAGAGGTAAGTTGTTACACCCGAGCTGGACCCATCAGCGCTGCAAGGGTTCGATTGTTCACCAAACACCGAACTCCTCAACAATTGAGCTCCTAGTACAAGGGGGAAAGATTCGACGAGGAGCTTCTCAACTAGGATTACTGGTAGGCAGACCTATTTGCCTAAATCCACCCAGAGTATGCTCCTTGTCCTGGGGGAGAAGTGTCCAAGGTTCTCCATGAGCATCTCAGCTTCCCATAAAAAGTTATGGCTACACGCTTCACGTTAGAATATTCCCTTAGATACATCAGCAAGCCAAAGTCCCGGAAATTCTGGACAAGTGATCGTGCGTAAATATTCTTATTAGATTTTCAAATAAGGCAGCAGGGATCTGGGCATATAGTCACACCGATAAAATGGGTCACAATGAAGCATTGTGCCTAGTCGTGCCAAAAACGGTGTAAGAGAGAATATGTGCCATTTTGAACCACTCCGGGCTCTCCGTATACAGGGATATATCCCAACAAATGGGGCTGGTTTTCTATATCAGCGTACTTTGACAATACCTTGTGGTGGCCTACTTGTTCACTATAGGCTGACTGGACACAATACATGCCTTGAAGGCTAGCCCTAGATGAGTCAAATACCCACATTTTCAGGGCCAAGACAATAGTCCAAGGCGGCATGGCTGTGTGACTGGGGTGTGACTGTGGGGAACCAGAGTTAGTATTGGGGCCTTTTCCACCCTACTATAGTCCATGGCATACTAGTTTCTTTCCATGCTCTAAGCTATCCCCACTACTATTGCTGGTGCCCCGAGAGCGGATCGCTGAATGTCACTGAAACCTGACACTCTTGGAGAACTAAATTATGAACACACCCACTCACCCTATAAAAGGGTCAGCGTTTCCCTAGAAGGGTACTTTTTCCATCTTGCACAACGACCCACCACATTACTTCGTTCTCTTTAGTCAAATTGGAAAAGCATTCCACTTGAGGTTTGTCCACTGTTTCTGCTTGTATGAGATCACCGCAAATGACTAACCGGCCTGTAGTCCTTCCAACACTTTGGACCTATCCGACGGCAAAAATGCGTCTTGCGTATCTCTTCCTCTCCATCTTTGTTGCATCAGTGGCTGCAGCACCCAACGCGTGCACTCCCACCGGCCTGCCCTGCGACGCGCAGACTCCTTGCTGCTCGAAAGTTTGCTTGATCAAGGGTGAAATCGGTGACCCCAACGAGAATGGTACCTGCGCGTGAGCTTTTAAGGGGGGTACTTAAGCTGTATCTAGAATTTCCAGTCACCTCAACAGCTCGAGTGCAATATGACATTAAACAAGCGTTAACACTTAGTTAAAAACATCTATTCTGTAAAGCATATTTACTGTACAATGGAAGGGGTACGATTCATGTAATCGATAGTTTCAAAGTTGTTGGCTAGCGGGCAGAACTGTAACAGCTTTCTCACGTCTTTCTTTAGTTATCACAAGCTCAGTGGTATCATGTATTACTGGAGAACTGTGCTAAGTGGGGGCTTGATTTGGATATTACATCAAAATCATAAAAAATATACAAACCAAATAAGTTTATTGCCGTTCATGGTGTCTAGTTTTGCTTTTCTGCTACTCCATATCTCCTTGTCTATTCTCGATTAACCCCATGAGGACCCCGAACCCCCAGAATAAATAAAAGGCCTATAAATGTATCTTTTGCAGCCGATCGATGGGGAAGGTGCAGATATCCGTCCCACGAGGCGCACGAAGTACGCAAGTTGATCAGTTCGACATTGACCCATAGGAAGATCGGCAAAAGGCTATCGTTGTTTCGCGGTTTCAACGGTTGACCACCTGGTAAATCGTTTACTCTTAGAGACTAGGCCATGCCGTGTCAGATTGTGACCCGCATACGGTGTGCATATGCAACCTATCACGTTGACTATGTTGTAGCTCTGCAAATGGTAGACGTAAAATTCCCTCCCCTATTCAAGCTATTGATAAAGACACCCCTTCGACCTGTTTATGTACGTCTTTTGCATAGTATTGTACGGTCCTCATAAAAAAAGTACTCATCTATTCAGCTGAATGCTAATTGCGGCGCTCTGTACGTTGCGCTCGCGTTTGACCAATAGAGTATATAACTCTCCTGCGGTATCTGTGTGGCATGGACTCCCGAACCTTTAGGTTATGTGCGTGTATATATGGTGAGCTAGGGCCCTCAATCTCGTGGTTTCACCATTTTCATGCTACTGGCAAGAGAATAAGGCTAGTCGGTGATGGGGACGAAATCCTCTGATGCTTTTGTATTTATTTTGAATTCTAGTGAGACTCTTCCTCATAATTCCCTGGATCTTTGGCTACGCAGTAAACATAAGAGCAATACACCACGAGCCGCTGAGCGAGTTTACTGTTAGCTACAATTACAAGTCGGGGAAACCGTCTGTCTCCTAGTGTAGCTCGCGAACGACACAGGCGCAAGTCTAGTTCCATAGCCTTTAGTCAACTCATATCACACCAACGACAAAAACAGTGTAGCAAGGTGGTGCGAGTTCTTATATTTATCCTGTAGCAAAACCAACATCCGCATGGTCTACGCCGGACTGGTGTATATCTAGACAGGACAGAGGAACGACGAGCTCACAATTAGTGCACACCACTCTTCGGACAGCACTCTTAGTGCATGTAACGTTGAACGGCCGCGCCAGGGGCCAATCACACCCAATTAGCTATTCTAGGACCATGACTATACCCGCACTCCCAACTTCCAAAAGCCCGATGGAAATAGCGACACGCGAGCACCAGTTCCGAACTCTAAAGAAGATAACTGGTTCTATGAGGGATGGGAGACCTACAATAATCACGCCAGTCAGTATATGGACGTCGATATCTGTTACATAGATACACCCTTCACGAGCCCGCTCCTCCCGCCTCCAAGGGATATGACCCTGTATTGCCCGATAGCATGAAGGGGCTCAAGGTGAGGGGAGATACTTGCTCGCTTAGCAGGCTAAATAACAAAGATAAAATGCCGTACAAGGAGCCGGATCCGTGGAGGCTTAGCTGCAACAAGTGGAAAGATGCCACCTGCTTTCACATGTATAATGCGAAAGGATGCTCCGACGATGGGTTCGTGTGGGACCGAGCAAGTTGTACATGGAAAGTTTAGTATTACTACTGTATGTAATTCTTCAAGGTAATTGAGGTGCCTGTGTTAGTGATATAGGCTTTTCGACACACTTTTCAACGTAGACCATTAGTCACGGATTTAAGACCCTGATCATCTATACCTTGTTTTCTTTTCAATCCTACAGATTCAGATTCAACCGAGCTTAAAGTACTTTTTCGAGCATAATTAGACCAAACCTAACACAATCCGAAATACATGGTTTACCATGGATCCGCGGTGGTGGGTGGGATTAACGTGACGGGGGCGATATACTGCGTGTCGATGACAGCAAGATGCTAATGTGCAGCCTGAAAATATCGGGTCCTGCAATGGTGGGTTTCCAATATGTGAGTGGCCTGGATCAATCTGTGATGATCTGGAACCCATGTACCGTAATTGCGTCCTCTTGAAGTGAAACAGCCGAGTTGGTACAAAATCTCTTTCTCTAATATTCTTCTCAGAGGAACGTAAATGTGGCGTGTCCTATAACCTATAATATGACTCCCTCTGTGCTTTAGTGATAGACTGCAGTCATAATTCCGTTGGTCCTCTTCTTCTAAAGTGTCTAGTGTTATCAAAATCCAAATCTTTTCAGCACCTATCTGCTGCACCTCGCATCCTGTTCGAGAAAGACTATCCGATCGTCCGAGCCTGCTTTGGCTGAAAGCTCAGATATCCCATATGAATTAAAATGTTAAGTCTCGTTTGGAAAGGAATACTTGTCGTCTAAGTTAATACAGCCGCGAAATCCTACCTAGGGGGGCCAAGACACACATCGTATCATGACACACATTTCCTACATGGAGTTCGTCGTCGATACGAGCAATGCCACACACAACCATCCCTCGGCCACTCGTACCCAACACTACGGAGAAAGATACTACAGACTTGCTGATAAAGCCCAATCGAGCATGACTAAACCTTCATCGACACCTAGATGAAAAGTAGCCAATAGTCTAATATACAGTCTTCAGCCGGTACATGGCGCCCAAGTGGCACGGCTACGCCCTTCTACCCCATTTGAGAACACAAAAGACATCAGCTAAGGACTGGTAACACGTTTTCTCATCCCCCAACAGGATCAACGAAATATCCGTGATATACCTAGCTCATTACTTCAGTAGCTGAAGTCACGAGCGTGCTCACGGCGATGCAAGCTGCTCCCGCAAGTGTCCGCCTCCTGATAGGAAGCACCATTGGCACTGTTGGCATTGGCAACCTTAGAAGCAGGGCTAGAGCCCGAACTTCCGGTCCAGACAGCCGGGCCAGGCATAGGGTAATCCTTCATGCCACCCCAAACACTAAAGTTGAACGAGGGGTCATCCTTCTTGTAACCACCTGGAAACTTAATGGTAGGTCCGGGGGTTCCATTGCCACCGCCAGTGACCTTGACCTGGGCGCACCTAGAAGCTCTGTCAGTATCCAACTAGAGTAGTACCAGTAATGAGAAGGATGTCTTACTCGTAGTAGAACTCAGCCTGTCCATCATGGGCTCCGTGGACACCTTTCCCGGGAGTTAGTATTCCTGTTTGTATATACTTTCACGAACAGCAGAAATCATACCAATATGCTCGGACCGAATAAGATACTCCCCGTCTGGCAGGTCGGCAGGAATCGTGAATTCAATACGGTCCTTGTCCCAAGTACACCAGGCATCGGTTTTGATGTCCTTGCTCTTGTCGCAGATGGACTCCTCGTGAATCTTGAACCAGTCACCGTCGCCCTGGTACTGGTTGGCCGCTCCGGGAGCCTTGGACATGTAGACAAGACCAGGGCCAGGGTGTTTCATGGTAGCACCCACGCCGAGCTTCATTGCAAGCTTGGACCCAGCCTTGACCTCCGCCGTGCCAGTCTGACCGGCGAAGGTGAAAGAGCCCTTGTTACAGCGGAAATCAGGCATATCAGGGGTCATATTGTCGCGGGTGTTCTTCCATTTGGTCGGATTGTACTTCTCGGGCCGGGTGTTAGAGCGGACATACTTGTTAGGAGTGCTTTCCTGGCCGTTAATGACGAGGGTGTCGAAGAAATAATGGGCCGAGACCAGGGGTGCGATGAACGCGGCAGCGAGAAGAGAGAGCTTCATGTTGAAGATAAATGAAATAAGGTGTAATGAGTGAATAAAAGGGCCAGCCCAGACAAAGTGAGAGTGTTATAGAAGAAATGAGTGAAAGAGATAGACACGCAGTGGCTTTGTTGAGGTCTTTGTCATGTGGGTTTATTCGTCCTTATATATCCTATGGGTGCAGCCCGTGCGACGTTCATTTTGATATCTGGCAACAACATATGACAATTCGTGCCTCCATTTGCATTTCGTCTGGTCAATGAAGGCTCTATATCAGAAACATGCCAAGGCCGTCAAGCCCTGTAGGCTAGCCTACGTCTAGCTATCGTCCGTGTCTCAGATCAGCGGGTCTGCCAGTGCCAAGTCATCAAAGCTCAAATACCTACTAGCTCGAAGGGTTAAATATTACTGTTGCCTGGTTGGCTCTATCCGACCCTTCGAACTATTTTCATAATCCTATTCTTAGCCACATAGGGATCCGTATGTGCTGTATTGACTTGTTGAGCCACCGTAAACAGCCGGATGAGCTAGTACATCTAAACTGAGCCTAAAATACTAGACTTGGCATTACGCAACAGATGAATCGGAAATGCAGTCCTTCAGATAGCTTCATGATCCTAGACTTAGATTACTTCATGAGAAACTTGACACAACGCAGGATTCAGTTTTCGGGGAGGCATTGGTTATGGTGGTATAAACTGACGGTACAGGACATGGGGGAGCTATATCTTCTAACTATAGGCTGCCAATTAACCCTCAAATAGCCATATTACAGCGTTCCTGTTAATTCACGCTACATTACTACCTGGCCCACAAGGCTTTAATGGTCCGGGACGTTTGCCCAGGGTCCATAAAACCTTAGCTTAATCCGCTGCACCTTACAAAGCCCTTACTAAGGAGGGATGGGCCCCACAAAGCGTAGGCTGGTCTCCCATCGTACCAAACCAGTGGCAACGGGCAACCACTCCGTACCATACAGAGTTAATGCTAACGAGTTTTATAGAGTACAGGGGAACACAGCTCGTGTTCGGCAGTGCAAATGGTGCTCCCATTGCCGATGGGATCTTGGCATGCCAGCCTAGCCTACTTAGATTATACATCAGGACGTCACGTCTATCAGTAGCCTATGTAAGTCGGGAGGTCCTGGCTAAATCCCTACATATTCTGTCACAAACATTGTTGCAGGTGTATCAAGTAGGGAGGGGGAAACGGGCTAATTCGGAGTCCGCATACATACCTGGCTTCTAGGACCATCCGCAACGATGGCTGCAAATCCAAACAAGCCTTCCTTGTGAAAGACAATGGCTATTCCTCTCTGTGATCTTTTGACCCAACTTCCAAGTGGTGCGGTGGGTTAAACTCCCGTGTCTTGGCAATTCCTGTATCGTGTCATCCTGCGACAGCCCCAGACGTTGTCCCGTTTGCTCTACAGGATTTACCGGATGATGGTCTTGAATAGGCTACGGTGTCGACTTAACTCTGCCGCCAGCTTGGACGTGCACGGGGTGATGAGATAGATACCATGCCTCCTTTCCAGCAGATTATCATCCAGGGCTCCGTTTCTACGTGGGCAGGGATCTCCGTGGGATCAGCCTGGCGGTTAAATCATGCAACATAACCACAGCCTCCTATAAATACACAGCATTAATCATAGAATCGCTTGTGTGTTTCTCAAAGTTGCCAGTTGCACAGTCAGTCCATCTCATTGCCATCTTACGACTTAGCAAGGTCTCATCTGGGATCTCATCCACTCAGTGACAATGGTTCAATCTGTCTTCCTCCATACCCTCCTGGCCCTCAGTGCCCTCACCTCGGTCCACGGTGCCAATTCTCCGGGCTGCGGCAAAAAGCCCACTCTTGCCAGTGGTGTCCATAACATAAATGGCCGCGAGTACATCCTCAAAGTCCCTGACAACTACGATGCGAACAAACCACATCACCTGATCTTCGGCCTTCACTGGCGCGGCGGAAACATGAACAATGTCGCGTACGGCAACAGTATCCAGCCCTGGTACGGCCTCGAAGCCCGGGCGAAGGGCAGCGCCATCCTGGTAGCACCAAATGGCCGAAACGCCGGCTGGGCCAACACCAACGGGGAAGACGTGGCCTTCATCGACGCCATTATAAAACAAGTTGAGGGCAACCTCTGTGTGGACCAGAGTTCTCGCTTCGCGACGGGTTTCTCCTGGGGCGGTGGAATGAGCTATGCCCTTGCTTGCTCGCGGGCTAAGGAGTTCAAGGCTGTGAGCGTTTTGAGCGGTGGCGTGATCAGTGGGTGTGAAGGGGGCCATGATCCTATTGCCTATTTGGGGATTCATGGGATAAACGACCCCGTTCTTCCGTTCGATGGGGGCGTGGCGCTGGCGAATAAGTTTGTAGGGAATAACCACTGCCAGCCGACGAACATTGGTAAGCCTTGGTCTGGAAGTCACGGGTCCACTCGAACGGACTTTAAAGGCTGCTCCAAGCCAGTTTCGTTTATTGCTTACGATGGTGGCCATGATGGTGCGCCGCTTGGCGTGGGCAGCTCGCTGGCTCCGGATGCCACCTGGGAGTTTTTCATGGCAGCTTGAGGCTGGGATAGCTTCTCATGGTGCCGTTTTTGCTGATATAGCCATCCTCAATGATATGTGTATACATCCTCTTTAACAAATACATGGTGAAATATCACTATTCGTTGTACTTCCTGCCTTCTACCACAGTCCCTGAATCAAATTCCGCTCTTAAGTACCTGACGAACGATTAATTTTACTTTTAATTAGGAGGAAGATCATTCTGTAAAATACCCCCGAGATTGCCTTCATCGGGAAGATCCCCGAAACATAAAATCCTCGGGAGTGATTTTTTGTAGTTTGACAATCCTTGTACATAACGGGAATCCCAATGCAAATCCTTCATTTTCTGTCTTGGTTGATCATGCAGAAACATTGTCCTGACTATCTTATGTGGCTGTTAGGCAGTGAGCCGACATATAATATAACGGTATCAATTTGAGGCAGCTAGTCTCACTTCGCACCTCAAGTCAGAAAGTCTAATCAACTGGAACTTGACATTACATCAAATAGTACCTCGTTACCGACACGGACTAGAGCTGTATTCAGTCCCACTTGGAATCCTTAGCTTGGAGGGACATCAATTGCCTAGAAGACGGATAGATGTCTCAGGTGACATGCTGTAGATGATGGAGTTATTTAAGCTAAATCCTTGGCCCTCAGAAGAGAGACCAACCCTGTTCCATATTCCAAAGCAAAACTTCCGTTTTACGAGGATCCACAACCAAGCTACCAACATGGTGTCAGCCACTCAACTTCTTCTTTTCCTGCCGTTCCTTGGAACCCTCGCGAGTTCCAGCGACCCCACGTCCACGGAGCTCGTTGCTCGAGGAGAAAAGTCATACAGCCTTCTTCAGCAAATCGGAGAGAATATCTTCAATGCAACAAGCGACGAAGAACTTCAACGCCGCGCTACTGATCTCAGGACCAGCAAGGATGGCGTAAACTCCGCAGGATATTACTACTCCCTCTATAATGACAACCATGCTGGCGCCGATTACACCGAGTACCCTGACAGTGGTCGGTTCCAGCTGAAATGGAACGTAGACAAAGAGTTCCTAGGGGGCAAGGGCTATCGGGGCGGTAGCACCCGGTGAGTAAACATGTTTCCTTGCCTCAGCTGCGGTTCGAGCTGACTTCCGTGATTCCCTGACTAGCAAATTGACTTGGGATGGCCATTTCAATGCTCAGGGTGACTATACTCTGGCTGTCTATGGCTGGACTACGGATCCCGTCACCGAGTGGTACATCGTCGAACAACACGGCACAGGGACCCCTGGCAATGGTCATATCCTTGGCCAGGTCAACGTCGACGGCGGTGTATACGACGTCTACATGCTTCCCTACAGAAATGTACCCAAGATCTACGGTGTCACCAACTTCAACCAATTGTGGTCCGTCCGTCGCACTCCTCGCACCACCGGCTCGGTCGATGTCACTGCCCACTTCAAACGCTGGAAAGAACTTGGACTCCAGCCTGGCAACCCTGTCTTCCAGATGCTGACTGCTGAGGGATTCAAGGGCACAGGGAATCTTGATTTCCAGCTGCACTAAAGGATATGAGCGGGGTCTCCGTGAAGACTTGTGGACTACATGAGTGGTCCTTGTTAGTATACACAACCCTTTTGTACAGTAAATTTTTTTTTTGTTTTCTAGAAACTGGAGAGTAGGTCTGTCGAGAATTCACACTGGGCGCTCATTTTGCACACCACCCTTGGGTGAGTCACCGGCTTTACCCTGTGTGAGCTGATAATTTTCACTTCTCTTCGCTTCTTCAGGGTCTTTATGCTTGACACATCAATCTAGTCTGGTTCCATAGCACCTTTACCCTGTGCACACTCATTTTATCTAATTTTTCTCTTTTGTTACAAACTGGAGCATTCCTCTGTAAGAGAAATTTCGATTATTCGTCAATTATATACCGGTTTCTAAGGTGGAGAAGGTGCAAGCGAGCAGTCTAGGCTCATCACCACAAGCAGCAATCGATATCCGATTTGTCCCCACCTGTAGGGAGTGGCAAGGGTCCGTGATAAGCTTGAGCTAGGTTTCAATTTCAGACTGATGTTCATACCTTCTCGGTTTGCGGTGAGTCTGCCAAGTCGGAAGTGGATAACACTAGACACGGGCAGACACTCCACATCCGGAGTCTGTCCGGCTGTTAAATCGTCAATATGTTTCACTAATGGCCTAGGGCTGAATATGGTTGGCTCTTTTTCTGCAGACCGGAGATTTTCCAGGGGTCAGCTATAGGCGATAAACATAAGTCTTTAAAAAGCTTAACCTCGGCAGTATGTTCATTAGATGAATAAGACTATTTAGATAATAGCGTATCCCGTAAGCGAGTCGGCCACCCATGTATCCCATATAAAATAGGAATTTTTATAACCACAATATCTTGACAACAAGATATAGGAGTAATATGAAGTCTGATATAAATATACATAAAGGTTATATAAATACATTACGAAGTTTTAAAATTTTTCAAAATTTTTTCCTAAAAATCTAAACGCTACGATATATAAATTACAAAAAATACATTGTAATTTATATTACCTGTTAAAGTAAGGAATATAATATCTCCTCTGTTCTAATATATGTATCTGTAATGGCATATTAGTTTAAATATTAGATTTTAGATAAATTATTGTTTCTAGTCGTCGAGATATTGTGGTTATAAAAATTGGCGTTCTATATGGGATGGATACACGGGTGGCCGACTCGCTTACGGGATACGTTAACTATAAGTTCACGTTTCAATTTAAGAGCCATATTATGATCGTAATATATTCTTTATGGTTACGCGGTGTTATCGTGATCCTAACGCTATGTATATTTTTCTAGTAATCGACTATTAGTCTTTTGGGGCTATGTGTAAGGTCACTTGCCGCAAGCGCCTGTAACAAAATTTTTGGCTCGCTGAAGTTGTCTATTGTCTATATTCGAATAAGAGATATACTTCACGACCAACTTTGTTTCTTAGCAAAACTTTTATAATTCGAGCTCTACTTTACAGAAATAGTGACGGTTTTGATAGGAAATTTATATACCACAGACGCTATATAATATGTTCCGACTGCAACGTATTATTTAAGCCCCGGTCACACTTAATATATATTTCAATGTAGTTAATGTAGATCAAGGAAATTCATCTTGTAGGACCGCCCTGAACCTCACCATGATACTTCAAAACGCTACAGTAGGCTTGCTGGGATGTAGCGCTTTTGGTTCTCAAGAGTGTTCAGATCCAAATTCCTTTGAGTATTGGAGAGATCCTAGACATAGAGATTGGTTAACTGGAACAATATCTTTCCATACTCAGCGTTCACTGTGTCTTTGAAGACTTGCATATGAAAATCGTAAACGTGGAGTCCATATCAGAAACCATATGCATTTCAAGCTCCCTTACATCACCTCAAGCATAGACAAAAACAAAGCTGCCCTGGTCTGTTCCATTTCTTGTCGATCTCTTTCGCACCCAGCCCTTGATACCTATCACATCTCATCCTTGCCGAGTTCCCTGCTCTCAGACAACGACCACCGCTTAAAAAAGTCTAAAATAATGGGCGTCGCATTCAAATACGTCCCATTAGGGTTATCACTATTAGGCCCGACACTGGGCCAAGCATGCCCCAATCCGTCAATCCGGTAATGCGTCACAACCCCCAATTCATCACCACTCGCATACTGGTACTCCAGAACATGTCCATTATACAGCTTCGTAGTCTGGTTATGGAGTCCATACCCCAGTCGCTTAGACCACTCGCGCACGAAATGCGGAACAGAAGGGAGGCATTCTCCCCGTCGACCACCGCCCCCATACGGGATCGTCTTATCCGCCGTGCCATGGAACTCAATGATAGGAATCGGAGTGCGACCGGGATTACATTTAATCGGTACAGTAGTGGGGTGACAATCCTCCTCGGAGACATCTTGGTAATAGGCGCCTGAAACCGGCGCGAAGGCTGCGATTTTGGTGGATGAGGTCGCATTACAGGCTAGGAGATTGGTGAATCCGCCTCCGTTAGATTTACCCGCTGCGTATACGCGGGTAGAGTCGATGCAGTATTGATCCTGGAAGGAGTCTAGCATTTCAAGCGTGAATGATATGTCATCGACGCCCTTGGAATCGGGGTCACCTTGCCATTGTTTCTGTTTATCGGTCAGTATGGACCCCAAGTATAACGGGGAATGATAAAGGGAAGATAACGTACTTTAAGGCCCTGAGGGTACACGGCAATAGCATTCGGGTTCCAAGTTTCATTGCTGAACTGGGACAGTGCCTCCTGGTTTTCGGCCGTTTTGCCCCGGCCGTGGAACGAGAAGATCAGTGGCGTTGGCTTGTTCTCATCGTAGTTCAAGGGGATATGGATTAAGTAGAATCGCTGGGTTCCATCCGAGGTGGTGAAGTGGACTCCATGACTGGATCCCCGGCTCTGATGCGGGGGCAAGGGCTGTCCGCAACCTGCCGAGCTGGCGGCACAGGCTAGGCCGGCGGTAGTTAGGACAAAAACTGCTGAATAAAATCTCATTGTCACCGTAAATAGATTATTATAATTTGCAATTCTCCAAAGGAGGCTCAGGAGTATATGTATCTAGGTGCTTGAGAGATCTCACGTCAGATAAGTCTTGCATTCCGGCAGATCCATTACCTCCCTCGGGGTATTTTTGGGTCTGGGGAGACCCACGGGAACCATTCCAATCCCCTTCCGCTTTTAGCAAATGGTCTTCTTGACGTTTCAAATTAGCCTCTGATTGCCATGCATCTCAAAGATTGGGTTTTTGCAAGGGCCGTTGCATGGTAGACTCATTTACCCAGAGCTCATTGGTTGATTGAGGGTCAGTTTTTGTTATTCGTCCAACCAACAACACCAGCCTCTACTGTGTTCATGTAGTTTGTTGTCAATGATCGCTAGATTCAATGGGCTATATATTTCCATATCCGAGCACTGTAGTGCTAGTCAGCCTTGTTGGGCACTGACAGAGAGCCCAAAGAGTCTAGAGGTCTTTGACGTAGAATATAATGGGGGTCTGGCAGACCATGTCGATTATTCTACTAGTGTGGAAGAATTATATACAGCATTTGCCGCTCGAGCGGTCTGTTCAGACCCAGTCAAGTCACTTAGCCTTGCCGCCAGATGCAACAAGCACAATGGGACGAGCAGTTTGCCATCGTGGGTACCAGACTGGGGACAGCATAGTCGCTCAGATTACGAGCCTCCTTGAACGACCGACTCCGTGGGGAACTAAGACTATGTATAGAGATCAAGGAGGTTTCACATGGCGAGCTACGTGTCCCTCTTTTCGATCAAGAGAAATTTACTACGGACAGTGTCGTGCAAGGTCCGACAAATCGTTATGACCTAAAAGATTCTGACCCGATATCCACGATGGAATGGCTCTTGGCATCGGCCAAATCCCTGGATATGCCCAGACGCATGATATTTTTGGCATGGGGAAATCTATCCCCAGTCGGTCTTTGGGAGTTTTTTTCAAGTCCTTTTTCAGGACAAACCCTTAGACGATAGAGGGAAGAGGAATCCTGGTGACAGTATAATTATAATTCGCGCGTTGAAGGAGGCTGTCCATCGGCTCATGGCGAAGCACTGCCTCTTTGCCTATCAAGAGGTACCTGGGGCGTCCTTGGAGTTGGGTCAACTAGCATCCGGAAGGGTGATGTCTTGATCAGGCTTCTGCCAAGCACGACTATTTGTTATAGTTTGATCCATCGACATGTGGTCGCGGTGCTGGCTTCCTCAAGTAATGATACATATTTGATCGTCCGTGATGCGTTTATCGACATATCCCAAGGCCTCACCGGATACTTACAGTCAGCAAAGGAGCCGACAGAAGAGCTAAGAATGATAAGAATTATCTAGCTACCAGATGATATCAACTAATCAGAGAATAGAGACTCCTATCGACAAGATATATCTTTGCATGCGTCTGTAAACCTTCAAGCTCCGCTGCAAATCTATAATCATGTCTGTTCAACAAACGAGAGGCTTCCCGTACGAGGATGCCATCCATCTACTCTACCTGCCTCACTTCTTTGATGGCAAGTTATGAACCGAAGAACATTGTCTATCATCTTCAGGCTTTCATAACGAAAGGGGACTAAAGTTTATGCAACACAGGCCATGGGGTAGGCAGTCTATAAGGATAGCCATAGTCGGGCAACGTAATTTATTCCTCGGATGGAAGCATCCTTCAACCACAACTGATCAAACCTACATTCTCATATCGGATAGAATCACGCACCCGTAGTAATATCTGTGAAGCAAGCCCTGCCCCTGAGCCGATACACAAAGCAAACTCTCCCAAGTACCATCTGCACAAATATACTCAAATTTCATGGCATCAGTCCGATATTGAAAAAGACCCAAATCACGATCAGACAAGAGACTTCCCGAGATATTTCCTGAAAAAAATGCCTCAATAGTACGCACATTCAATGATGGTCCGACAATGCCCGAATCAAGCGTTAAGGAACATCGTTATTCAACAGTTTATTCTAAGAATAGAGTAGGAATGGCTTTAGTCCAATAATCGGGGAAGATACGGGACTGAAGGTGCGGCGCATACTTGATACTGAAGGTTGCGGGATTGAACATGCAGCGTACAAGAGAGGCCGAGCGGAACCACCAAGACAATCATGAACATCAACTCGTCCGACTAGGAGACAATTAAGGCTATCATCTGCAAGATTCACCCGTGAGATTTTCGTCCGCACCGATCATCCTCTCAACGTTTCTCAACAACCGAAAAGAGTGAGTCATTTTCAATGCTCTGCAGATTCCTCCATGAAGTGTCTCCGGGAAGAGGTCGGGATAGAGCAGATGAATTGTCCGGCATATATGGCTATGATTGGAGAAACATTCAATGTACAAGCAGGTAGATGGATGGTACATAAAGTTCCTCTACTATCCCCTTCTGAGAGATTTGATAAAACAACAAGGCAGAAGCTTCACAAGGACAGCCCCCATATTACCCGATACTGCCTTCCAATACCATCAACGACATACTTCCGAGTCTCAGGAAAATGATCTTTTTGAATATTATGCGGCCCCCTCTTATTGTCACTCGCACTGGTACTACTTTCGCTACGGCACACTCATTCGGCCTGCGAGCAGTTGATAATATTCGACCCTACAATAGACTTATAATCGGGGATCGAATACGTTCAACCACTACAGCCACTGCGGTCAAATCCTCATGGACACATCCTGTGTCAGTCTATCTGGATTGGGGTCTACATACATTAGGGCCGTTAACTATTACCGATCAAATATGCTGACTGTCCACATGTCTAGATACTCGAAGGACCAAATCCTTAGTGTCCAAATCGCACATCGGAATGCCAAAGATTGGCCGGATAAGTTGGCACTCGGAACAGTCCGCTTCCTACGCTGGGGCATGGACCTGATAACCGGCTATCATCACAAGCCAGCTGTCTCAAGGCAATACAAGATGACAGAGGAGAAATGGATCACAAGATTCATCTTCCTCGAAAGTGTCGCTGGTGTTCCGGGTATGGTCGCCGGGATGCTCCGACACCTGAAGAGTATCAGGAGGATGAAACGGGACCATGGATGGTAAGCCTTGCTCACAGCATCCGTAAAATCTTCTTTATTTCGGATCTAATAAATTGAATTCTAGGATCGAAACGCTCCTTGAAGAAGCATACAACGAACGAATGCACCTTCTTACCTTTCTCAAGCTCGCTGAGCCGGGACCGCTTATGCGATTTATGGTTCTCGCCTCCCAGTGCGTCTTTTTTAGCGGCTTTTCGGTGGCATATCTTATCTCGCCTCGTATCTGCCACCGATTCGTCGGGTATCTGGAAGAGGAGGCAGTCATAACATATACAAAGGCTATTGCGGACCTAGACAATGGTCATCTCCCCAAGTGGAGTAGCTTGCAAGCACCTCAGATGGCGGTCAAATATTGGCAGATGCCTGAGGGTCAACGATCCATGCGGTCTCTACTTCTATACGTACGGGCGGATGAGGCCAAACATCGCGATGTGAACCACACCTTAGGAAGTCTGGACCAGAACAAGGATCCAAATCCATTTTCGGCCAAGTTCCGGGCTCAGGTCGAGAAGTCACGGCAGCCTATACCTACAGCGACAGATGTATAGACATAGAAGCACTATCCATTTTTCTAGAAACTAGTTCAAATATATTGTTATGGCCTTGGGGCATATTGGCTGCCTATATTTGTGATTGCAGCTTAGAATCCGTAAAAACGAGCCCATAATGCCAACACATCGGTGTTTCAGTTGTATCCAGGTGCAGAACCCCAAGCGTTTTCAATCATCAACTGTCCTTAGAAGCACGTTTGTGTGCTTGTCCCTTGTCGATCTCCCCTTGGTGAGGTCCCTGCGTATCCTGGTAGAACCACTGGAAATATTTTTGGAATGATAAAACGATAAATCCAATCTGATTGGATGATCGGCTAGAGCTATCAGAGAGGGTAGGTGAGGCCTTTTATATAGGCAAGCCTATACAAAAGTTCCTCAAGGTCCTACAGGTCCCCTTTTACTAGGCAACATTGACAATCGCGGAAAAGGCTAGTAAATCATCAACATATTCAGCGACCACCTGCCTTCTGCTGCCAGTCGAACCCGCTATCTAGGCTATTGACAGTAAATCCCCAGCCGATCTCTCTGGAAAACATCTCGGCCATCCCTATCCGGTTACCTTCTTCAGAAAACATGCCGGAGTACCTGACAAACTCTATCAATAGGTAATCCATACACCATTCGTAACAGCTATACATGCGCTGGTCCGGTCAACGAAAGGTTCAATGAACCTGTGTCCGATGCCGCCAAAGCAGAATGGTACGAAGATGGCGATGCAGTTGAGTTCATGGACTTCCAACCCCTGCAATTGTAAAAGAGAGCGATAGCTAATCAAGGCCTTTTCAGCAATGAGCCTTAGCAGGCTGGCTGCCACTATTCGTCCTCCCTCGTGGGTAAAACTATTGGCTCTTCACACTCAGTCAATATGAAACCTGCTATCCCGCCCATATTTCTTCCCTCGATCGTGAAATTGACGCCGAACCTTTGCAAAGAACTCTTTCCACGGAAACTGCGTGTCCTTCTCCACGACACATTGGACAGCCATGTGTCTTCCTCGAAGATACACTCGAAGACGACCCACAGCTCTAGCGGGGCGACCGGTATACCTAAACATTTCTATGCAGCGTCTTGAACTCTATCGTGGTTTTTGGGGAAATATAACCCTGCGAACAGTTAGTACAAGATTCATAAAACCGCGGGAAGGAATCTAAGGGTTATCATTAAGGATTAAAAAGTCACTTCGGCCCACATGGCTAAACATCGTGCTGCAAGGCCTGTAATACATGGATTTGTCAATTTCGCTATGGATTTCGTCAGTGCTTTCTAGCGCACCTAGTCAGCAGTGTCCATGCTTAGCATGATTAAATTAACTAGGTTATGGGAGAAGTATAAGTACGGGATACTATCGTACGACCCTGCGGTAAAGCAGCTGGCACCCAAAGAACCTATTCTACATCCACAGGCACTTCACAACGCATCCAAAATTCGCAATGTGTTAGCCCTCTTGCATTCAATTTGTGTTTATATATATATGACCGCTGCCAGAGGGACACACGTCCTGGGATGTGTCTCAAATAGCCACCTCATCGCGTGGATGGCCTGACCAGCCAGCCACTACCTCACTTGCGGAGCCTACCGCTTCGACACCTTGGAGAACGCTCTTAATTATGGAACCTGGACCAGCGAGGTCTACGAGGTTAGCGAACCAAAGGCTAAACATCGGAGCCAACCGGCACTCCAAGACCCGTCCGTTCAATTTGGCCTGTCATCGGCGCCCACAACTTTGACCCAGTTGAAACTCACGCTGTTGGGTCGCTTCCAGCGATGGAGCTACGTAGATGACGGTCAGAATGTTCAGGATACACTGCTGAAGATTTATCCAGCCCTGACGAACTCAGCGAAAGCGCAAGGAGCGGCCGCATTCTGGCTGCTACTTCAGTCTGATGAAAAGCAGATTTCTATTCAGCTCGCTTTTCCTAAAGCCCCCGTCAGCGATCCCAAGGCGAATAGAGAACAATATTTGAGACTGGTGGAGGCAAAAACATCCCTGGATGATCAGTTCCCGGTAGAATTGCAGACTCAGAAGGCGTTTGGTCGGGCTAGCTGGTTTTTGGCTCTTTGGCTTCCTCGGTCCCGTCTTGCCGGTGATGTTCATCAGTTGACACCGAATGCTTCCGCACTTCCTTCGGTTGGAGGACGCTCTTGATATTATTCGTTGATGTACTGCCAGCCTATGGTCAAGGTAGTATGTATCCTAACCTCATAGCAGCAGGGCACCTAGGCGCTGTGTGGCTCCTGATACAATTGTAACGTGCATATTTACTGTCGGTTCATTTCATTCAGGCTTTTCTCGTTTCTAGAGTATTCTATCTACTATGTGCTTCTATACTCACTGTCTTGTTTTGGCTTCTAAATTTATATTTTGAAGTTCTACGATCTATTTGACAAATCCTATCCAGTCATGTTATATCGTTTGTTATTCAGGATTATACGCTAGAGTCAGAGTGCCGGAGATGACTCATTTGACCCCAGTTCCTACGTCTGGAACTCTTGACTCCTGCTCTTCCAATAAGGTCCAATTATCTCAATATTTCTAGGTAATATAGGGTAATTGAACTTCATGCAGATCTACATTCGTCCTGTTCCTTCAACTACTGGTCTACGGGATCGAGAACTTGAACACTCGCCCGATTGGTTAGATTCGTTTGACTAGAAAATCGCCAAGTTTCTTCGTTAGAACCGCCAACCCAGGGCCAGCAGTTATGAGAATTATCTAGTCAGTTCTGCCTGTTATAATAGAAAAACGGATTATAGTGGCCGGGGAACGGAATCCTCTGTGGCGACCTTGATAACCGGCTATCACCGGATCCCCATGGCCGTAATAAACCCTGACTACTCAATACATAGCAAACCGCATATTACGAGATGAACATCAAAAATGATCCCATACGCAAAAAAGTCTGCAAAAGGTCCGTCTTTCTAAGCCTTGATCTTCGGCTTCCGAACCATACAATACAGCTACAAAATTAGCCCAACCCACAAACAAAACAGATCAACATACCTTGCAAGCATCGCGACCATCCACACAATCAATCTCCGTGACCAGGTCAAACCCCAATTTTTCGTAGATAATCAAATTCGGCACACCCTTTGAACTCTCTAGATAACACGGTATGCCATCCCGATCCGCCTGCTGCGTCACAACCTCCACCAGCTTCCGGCCGACCCCCATCCCACGCATCTCCGAGCTGACAGCTAGCACATTACAGAAGTAATACCCACGGGGATCGGTCCAGATGACATCGTGGGTCTTACGTTGCATGGCTTTCCAGAGATTGTAGCGGTGGAGGTTAAGGCCGCCTCTGCCGCCGAAGCGGATGTTGAAGAGAAACTGGCGGAAGGAGAGGAGCCAGTCCTGGGCCCAGACGGACCAGGTGGATGGTTTAGAGGTGGGCTGGGGTCCGAACCACCAGCAGACGCCAACGATGGAGGAAGGGTGTTTGTCGCTGAGGGGGACCTTGGCGACGTACATCGGGCTCTTGCAGTTTAGGCCGTATTGGAAGTGGGCGGCTAGGGAGGCGGCGTTTCGGCGGATATTGTACTATTCATTCATCTCTTGTTTAGGGTCTAGGACAGGGTACAGGGGTTCGTTTGTTTTGTTTTGACTATAGATGGGGGAGATGAATATATGTGTATACTGGACTTACTTCCGAGGAATCGAAGAGCCAGTGGAAATACGGGTCATCGGCAAATGCCGTTTGGACGCATTCTACGGCCTTGGGTATGTCCTGTTCGGTCATGGGGACGATTTGGAGAGACATGTTGGAAGATTTGGACTCGATTCTAGTAGTTTAGATTCAATTCCTACTATGTCTGCGCAGGGGTTGCGATAAAGCAATAGTATAAGAGTGAGAATGGCGGCGAAGGGGGAACAAGGACAGCGCCATCTAAAGTCGACGAGCCGCGAAGTGATGGATGACCGGACTGTACGACGATAGGGACGATAGGGGTGCGGAAGAGAGGCAGTACAGGTGAATTAGTGAGTAGTTGATGGTAGATTGCGAGGGGGTTAGCTATCCCTTTGACATGGTGAATGACCACTGACTCTTATAAGACCACCTCTCACAGCCTTTAGCCATTCCGGGCAATTCGACGCGGAAGTGATGCTCGTTTGTATGTACAAATCCCACCCTGACCAATCACCACCACGACCTCTGGTCTCGGGCCAAGCCACTAGGCGATATTAGGCAGGTTCTGCCGTTATCAACTTATCAGCTGATCACGTTTCATGCATCCTTTTGGCTGCCTCAGGCTGGATCAGGATCGGTGTGGATGTGAGGGAACGTCATCAGGGGTGAGAATGAGGTTCTCGCATCATTAGTGCAAAGTGTGCCTTGCCGGTACCACCGTACTGAGCATAGTCGAGAATGAGGTCCTCTAACTTCCGCCACCCGTACTTCTGGTAGAGCGGAAGTCCATCCGGCGTGGCCTCGAGATAGATGCGCGCGTTCCGCGCATCAGCCTGTTGGATCCCCCATTGTAGTAATTTAGTGCCCACTCCTTGTCCCTGACATTCGGGCAAAGTCGCTAATAGATCCAAAACTATCATTCCATGGAACATTAGTACAACCAACCCAGATAAGCTTCACGTAATGTGGGGTTCAGCGAGTCGAAAGCCAAGAAGCGAATTGAAACTCTCGAGGCGACAATTAGCAGAAGAGCAACATACCCATATCGCCTTCCTTCAGGTGAACGTCTCTTCTCGCTTTCAGCGTCTTAAAGAATGCTTCATAGATATCTTCCCTCATCCCTAACGGTCGAAAACTCGCCGCATTCGCCACCATCGTCTTGCCCTCCTCCGATAAGTCGACTTTACTCTCCTCCCAGGGGATTGTCCATCGGGAGTACCCCACTACACGATCGGCACTGGTATCCACCGCAGAAAAGACATGAGAACTAGGCGAGGCGAGTTTCTCAAGACAGCGAGCCTGCTTCAGCGGTAAACAGGACTCCGGCTTGATACCAGGCATCACATTTGCCCAGAACGCTTGGTGTTGAAAGCTGACAATATTTATTCGGCCGAGGCCAGCTGCCTCGGATTCGGTGGCGTAATGAATATCGATGTTTTGGGACATTTTGCTTCGATTCGGGTGTCCTAAAGTTCGAGGAATATTCTTGGGAGAATTCGCTGCATGTCGCATTCAGGGCTGAACTGATGTTCATATCGGCGGTGCCAAGGGGGTCGGGCACCCGTTTTAGTAGTCTTGTTTACCTCGGCCGATAATTACCTCGTGAGTCATTTAGCTCATATTTTCATTTAACCGGTTCGCTGGGAAATCCTAAGGAATTCGCTCTCATAAAATTAACGCACTGTCTACCATCACGTGGGTTGTAAGCCCTAAAGCTTTTGAATCGCATTCAACGTTACTTATTTATGTCCAGTATTTTCCATCACAGTCGTAGTCTATATACATCAATAGCAAGCCTCGGGTTTAAGCCCACTTGCCCAACACGCCCATCAGCACCATACCGGCGATCAACGCTACTCCTCCGACCAATACTCGGACCAGGGGCGCGTCCAGCATCTCACCTCCCTCCATCACCCAGTCCCTAGCCCACATATCGACGACACCGACCCACACTAGAATACCAGCCGACAATGCGTCTAGCGTACCGAGGGCGATTAATGTGCTCTTCTCGTTGCCATTGAAAGAGTGCAGCACTCCCATTCCGATGGCCATTCCGATCGGGGTAATTATCGCAAAAAGCCCCGCCATGACGGCTTTGCTGGGGAAGATGCGACCCGGAAGCAGCGCAATGCGAGCTCCGAGCGCCAGACCCTCGAAGAACTGATGAAAGACGATCACGACCAACAAGGTTTTGTAAAAGGAGTCGCCTGCGACAACAAGCGTCAGACCAATTAGGATACTGTGGAAGATCACTCCCGCTTCCATGACCAGGACGGACAGCTTAGTGTTCGGTTGTGTAGGATCTGAACCATGGTTGTGGCTGAGCTGGGCGAGTTGCATCGCACGCGGTGCTGCGTTTTCTTTGGGGGCTGTCGAACTATCGTGTGATGGTGTGTCGTCGCAGCATTCAGGGGGCGATTTACTGCCCCGCGCCATAATGATGCGGTGACCGATATATTCCGTCAGGAAGGAGAGGAGGATACCGGCCATCACGACGGCAGATGTGGTGGCTTCATATTCGAGCTCGCCGAGACATTCGTTCGTGAACATGAGGCTGGCGTGGGTGTACAGCTAAAGGGAGTCAGCAGGCTTCACCACACATACTGGGTGGTAGCCTTACATGGACGAATGCAGTGGATAGAATCACACCAGTACCAAACTGTTTGATAACAGTCGATGCCATTGTATTGATTGTGGGAAAGGGCAGCTTAACCAGCAGCATCGGAAGAAAAACACCAATGGCGCTGGTAATAAGGATCACGAACAACGTTCCGATCCGCAATGGCATATCATAGTCACGACTTTGGACACCGCAGGATTTCGTGCCCGAGTGTTCCGACTCGCCCGCACCGACACAGTGTCTAAGCTAGTTAGCTGCCTTCCTATCACTATCTCTCACTATCGAACATACTCAACACCAGCATGGAAATGACAATTTTGTTCGCCGTGGGAGGAACTGCCGGACCCGCTGCTGTGGTCATGCTCATCGCCAGTTTCCCCCTCTGCGAGAATCTGAACATCGTTTCCGCCTGCATCTAAGCAGTACCTACGACATATGAGATTGTTGTTAGGTCAGCTTCCTAGGGTATACTTACTGTGAGCTTCCATGGGAGTGGCAGCCAGTATATTGTGCTGGCAGCTCCCCTGTTGGGGTAGTGGTTAATGACACCTGCACCTCGTTTCCTTCTCCGTTGATGCAGTACACATCGTCACCGTGGTTATGGCAGCCGGTCACAGAAGCAGTCTGTGCTGAGGAAGTAGTAGTAGCAGTCACAGACGTGGCTGTTGCCTGTGCATGTGTAGTGATAGGGGTCTCTTCACCGTCGGCCCCGTAGCAGTACTCCACGCTACCATGTTTGTGACATCCCGAATAGGACTGCGCATGCACCACGCTGGCTGCAAGAGACGCAAGGAACAACCCCCGGAACATGTTGTACATGATTTCTTTGTCTCACTCCTTCAACTCGCGAGAGAATAATGAGCCGAGAAATGAGACCTCGCACGACTACTATTTATTTCCTCGTTCTCACAAGGTATCGTGCTATATGCTGACTCGCTTAGCAGGCAGTAATATCAATTACTTGAAAAAGCTTGCCAGTGTCGGATTTCTCCGACCTGGTGGCACGCCTCTAATATTGCTTTGTGGCAGAGATTTCCCACTCCGCCGAGAAGCCTTTCGCAGACTAACCACCAAGGTATCCGTGCCAAGGATGCCTGTCTCCTCCGCCAAGAGGGCTCTAGCCATTATATCCGCCTTTATATTCAGTCATATTGGTCCATCACAGAAAAAGCCCTTGAAATCCAGTACGGTTTGTGTCTCCAAGGTCCCCCTACCAAGACCTTGGCATGATCCGTCCCTTTGACGCCCACGATTTCTTGGCATCGTGGGTTCATGCTGTGATCGGACAACGACATACTGTATAACTATTAGTATAAGAGGTTTTAGTATACACGTGGGATGTTGCATATGTACCTGTCAGGAGATGTTTCACAGATACTTCTCACTACATCTTCCGAGTCTCTACCATCATGCGATGCCCAGATACCACTCCGGGCCATCATTCCACGAGCACAATACAAGGTCTCGAAGACCAGGAACGATGATTCCCAGCAATATCAACCTCAGCCACAAGGTACCTCTTGGCACAAGATATCGAAATGAGGATATGCCGCACGGTAGCTAGCAAATGCACAATACGAACCATCAAAGTACTTGGCAACCTCAAGAAACCCAATTTCAGCACGCAAAGATCACAATATAAAAGCTCATCCACAACCCCATGTATTGATAGGTAGCCACAAGAAGCCTTTTCAAGCATCCATTCAAGCCTCCGTAGCCAAGATGGTAGCCCTCATCCCCTTCCTCCTCCTTTCCACCGTATCGGCCATCCCGGCCCCCATACGACTCACCACCCGCTCCCAGGCAACCCCCCACACTCTATCCCCCTGGGATGCAGGCGCAACAGCCCAGTACCCCATCCACCAAAGCTGCAACGCAACCCAGCGCCACCAAATCGAAACCGGCCTCAATGAAACGATCGCCCTAGTGGAGCACGCAAAAGCCCACATCCTCCGCTGGGGCAATGAGAGCACCATATACCGCAAATACTTCGGCAACAGGCCCTCCTTCGAAGCGATCGGCGCTTACGACATCGTCAGCAACGGCGACAAAGGAAGTGTCCTCTTCCGCTGCGACAATCCCGACGGGAACTGTGCTAATGATGGTTTGTCTTTCCTCGCCAAATCAACCATGGCGCCAATATACTGTCTTCTTCATACTAACGCAGAAAATCAATAGGCTGGGCCGGCCACTGGCGCGGCGCAAACGCTACCAACGAAACCGTCATCTGCGATCTAAGCTACTCAGCTCGCCGCTCGCTGACCTCCATGTGTGCACTCGGATACACGGTTTCAGGGTCCAAGACAAATACGTTCTGGGCTTCGGATCTGCTGCACAGGCTGTTTCACATGCCGCCCATCGGGCAGAACTGGGTAGAGCATTTTGCTGATGGGTATGAGGAGGTTGTGGAGCTGGCTGCTGGGAATAAAAGTACCTCGACGAGGGATTCAAACACTCTACAGTATTTTGCGCTGGAGGCTTATGCGTTTGATGTTGCGGCGCCGGGAGTTGGGTGTGCTGGTGAGGTGGAGGTGAGTCATGAGGGTGCTGAGAGGGGTGATAGTCATACTGCAGATGATTTGCCTGCGGTGAGTTTTCTTCTTTCTGCATGCTAGTTGAGGTTTAACTGACTGTGATAGAATTGTCATACTCATGAAGGTGGGGAGGTGCATTGTACTTAGATATACGGTGTTGTTGGGTTGGTGTGAAGGCTCATATGATGTGAGGTCTTAGTGTGGTTTAATGAGGTTTAAGAGAAGGAATGTTAATTTCTGCTATGGGATATACTCACCCAGTCACTCTTTATGGATGCTACGATTTAGAGACAACAGCTTATGATTAAATATAAATAACGTGTGATGCACCGTGTGTATATATACACAAATATACCGACGTAGTACTCCACCTCTAATCTTATATTAATTCAGTATCCCGTCACAACATTCATGAACAGCTCTTCCAGTGTCGGTTCCGTCAACGTATAATCCTCGAAGATCTTTGCCTGTCCCCGATTCTCCGACGTACTCGTCGCTAGTCCAACATCCCCAGTACTTTCTGACCCTCCTGAGATATTACCAACCTTCATTTCTTCCATTGCATACAAAATCCGGCCCAGATACCGCCTATCGTACTTGATAAAGAACTGCACGATACCATTCATATCCGCATAGTTCATCGCATGCAGCCCCAATTGGGCAAAGACCTTCCTAACCTCTGCCCGGGCCGTATCACTACCCACGGTGGTACAGCGAGCACCTCTCAGTCGATATGCACCGCCATACGTTTCATTGAGGGATATCAAGGTCCCAGAAGCCAAGAGCTTCGTTCGCATTATTGCTACATTCGAAGCGAGAGCTTCCGCCTCCTCCATACTATGCGTGGTCAGCAAGATGGCCCTATTTGCACGGACTCGTTTCAATGCACGCCACAGGTTCCGCTTCGCGCCTGCGTCTTGGCTTGTCGAGGGTTCGTCCAGGAGTAGCAGCGGAGGGTTTCCTGGATATCATCAACTAAAGGTCTCCATATACAACAGGGATAAGGGCAACTTACCAAGCAACGCGATAGCCACAGTCAGCTTCCTTCTTGTTCCTCCGCTCAGTGCACGGGCCCGCACATCTCCGAATCGCAAAATATCAAGCGCAGTCATCACCTGGTCCACGTTTTCTCTTATCCTCTTCAATCCCTTCACAGCCGCGTAGAACTCGAGGGTTTGGCGCACAGTTAGATTATCTACCGCGTCGTCCTGCGGACATACCCCAATATGTAGCCTTGCGTTCCGGGTTTGTCGAAGGACAGAGATCCCATCTACATATATATCCCCAGCATCAGGCTTCATTTCGCCACGGATCATGTTGATAACCGTTGTCTTTCCGGCACCGTTCCCACCCAGCAGCGCCAGTGTCTCGTTGGCCGAGATAGACAGCGTAACATTCTGGGCAGCGTAAGACCGCCCAAATAGCTTGCTTACCCCATCCACCTGCAGGATCGGGGCAGAACCCTTGTTTGCTGGAGTGGCGGTCGCTGTAGCCGTCTTGGGGGGGACGAGCAAAATACTATCGCCCATATCGTAGGCTCCGGGGATATCGTCGCCATCGTTAGATGATGGGATACGCGCTCGTCGCCACCAGAAAAGCTGGCGGAACCATTCGGCACTACCATACTCGTAGGCCCCCAATGCGATTGCCAGGAAGATGATCTGGTATACGAAGTTTGCATACACTCCTCCATAGCGCACATATGCGTATGGATTCGAGGTATCCGCGTCACCGTATTTCCCGCAGAGGACGTCGAAAGTATTCATTCCTAGGAATAAAGCACGGGCTAGATTTGCAGCTGGGGCAATTAGGCCGAGGCTGTTGTGGATTTGGTTGTACGCTTTGTATATTGCTTTGGGTTAGCATCATCTTCTCTTTATATCAACCGACGTACACGAGGAATTGCGACATACCATCATGGCGGGAATCCGCGTCGGTGAAGAATTGGTTGAGTACGTATGCTATAAAATACAGAAATAGTAGCAGTGCATGTGCACCGAAGGCCAATGCGAATCCAGCCCGGCGAAATAGGCTCGACATGAGGTATGTGCCGAGATAGGATGCAATGCCGAACAAGATAACGGCACCGAATATGCAGTCTGGTCGATACCAGATACTGTTTACGGGGTTGACGAAGAGGGTTCCCCATACGATAAGGCCTGGTTGATTAGAGGATGCTGAGGGAACTGGGGCGGGATCGAGGTACCTTCCACGAAGATAAATTGTGTGTCAAAAAGCAAATATGCGACCCACAGGGCGAATGGCGACACGCCGTTGCTGTACTGCAATGCCCGGACGTTGGAGATGCGCTCGTACACTAGCATGATGTTAGTGAATCATAAACGGACCATATATGCTGCATGGTTCTGCTTACCTGGATAGATAGACGCTGTAGAGACAGCCCCTACTAAAGCAATAACTAACAGCATTGAGATCGGAAGGTTTCTCCAATCATGGTGGGACTCTACATGGCGCATCAGCCTCATCCTTGTCGATAGATGTCGTGCTTTCTGGGTAGCTGTTGAGTTGGCGATCCGATTCGTGAGTAAACTAAACGCTGAAAGACGAGAACCTATAATATTGTCCAATATCAGCCAAGTCACATATACTGTCTCTTGTTATTTGGGATACAGTGCCAACCTACCTGATAAATCAGGCGTCACATCGTGGAAGAAAATGGAGTTCTCGGGTGTGGGCGCGTAAAGGCCGAAGCCAGCAAGCCCCTGTGAGTTATTCATGGCATCCGCAAAGCTGTTCTGGGCCGGTACGAATTTTCTATTGCCCACAGCCAGGGCAGCCATTTCCACTGGATTCTGTGTATTTGACTCGTAAACCCAAGCTCTGCAAAATCAAACTGTCAGCTATCGTGGGCTTGAGCGATGAATTGAGAAATATGGTAACCTCACAGACTAGCAGCAAATAGCTCGTCCTGTACAGGTCCTTGGAACTCCTTGCCAGGTCCCAATATTGCGCCAGGGTGGCCCGAGAAGGGCGGTAGCCGTTGGTTTTCTATTGGAAGTATTTCAATGCCTTTGGGGTTCATAAAACGCTGAAAGTTTCCTTCACACGTTGGAAGAGGCTTCCAAGAGTAGAGAAACTTGCTCAGGGCAGCAGCCACAACAATCGGAGTAAGAAGGTTGATCCCGTAAACGAACCAACCAGATCTCTGACGGAGAAGCAGGTAGCGCTTCCTGAACAAGACAACTATTTGTCTTAGAACGCCGATCGACCTTCCAACATCGAGGTCCAGGCCACCCTGGTGTTCAGCTTCGACAGCCTCATCCTTTTCGATAACAGTGGGTGGATCGGTTGCACCGGTGTTTCCTTCACCGACAATACCATCTCCGCCATTTTCTTGGACGGTTGTGTTGAATTGGGATGTGGTTCTCAAAAAGACTTGCTCCAGAGTGGGGAATGTGATATTACAAGCACTGTCGGTGCCTTGCTGTTCCAGCTCAATCACCTTTTTTGTTGCCTCGGTCGAGGTAGCAGCTTTCCATGTTATTCCTCTATCGTCCTGTGCTCCAGCATTGACGCTAATACGATAGCTATCCCCATACTGCGTCTTAAGGGCTATACTAGTACCTTGACAGACGAGCCGCCCCTGGCACATAATCACGATGTGGTCTGCAAGTACATCTGCCTGTAATATTGTCAAGAAAGGGGTCACAATGTATGCAAAGAAAAACTGACCTCATCTAAGAAGTGAGTGGTCAAGATAGCCGTTCGGTGCTGACGCCCTTGTTGAATGATGTTCCATATATTACGGCGTGATAATGGGTCCTTTTCAAATCAGTTCAGAGGTGCTCAGGGAGGCCAAGTATGCATGAAGGATAGCGTACCAACCCACTAGAAGCTTCATCAATGCAGCAGACTTTTGAACCTCCACAGAAGCCAATTGCAAGCTGTAGCCTTCGCTTCTGGCCTCCACTCAATGTGCCTGCCGCTGAGTGAGCTTTGCCGGCTAAATCACATTCCGCAATCACATCCTCTTCTTTCACGACAGACACGGGATTGCCAGCAGTTTTCAACCGTTTCCAGATACTTATATGCTCATTGACAGTGAGTGCATCCCAAAGTACCTATAACAGGGGGTTAGTCTAACCGTCTAGTAGAGCAGTGAGACACGCACATTGTTCTGCGGACACAATCCAAACGAATAGCCGTCCTGGCTAAACTGGATGCTTGACCCTGAGTCCACCTTCGTCATGCCAGAGATGCACTTCAACGCAGTCGTTTTTCCGCTTCCATTTGGACCAAGCAGAAAGGTAACGGAACCCTTCCGCACCTCAAAGTCTAGGCTTTTCACAGCCTTCTTATCCCCTTTGTATGTTTTGGAGAGACTTCCCACTCGGAGGGCAACCTCGTCTGAGTTTGCAATCCACTCCCGTTCATTCGGGATTCTCCACAGAAAATACTCGACCGCAAAAGTGCCAGCGATATAGAAAAATATATGAAAGATAAAGAAAACAAAAAAAAGATTCCCCTGTACCCCCTGTTGTGACTCTCTGACTCGCTCATCTGGAAAGCTTTGCTTCATAGACTCTGCAGCAGCAACGTCCCTGATAAGCGTGGCCCAAGCATAGGGAGGAAAGATCAGAGATAAAGCTGTCATGAGGCCCGGGCTTCGAGTCTCTCTCATTGTTTGCTCAATGGTTACTATACCCACCGAAAATGCAAGTACCGAGGTGCAGAGTCCAGCTAGGTGCGCTTTGGTGAACATTAGGCCGATGAAATTCGAGAAGGTAACGAACGAGATGGTTGCAAAGAGCGTGAGGATGAATATCAAACCGGTGGGCGTCACAGGGAAAAGAATTTCTCCTAGCAGTATTGAGCTAACTATCATTCCAGGGCAATAAAGGATACAAAATGAGATAAGATATGATAGAATGCGCGGAGTCAAGCTGACTCCCTGAGCTGTCATCAACTCTGTCACGGCGCTCTGCTTCTCCCCGGCCACAAAGGTGCTCACATGGTGTGTGAGGCACAGAAGTATGAAAGTGAAAAGAGGAGCGACGAAGATGGAGACGAGTGACAACCAGTAGTTTTGTTCTCGAGGAGCCATTGCTATATCTGGAATGGAAAAGTATCCGCCCCACGTCTTCACTATGGGCTTCTGCTGGGAGGCAAAATTGCCGATATGAGAATCGATTGCCCACTGGAGTGGGAGCAGGCGCTCTGTGAAAATGGATTGCTGGGTTCGGTAGTTGAAAGGAGTATTTCGCACTGCATCGTCGTCCATCGCAATTATGTATTCTGCCCGGGCTTCATCGAACGCGGTGAATATAACAGATGCGAAACAGTCACTTGAGCCGTAAATAGACTGTTTGCAGACATCGAACAACATCTCTGGGTCATCGACTAATTGTGTGTCAAACCCCTTCATTTTGGGATCCGCCATAATCGACTTGACTGAATCATTCAATTCATTGTTCCTAATACCGTTCAAAGCGAAAACCAGTCGCTGGGAAGGGGCATTTGAGATGGCCACAGGAAGGTCCATAACCAATGCTCCATCTTGGGAAATGCCATAGTGGTCGTCGTCGTTGGGATTCTTGATGTTCTTCAGAAGGCAGAAAATGAGCGTGAGAGCGACCGGCAGTATCAAGGCCCTAAGGAGGGTAACAATAGGTGACTTGTAGAAAACCAGGAGGTTCTTATAAGTGAGAGTCAAAGTTTGGTGGTAGATTCTCCGCCATTGTGGTGGATGGACCATGACTAAAAGCAACGATGAAGGTTGGGATGGATGCAAAGAACGTGCCAGACTGACTAGATTGAAAAACAAAAGTGTCCAAATATCCCGTCAAGTCTACAGGACGGCATTGAAGCGGGTGTAGCGTTGGGAAGATTATTAGGGCTTCACACCCATCCCTAACTCTCTCCATGCAAAGGTACACCAACAAATGCACGGCCCATTATTAGTCGATGGTTGGCTCTCCAGAACGGGTGCCAAGTCTTAGTAGACTGGGACCTCGGATGAACCTCTGGAGATACCAGGCCCACCTATGTAACCCTTTCTTAAACTTGACAAATCCAAGCGCATAAAACCGTTGGTTACCCCTTCCCGTCCTTCTCTGAAACCACGCTAACTATCCACAGGGCTGTGCAAACAATGACAGATACGACCCTCTCATCGCGTCACAAGAGATAGGTAGGATGTGAAGCTCACTACATTGACTGTGGCGACGAATCACGCGATACAACGCTGTATGGCTTGGTCCGCTGTTGCCTACCCTTAAATCTCTAACGCCAGTCCTATTAAATGTGCTTTGAACACCCTTTGTTTTTTTTCATAGGGCTTAAGGAAGGGGAGGGGGGTTCCTTTGAAGAAAAGGCCCTCATAACCCGCTCACTACACTACAAGGATATCTGTTATGCAGACACATCACGACTGTCTTATAACCCAGTTGAACAGCTAATGCTAACATTCAGAAGATGAGTAGAATGGCAGGAGAGGAGACCTATGACTGTGGAGAACGTGTCTTTGTACACGGCATCCTGGGTTGTGGCAGTGCCGATTCCCTCTAGATTTGCACACTTTCCTTTACTTTGTCATTTTGGGGAGCCAAAGTGCTTACTTGCTTCGAAATTTAAAAGCTACAGACCAGAACATAGACAACACTAAGCTTTTCTAAAAATTGACAGCTTCGCAGCCATATTGACGCCACTCCGGGGGGGCAGACCGGATCAGTGGTCTTGATTCATGCCGGTCCTGCAATGGAGGACGCTTGCAGCGCCAGCCTGGACCTGGCATTGACAGCTGCTAGACTGATTAAATTAAAGGGAGCATAGCGGGCCAGTCGTGTCGTTGACCACCGTTGTGCCAACCAACCAATCATGCAACAAGATTCTATTAACCCGGTAAAGCGTAATTGCTGAAGTTTCTTAGCTATACAGGCAATCCGCCGGTGAAGCCGATCCTAAAGCTGTACGCCATAAGACCCTTATGTGTCCCTGATTCGTCTAGTTCTAGGTCCACCACGAGCTCCGCCTCACGGAACTATTTACCACTCCGAGATGCAGGGAAAGGAGAGTTTGAGCACACTTCATGTCAATAGCCCGCTAGGTTACTCGCTCCTAGCTACTACGAATTTAATCAAATGCACAAAAACCCCCGGCGCTTCACTTTGGCTTTTGGGAAACTGTAGCATCGAATCAAGGTTTGCCAGGAAAGACCGCCTATACAACTCAAGTAAACAACAAGGCCACCGTGAAATAGAAGAACCCCTAGAGCTCCGACTCTTCGATAATCAAACACATGTACCAATCAGACACAACCCTAGTTAGACGCCCTTCCCCATAACGCACCCGGAGTCACCCCAAGAATCCCCGCCCGACACATTCCTTCAACCCAGAATCTCAAAGTACCGGAGCCTACACCCATCCAAACACCCCCATCACACCCACCAAAATAGCCCACCTGCCCACTAAACTCCAAATAATCATAGAAGGCCTAACCATCCACACCATCTTCTCCTTCCACCAAACTCTCAACCTTGTCTCCTCCCCATTCCCAACACCCTCAACCCGAAACGGCTCATGCTCTCTCAATTCCCACGAACTAGCTCCCACATACCCGGCCTAATTTACGCTTAAAAGTTCCCCAGTCGACATGTTCCGGAACCCGTAGTAGTCGTCCGAGGCGGACTCGATCAGCCAGCGCTGGCAGTTGGCGTTTGCCCAGGGGCGGGTTTTGACGTCGTTTCCCAATGCCATTATCACGCCTCCGCCGATGCGGTGAGGGGTGGGATGGGGGATTCCGAATCCAATGTGGCCGTCGTTGTGGGCGTTAGGGGTCGTGGCGTGGGGGGAGGTCGTGGAGAGTGAGTTTGTTCATTATTGTGCAGTTTTGGCGGGTGCTTTGGGTACTAAGGGGGGTTGTTGAAGTTATTGAGAGGTTGGGGATGGTTGAGGTTGAGGTGCCTGATATTACTCCGTAGGTGTACAGAGGTTGATGGAGGGAGGGTGGTGAAGGTAAATAGTTGAATCGGCGAGGCTGACGATCCCAGCGCTTAGAACTTGGTATGATGGAGGGGCCGAAGATGCTAGTTCATTTACTATGATTATACGGAGTAGCTCTTGGGTTTATGTTGTTGCTATGAATATGCAAGCCATTTTCATTATAGCGGGTTATGTCTGCCCTGGAGTTGTTTCAGAATATATCAATGTCTATACCCGTTGCGTCATCTACTTCGTTAGATATGCAACAGTTACAGCCCTATTGGCTTCGGATGCCCCGTGGTGTTTGTAGTCTTGCGTCGCCTTCTATCTCCACTCTCATATTCTCCATTTCCTCCATTTCGTCATCTTCGCCCCAAAAGTCCTTCAGATCTTCTACTCTCCACATTGTCGCCCATCCGGTCTCTCGCTCGATGCGAGTCAGCGTTTCGATGATAGCCGTATGTTCGGAGTGGTGAGACATGGCTTTCCCGGCGAGCCAAAGTGGCTGGAGGGCGTTTGTCCAGCAGCCGCTGATCATTACATTAGTATTGTCCAATCAATAGAGGAATATAAACTCACTGATGGGTATTCGAGGCCGAGATAGCACAAATCTGCCTCGCATGCCAGAGGACAGATTTCTAGACCGGTTAGTATCCGACATAATCTTGCGAGAAACAAAAAAAAAAAAAAAACATACCGGCCGTCCAGAAAGAGAAAGCGTCTTCGGCTTCCGCTGAAGTAAAAGCAATGCGCAAGTATGATACAACTGGTTCCCAGAGACTGGACACATTAGCACCTCTCCGAGATGGAGATGATCAAGAACATACTAGCAGCTCCATTCCCGTACAAAACCGTCGGAAACGGTCTCTCTTGCCCAGTTCCTGCTGTGGCCGGTATCGTGAAGATGGACTTCATCTGGTTCGGTCGGTTATCGTACCACTCTTCCACGCTATCAAAAAGTCGCTTCCACCGGTGCACGTAGGTGTCTCGGTCATCTGGGCTTCCAAGATATCGACACGATACACATGATGGAGGTAGCTGGGAATTGGGATGAAAGAGAACGCCCAGTGTCTGTGCGCATAGGTACACAGTGTAGTTTGCGTACGTGTCGAAGGCGGATAAGTTGGAGGCTAGAAAGAGCTGGGAAACCTCCGCTGGACTCATGTCCTTGGGGATCCAATGGTGGATGGGGATGATGGTTTCTTCTTCAGAGATGAGACCACCGCAGACATCTGATACATTAGACCAATGCTGTGTGCATGAGAGGGTGGTGTACTTACCCATTCTTGCAAAGCACCAGAATAGGGCCTGTTCCTCTTTTCCCGAGAATCCGTGGATCTCGGCTGCCTGGATGAGGAATGCGCATCCGTCCAGATGTCGACGCCATTCTTTGGGGTTGCCTGTGGCACGTTAGCTTTGTTTGACTAGGGAAGGTGGGAGGTATACAGCTGAGCATTTCCAAAACGCATAAAATCACGCAGGATGCTATGACTGGTGTTGTTTTGCTCTCTAGTTCGGGGAGGAGGAGGTGAATTGCTTCCTGGTACAGGGAAAGACTCTCTGATTGGGACTCCTTATTCTGCTTCCGCTCTATCTGGCGTGCCGATAAGGCTAGGATAGAATAGCGCAGATGGGGGCAGGTTTTAGCCATCTGGGGGAATGTTGAAGCAAAGTGACGGTGGTTATCGAACATGTCGAGCTGATCGGTCAGTAAAGATTTCGAAGGCAACCATGGGCAGCAAGACAGCTACATACCCATAGACAAATTTCGTTGAGATAGTTCTGCCACAGCACATTTTCTCGAGCCGGCGAGAGCTCAAAGTATCGCCTCAATCTTGAGTAGTTATCTCCCTGATTCATCTGCAACTCATGGGGGGACACTGCACCAAATTCTCTAACCGATGCTGGCGAACTACACCGACTAGGAATGTCTGGCCGGGCCGTCCAGAGCTGTCGGTTCCGCAGCGCGGTATGAAGCGCCTCGTAGGCAGACCCGGGAAGAAACACATCGTTAGCAAAGTTAACTGGGTCGGAGAAGACGCTGTGGTCAAAGAGAGGCGAGGCGATTCCCTGGTAAGGCTCGGGGGCCGTTGCCGGGAAGGATGTCGCACTGCCGGAGAAGTTTCGCGGCGCGGTAAGCTCAGCAACAAACTCTGGGCTGGAGTGCATATACGGATGGTGAGACGAAGCTTCCTGGGGGTAGTGATGTGGAGCTTCGTTGGCAGTGTCATCGTTGCGGCCTCTCTCGCCCTCGTGGCCGCGAATCTCCCTAGACGGATAGAAGGAGGCATTGCTAGATATAGAAGGGGACAAACCCTGATTGTCACACGGATTATAGTCGGGCTGGGGTAGTTGGGCCTGACTATGATCCGGATAACTAACAGGTAGCGGCGAAGGTGCTGAACCCTCCTGTTCTGTCCCCCGCTGGAGCTGTGCCGATGGCGCTCTTTCAGACTCCTTACGAGCACGCTCCTTTCGGGTCGATGGAGGATCAACGTTTAATATCTACCCGATTAGCTAATTAAGGCTGGTATCATGATTTGTACCGACCTTGAATTTACTTTGCCGATTAATCCGGCCAACCGGCTGGTTCATAGACGGATGCCCTGGCTCTAGAACCTTGATATTGGCCTCTCGAAACGAGCCTAGTACGCGCCATTGGCACTTTTCGCCCCGTCGTCTGCATCCCGTGCATGTCGGCTTTGACTCATCGCCTGGGGATTGTGAGCTCTTGCACCTGCGTAAGTAGTAATGACTAGATTATACGCACATTTCCGTCTACGTCTACTGCAGTTAATGCAACCTGTTCGAGTACGTTTCCGTGGAGCATGGCGCAAAAATTCTGTGCCCTGGTGAATCGTAGTCATTATGATTGAGGTGATAAGACCATCATACGATGAAAGGGATAGACAGACTATATTTACTCGAACAAGTAAATTGGGGCCGGATGACCCATCGCGTAGATTCCCCAAAAAGGAACTGATAACCGCAGCTAGTGTTTATCACATTCCATTAATGTGGGGGGAATTTGCGGGGGTTAAATTAGTTCAAGAAATATCTGCTGTGGCGAATTTTCTTCAATGACAAGTACATTTACCCGGTCCTCTTGACCATACGTCTCATATATAAAACTCCAAACCTAGGAAAAAGAAACCAATTTCTCTACATGTTGTGCGCCGGCACTCTCTAGATCCTTCTCTCCCACGCGACGAACGGGGTCGCCTGCTATTCCCATCGATGGGTGCCAGTGGAGCTTCACCTTCTCGCCGGTAAATAAGCAATCGATTTGCTCCAGCGTGAGATTGCGCGTCTCGGGATAGAAAAGGTAAATGATAGGGATGAAACAGAAGTTGAATACTGTTTACATTAGTCACTGAGAACCTGGGTAGTACTGGAAAATGTAGAACATACCTGCGAAGTAGACATAGGTGCGATATCCAATGTTCGAAATGCTCACCGGAGTGATTTCCACCACCAAAAAAGTGAAAATCCCTAGATTAATTAGCGTAATACCTCCCGAAAACGGCTCGAAGGGACATACAGTTGGTTGCCGTAGCCAATGCTGCCGATCTGGTACGAATGGCCAACGGGGAGTATTCTGCGGGCACTGCCGAGAGTTAGTATATAAATCCGATCTATATAACAAATGGCGAACATACAAAGCCATGGGATGGCGAGTAAACCAACTGCGAAGAAGAAGTTGAAGAGAAATAGCATCACAGTGGCCACCAGTCCCGCCGCGTGGCCGCCATCATACACTGTACCGGCGAGTATAGCCATGCAGGCGCACTGCCCGATAACAGCGAAAAGCATCAGCTTCCGCCGACCGAGTCTGTAAGGGTTAGCATGAATAGCATTTATGAAGGTGATACCGAGCATACCGATCAATGGTCCATATGGGGATAAAGGTCGACAAAAAGTAAGCCACGCCGTTGAAGCCTGCCAGCAACAATGCCAAATTGTGACTCATTCCAACAGACTTTTCAAATATAACGGTATTATACTACTCAAATCAGATTCAGATTCTCCCATAATTGAAAAGGGACTCACATATGTGATCAGATTCACGCCAGACAGTTGTTGCATCATCTGCCCACCCATGCCCAGAAGTGTCCGATGCAGAAACTTCTGGGGACCGTTCTTGAAAATCAGCCGGAAAGATCCCTCCTCAGAAGCAGACTGTTCCTCCATAATGGCTTGTGTAATTTCTGTAATATCCTGGGTAACCACCGGGTCATCCTCGGTCATGCTGCGGGCGTTGGGCTGAATCGCCCATAGAATACGGCGAGCTTCGCTATGGCGGCCATGTCCAATAAGCTGGTTTTTGTTAGTTAGATAGTGAAATACTAGAGGAGACCTACCCATCGAGGCGATTCGGGCAGGGAAATGCAGCCGATGAATGTGACAATAGCAAAGAGGATCTGGAGAGCTATGGGAAAACGGAATTGCGCCTCGTTGGCAACGTAGCTCATGCCATAGTCTATGCTGTCAGAGCTCGTTTGGGAAGTAAAATAGAGGCAATGCCGAACTTACCGACCCAGTACGCAGTCATAACCCCGAAGATATTGATACACAATTCGATGGCAAGCTAACAAGTCAGCCCAAGCCAGAATACATGCTGTAAGTGGAGACCTACTCCTTTTCCCCGACTTTCAGCCTTACTCAGCTCGGAATGCCAAACCGCTGTGCAACGTTAGCTAGTCCACCAGAGTCAAAGGCAGCCACCCAGGGAAGACACGTACGAATAGTACTAGTGTTGAGACCGTTCCCAATGCCTGCCACGATTCTGCCCACTATCATATGGGGGATACTGTAGGCACTGGCTTGGAGAGCAGCGCCTATTGAGAGGATCACACAGCCCGCCATAATACACATTCGACGTCCCACTTTCTCACCCCAAATTAACGCCGTGATGGCACCCAAAAAGCAACCCTGCGACAGTCAGTCATCGTTTGCCCGAGGAAGATGTCGACCCACAATCTCATAGATGGCGACCCTGGTACGTTGTTAGTCTCAGCCGAAGGATGATGCTAGGTAAACTTACACAGTTCCTTGCAAAGATGAACTACCATGGCCATTAGCAGTGGTGTCAATTTCAGGGAATGTCCGAACAAAGGCATCCCCCGACAGGAGACCTGACATGACGCCTTGGTCATAACCGAAACTGTTCAGTCAGTATACAGTATTGGAGCCCGATAGTACAAACATAAACTCACAGAAGGAAGCCACTGCCTGCAGTAGCCGTAATGGCCAGATTCAGCGGCCGTCCCACAAGGAATGTCATGATTGCTGCTACTAGTATTTCACTCCGGGCGTAATGCGTGTGAGTTTACCATAGAGAGCTACGCAAGTCTCATGGGACAGCATCTACTTTTATATTTACGACTACGACTGTACCCCGAAAAAAAAGCCGGACGTCATAGTCTAAACCATCCCGTGTATTTTCGTTTGGCAACAGCTCGCGAATTGCGGGGGCCCCGGGGCTAAAGGATCTCGGGGACGCAACATGGAAAATAACACATCAGAAGGTTAAACCCTCGTGGTGTTTTCTTCTAGACCTTCAGCTTTATCCTTTATCACTCATGCATTCTACGGTCCTAACTCATGGCCCTACTTCGAGATCACTTAGTAAATTATGCCCCCCCCCCTCCCTTCTGCATATATCAGAAGAGCTAAGATCACTGGATAGTACATGGGGGCGAGATACCGGGGACAGGCGTACCTGGTGCCGTCGCCGGTCAACTTCCGGGGCATCGGCAGAAGTCTGGGATCGGTACCGAGCCCTGGTTTCCTATTCGGGAAGTCTTTAGCGCCTACAGAGAAGACCCACTCCTCCATCCCCAGACTTTGCCCCCATATTACCCGTTCTGGTCTGCATATCCGCCTGCTGTTGAGATACCTCCATGGGTAAACACACGCATCGACGCGGTAGCACAGTTCCCACACCTAACAGTGTACCTGATCATCGGTTGGTGGAGGAAGGGTTTTATGTGGACTTATGTTGACAGAGACTGCTCGAGGAAGACATTGAAACATGTACCCATCCATGTTGGGGTCGAATGTCCTACTGGTTTGGTTGTAGATAAGCGCCGCATAGCAATGCTGATCAAACATATATATGATGACCTGTTTTTACCAGTCGGTCGCTGTTCCAGACACTGCAATCTCTTAACATAAACCCCAACCCAAAATGGCCCCCTCCGCAGTCGCCCCCGAAAACTCGACCTCCGACGTCCCAGAATCCATCCAGAATCCCGCCGTGGCTCGGACCGGAGACCTTTTTTCACTCGGCAACCGCACAGTTGTGATCACCGGAGGCGGTCGCGGACTCGGAGTTGTCCTTGCGGCGGCCGTGCTCGAAGCCGGCGGAGATGTAGCGTGTCTAGATCTCCTGCCCGCTCCAAGCGCAGAGGAATGGGCTACCGTGCAGAAGCTAGCTTCTGCCCGGGGTCTCCAAGCTACATATACACAGTGCGACATCACAAACGAGGAAACTACACAGCAGACCCTCGAACAGATTGCCGCCGAGGGGCTGAGACGGAATATGCCTCTGCGTGGAGCGATCACCTGTGCCGGTATTCAACAGATGGTTCCTGCGCTGGATTACCCGATCGACGGATGGCGGAAGATGCTGGATGTTAAGTACGTTTGGTTGAGACAACAGAGGAATGGATGCTAATTGCGACAGCGTGATTGGAACTTTCATCCCGGCCAAGCACTGCGCACGCATCTTCAAGGAGCAGAAAACGCCTGGAAGCATGGTCATGATCGCTTCTATGTCTGGTCAAATCGCGAACCGCGTATGTCATTCCAACGGTCGGATGTTTAGACTTTGCTAATAGGAGATGCGTAGGGCCTCACATGTACTGCCTACAACTCTTCCAAGGCAGCCGTTCACCAGATGTGTCGCTCTGTTGCGCAGGAATGGGGCCAGTATGGTATTCGTGTCAACACTTTGTCGGCTGGTGTACGTTTTGAGTCTTTGCATCCCTCAGTTACTCATGCTAACACGGCACCAGTACATCCGCACAGCTATGACTGATGCTCTTCTGCAGGAAAAGCCGGAGGTCGAGGAGACCTGGATGCGTGGTGCGCTACTAGGCCGCTTAGGTGTCCCTGAAGACTTCAAGGCGCCGACAGTATACATGCTGGCCGACGGCAGTGGATTCATGACTGGAACTGACTTGAGGGTTGACGGTGGACACTGCGCTTCTGCTTAATAATTGAACGAGGCCGCCTCAGAATGGCATACTTTGGCGTTTTATTAGATGGGTAATGAACACTAGATAGAAGTTGTTTGATAGAAAGGCAGACATGAGACTAGTTCATATATCTTCTTCACTTTACCTGAAACACATTGACAATCTTAGTCCATATAGTTATAGTCATCCATCAGTGGGCTGCCTTTTTCACCTTTGATCCAATGAGTATCGTTTGTGGCCATTGTCTCTCGGCGATTTCGTCGAAGGACGGTAAACTACGAATCTATAGATATAATTTAGTACGAGAGAAGATCGGGGGAATTTTGTTGCCTCAGCGCCGTGCGGCCAGGGCAAGTGAAGATTTGTTGAGGTTGTCTATGTTGGTATAGATATGGCTTTTTTTTTTTTTGAGTTCATTGAATATGCTCCTCTACGCTATTTTTCACTGTTACTTAGTGAACGGGGGCCTGTAGAGCCTTAAGAACCTTTGTATGGGCTTTTGTTTCCTCAGACCTTTCTAATTTAGACCTAAGGCAGTTGAATCTACGGTTTTCCTCTTACCGAGATATTTCTACAGAATTCATATGCAACAATGATATATATATATATATATATATCTGGACTACTCTGCATAGGTCACTTGACTACATACTCCGTAGTCTTCGGTGACGGCGAATTACTAGAAGCGGTATAGCGTGCCTAGTTGGGGAAAGCGCGTTATTGAGGCTTGGCATCATGGAGCGCGGTCTATATAGATGGCGTCCTCGCCCACCCACCTCCCCTCGTTGCTTTCCCATCCTTTGACGCCGTGTCGACTCTGTCCAAGTCGAGCCATTTTTGCCATTGGGCCGGTCTCTCCGTGCTCTGCACTTCGCCACCCCCTTTTACTGCAGTGAGTCAGGAACATTTCGCATCGGGTGCCGGCTACAGATAGGGGGACTATCGGTCACATGACAAAAGAGGGCAACCTTTAGCAAAATTAGGTGTTGCAAATGCAATCGAGAGGGTCGGTAAAATCGAGAGGGGCGATCGAGAGAGTCGATTTCTTGGGTGAAGGGCCGCGGACAATGGCTTCAATTTATATGCCTAAATTACTCACCGTCGTTCCTTGAGCCGTCTTCTAACTTAATCGATCTTTTCTCCTTTTAGCTAAACAGGAAAATGCAACAGAGCTCGACGCGTAGAAATTAAGTTATAGCTTACAAACTAGCAAATATTTAACTATGAAGTAGCTTTATATTAGCATCCTTCTCTCCTCTCTTTTTCCCGGATTGTATAACGCCGCTAAGTACAACAATATTGCCCGAGCTCTTTCCATTGTCTTTATATTTTTCGCTATATTCTTAGCCGTATAGAGATGGTATATGTACAAGAAGCAGTTTTGGCTTATCAGATAATGTAGCAGCCAAGTCTTAGACTATATATTCGGGCCGATCGTCGTTTGTATCGGATTGGCAGTTGCTTTAGTATTAAACTGTACCTTTTAAGGTAAGTTGATTGAGTTTGGTCTATCTCAAGCGGCTACTAACTCTTATAACACAGTACTACTCGACGCTTAAAAAGGCTGCGTGGGCAGAACCCTCTGTCCTCATCTGCATGGAACACCTCTGGGGTTGAGGAGACATTGCTCGTCAACTAGGGTGGTCAGACATTATAAAATGATGTATATGCTTTATTCCGGTACTATAACTATCTTATAATAGCTTTAGCAGCGAGTATGTGGAAGAAGTTCGACGTTGATTCATGATTGTTGCTGATAAATATTAGGAAGGAAAAGTGTCCTGCGTAATGCTCAGTAGGATCAAATGTGATTTTCGGTGTACTAGGAAGCGCTTCATTCCATGCTGCTGGTAGCCCGGATGGGTATTGGTCATTCTATCGTGTAGGAACTTGTAAGACTCGATGAGACCACCTCCAGGGGCATCTATCTCATGCTCTCTCTGCTTCGCTTAGCCGAGATCACATACTGTATACTCCAGACTTCTGTTACTCTTATTCGGCGTACAAATAATTGGTCTATATCCACCGATAGAAGACCTTAACATCACAACGTACCTATCACTAGCTGCGTTGGCAATATTTGGTAGCGTACTGGTCATATTTGTCCACACCATACGACTCCCCATAAGTGGAGGAGAATTGCAATGACTGCTCCAGAAAACTCTTCCATCTCTATCCGACCCCGGAGCCTTCATGGTCCAAATTGTAGTGGCATCAGCTTCCGCTGTTCGCCCAGTAGGTGGGGAGCAATAAGGAGACGTCTGGGTCATACTGTGAGCTACCGCCTGGTTACCTATAGATACCTTTTGCAAGACATACCTTTCGACGAAAGTCATAACAGCCTCTGCTGTTTACCAATAAGGGCTTAAATAAGAACCCCGCCAGCCGTACTGTAATGGCACCAGCTACTGCTGTTTGCCCACTATGAAGGGGGATGGGGGAGTTTTCTGGATGGGGAGTTTTCTGGATTGGATGTCGAGCATCCAGGCTGGTTGACAGTGTCTCTTTGAGCGCTTATCAGACGATGCTTCCTGTTACCTAAAGCGAACCCATGTTCTCAGCGATGAACAAGCCTAGTAGCGTCAAAGACCTTGGAAAGATAATGGACAGACTTGATTGAAGTTGAGGATTGGCATGAGGTTGCATGACTGAAGTACAATGTAAATCTATGGGCGGAGTATATATAGACGATCTCACGGACTAATTCACTGCAAGAATAGACCGAGTACAGGAGAATCCCGATGCCTATCCTGGAACCCTAGTGGATGTGTGATCATTAGTTAATAACCCTGTAGAGTATTAACCTAGGTTCTCCTTTCTAGATATGCATGTTAACCAGCTCCAGGCTTATGGCAAGTTACTAAAGAGTTAAATTTTAGTGAATGACTACTAACCATCACTTCACGGGAATTGAGGATTCAATCATTGTATTAAATTATTTTATCAAATTCATTGTAGTTACAACGTAGTAAGTATGCTATGGCAAGCTTACCGATATGATGTCAGTATGGGCTTGGTCATACGGGAGTACGGTAACTGCTAGGTACCTACGTAGGTAAAGTGCCTTCGTTACCTACGTACCTAGGTCTACCTCCTACCAGGTACTTGCCTAACAGGTAGTATCATGTCACTTTCCCATCATCCTCCATGTCTGCCTAAGTGGGATTGTGCCCTAAAAGCTTTGCGTAGCCGCCTGCCCCCCGTTAGCGTCGACGTCTACCACTTTTATCTCGTTGAAGCTACACAAGTTTCGCCCTTTTGCTTAAGCTTCCTCGCGGTATCCAGCAAAAGCTGGTGCGGGTTTTGTTGTGATGTCGACACTTAGGTCCACCACCAATAAGCGCACCACTCGTGCCTCCACTAAAGACAGATCGGCCTCCACAGGGCCTGCGGACGAGCTCCTCGACTCGGAGCGGCACAAAATAATTGCCCAGCTGTCAGACTATATCGGAGATCGGAAACTTGCTTCGACGGGATGGGCCCTCCTTTGGTTTACGGATCTCGCGATCCTGAGGAAATATCTCAAATCGTGTGAAGATAAGCCAGGGCCAGCTATTGTGGCTGGCATCTTTGGTCGGAGTGAGACGATTAAGGATATAATCATGTCCTGTAAGCGATTTAATCGGTCATACAAGTAGGTACGAGCTAATGCAACACCAGGGAAGTGTCGGCCTAGAGCCTCATGGTCTTCTGAAGAGGGCCCAGAAGAACCGGGTGTCGAAGAAACCCCAAAGAAGCGCCAGCGTACTTCGAAAACCACGTCGAAAATTCCCACACCCGCTGGCAAAACTCCTGCGGCGGCAGTAGGTTCTCGAGTAGAAACGAAGCAGCCGACTGGCCGTAGCGAAGCAGCCAAGACACTGGTGAGTTCAATTTACATGCCTAATGATATAACCGTGTCAGTTTCTCACCTACCTATCAAAGTGCAAGGAACGAGATCATCACGCTTGTATTCTCACCGGGTACCGTGAACCGCTAGAAGTAGCGCATATCTTCCCCTACAGCCTCAGCCAGAGGGAAAAAGCAGAACTCGATATTTTCTGGGAAAATTTGGGAATGTACTGGAGTACGGAAAAGATCAACAAGTGGAAGGAACAGGTCTTAGGCTCAGGTGGAACTGAGATCTGTCCAAACTTGATGTGCATGTCCAACCTCGCCCATAAACTCTGGGAAACAGCGCGATTTGCCCTAAAACCCTTGTCTATAAGCGAGGATCAGAGGGTTCTTAAGGTAAAGTTCTACTGGATGTCGATAAACAAGTTCTCGGACAATATGTCGTCAAAAAAAGCCCCGAGTCCTTTCCCTGATGGCCGCCTGTCCTCCATTAAGGTGGAAGGCAAACACAATGCGAAGCTTTTCAATATTAACACAGAGAAAGCACTGCGCTCCGGAGACGTTCTTACTTTTAAGACCGATGACCCAGTCGGTCATCCCCTCCCATCGATGGAGCTACTAAATATGCAATGGGCTCTCCATCGAGTTCTTGCTCTTAGTGGTGCCGCCGATGCAACCGTTGAAGATCTTGATCCCGACCCAGATAAGCTGCTCTGGGGGCGGGACCCGTGGGAGATGAATCTAGAGGCAACCGACGAGGACGTCGAGGAAGAAATGGTGGACGAAACGGAGAAAGAAGAGGAACTACCGAGTGTCCCTGATGAAGAATCTTGGGACGAAGTGGTCGTGGAGGCCCCCAGATTTAGGGGTCGGACAAATCCTTCTACCGACGAGAACTCCCCAAGCCGCGAAAATCGTCTGGGGTCCAGTCTGCCCAGATCCACATATGTTCACCATATGGATGAAGGGGAGAAGTTGAGGCAGGGGGAGCAGGCGGAGCAAGAGGAGCAAGAAAGCTCACTTGTTTTCAGATTCCGGGGTACCAATATTCATTAGACGGGTGTCTCTTCAGATGTGTAGCTACAACAATTTCACCAATACAGTTAGGCTTCTTTAAGCGGTATACAACATAATTCAAAACCACCAAAGAGGTAGGTGTAAGTACCCTAGTAGGGACTCTGGCATGTTAGGCAGCTCGCTGCGGAGTACCACCTTGCAAGCGCCTCTCCTCCGTAAACTTTCTCATCCACCCTTAATATCTTAATGTATTAAGTTCAATATACTCAATATACCGATCATTAGACTCCGCCAATTCATCGAGTTCGATCTCAAAAATACAGGGCCTAGGTAGGTACACCCATGAATTCGGCGATGATGATGATAGCATGGCAGACGCGGTACTAATTTGAACCTATGGCATTTTAATATAAAGTGGTGCACATGAGTTATCTATTTCCTATTGCAAAGCCTGTCTATTGATCCATCAATGTGGATAGCAATCACCACATGCAGGCTTAATGAACAGACCCTACTCCGTCGCGATTCAATATTTAACAGATCCCTGTAGGACACACCCACAACTGAATGCCTGAATATAACCTAGGGGCCTTTATGAAGTTAATCGCACGTAGAATGGAAGGTCGTCACAGGCCATGCCAGTATATAGCCACGTGACCGTGGTCCTCTAGCCTCATCCAGCAGTTATGAATATGATATAACATCTCAATGGGCTGGGCGAGTCCATAATCAGGTCCTTTTGGCCCAAGAAATCCGACGGAGAGTTCAGCGCGTCTTAGGTATCGCGTTGGTTCCTCAGGCCGCACTCCCTTTGTGGTGTGTGGGGGTCCACGCCAATGAAGCTAGTCCTAATCTGGACGGACCTCTATATCAGTCTTTATGAAACCCATATGGTCCAAAGCCAAAGGCGTGACCAAATAAAGAAGGCTAGGAAGCTACTAAAGAAACGCGAATACTCTCCTTCTAACGTATGCAGACTCTAAGGATTGAGGAGATAGAAACTCCGTAGTCAGATATTACTATCAGAGCAAAGAACAGGGATAAATCACAATGTGAACTCGGCCTCTTTTAGTTGTTGACCCCTTTATCTTTCAGGGGTCCGGATCTTTTTCATATCCCCGAACAATTGAGAGCAGGTGTCCGTGTCCTTCTAGTGGGTGATCACAAGCAGTTATCACCCCCTGTTTTTATGCCAGCCGGGGAAGCAGCCTGGTCAAAATCTGCTTTTGAGCGTCTGATCGACAAAGGATACCATCAGACCCTTCTTAATATCACTTATAGGTCCTATAAGGACCTATATGAGCCGACCTCAGTGGCCTATTATGAGGGCAAGGTTGATACCTTCCGGAATCAGCCTAGCAGAGACCTGAATATTACCTCAGCGAATCCGCGGACAGTCCAACTTAAGATGACATGGGCTCTGCGGGGGCTCTCCCATTTTCTCCATCTTCCCCATATTAAAGGGGATACACGGAAGGATCCCTCGGGATCACTATTCCATGAGCAAGAAGCCGGACTTGGGGTCTACCTAGCCCAACAGCTTCTCGCCAGACGTATCGGGAGCATTTTAATCATGGCCCCATACAGAGCCCAAGTGGCCCGAGTTAACCGGTTTTGGGACCAGAAAGTCCCTGAGGTCAAGCCCCGCCCCAGGACCCAAACTGTCGATGCGTCTCAAGGTTCGGAGGCCGAGGTCATAATTGTGCTGATTACACGTAATCATGGCGCCCCCGGCTTCCTACACTCGACCAAGCGGACCAATGTGATGCTGCCTCGGACACGTAATGCCCAGTATGTTATCGGCGACTGGGACTGGCTCGGCAGCGAAATCATCAAGAAAGACGCCGCCGCATTTTTCAAATACCTGGATGAGGCCGAACGTCTCGTGGGGAATGACAAGTATGCCGTTGACCCGAAAAGGGCTAGATAATGTGATGTATTCTAAAGGTATTGTTTTTATTTGCGAGATGTCCCAATTCATATGATTATATCCAACAACCCGAATCAACTCAGGGCGTGGGAACGACTAGTAAGATCCTGGAACCTGTGGCCAGCGTATCAGCATGACAAACGAGGATAAAGGAAGGGAAATAGCTTGATTCTTGAGGAGCCGACCCTAAATCCTTGATATATATATGTGCCAGCTGGCTGCTGTCCAAAGAAGTATTGCCCATGATGCAACCAAGTGTATTGGACTACATTTGGAACCACTGTCTAGGCACAGTAGAGACATCACTCACCTGGTATGCATCTTATATATACGATCTGTGGTTGAAAGGACGAGTATCTACTCTGCAATAAGAAAATCAAAATCAACCCTAACATGAGCCTGATTCACAAACCGCATATACAACCCCCGATATCCCCGTCTCGCCCGTCTCTCCTGCACAACAACCTCTTCTACAAACACCCGCTTTCTCGCCTCAATCCGCGCCGCTAGCTCCTCCTCCAAGACCTCCAGTGAGAGCTTCCTCCTCTCTATATTATAGATAATCACATTCCCCGTCTATACAACCCTAAACGGCGACTCGGGTAGCCCCGACTTTGGCGAGATATGCAGCACGATCGTGCCCCCCGCCGTCCCTGACATCCGCCTATCTAATAGCTGTAGTATATCCGGCACGCCCGCGGCGCCTAGCCGTTATAGGATCGGGATTACCCCCACCTCCGGCATGTCTGGGTTCCCGACGGGCCCGATATCTTTTAATACTAGGACAGAGTCGCGCGTTACGGGTCGCGCGGGGTTATTGATACGCTTAGCTAGGTTGGCTGTGTTGTCCAAGACGACGGCGGGCCCGGGGTAGGAAAGTAAACGGCAGTCTTTAGACGCGGAGGCTTTTATAACAGCGCCGTTTAGCGTAATATTCCTGTAGAGCACGACGAGCGAGACGGAAGGGTAAAGCGGGTCGGAGAGTAGGCATATAACAGCCTGCGACAGAAATAAGGGGCGGAATAGGGCGTTGTTAAGGACGGCGTGAGGCTGTGGCCTATAATAGTTGTTAGGAGGACACCATTTAGGCAAACTGATAGATTGATGATCTCTTAATCCTAATCTAGGAGGAGCGAAGCTCCATACACACTGATATGTTGTAGGGGGTTCTCGCCTGGTGGGGCGCTAGGCGTATTTAGGTAGGTGAGGTGCTGTACTGACAATAGTTATAGCGGAGATGTAGAGTAGCGGGCGCAGCGTGCAAAGCAAAGCAGGTATACCGCCGGCATTATAGAAGTCGGTCATATAGTTGTCGCCGCTAGGTTTAAGCTAGATTAGAAACGGAATTTTCTGGCTAATTTCCTTGGATTATCTATAGGATAATTAATATTGGGGTAACGGTTGGCGGTGGCAAGTAAGTATATAACGGCGTGAGTAGACCCGCCGGATAGTCTAAAGGACTATAATAGCGTTAAGGAAGGAGGCCTTCGAAAGGATAGTCTATAGGGTTTATTTAGATAATACGGCCGCCGGTCTCCTCTGCGATCCAGATCCTAGTAGATAATAGTACTGGCGCCGACGCCCCGCGCAGAGGCATTATACCCAGCGCCGCGGTTAGGCAGGCCATGGTGCTGGCCGTGCCCATAACGCCGCAAGTACCGATCTAGACAGCATCAGTAAGCGCTTAAGCGAGGGAAGGGTGACAGGCAGGATGTACCGTTGGAGCCAGTTCCTTATTGACCGCGGCGATCTCTTCAATATCGAGGTCTCCCGCGCGGTATACGGCCTAGTTATTGCGGCAGTCGGTGCACGCGCCGATGCGCTGGCCGCGGTTGCTGCCCGGCATCATGGGCCCGGTAATCAACGGCAGCACGGGTTTGTTTGCGGAGATACCGCCTATCAACTGCGCGGGGACCGTTTTATCACAACCTGGGGTTGTCAGGTAGGCTCTTTACGCTAATATTTGGTGTATATAGATGGGTTACCTCCAATTATGATACACGCATCGAGCGGCTGCGCACGAATCATCGAGGCACTCCTTGAGAACTTTAAATACATGAGACCCATGGTGTACGTTATTAAGCGACTCCTGCCTGCCAGATTTAGAGGGACGATCCGTCAGATAATGCATAGGTACTATATTCGCCTATAGAATTAAGTGGTTTCCAATACAAATATCTAAGAGCTGCGTCGAAGAAAGACCGCACTCGAACAATGACTATGTAGCTTTTAGTCTATATGTCGTCAGGTTTTTCCGTTTGCTATGCGTCACTTCTATAGCCTGCCTAAAATGTTTGAGGCACCAACACGCAGCGCGGAAAGACCACGCTTTTGTATCTAAAAGCCACGCACAACCATGGTCTTTCCGCCGTCACCGACAGTTACTCCGTAAACTGCCATTGCCTTTCTGATATGTGGTTACTAGATGATAATACTTGTACTACAACCTATTTATCAAAGTAATGTGCAGAGTGCCCAATATAATTTCGCATGAGTTATAATTACTACCAAGGCAAGATGCCAGTATCATCAATCCTTCCCTTCCTGAAGGACAGGATACCGGACTACCCCTCGACCCAAAGCCCCATCGACTAGCGCGACAGAATGCGCCGCGAAAACAAAAAGTCCACAGAAGAGTCATCTACATTACCCTCATTATCTCGACGGATCGCAATGAACGGTCCCGGATGCAATTCGCCCACTATTCAAGGTCAAAGGCGGGGACACAACGATCTCCAGAGCCAAGACAGGGATCTACGGGGGAAGCAGACACGTTCGGAACAGGCCCATTATAACGACTTTACGGGTTCGTCGACACATTGGCCTTTCAGCTGTCTACTCATCAGAGGCGGAGAATGCAAGCGATGTTGTTCGAAGATCGCCAGACATACAGTAGGCATGGGATTGTAGGCATATGTGGAGCGAGAAGATGTCTATCATCTACGCAACAGGTAGTTTTGACATTTTCTTAGAGTATGAGCATGAGAGGAGACCTGGTCGTGCTGTAGGGATACTGGTTAAAACAGGTTGCGGGCCAGAATCCTAGCATTGAGGAATGGGGTGTATGCAACCTCATATGATTGATGTCGTACACGGTAATATTAATAGACACAAAACTACCGCAAGGGCGAACATCAATGGATCCCGAGGGATTTCTTTGGGAATAGACGGAAAGGAGAAGGGATGAAAGGGAGGCTAAAACTGCCTCTCGGGCTAGCAGACAATCCCGCGATTGGTGAAGCTGAGTGAATAGTCCAATTAACCGAGCAATAATTCTTGGGAGAAGGGGGAAATAGTGCGTATGTACTCCGTCCACCTGCTACAATCCCGGGCAAGATTTTCAAGGGGACAATACCTGCTCAGGGGCAATCAAGGGATAGACCCATGTCCCCTTTTTTGAGCCCTGGCCCCCTTGAGCTTAACCCTTCATTCTGTTTGCGCCTTGGATGTTGCCCGTGTCCAGCATGCCAGCGCGAAAGGGAGACATTCCTATCCAACTGGCATTCCCCGCGTTGCTATGGGATATAAGCGTAGTATCCCCGGTAACGTAATCTGGTGGAGGCGAAACATTTAGAGAGAGAAACAAGATTAATTGCATAGAGTACCGAGTAATAACTAACTACCTTACTCTACCAAGTCATGTCGCACACGGAAATTCCAAGTGGGGGGAGCCTAAGAGACTATAGGGGAAGTGGAGAGATATTAACTACGGTATAAGCCAATGAAGGCAGGGCCTCAGGTGCCAAGACTACTTTAGTCGTCGTAGCTTTGAGAAACGTCAAAACTTCAAATGGGGGAAATTTCACAGCATCAGTGTCAATCATCGAAGTCATACGTCCATAGGAAAATGTCCCAGCCTGTATCTGGTAATATCACTGCTGCCTAGACCTTATACTAGTAATTTCTATGGAATTGGGTCTGCTGTGCCGTGGCATAGGGGTTAGCTTGCCACGGGACAGAAGGGAAAGCGTCTACGGATTACCTGAAAATCAAAAAGTGAAAGTAATAAAAATGTTTGAGATCAGTCAAAGGAAATAGCGTTTACGAATATAGCATGGGTTGCACAGAATACAATCGAGAGGTGTTTGTAACTTGTCCAACATGGTAGATAGATATATATGTCCAACTCCAGTAACGTCCGCCACAATACATATAATATATATTTCCCACGATCACAACATGTATCAAGATGAGGATCTACCACATCTAGTTCTGTCCGACATCTCCTGGGCGTCATGATATATCTAATAAAGAAAGCAAATACATTGAAGACGTATATTTTATTATGCCTATTGTAATAATTGTAATAATGATTATTTAAATGGCAAGTCTAAATGCAAAACGGATCGTATATTGATCGTATATTGATCGTATATTGATCGTATATTGATCCTAATCTAGACTCGCTCGCCCAGGAAGTGTGGCGCAGGCAGGTTGAGCGAAAGAGGCCACGCCACAGGGTTAATTGCCCGGGGCGATCTAGGCAATGCCCCTGATTGGTTCCTCAGGGGAAAGCATCAGGAATGGATGCACTGGAAATAGAAACCTGGAATGCATGGGGTTGAGAAGTCCGCGGACCAGTGGATAATTCACGCTGTCAGGGCCCTGAACCAAGTTCTTCCAGACGGTGACTTCCGTTGAACCCCCTTTTGTACTCACGACAAGATCATTGCCATTACATTACTGCATTATCACCTCAACTCAAAAGGAAGGTCGTCATCGATCCTTCCCAAGATGGCTTGAGGGCTGAAACTTCGGAACGTTACTGTTTCACTCTTTATTACCTGTTCATCTGAACGCGGTGTAACCCTCTGCGTGGCTCCTTTTTTTTTTTTCCCTTTCTCTCTCTTCCCGTCCTATTCGGGCAAAGACTTGCGGGGCCACAGGTGATCATACTCTCTACAACTGCTCTTCCCTATATCTCCATCTACCTATCGATTAAATCTATCTCTGTATCAACGACTTCTCGTACGGTCGGCCTGCGACGACACCCCACAAACGATGGCGCCCTCCGCACTCGCCTCCCTCAGTACACAACTCCCCTGGAAAGATGAAAAGCGCACTGGATCCTCCAGAGGCCTGAACGGCGCCCCCGAAGCCGAATCGCTCGTCGCATCTCCCGGCCCCGTCGCTCAAGATTACGATCCTACGGTCGGCGCAAAGCCTTATTCACCCTTTTACCGCCATGCGACCCCCTCCATCGCCGCCATGGAGCGACTCAACGCACCGAACAAAAGCCCCAACATTCGTACGAGTGACTTGGAAAGTGGATGGCGACCATCCGATGACTCAGCGAATCGCCGCTCCTCGAAGCTCTGGGCGAACAAGAAAAGACATTGTGACTGGCTAAGGGGCATGACGAGGGGTCAGAGAATCGCGGTGAAGGCGGCGATTGCCATCTTGACATTAGGCACGATGGTGGGCATTGCTTTGGGAATTACATCTGCTGTTGGGGGAGGGGTGTGGAAGTCGGATCACCAACAGGGGACGATCGGATCTTGAGGGGAAGTGGGGGGGTATGTGTTTCCTGCTCGGGAGAAAAGTTAGGTCTGACGCCGATTGGCAGTGCCGCTGGCGATATGCCAGTAATTGCGTGCGGATTCCACAATACGTTAAACTTGCTCCCCAGGACTGGCTAATATAGCGGTCCTGCTAAACTGATTTCCCGGCACACCGAACAAGGGGCGACAAAAAGGGATGACAGAACCACCCTGTAGCGGGCGTGCGAAAGGGGGATTGGCTTGTAAAGGGTTGGTGCTGGAGCGGCCAAGACATTTTTGTACAGACGCGTGATGTTCGGCCGTGACAGTGACTTTTTGCTTCAAGCGTTGCGCGCGAGAGAAGATTTAGTCCACAGTCGAGAAATACGATCGACTCAATTATTCTTAATGTGTGGGCCTTGTGGCCTGGCTCCGTAAAGCGTGCCTGAGGACCGGTAGTCGGTTGCCTGGCGGAAGAATGTCGGCCCCTGGCACGTGACCCACCACTGCTACAAAAAGCGCGCCGCGGCGCATTCCTTTGCGAAGTTTTTCTTTTCTCTTCATTACATCGAAAAAAGCTAACAGAGCCTGCCACGACCGTCGTCCAGTCTTTATCCCACGGCGACGTGTTGCCTTCGGTCTACGGACTGATCGGCTCTGGAGAACAAAATTCCTTGATAGGAAGTTCGCCTTTCGTTGGGTCTTCTTCAGTGAGGGCGATGAGGGGTGAATGTCGATGACGGGAAACATCTCGACGTTTAGAATGAATATCTTTTAGTGTTTCCAGTGAATTAGAAAGATTTATTTGGGCTCAAAACAGTGTCCTTTTTTGAAAATCCGTAGTGTGTCCGCGTCCATCCAAGCGTAACTTCGGATATCTGGGTGAGGCAAAAAAAAAAAAAAAAAATGGAACAAGCGGGAAATGTGTGTGCACCACGTGCCCAGTCACACGTAGAGGCCCAGATGGTCCAACCGGTCATATTCATTCGTACACCTGCAGACGCGATCTCTCAGCTGTCAACAAGACAGTCTCGATGTCCAAAGGGTTAGACTACCGCCACATTACCCTTCAGGCCTAATATGATGCAGATCCAGTCCCCTGGAGAACAGGGGTACACATGTACCAATGGCCTCTTACTGAATCAAGGCAGGTTGAGCATACCGGCCCCTTCAAGCCCTCAAGAGTCTGGAATGCTAAACAACATAGCTCTGAGGCAATAGGATCACGTCGTACGAGCCAAGATGGAAGAATCAAGGCTTCGGTCTGGCGGAGCCCATTCCTCGAGGGCATTCCTAACTCGAAAACAATCCCTCTGGGGTATTTGTTTGTTTCGCTACAGGACATACCAGGGGCCGATGGCTTAACGTTATTCTGGTGATAAAAGGGTCAACACCATCCTTCCATGTCAAACAGAATCGTGAAGTCAAAAGGTCGAATCGGAAGTCTATCCTTCAGTTACTTTCTTTAATTGCCGTTTGCCTTTTGGCCCTTTCGCCCATCGTCACTCCTTTAGTTCGCCAAAAGGAATACCCGGTTTAATCAGTAGTTCGAAAAGGAGAAAAACAACAACGGTAATCAGGATGAAGGGACTTCAGAATGGGATCCCAATCGCCGTGCTCGCCGCGATGGCCAGTGCCCAAGGCATCGGTGGATCTCATGGAGTAGATATCGGCAACGATGCCGCGCTGGGTTTTAGTAATGACGTCTATAGTGAGGTTAACGCCTTCTCGAAGGACGACCACTCCACGGATATTGACACCAACACCAACATTGTCACTCCACCACCTCCTCCCCATGTTCGTCCACGTGTCCCGGCCCATGATGGTCCCCATGGCCATGAAGGTGTCCAACACGAGCGTCGTGGCAAACCGGCAAGTCTTGTTGCGGGTCCTGGCGGCGCGGACATCGGAGATGCAGCTACCTTTGACTACGTGACCAAGGCTGGTACCAAAGTGAACAGCGAGAAGGTAGATGATCATCATATCGATATCAACGAAGAGGAGGACCTTACTGTGCTCCCCCCTCCTCCCCCGCCACCAAGGCCCCATTTCCATGCAGCTCATCCCCCCCTTTCTCATGGGGACGAGCACAAGGGACATGATGAGCATCAGCAAGGCCATGGAGAGGCGCATGGCTCGTATGGCGGGGAGCAAGGCCATGGTGATGAACATGACTCGCATGGTGGGGAGCAAGGCCATGGAGAG